AATAATGTGACTCGACTGCTTTAAAAGTGCTATTACCCAAACACTCAACAGGCATCGCAGCATTTTACTTAATACATAATAGAAAAGGTTGCCTTCAAATATCTCTAAAAGAAAAAAAGTTGATAAGGTCCCCATAACTTCCTGCTTAGTTCTATTAACAGAAAAAAATTGGCGAGGATATAATTTTTGGGTAGCTAACGTAAATTTACATTTTAACTACCAACAGTTCGTTTAGTGAATCCCAACTACTTGTCATCTTCGGGTCGTGTTGAAGTGCTTTACAACGGTACATGGGGAACCATTTGTGACGACTTATGGGACACGCAAGATGCTGAAGTAGTTTGTCGACAGCTCGGATACGATGGGTCTTTACTAGCACCCCATGCTGCAACATTTGGACAAGGAACTGGTCAGATATGGCTGGATGACGTTCAATGTGTAGGAAAGGAGATTTCGATATCAGACTGTTATCACAGCGGATGGGGCGTCCACAACTGTGGGCATGGTGAGGACGCTGGAGTAGTATGCCGACCTACAGGTAAAACTACGATTCACGTACAAGGTAGTGTAACAATACTAATCGAATAAAAAAAAACCTCGCTGCTATCTCTCACTTTTGAATTTCTCCTTCCGTGTAAAAGAAAATTACGCCTCTTGTGCCAAGCTAATCTTGCTGAACACGCTCAGATCCAATGCTGCTTATGTTCCGTAATGCAGATGTGATTAGGAACAACTATTACTTCTCGTTGAAAATTATCACCATGGGTTCTTTTTTATTTTGATGAGAGAATCATAAGTCTCATTTTTAACAGTGTAGTTCTGTATGAACGGTTAACTTCTTAGAATAGAGCTCTTTCGATGGATTATTACAATGTATTGGTAAAGTCTTCTAAAAATAGCTGACATCTTAATCTTCTTGATTAACATACTTTTTTCTCATCATACCCTAACTCTGACCCCACATTCCCTTCCTCTCTCCTTCTGAACAGTTTTCCACTTTTTTACTGAGATTATGCAACACTTAATGGACTCAATGGACTAAGAAGGGGTTATTACCGAGTTGCCGGTAGTCTTGAATTTCATTTCTCAATATAACTGATAGTGGGTACGTGCATTCAATGCGAATTTAAGCTAACTTGTATCTCCATATCAACAGTTCGTCTGGTAAGCCCTAGTATTTCGCTATCGTCCGGTCGTGTTGAAGTGCGGCACAATGGTATATGGGGAACCATTTGTGACTATTCATGGGACTTACAGGACGCTGCAGTAGTTTGTCGGCAGCTCGGATACGATGGAGCTTTATCAGCACCCGGTGAAGCAGCATTTGGACAAGGCACTGGCCAGATATGGCTGGATGACGTTAAATGTAAAGGAAATGAGACAGTAATAGCGCAGTGCAATCACGCAGGATGGGGAGTTCACAACTGTGGACATAATGATGACGCTGGTGTGGTGTGCCGATCTGCAGGTACGTACACATTTTGTTATAATTCGCTCTCAAATATATCAATGAAATGCGGCAATTTGTAAGGACAATCACATGACGAGTGCAACTTGGGATAAATTAACAAAAAAAAAAAATTTCCAAGGGCTGACCCAATTGCGCTAGCAAAAGGTGCGGATGCAATCTGTTCTCTTTTAGACATTTTCTTGAGTTAATTTATTCCAAATTGCAAGATATGGGTCATATGATTATTTGTTAATAATGTACATGCAAAAGACCGAATCTGTTTTCGTCTTTGGCCGTATTTATTTCCGTCATGACATGGCTCGCCGGTTCCTCCAACATTTACGTTATTTCTTGAAAAAAAAAACAACTTTGATTGACTCGCCAGCATTTGCTTACAGGTAAAAAACATCCTCTTAATCGATAAAGGTCAACTTTTGGAAGCATAAATTATTCTAGAGCGTTTTTATTCTCTGGAATTTAAAGACAAATGAAGAGTGAAAAGACGCCAAAACCTGTTTATTTTAAGAACTCAAATTTTTGAGGTTTCTGGTGGATTCTGGTCGAGACGAGATCGGTAATCCGGCAGTTTCAAAAATTGAAGCTTTTCTAGGAGCTGCTGAGTTTTCCATGTTGAAAGTGACTTGACATTGGTGGCAATGGTTTATGTTCATTAAACACTGACGCTGCTCATTTTGGCCAGATGTAAACCTTGGCACCTGAAATACAAACGGTGTTTGGTTGAAGTTCTTTCCACGTTGAGGGCGCGGTGAGAACATGTTGGAAAAGTTTTGCTGGAGCTTCTAATGCTACTATCAACCGAAGTGAGGCTGTTTCCTTTACCGAACGGGCTGGCAGACTCCGCTCATTAAGAATCAAAGTGCTCTGTGAGCAAACTCGTGAATTGACACATGATTTTTTAGATTATGTTTAATGTTATCTGGTTTAGGGAATTTTGGGTTGATTGTCATATCTAGAGTACGAGCAGTAGTTCAGTGTTCGCTAATGTAGCAAAGAAACAAAGTAACGTTGGGATAAGAAGGCATCACAATTGAAATGATCATGCTATTACATTTGACAAGGGTGGATGATGTCATGTGTTTTAACGTCTATCATTTTTGTTTCTGGTTCAAAAGAAAACGTTGGAAGTAAATGTGGGTGAAAAGTAAAATTTACTGTCTATCATTGTAAATATTAGAAAATCAAGGCAATACTGTCTTAATGAAAACATTAACGATTCCCTCTTCATCAAATGAGACAAACGGGAACGAGTTTTGAGTGATATAACTGAGCCAAGACTGCCACCGTCATTTTGGATCTCCGCCTGGGTAGATTTTAGTCACGTGCTAGGCAACGTATAATCAATAACAAGATAGAATTTCATTTCAGGCCTATTTATCAATTTTGTGGTGTATAACTTTCGCATTTTAGTACGTTATATGTATTTTGAATCTTCAAATTGTCTTGAAACTTAAAAGAAAATTGTTCTTTAAAAATTCACTGAAAATCGGTAGCTAAAATTGTTTGTTTAGGTGTTATTTGATTTTCGTGTTAACTTGAAGAAAATTGTTCTTTAAAAATTCACTGAAAATCGGTAGCTAAAATTGTTTGTTTAGGTGTTATTTGATTTTCGTGTTAACTTGTAATTTCGTCAGTCGCCGGCATCTTCTGTTGCTTCACACAGGAAAAACACACGCTACGAAACGTAATGTTCAATTTTGTCCTCAATCTCACGCCATAACAGAAAAAGATTTTGAACATCTGTAAACTCCGAGCGCTTCGCAGTAGGTGAAACTTTCAAAAAATCTTCGGATTGTTTTCAAGTTCAAGGGTTGTAAATTACAATTTTATGAAAAGCGAAGGTTGTTCTGTTATTTCAGTGTGAATCCTTGCATGCCTGCCAGTCGCTGGCGCCGCTTGTTGAAACTAAAACGAAAAAAAAAAACTCTTTTAAGATTATCATTGGGTCTTTTTCACCCCACCACTATTCTTAGCAGCAAGGGTCGCCATTTCGTTTGTTTATTGCTCGCCAAAAACTATCAAATGCACTCAAAAGCCTAAAATCGAAAAAAAGTTTACAGGAATCGACCAATCGAGCGAGTGCCATTCCCCACATCGTATCTACAACTCGCTCTTGCGCATGCGCGGAATTCACGAGTTAAAAAGGGTGCAAGTGTGTTTAGCACGTACGTAATGATTTGTAAGCTTCCAGATCTTAATGCTTTCACGAAACGACTATTTTTCAGTGCAACATTCTAATCATCGCGTCCTTTAATTTTTTTATTTACTTTCATCGGCTGCCACTTGTACCAAACTTGCAAGGACGGATTTGACCCACAAGACAGATAAAGGGGATCGATCTTACGCATTCTGAGAGGAATACGCTATAGAAACTCGTTTAGAGTTACAAGCAAAACTCTTCGAGCTTTAAGAGCTGTCTGGACTGGCGTGATTTTGTCGGGTTCTCTGTGAATTTGACGTATTCCATATTTTTGCATCCAATGCAAATGAAAAGTCTCCAAACGTCATAGTATGGTCTTCCTGTCGACCTTTCTCAGCTTCTTCTTTCACTCAGCTCATTTCCCTCGATTAACAGACCTCTTCCTTAGCTTGTTCGGCCGCTTCCCTTTGCCTTGTAGTTGGAGAAGTTGTTTTGAACTTGCCTATGCTTTTAAAAACTCTCTCTCACCAATATATAATTGAGCGTTATGCTTTTTTTCCGTTTGGTATCGCTCAACGAAGGTAACATTACATGAAGGATATCAGGCCTGTAATATTTCACTCCTACTAACGAACTGTTGCGTAAAACTCCTTGAGAAATTGGTTGAGGGCTTCCGGTTCGTACTTTAAAATTATTTCGCCATAGCTGTTTTTTAAAGCTGAGGCCACTTTCTCAACAATTGGAAGAATCCCTTGATTGTTTATCCTAAACCTCCTTCGCACTCTAGTTCCTTTCCTGGTTCGACATAAAAGAGCTAAATTTCTCGCGATCTGTATCATTGCTATTAATGGATAAATATCCTTATCGTTACTCGTCTATCAGGGTATCGTGCTTCATTTCATCACAACCGACAACCGCGATCTTTTTTACCATGACTGGGTAATTGATAGGCACTAATTGTGATTTTATGTTCATTGCTTTCTAAAACTTCGGAAATGCTGATGAACGATTTTAAACCAAACAAACACTGGTGTTTTTTGTGTCAGTGATATGAGTAAGTTTTTTAGACTCTGGAACACTTGATTTCGGGAACGTGACTTTTGTCAAAACTCAATTTAGTCCTTTGGTTGCAAGCGGGTTTGATGCATGCGGTTCCTAATTTGTTTATTTTGTTTAACTGAACCATGTGAAAAGGGAAATTATGGTTTACATCTAATTAAGCTTTTTTTTAGACGCTTCCGTTTATCTACTGCATGAATCTATGATTCTTTGCGTTCTTATTCCGCCGAAACAGCTGTTCGCTTGGTGAACTCTTTCAATCACTCATCTTCTGGTCGTGTTGAGATACGATACAATGGTATATGGGGAACCATTTGTGACCACTCATGGGACATGCGGGACGCTGAAGTAGTTTGCCGCCAGCTTGGATTCGATGGAGCGTTATCGGCATCTCGTGATGCATCATTTGGACAAGGAAATGGTCCGATATGGCTGGATGACATGAACTGTGTAGGAATGGAGATTTCGATATCGGACTGTCATCACAGTGGATGGGGCGTCCATAACTGTGGTCACTATGATGATGCTGGCGCAGTTTGCCGACCGACAGGTAAGCTTGTGAGCTTACAGTTAACTGGCTGAGTATCTCCTTAACTTCGTCAAAGAGACTTTAAAGGTCTCTTGATGAACCCCTACGAAGCAAGGAAAACTAGTTTGAATTTCTACATTGACAACAGTTACTTTGAGGAGTTCCACTAATTACTCATTTCCCTTTTTCTCCAATTTTCTTCACTGATCATCATTTGATCGGCAGCATTAGGCTCGTTGTTATTCATTTGTAAGATCCTCAAGAAAATGTTTGATTTTATGATCTAACAAAAAGCGTTCAATCTGCCAAGAGGAGTTGACACACATTCCTACTCATGCCTACAAATCGTATTCTTTAGAGGAAATTAAGTACTGACTATATGGTACAATTCGTGTACTATATAGCTCGTACTAAATTTCCCCTAAAGAAAGTTGTCGGAGGCTATAGGTTAAAGAAGAACTAAAACGACGCGTCTAGATTTCTTAGTGCCTTCAACCAAGCATGGTACGATCTGCAGCCAGTTTACCCTAAAACAGTTCGCAACACAGTTAAGTAGCCTAGTACTATTGTATCCTTATATCGACAACAGTGCGTTTGGTGGGTTCCGCCAATTGGCCATCTTCTGGTCGTGTTGAAGTGCTGTTCAATGGCACATGGGGAACCATTTGTGACCACTCGTGGGACTTACATGACGCTGATGTAGTTTGTCGTCAGCTTGGATACGAAGGAGCTTTAACAGCGTCAAGAGGGGCAGAATTTGGACAAGGAACAGGTCAGATATGGCTGGATGACGTTAGGTGTGTCGGAGATGAGACCTCAATATCAGAATGTCGCCACGGGGGATGGGGAGTGTACAACTGTGGACATAGTGAAGACGCTGGTGTGGTGTGCCGAACAGCAGGTAAAGTGAAGATATCAGCACACTATGTCATGATTCATTGTGTATCTATTGCCTCCAATAAATGCTACCGTGCATGAAGAATACTTTAAAGTTGTCAAAGTATAGAGATTTAACGTGCTTTTTTCCAGCCGGAACGAGTGGTTTTATTGATAAAAACCAAGAAGTGTGAGGATATCGTATGGAGTTTCCATTGTTTGTCACGATTGTTATTTGTATGCCGAGTCTATTTTAGCCCTTGACTGTGATTCATATCCATACAAAAGTTTAATCAATATACCAAAACGACAGAGGAGATTGTCGAATCATAAAGCGTTACTCCAAGTAGGGCCAAAATGGCTGGTAGAAGCAATAAAAGATTTCGTTTTTTGCTTGTTCGAAAACCTGCAAAATGGAATTTTTCATGTTTGATTTGTACCTTTCTTGATTTCACAACCAAAACCTTTAGGCACCCTCGTGTTTAGAACTCTGAAGCTGCAAACAGACAGTACCGGTAGTAAATTTTACGCGGTCGAACGTTTTTGCGCTGAAGAGTTCTACCCACCCAAAGCCATCTAGCTCATGGCAAAATTTAGACATCAGCCATTCAAAAAATTTTAGTTCCAAAAATGGAGACGAAGTTTCAGCCGTTATGGTCCAGAATTTAACCGGCGTAGTGTGAAACGTTGAGCGACATTTTTTAAAACATTAGCTCCGTTTAGGATTCGAAGTGGTAACATATATTGATGTGCTCGCTCTTAGCTTGACCCACAGGATTTTTTGCCGTTTTTTATGAGCCTCTTAGTTGTCTTCATGAAACACGGTTGTCCCCTCTGCAGGTATAGTTCAGTCATTTTCTAAGACATTAATTCTTTCTAGCGACTTACTCTGAACAAATTTCTTGAGGTGTGTTCCTTCTCGACATGACCAAAGTGAGCCGTACCCGATGTTAAAAACTTAAGAGAGTGTCTCTGTAAGAGCGGTCCGGTCGATTTTGCTTGAGACACAGATTTCGCTCATTTCTTGTGTGTTGTAAGACATTCATGTAACTATACTAAAACCACAATCCGTTTGATCGGATCTCTTTATTTTCTTTAGTTACCTTTTCTGTGGCACCTACTTCCTAGCTATGTTAGTTGGATCTATTAAGAACGCCTCACTTTTTCGAAAATTTACTTTGAATTTGATCGGTTTTGGCGTGTGCGACTTAAGCGAACCGTTAAGGTGTCATTCAAGTCTACCTGTTTCCTTGATTGAAACGTGATGTTTACAAAAGTCGCCTCTAATAGGTAAGATAGAGTTAATATACATGGCTGTGGTATTTGTTTTTTGCTGAGTTGCGTAGTTTTTTGTAAACTGTCCTCCAAAGTTGTCTGAAATTAAAGTCTTGAAAAGTGTCACAACAAGCCTTCGCTCGAGTGAAATTTAATTTCTGTAAAACTCTGAAAAATAAAGAGATCCGATCAAACGGATTGTGGTTTTAGTATAAGTACATGAATGTCTTACAACACACAAGAAATGAGCGAATTCCGTGTCTCAAGCAAAATCGACCGGACCACTTTTAGAGAGATATCAGCCGGTAATCCAATTCTGCCAAACTTTCTCTGCTCATCCCTGATTCAACAGTCAATGGGGCTAAATTATACGTTGTTTTCCCCGGCATCTTTTGATACAGACAACAGGTTACATGAGAGTTTGGGCATTTTAGCACATTATGGAGAGCAGCCCTTTTGGCTAACTATCATTAAATGGCACAGTGATTTTTAGGTTTATAGATCCTAATGCTTTTAAGACACGACCATCTCCCGGTGCTACATTCTCATCATCATGAACGCCTTTGATTTTCTTTACTCTCATCGGCTGCCTCTTGCACCAAACTTGCAAGGACTGAATTGACCCACAAGACAGATAAAGGGGACCGGTTTTTATGCATGCCATAAAAACTCATTTTAAGATTACAAAGGCGCTCCCTTCATCTTAAGGGCAATCCGGGCTGGCGTGTTTTTGTAGGGTTCTCTGTAAATGCGACGTATTCCATTCGATTCTTTTTCACTCAAACCAAAGGAAGAGTCTTCAAACGTCATGGTATGTTGTTTCTGTCGACCTTTCCCAGCTTCTTTTTTTTCTCACCAAGCTCATTTTCCTCGGTCAACAGACTTCCACCTTGTTCGGCCGCTTCCCTTTGCCTTGTTGTTGCTTATGCTTTTAAAACTCTCTGACACCAATAATTAAGCGTTGTGCTTTTTCTCTGTTTGGTATTGCTCAATGGAGGTAACATAACACAAAGGACATCAAGCTTTTAATATTTCCCCTTCTACCGACGAAATGTAAAACTCCTCAAGAAATTGGTTAAGGGCCTCCGGTTCGTACTTTTAAATAATTACGCCATAGCCGTTTTTTAAAGCCAAAGCCACTTTCCCAACAATTGGAAGAATCCCTTGACTGGGTCTCTTGTTTATCCTAAACCTCCTTCGCACTCTAGTTCCTTTCCTGGTTCTTTACAAAAAAATAGAGCTGAATCTCTCCTGCTCAGTATTACCATCATTGATGTATAAATATCCTAATCGTCCCTGTCTATCAGAGTATCGCGCTTCACTCCATTACGGTAGACAACCGCGATCTTATCACCATAACAGGATGATTGATAGGGATAGGCGCTAATTGTGATTTCATGTTCATTGCTTTCTAAAACTTCGGAAATGCTGATGAACGATTTTAAACCAAACAAACACTGGTGTTGTTTGTGTCAGTGATATGAGTTAGTTTTTTAGACTCTGGAACACTTGATTTCGGGAAAAATTGACTTTTTTCAAAATTCAATTTAGTCCTTTGATTTCGAGGGGGTTTGATACATGCGGTTCCTAATTTGTTTATTTTGTTTATCTGAACCATGTGAAAAGGGAAATTATGGTTACCATCTAAGAAAGCTTTTTCAGACGTTTTTGTTTATTTACTGCGTGAATCTCAGACTCTGCGTTCTTATTCCGCCGAAACAGCTGTTCGCTTGGTGAACTCTTTCAATCACTCATCTTCTGGTCGTGTTGAGATACGACACAGTGGTACATGGGGAACCATTTGTGACCACTCATGGGACATACAGGACGCTAAAGTAGTTTGCCGCCAGCTTGGATTCGATGGAGCGTTATCGGCACCTCGTGATGCATCATTTGGACAAGGAAATGGTCCGATATGGCTAGATGACATGAACTGTGTAGGAATGGAGATTTCGATATCGGACTGTCATCACAGTGGATGGGGCGTCCACGACTGTGGTCACTATGATGATGCTGGCGTAATTTGTCGACCTGCAGGTAGGGTGGTGATACACTCATATATAACATTATCGAGGTAAGCAAATTTGTAAATGAAGATCACTTTTAAAGAGCATTTTTAAAAGGGCTTTCCCCTTTTGCCCATAGAGCTTGTGAGCTTACAGGTAACTGGCTAAGTATCATCCCCACAAGCGAACGAGGTCTTTTGACGAACCCTTACTATAAAAGACCAACTAAGTTGAATTCCCATATTACCAGGTCCTCGTAAAAGTGTTTGATTTCATGCTCTTACAAGAAGTATTTCAACTTCCAAGGGGAGTAGACCACGTCCCCAATCATACCTAACAATCTTATATTAAATAAAATCGTGTATTAGTTAGTTTTTTTTTTATAATGTCCTGCAAAGAAAGTTGTTAGAGGTTACAGCGATAAGGAAAACCTAAAACGACCGCCAATTTCCGCTAAAACAGTTGGCAAACCAGTTGATTAGCCCAAGTATAATTGTATTCTGATATCGACAACAGTGCGTTTGGTGGGTTCCGCCAATTGGCCGTCTTCTGGTCGTGTTGAAGTGCTGTTCAATGGCACATGGGGAACCATTTGTGACCACTCGTGGGACTTACATGACGCTGATGTAGTTTGTCGTCAGCTTGGATACGAAGGAGCTTTAACAGCGTCAAGAGGGGCAGAATTTGGACAAGGAACAGGTCAGATATGGCTGGATGACGTTAGGTGTGTCGGAGATGAGACCTCAATATCAGAATGTCGCCACGGGGGATGGGGAGTTCACAACTGTGGACATAGTGAAGACGCTGGTGTGGTGTGCCGAACAGCAGGTAAAGTGAAGATATCAGCACACTATGTCATGATTCATTGTACATCTATTGCCTCCTCAGAGATAAATGCTAACGTATACTGAAAATACTTTAAAGTTGTCAAAGTATAGAGATTTCACGTGTTTTGTCCAACCGGAACGAGTGATTTTATTGATATAAACCTAGAAAACTAGGGATGCCATATGGAGCACGTTTCCATTATGTATAATGTTTGTTATTTGTATGCTGAGTTTTTTTTTTTGAGCCCATTGACTCCTGCCTGTGGTTCATATCCATACAAAAGTTTTAGTTATCAAACCAAGTAGCTGAACTGGCTGGTAGAAGCAACAAAAGATTTAGTTCCTTGTGCGTTCGGAAAGCTGCAAAACGGCATTTTCATTCGTTCCTTTCTTGATGTTACAACCAAAAGCTCTATGCACTTTCGTGTTTCGAATTCTTAAGCTGCAAACAGACAGTACCGGAAAAAATTTTAAGCGGTCGAAAGTTTTTGCGCCGAAGTGTTGTCTTCACCCAAAGCTATCCAGGTCATGGCAAAATTTGGACATCAGCCATTCAAAACACATCGATGTGCTTGGTCCTTGCCTTTTTTTTTTAGCCCCTGAGTTGTCTTCATGAAAATCGGTTGTCCCTTCTGGAGTTAAATTTCAGTCATTATCTTGACATGTATTCCTTCTACCGAATAACCATGAACACATTTCTTTAGGTGTGTTCTTTACGCATGTCCGAGACGTTGATGCCACAAGTAGCTGTCTCGACATGGCACAAATGAGGCGTACCGAATAGAAACAACTTAACAATCTAGTCGATAGAGTTTGTCAGCCGGTAATCCCATTCTGCTGCACTTTCCCTGCTTATTCCTGATCCAACAGGAAAAAAGGGTTCAGATGAGTTTGGGCACATTAGCACATTGTGGGGAGCAGCCCTTTGGCTCACTTCCATAAAAGAGCTTTGTGATTCGTAGGCTTACAGATCTTAATAATTTCACGACACAAACATCTCCCAGTGCAACATTTTAAGGCTCGTACTTTTCCTTTATAATATGAGTTGATTCCTCTGAGTAAATTGATATTTTTCTTAAGGTGATTCCTCAAAAGAAAAAAGTTCTCAAAAGGTCCCTACCAGTGTCTGTCTCTAAAAAATACCGGTGATACCGGCAATAAATCAAAAGATAGGTCACCATGCTTTTTAAAGAGATATGATGGGCCAAACTTACCCCATTTATGACTTTAATGGCACCAATTACGAGCGTCATTTCACCGGCTCACGGTACATTTTGCGGTAGCTGGAGGAAAGTGTTTTTTTAAGTAATGTTTGAAAAAGACTTGTTAGGTAGAATTTCTAAAGCGTGTTAAGCAATTTGATATATAATTTGTGGAAAAAATCATGCAATTTTAAATGACATTGAATGAAAACTTTCCTTGAGTCGTTGTTCTTAAGGTCATAATTTGCATCCCCGAGTTACGGGCGTCGTGCACGCTCTTTTTTCCCCTCCGACGAATTATTTATTTCTCCAATTTCAAGGAATATTTTAATAAAACAAAATTATGCAATGAAAAATAAAGGTAACCGTACTCATTCAAGAGCAAAAGACCATCGTACCTGTTAACCTTGTCCATTGATTAATTACAATATCATGTTATTGGAATGAGCGCGCGCTTATTTGCTTGGTTACTTAGTTTTTAAGTGCAGTACAGAATGCTCAGTGCAATACTGAGGTATCACGATAACTGATTACCTTCTTATTCCGCTTAAACAGCTGTCCGTCTGGTTAATTCCTACAATTCGTCACATTCCGGTCGGGTTGAAGTGCAATACAAAGGTATATGGGGAACCATATGTGACGACTCATGGGATTTAAAGGACGCTGATGTAGTTTGTCACCAGCTTGGATACAATGGAGCTTTAGTAGCATTTCGTAGCGCAGCATTTGGACAAGGAACAGGCCAGATATGGTTGGATGACGTGCAATGTGTGGGAAATGAGACATTAATATCACACTGCAATCATTTAGGATGGGGAGTTCACGACATTTACTGTCGGAGCAGTGATGACGCCGGTGTAGTTTGCCGACCCTCGGGTAAGAGGATGATGCTAGTAGACACCACATATCAAACTTCTTTCATAGTCTTTTTTCTTTTAAATAGGCGAGGAAGCGCGACGCGCGAGTTGAGGTTCTTTATACGCTGGTGGTGTGGACGAGGAGCAAATAGAAGGTCTTTGAACAGACTTCCTTCCACCTACCTCCTTGCCCATTTTTTTTAATTGCTTCTTACGTGTTATGTATAAACGCTATTTGCAATAACTCGCAGAAAAATTTATATTACTACCTTTTTTCACGGGCATATCTAATTCTGTGGTACCCATTTTGTTTACACTCCTTGAGAAATATCTAGTTAAGTGCAACGGTATTCCATCACCGCACTGATGAGTCACGTAAAATTGTGTTACGTCTGTGCGAACTAAGTATGTCCCCTTTGGAAGTAAGCAGACGCCTAATCAACACGCAAGCGGGAAATTGCCACGCTATTGCTGTTAAGCGTTAGTTTGCAAATAATTTCCAAAGGCCGACCTGATGTCGACACACGAGAGAGAAGCTATTAAAAGAGTTTGGAATAGCTCTTACGAGCATATCGAAGTCAAAGTCGAAGGTGATAATGACACCAATAGCATGGAAAACCTCTTGAAGAGCTAGCTAATATGGTTACTCCCGTGATGAAAGGAGGCTTTGAAAAGAAGCCAGGTAGAATTGAATAAGTTTAACGGAGCAGAAAACCGCGAGACTCTCACCAAATTACTATAAGAAAAAAACTAACCTTTTAGGTCCAATGATGCAAAAGGCTCATCTTCAACGTTATCGATGCAATGACAAATAAATGATTGAGAAACTTCTGAATCATATATCGTCGCTACCTATCAGAAAGGATTTTTTTAATACACTCAAATGTTGCGCTTTTCATTGTAATGCAAACAGGGAGTTATAACACCGACGTAAAAAAGCTGACTATTACAACACAGACAAACGTCTTATCTATTCGACGCTGGCAATCACTGCATGACTTGGCTTGTTGGAGATCTTCAATTTTTCTAAAACAGGTTCAAGAGTTGACGTAGATTAGCCATATTTTCACATCTGCGAAAAAGCATCAAATTATCAAGTGTCGGAATAATTCATGATTTCCCAAAATCGATAAAAGCGATTCTTTTGTGCTTTATTGGCAGGGCAGATATTAAAAGATCTATCCTAATCAGTTGAGACATTTTGAATTGAATACAATTAACTCAAGAATAAACATCCAAGAAATTAAAAAAAAAATGACTCATGAATCTTAAGCTGATTACATAAAATAAAACCGCTCTCTTACTATAACCGACATCTATTTGTATTCTGACCAAGTGGTTACCTACATATTTGTGAGTACAATGCAAAAATCCGTTTCAATACGCGAACATAGCTCTGGCACTTCACTACAATGAATTTCGAATTCAGCGACTGTCCTCTTAGTTTCCTGATCTGGAAGCAAAATTATCATATCACAAGCGTCTTCAACACAACCCGAGTATGTTTCACTCGAGATGAATTGTAACTGGTTGCATGTTTTTTGACACAAACCATTACCTCAAATGTGTGCGATTTGGGTAGAACACCAAAAAGATTAGTTATGCCAATAACCTTGGTCAAGCTATACAATTCGCTTTTCCGAGGTAGAACCAATTCTTCCGTAAAACCCAAATTCAGAGAAGATTTGAATTACTTCCTCCTCTTTTTTTTGTCCTACCTCAACCGTTCACAAATCTCTTAACTCCTTTTTCTTCAATTTATGCTAATATCTGATTTGACGAATGTGCTAGTTTCTTTTCACACGTTCTTTACTTAACGTGAATTCGAGACCAATTTAACAAATATTTCATATCAGTGAAATATACCCAGACAAATTTGGTGAGCATTAATCATAGAACGCAAACTCTTTTTGCTAACCAAAGAAATTGGAATGTGCTTCGCTATCAAACTCAGTAAGTTTGACCTTAAAATTGGCCAACACACTGCTATCAATATAAGGGAAGTAAACAACGGGAGCACATCATATCAGTGGCAGGGTGGAGTTCAGCTGACAGATTTGCTTAGCGCAGTTACCAATGAATACTCAAGTAAGCCATCGAAAACGGATTGCATTAGCCATTAAATAAAGATTGAATAAGTAAACTAAACTTACCTTTATTGGACTAGACTGGATTCTTATCGTACCCGTCCCTTTACGTTTCGATGACGCTCAAAGGGTTACTGACGCCAATTTTTTTCTTTTTTTTTTTTGTCCCAATACATTCCTCTTACGTTAAAGAATCCTAAATGAGCAATTTAACGAAATATTGCGCAAAACCAAATTTTCTACGAATTTTTTTTGACGCTCAATCGACGGCCATTTTGAAAACGTTCCGATTTTAGGTCACATGATGTGATACGTCACACGTGTGTAAGGCAGTGAAAAGAGTCAAGTAAGACCTGAAAGTAACAACTTCGCCCTCGCTGTCCGGCTGCTGCCGAAATTTACGAGTGGAAAAAATGAAGAGATTTGTTCCATTCTGTTATAGGCCACCATTTAGAGACTATCAAATACGAAGTGAGAAATAAAATAATGAAGGTTGAATAATCGAAACGTGAGGGATTGCATGTCTGTATTCAGAGCCACAAGTGAATTGCACGCTATTCCAAATAGCTGTAAAAATATATATAATCCTACAATTTTTTCCTCTTAACCATTATCGAGTCCTATACTCAGCTAACGACTACCAAGGATTTGGTGCAAAAGTTGCTGGATTTAAAAAAAAAAGCTAAGTTTTTCGTGTGTCTCACGATGTAGTCAAGTGTGATGTAGATCGCGACGTTTCGACTGCATACTGCCAGTCTTCTTCAGGCGATGAGGTCGACTGGTCATGCGTGATCTTATAAAGTATGACGCTCTGCTGTGATTAGTTTTTTTTTTTTTTCGAAACGCTTTTATTGTTATTCACCACGATGAAAAACCACAACTTTTTCAAGCTGGATTTAGCTTTAAGCTGGTATTAAAGAAGTTCCTACTCCTGAGCAAATAAACGAAACTCGAAGAATAAAAAGAAAACTCTCACTGTCTAACGAAAAATTAAGGATAGAAAACTCGAGCTCCGTGGTCACAAAGGAGACTTACACTACACAAAAACCACAAAGCCGGGCCTTATCAAAACTAACAGCAAACAGGGTATGAGAAAGACATTTCTCGCTTTTGCTTATCTTTGCTTTTGTAGACCTGGTATCAGTTTATGTATGTAAATTAGTTGCTTTGGCCATTAAAGTAGTAATGTATTTTTGAAAAAAAACAGTTGATGGTCGAGTTTGATCGCATCAGTAAATATAATGTATCAGTTGCTACATCATCGACAAGCACTTGTGAAGCAGCCCTCGATGAACTACCAGACACAAGAAATGCTAACAAAAGTTATCTCCTAGTGACATAAGTAAAGGTTTCTTCAAGAAGAGGATTCAACCACAAGAATACATGTAGATGTATGATAAAAACTCTTTTCTTTGGAGAAAAATGCTAATGACATAACAAAAGGAAAGAAAAGATAAATTTAACCCTTGCACTAAAGTTTACTCATCTGCATAAGTAAAACCGGTAAAAACCATGTCCTCCTCCAGCTGGTTGGCTCTGGGATGTGGGCACGTATGAAATTCACAGCATAAGAAGGCAAAGGGACCCGGATATTTTGCCCAGAGTACCCCAACACCACCTGACTAGTTGCCTGTAAGCAATGTGGCGGTTTTTCTTATGCTCAGGCCCCCCATAAGCAGAAGAGCCATACTGCTGCTTGTATTGTAGCCAAGCTGTCTGCAGAGCCCAGACATTGAGGCACACTGCCTCAAACCCTGGATGCTGCACAATACATCTGGGTTCTTCCTGCAACCGTTCCTCCATGACATCTTCCAAAATTTTATTCCTGACTGCATCTACTTCTTGGCAATAGATGCTCTCTTCCTCCCTTTCCATCGCTTGGCAGTTTCCACACTGACGCCTTGTAATAAATAATCAGTAAAGTAACGAATTTTTCACGATGTTGAATAGGAGAAATAGAGAGCACAACTTGTTGTTTTCACCAAAAAGGGACAATTGTCAGCCCTGTGACTATCACAAACGTGAAAGACAACTCAAACTTTAGGCTATAAACAAGGTGCAAAGATCACAAGTCAACAATAAGTTATTATGAAGACTTTGTTCAATTGTACATGTGCAAAAATGCTATTTTTCGCTGCATCGTGTTTAAAAGTAAAAGCCTAGAAATCTATAATCGTTCGCCAAATTCAACACAGGAAAACTTAAAACCGATTCAATCGCGTGGAAACGTGTATAATCCATCCAATTCACCTCCACAAGCGTGTTATTTTCAGTCTGTGAAACTTAAGCTTCGGAAGGTGCCTGCCTGTACCATAAATCACTTCGCTTCCAAGCTACTCAAGAGTCTGCACACTTGGTTTTTATTTACCTGATCGCTTCTATGTTTAATAAACGACTGGTTTTCAGACACTATATTTGAAAACGTACTGTACTCACAATTCGTCACTTTCCTGATTGAGGCGGCCGCGGCGCACGGGCTCTTGATTCTCTTCCAACTCTCGCCCTGAATTCTCGGTTCGTCCTGGCGGTACAAATCGCCAGGGCCTAATTTCAACAATAGGTTCATAAATTCTTTCATTATCTTCACCCTCCATAAAGGCCTAAAAATCGGAATAATCGGATCCAGAAGTAGAACTGCTTTCAGTTGAGCTGCCGTCCGCCATATTTACTTTGCTTAGTGCACACACGTGCGACGTATAAGGTCAAAAGCAAAAATCCTTTACATTTGCGAAAACAATCTTTCCTTCTGCAAAACATATGGTTTAGAAAACTGTGCAATATAAAACAAGCTAACTTATATCAACATATTAATAACAGTTCGTTTAGTGAGCCCAAGCAAAATGCGGTCTTCTGGTCGTGTTGAGGTGTGGTTCAATGATACATGGGGAACCATTTGTGACGACTCATGGGACTTACAAGACGCTGCAGTCGTTTGTCATCAGCTTGGATTCGATGGAGCTTTATCCGCTCCCGGTAATGCAGCATTTGGACAAGGAATTGGCCAGATATGGCTGGTTGATGTTAACTGTGGAGGAAATGAGAAAGACATAGTGCAGTGCAATCACGGTGGATGGGGAGTTCACAGCTGTGGACATAATGAAGACGCTGGTGTGGTTTGCCGACCTTCAGGTAAAGCAACGACTCGCGATCATTATCTATTGCCATATCAATAATTCTTACCTCTTGAGTAACTTAAGAGCTGAAAACACCGGCCCTTCAAAATTCACTATGGTGACTTACCTTCTTTCTCTAAATTTTGGGCGACAATCATCGAAGTTAGATTTTTCATTCTTCAGTGCAGGCAATGGCTGGATGTAATTGAGGCTTTTTCCAGAATAGACAGATAAATTTGAGATTGAGTTTAAGTTTGGTTGTAATATTTTTTGAAAAAATTTAGGTCTTCCACTTAGAGCAATTAAGAGAGTGTCTCTGTAAGAGCGGTCCGGTCGATTTTGCTGGAGACACGGATTTCGCTCGTTTCTCGTGTGTTGTAAAACATTCATGTACCTATACTAAAACCACAATCAGTTTGATCGGATCTCTTTATTTTTCAGAGTTTTACGGAAATTAAATTTCACTCGAGCGAAGGCTTGTCGTGACACTTTTTAAGACTTTAATTTCATACAACAATGGAGGACAATTTACAAAAAACTACGGAACTCAGCAAAAAACAAATACCACAGCCATGCATATTAACTCTATCTTATCTATCGAGGCGACTTTCGTAAACATCACGGGTCAATCAAGGAAACAGGGAGGCTTGAATGACCCCTTATCGGTTCGCCTAAATCAAATACGCCAAAACCGATCAAATTCAAGGTAAATTTTTGAAAAAGTGAGGCGTTCTTAACTGATCCAACTAACATAGCTAGGAAGAAGGCGCCATAGAAAAGATAGCTACAGAAAAAAACTTTGCGGCCCGATCTTTACGAGAACTTTATAACTCCATGAACTTTCCTAATCTCCAAGTTTGGCCGCTATTTTGAGGGAATTGTCAACATGAAGCGTAACCGATATAAATCAAGCAGGTAGATCTAAAACCGTCAGAAATACATACGAAAGCAATTCAAATGAACTTTACTTTCAATTCAAGCGGCAAAATTTATTCCAACAATTCAAATATTACAACTTTCTGAATTCCCCTCGTCGATTCCACCGCAAGAAATAACCTCTGCCACCCAAGCTTCGACTCGAATGTGAAGTACGAATCAAATAACATAACTGCTTCATCTTCGCGGCAATATCACGCTGGTATTTTGATTTTCCGATCGACAAGATCGATCGGTTTGTTAACCTCATAAACGTGACCGCTGACCAGCTGCTGAGTGAAAACAGTACGGTTCCGTGGCGAGGGGCGGGGTGAGGGGGGTGGGTGCGGGCAGATTATCAGAAGATGATTGGGAACATTCGAACATATGCATTAAAGTATCATGATAAACATTAGGACTCTCAGTCTTAATGCGAAGGCATGCTTCGTGTCGCAGACAACTTTTATTTTACTTAGTATTCTTTTTTATTTCAAATACATTTCGTTCCAAATAGGACTAGCATCAGTTCATAGATTTAAAAACAAATCTTTACCACGTAAATAAATGTGCTTAGATAATCGAGATAACCATTGAACCTATCGCACCGGAAATAACGTGTCTTGTCCTTGCCCAACTCTGAGAGCGTGGAGCGGCAAAGACGCGACTTTTGTACGAGTCTCGCGTCTCGCGGCTTCTTCATGCTCACAGGATACGCGTGACCTCACTATCTTTAAGAAAAATATGAGACTGCTCGAAGTCTGTATTCCGATCAACCATTTCATAAGAGTGACGCGAGTCTTTCAATTGAGTGAGAAAGTCACAAACCCATTCTTTACCTCACCAGCGTAACCACTGACCACTCACGAATTACAATAGGCTTCTCCTTTGACGCGGAAATTGAAATCGTATCGAATATACAAAGTTACAGTAAGTTCCTTTAGATCTCCCGAACTTGTATCGCGTTGGAAACAATTACAAGTACAGGAAGAAGTTCATTATTTCTCAGGACTCCTTTGGTTCATCGTGTGGCTTAAGTGGTTTGGTACGACTGTCTGAATGCAATGACAAGTAAAACATCATTTGATAGGCTGCCACCTGTCTAAAGAGGTTTTTAAGTGAAAATTAGCTAATCTTGGCAAAGATTGGCCTATTTCACCTCGCTCAGTAGGATGAACAAAAAAATGTGGATTTGCTATAGGCATCGCCACACTCTGTGGAAGTTTTGGAGAAGTGCAAAGGTCACATGTCAGCGTATCCAAGGCAGAGATGTAATTACCTTGCATATGTCTCAGGACATTCAAAAGCTGTTTGGAGTTATTATTCCAGTTGAATCAGGTAGTCTTCAGTAATATTTTCTGTTATCTATTTTTGTCACGTGACATATCTGCTCGAAAAGAGAAGAAATTCTTTATTAGATGAAGGTTACTTAAGTACACATCACGTTGAAAAAAAATAGATCTATGTGTAAGTGCTTTTAATTACAGATGGAAATATGTACAATGTTGCTCGGTTGATAATCAATAATGTTTTTGTAGAAGATCAAATCACCTGACAACGCAATATACTTACTCATGCGTACGGTTCACAATTATTTGCGGTCAGTTTTCCTCAGTTTGTATTATTCTCATTAAACAGTATGATTAAATTTGCAGACTAAAACACCCCTTATTTGATTGAGAATAATAAAAGTAAACAGTGCATGTCGGTTTTTAATTCCTGATGGATGCTACTGGGCTTTACTTTAACTGAGAAATTTGCAATCGCTTACCTCAGCTCTCTGTGTCCCATGCCGTAAGAAGCACAAGAAAAAAGTTGATGATAGTGAGTCTTGGCTGAGATAAGAAGAATCAGAGAAGAATCAACGGTCCCTAGAAACGCCACTTTTAAACACGAGACAACTAAGGTAAATTGAATTAAGTGTTATTTGTTTTATTTAAAACTATCGTTCAGATTATGAGATACCCGAAAAACTCTCCCCACCGATTTTTTCTTCCATTCTGTTAATCAAAAGTTTCAATAATTATAAAGGCTTTCTTGTTGATCGTCTTAATAATAACAGTTTCCAGAATGCAAGGGGAGCAAAAGAGAGAACAATTTTCTGTGTAGCTAGGTAAGGCGACATGCCGGCTTTATACTTCTTCCGGCGTGATAACGATAATGATGACAACAATGGGCAAAAAGCACCGTCCCCTAATGATGACGATTATCATAGTTATTAACAAATCTCAGTTATAGTCCTGAAAAAAATTATCAGGGGGTCCTTTGAACAATCCACTTAATCTCGCCAGAAGTCAAAGTTGCCTACACTCATTCTAAGGTTCGTGCGATTTTACGACGAATTTTCAATTCCCTTGTGTTGCATGCGCGACTTTTGATAGAAAAAACCTGCACGCGCCATAACTTAAAAGAACGTGTCAGCGGAATGAATCAAATCTCTATCACTTTGCATACATTCTTGGGAAAAAATTACTCAGAGCAAACATTCTAAGTATAGTGTTCATTCCGTGCAATAGGGCATAAATAAAAGGTTCTGGTGGAAAAGACACCTTATTTTATACCACCGATGACAAGCAAAAAGGTTATATGAGTACCCGGTTAAAAATATATTGATAACTCTATTAATTAATACCAGTTCTAATTTAAAGGAGAAAGTTATGAGAATAAAATAAAAGTTGTCTGTACCACGAAGCATGCCTTCACTATTTAGACTGAGAGTCCGAATGCTTTTTAAGCGTGTATTCGAATATCTTATGACGATAAGCCCGCCACCCACCCCACCCCGCGCTATGCTGTTTTCACTTAGCGGCTGGTCAGCGGTCACGTTTATGAGGTTAACAAACCGATCGATTCCTGATCACCGTTCTTGTCGATCGGAAAATCAAAATACCAGCGTGATATTGCCGCGAAGATGAAGCAGTTATGTTACTTGATTCGTTCTTCACATTCGAGTCGAAGCTTGGGTGGCAGAGGTTATTTCTTGCGGTGGAATCGACGAGGGGAATTCGAACACAAGTTGTAGTGTTTGAATTGTTGAAAGAAATGGTCGCATGGGGATTGTAAGTTTAACGAACAATTTCAAATTTTTCCGCTTGAATTGAAAGTAAAGTTCATTTGAATTGCTTTCGTATGTATTTCTGACGGTTTTAGATCTACCTGCTTGATTTATATCGGTTACGCTTCATGTTGACAATTCCCTCAAAATAGCGGCCAAACTTGGAGATTGCCGAAAATTAGGTAAGTTCACGGAGTTATAAAGTTCTCGTAAAGATCGGGCCGCAAAGTTTTTTTCTGTAGTTATCTTTTCTATGGCACCTACTTTCTAGCTATGTTAGTTGGATCAGTTAAGAACGCCTCACTTTTTCAAAAATTTACCTTGAATTTGATCGGTTTTGGCGTGTTTGATTTAGGCGAACCGATAAGGTGTCATTCTAGTCCTCCTGTTTCCTCGATTGACACGTGATGTTTACGAAAGTCGCCTCGATAGATAAGATAGAGTTAATATGCATGGCTGTGGTATTTGTTTTTTGCTGAGTTCCGTAGTTTTTTGTAAATTGTCCTCCATTGTTGTATGAAATTAAAGTCTTGAAAAGTGTCACGACAAGCCTTCGCTCGAGTGAAATTTAATTTCCGTAAAACTCTGAAAAATAAAGAGATCCGATCAAACTGATTGTGGTTTTAGTATAGGTACATGAATGTTTTACAACACACGAGAAACGAGCGAAATCCGTGTCTCAAGCAGAATCGACCGGACCGCTCTTACAGAGACACTGTCTTAAAGCCGTTAAAATGGATGGCCCGAAAGAGCTAGATACTTACACCTCTCAAAGGGTGTCAAAATCGTCAATGTTGACCTCCATACCTATGACTATTTTCAACTTGCGAAAAACGGATTCTGAGCGCGTTCAATTTTCATCGTAGTTGCATGTTTGTAAACAAAGGCTTTGTGTGGTTGAGTAGGATCCTTTAATACCCATCGTTTCAACTTAACGATTGACGGTAAAGAATTTTGGCAAACATTTCCATCTTTCTTTAATGAAAGATTAGTTGGGTAAATACTTCCAATTTGTAGGATCAAAATTTTTACTTGGTTCTACGATAACCGATTAACTTGTATTTACGTGATAACAGCTGTTCGTCTGGTTAATTCCTTCAATTCGTCAAGTTCTGGACGTGTTGAAGTGCTGTACAAAGGTGTGTGGGGAACCATTTGTGGCGACTCTTGGGACTTACAGGACGCTGCTGTAGTTTGTCGCCAGCTTGGATTCGAAGGAGCTTTAACAGCATTACGTACGTCAGAATTTGGATCAAGAATAGGTCAGATATGGTTGGATGAAGTGCAATGTGGGGGAGACGAGTCATCGATATCAGAGTGTGTTCACAGAGGATGGGGAGATCACGACTGTTCGTATTATTATACCGCTGGCGTAGTATGCCGACCCAGAAGTAAGGCGATGAGACACTTACAAAGTAGACCCTTCAAAGTAAAAAATGCTCTTTATCTTGCTCTCGAATGCTCCTTGGAAGTGCTTTTTCTTGAACTGGATTCAATTGTATTGAACCAAAGCTAACCCTGCTAGACGGGAATTTTAAAGGATCCGCTTTCTGCTTTAATTACTTTCCTCGAAAACGATCCAATCAAATTTTGGAAAAAGCATTTGAAGAATTCCTAATTAATTTAAATGTTGTTTTGAATTTACTAACTTCATGAAGCTATGTAGATAGACAAATATTTATGTTGAACCATATAAATACTAAATACAGTTCGTCAAGTCAGCTACCTTGTCTCTTTTTCTAATCATAGTTCGTTTGGTGAGCCCCAGTAATTCACCGTCTTCTGGTCGTGTGGAAGTGTGGTACAATGGTACATGGGGAACCATTTGTGGCAATTCTTGGGACTTACAGGACGCTGGTGTGGTTTGTCGCCAACTTGGATACGATGGAGCTTTATTAGCACCTAGCAATGCAACATTTGGACAAGGAATTGGCCAGACATGGCTGGATAACGTTAAATGTATAGGAAATGAGACATTGATAACACAGTGCGGTCACGAAGGATGGGGAGTTCACGACTGTGGGCATGTTAAAGACGCTGCCGTAGTTTGCAGACCGGCAGGTAAAGAGACAATTCACGCACAAAATATCATCATTTGCCTTCTACCGTTCAATTTTTCAGGAGAATATTGCTTATGCATTTTTTGTGATCCATCTTCGGTTAAGTAATGGTCCTGACGTAAAAACAACCCCATATTGCGTGATTGACGCCACTAGCAGTGGCGTCAACCACTTAAATGAAAAAACCAGCACTCGTGACCTTGAGACTAAACTTTGTCAATGAGATGTTCTCCACTGTTATTCGCAAAAACAGTATCATAGACATGCTTTTAAAAATGTTTTGGTAATTTTCCTGAGTCCTTTGTCCTTTCGCTTAAATTGGGAGTCAATGGGTCTTTTTCCAATACGAAAGTCTTTCTGCTGGCTTTACTCCTGAACAGGGAGAGAACGTAACTATGTTCAAAAGTAGGTAAGAATCGTTATTTTACTATCTACAGAGCCACTTAGCTTTTATAGTAATCGTGCACGTTGAAATTAAATCGTTCTAAGCCCAGCATATGTCTACTTGCACTCAGCCAATCAATTGTCAACGCCACATGTACCTTCCCTCTCTGGGTCACTCTTTTTCTGTTTTCAACCACAGGCGGCCCAAATTAATTAATTAATGAAAGCGTCACGCGTTGTGTGACTCGGTGTTAAGTTACGAGAGGAACCGTTGAGAATTCGAACACGTTATGAGGAATAGTATGAGGAACTAAATACGGTCGATTTGCAACGCTAATATTTTTGAAATATGCACATTCTACACGTAAAATCAATAGAACTTACGCACATCTTGTGTGTCTGTTGTAATTTCGAGCGATTTATGCCGTTTTAAGCTTGCTTTGCCACCACTGTTATTCCTGTCATAAGCCGAAGTCAAGGCTGCACACTCCGATTTCTACCGTTGTCCACGCGGAGGTGGTTTGCGCCCCAAAAATCCTTCCGAGGGGACATTTTTTTTGGACGAAACACAAACCTTTTTATTTTTGTGCTGGCATGGGGTGTTTTTCTCAAATTCTTGGAGATTTCCATTTATGAAATGGCCATATTAAAATTCAAATAGAATCATAGGTTAAGGGTTTAGTTCCTGGTTTCCATTTAGCCTATATTCCTCGCAGGATCATTGATGATCACAGAACATTATAAGGTTGTAAGAGGCACTCTTTAATTTTACTCAAATAAGTGATTCGTGAGACAATTCCAATTTTATGTCAAGATTGAAAATCTTTGTTTAACAGCACGACATTACTTAATGAACGTCTATGCTTATGATAACAGCTATTCGTTTGGTGAGTCCCGACAATTCCCCGTCTTCTGGTCGTGTTGAAGTGTTGCACATGGGTACCTGGGGAACCATCTGTGATCATTGGTGGGACCTACGGGATGCTAATGTGGTTTGTCGTCAGCTTGGATACGATGGAGCATTATCAGCGCCTAGAAATGCAGCATTTGGAAGAGGAACTGGCCAGATATGGCTTGAAGGTGTGCAGTGTGTAGGAGATGAAATCGCGATATCGGACTGTTATCACAGAGGATGGAATGTGCACAACTGTGGGCATTATAGAGACGTTGGCGTTGTGTGCCGACCCAAAGGTAAGGCGATACACGCTCAAAGTGAATTTGTCAAAAGTAATGCTATATGCAGTAAACCAACACTAAGATCCGTTTAAGAGTAACCTTAGGTTACGCCACTTTTAAGTGTCCGGTTCCTATTTTGTTCGCATTTCATTTAGATAATATGGTCAGTTACAAAATAATTAGGTAATTTAGTATCATCAACTGAGTTTATAACGTAAATTGGCCAACGTAAAGAGTCTAAAAGCTAAGCTTTTAAATTCTTTACTGTGGCCAATATAGTTATCAACTCAGTTTATAATACTAACTTACCGTGTTATACTCTCCCACCGACGCAGCACCACAGTTTCTTTAGACATTTACCCGCTTTATACAAAATAATTTCTCTAAGAAAAGCATAACTAGTGGATTCCCTCCTGTTATACTGGGCGGAGTTTACAGTATATATAATGAACGCCTTGAATCGAGTATATAAAACCTTAAGCTAAAACGACTTATAACTGTGAACCATACAAACATTAAATACGATTCCTTCACTCTCTCTCTCCATCGGCAGTTCGTTTGGTGAACCCTAGAAATTCACTGTCTTCTGGTCGTGTTGAAGTGCTACATAATGGCACATGGGGAACCATTTGTGACAACTCATGGGACTTACAGGACGCTGATGTGGTTTGTCGACAGCTTGGATACGAAGGAGCTTTATTAGCACCTGGTGGTGCAGCATTTGGACAAGGAACTGGTCAGATATGGCTGGATAACGTTAAATGTATCAGAAACGAGACATTGATAACTCAGTGCAGTCACGGAGGATGGGGACTTCACAACTGTGGGCATCATCAAGACGTTGGTGTGGTGTGCCGCCATCTAAAAGGTCAATTTAATTTTGATCTTGCATGCGATTATTGTGAAACAACTTACTTTTTTGCTTAAATTTTGGTTTCTGATCGTTTGGAAGTTGCAAACCCATAATTTGAGGCGCGAAAATCAGGTACTTATAGCATGTCATGGGTTAACACCATCATCAAAGCCTGATTTTCTTAGACTTTTTTCTCAGCAATTTCTTCTACTGCAGTTTACCTTACGAGGATCATTTCGGTATTTGCTATCACCTAAAGTTCAAAATATAGTGTTTCCAATTTATTTTTCAAAACTTTTTCTTCTTAATGACGACGAACAAGAGTGTAAATTTAACGAAGTTTCACAGTTCTCACAATCCTGTAGATAGTACATTCATTTAGTTTGGATCTAAACTAATTACTCTTTCTCGTCTTGTTTACTAGTGTAGATCTGTTCATATGAGGAAGGAAAGGGTACCTTGGAATTATGATTAAACAAGTGATCTGATGCCTCAAATAGCTTTCTTGGGTTTCTTCTCCACATTTTTCTAGGTCCTGAAAATCAGTGATATAACATGGGCTAATGCTTGTTTAGTAGCGTGAGAGGATGCTTTTTCCCCCTCTATCTCTCTCTTACACTGGTTTCAACTATCTTTTCTAATGAAACTAAATATACTTTTGCAGCCAACTGGATGCAAACAAAAAAGTCACGACAGCGTTACGTTGGACAGACGCTCGAAAAAACTTGCGCGATCAGATCTCAGGATTCGTTACAGCGCCTTCTTGGAAGAAAAAAAATTGCCCTTTTCACCTTATCCATCGAATAGCTTTAAAAACTTTTGTTGTCCGCTGCAGTCCTCGACACAGTCCAGTCCTCAATGAATCGTCAAAAAAGTCCAGCTTATTCGTACAAAAAACTTCTATGTCGATGTCACTTTATTGTCATTTTAAAAAACAACCATGAGACTATAGACTTAGGCGTGAAAAATCTCTGTGTGTTCTGAATCTCTTTTACACGCTCTTTGTCGTCAAGCTGGGTGCTTTCACATTCCAGTTACATGACTCGATAGTCAGATATGGTTCCAGACATGATTGGAAGCATGATACATACGACAAACAATCTTAACTAATGATTCCAGAGTACGAGTCTGTCACGCAGGTACGAAACGTGACTTCTTTGTTCCGTTTTGCTGGTGAAAACGGACCACAAACTGTCCTTTTAGTATTAGCTAAGGTGTCGGTTCTTTAAAACAACTTAAAATTGCTTTCGTATGTTTACACGTTAACCACAGTTCGTTTGGTGAGTCCCACTAATTCACCATCTTCTGGACATGTTGAAGTGCAGTATAGTGGTACATGGGGAACAATTTGTGAAAACGATTGGGACTTACAGGATGCACATGTAGTTTGTCGCCAGCTTGGATACAATGGCGCTTTATCGGCACCACGACTCGTAGTATATGGAGGAGGAAAAGGTCCCGTGTGGCTGAACAGGATTCAATGTGAAGGAAATGAGACATCAGTTTCACAATGCAGTCATGCGGGATGGGGAGAGGACTATTCTTACTGTTATTATCATGCTGGTGTGGTGTGCCGTCGGCCAAAAGGTAAATTTTAATGATACTCACTTCATGTCGTAATGATTTCATTCCTTGTCAGAGATATTTGCTGAATAATTCCTTTGGGAAGAGTTCAAAATACATGATTAAATTGTTTTCGCGTCAAATTTATGAAGTTTTATATGATTAAAATGTACTACGATTTTGTGCTGTAACACGGAGGTAATATCTTGTTGCACTTTAGTTTTGGGCAACACGTTTTTGGAAAGGACTGGTGGCGATTTTCATCAGTTTGTTTTGTGTACAATTTCCAAGTGACAAGGCAAAATCAAGATGTAATTAATTAATGATGAAAAACTCAAATTGGCGAGGGAGCATTTTCTTCAAAGACAGTGATTCGATGCATTTGAGGAAGGGTATCAATTTTACGATTTTAGATAGTGTCGAGAACCATGCATTAGCTATGGTATGACTCTAATAATATAAAGTCTTACCAAAGCCTAAAATGTAATCAATGAAACTAATTGCAAGCTCATACTTGAATTGGTGACTGTCAAAAAATCTCCGCGTTGTATTTTTTTTGTTGTTCTTCTTCTTCTTCTTTGATATCCAAACCAAAGTATAAAACACGTCAACATTAGAATTTAAGGAAAATAACCTTTAGGGCTCTATGTAATTTTATAAATCTGGAAAGCTTCATCTCAAGTCTGCAAATTAACACTTCTCAAAACTTTATTTTGCTTTTTCCACGCCATAGATTTACTTTTCCCCAACCGATTACAATTCACATTCTTTTTTAATTTTTAAAGTTGCATCTTTGGTTAGTTGGCTGGTAGGTGGTTAGTTGAGTGAATGGGCGGCCAAACGACCCTAAATGAGTTTCCTCAAAAAACTCGTGTATACTTAATGAAGACCATTGTACGATGATAAATAATTGAACAATGGTCAAACTCTCACATACCCATTCTTTCTATGACGAAGCCGAAATACAAAATCGAAATGGTTTCTTACCCACACATCAGTACCTCAATTGCTCAAATTTCACGATGAAGTTACAGTTATATTACTCCCGAGCGTTTTCACTTTTCGTTCATTTTTTTATTATCATTTCGAAAATTAGTCTTAATTTTTTTTTTGTAGATTTCTAAGTCTTCTATTCCGTACCAAAAGGTTCGACTTTTGGTACGGAATATTACAAGAATCAATAAATCAATCGATCAATAAATTTTAGTCAACTGCGGAAAATTCATCGGCCATGTACTATATGTACATGACGATAACTATAACTTTGAGCGGATTGCAAGTTTGAACGAAGCGAAGGAATATCACGGATCTTAACGAGTCGTAAAACTGACTTTTTGATCCGTATGGATCGTGTAATGTGTCCACGAGCTGTGCGAACCGCATCTGTAGGGATCGTCTTTGGTATTCACGAGATATGCGAGCCGTATGGCTCGTCTAATATATTCACAGGTCGAGCTGTAGATCCGTGAATAGCCTTAATGATACTGGGGTTTTTGTCAGTCTGGTAATGATGATAAATCGATTTGTACGATCCGTAAGGATCGTCTAATGTATTAACGAGTCATACGACTCTTACCGGTCGGTTAATAGGCATCCCTCCAAAACTGGTGAATCTCGATGGACGTATGGCCAATGCAAAACCATACCATAGAGAGAGTACCAAGCAAAACTTTAGTTGGACGCTGCTTCATCTCTTTTTCAATGCACATATCTTTAAATTGGAAAGAAATGTAAAAGACCAGAAGTGTATCGTGGCTTGAAGTCGGCTTAGCGACACACATGCGCCGAATGACTAATTTGCTCCTACGACAACCTCTTTGTGCGCGTGTGAAACTCAATCTCGAGCAACCAAAGCGCGAAAAATGAATGAGATTACGGCATTTGATGGGTGGAAGCACCCTTCTCCCCCTCCCCCTCCCCTTCCCCCTCCCGAAAAAATATGGTATGAATCGGTTTGGGATAATGTGAATTTTATATCGAGATTCCAAATTGACATTTGTAAAGTATTTGGTTTAGCAGTTTTCCTGTAAATGAATTCTCACTAATTGACGGACCTTTTTGTCTCCAACCATCGTAAATCGAAATCAGGCAGCGGAGTTGGAATCTATTTACAAAACGACCTTGAATACAAACTTCTCGAAGAATGCAAATTTTCAGATCCAGATGTAATTGAGTCACTTTTCTTGGAAATTATTGTTCCCCACGGAAAAAATATTTTTGTTGGTTGCGTGTACAGACCACCAAATCAAAACACTGCTATATTTATTGACAACTGAATTTATTGAGCTTATTTTCACACGCCTCTCTTCCTCTCATCTCCAATCCAACACGCCTCACCTCATATTCTGCGATGCTTATTGACAACATATTTACCAACAACCTTGCCCATTGTGTTTTTCAGTGGCATTATTCTAAATAATTTATCTGACCACTTACCTGTTTTTGCATATTTTGACGACGCAACTCTAACGCGCAGCACAGAAAGAAAAATTGTGATGCGCACATTCAAGGACGATTATTTCCATAAATCCAACGAGAACCTTTCAAACGCAAAATGGTCCTCATTTCGCAACATGGAAGATCCCAATGAAGCCTATCATAATTTTATTGGAGAATACTCCAGAATCTAAAACACCTGTTTCCCTTTAAAGGTTCTCAAAGGAAAACAGGTAAACAAGTTCTTTTCTCCATGAATAAAGGGGTAAGTTTCTAAAGAAACTGTGGTGCTGCGTCGGTGGGAGAGTATAGCAGGTAATTTAGTGTTAACAACTGGGTTGAAAACGTAAATTAGCCACCGTAAAGGGTAAAAAAGCTGACGTTTCGAGCGTTAGCCCTTCGTCAGAGCGATTAGAGGAATTGTGGGTTGTGTGTGGATTTATATGTAGGAAGTGGAGCTACGCCATTGGTGGGAATGTGGTGACGAGAAAACAGGAATAAATTAGTTGAATGAAAAACGCTCGTTGATTCCGTGGGGATTAAGGGTGCCGATTTGGAATATAAATTTTTGTTCTAGTGTTTTACGGCTTTCCGAACTGCCTAGATGTAAGGAAAGGCCGCAAACTGCCATATGCTGTTTAGAATGATAAGGAAGATTAAAGTGTCTAGCGACTGGTTTGGATGCGTCCTTGTCATTTCTTTCCACATCGCGAAGGTGTTCTCGGAAACGGTCACCCAGTCGTCTTCCTGTTTTTCCTTACATCTAGGCAGTTCGGAAAGCCGTAAAACTCTAGAACAAAAATTTATATTCCAAATCGGCACCCTTAATCCCCACGGAATCAACGAGCGTTTTTCATTCAACTAATTTATTCCTGTTTTCTCGTCACCACATTCCCACCAATGGCGTAGCTCCACTTCCTACATATAAATCCACACACAACCCACAATTCCTCTTTTCTCCATGGCTTAGCCCTGGACTTCTGAAATCCGTTAACAAGAAGAACAGACTCTACAGAAAGTTCGTCACATTACCTTCCACATCTTCTGAGACGAAGTATAAAGCCTACAAAAACAAACTCACCCATCTTATTCGCATTGCCAAACGAGAATACTACGACTCCAAATTTGAGAATGCCAGAAATGACCTCAAAAAAATTAAATGCTCTGTGATCTCTGAGAGCGAAGTATAAAGCCTACAAAAACAAACTCACCCATCTTATTCGCATTGCCAAACGAGAATACTACGACTCCAAATTTGAGAATGCCAGAAATGACCTCAAAAAAATTAAAGGAGGTTATTAACAAGCGTAAAAATAAGTCATCTCTTCCCACATCATTCAAATCTGAAGGCAAAACATTAACGGATCCAATGGAGATCGCTAACAGATTCGATATCTAGCACACGTAAAAAATATCGTATTTCTTCACGCGTGTTGTTAGGGCTTTTCTTAGGGCTAGAAATCCCTGTATAACACCGTAGCTCATATGATAAATTGTTATATACACTAAATCAGACTCCTTTGCCATAATCGTTCTTTTTCATAACGCAACGACTAATTCGGTATTATTAAGCTCTAAAGCACTTAATTTTTCTTTATATCGTAGAAAAATACGTGTGCAAAACTGAATGGTTTATAAACCAATCGAAGGCAAAATTATTTTCTTTTTCCTATAGACGAACCTCTGGTTCTAAACTTAGAATGTCCGACATCAATCATTGAGGGATATGACGCGACTCTTCACTGCGATGCAACTGGAAATCCTCCCCCAAATATTAACTGGATACGGAAAGACACAGGAGACGTTCTGGGTACCAATGAACAGCTAACTCTGACAGATGTTAGGCGCAGCGAAGCAGGCACTTATCAGTGCTCAGCGTGGAATGGAATTGGGAATAACTCCACCAGGACATGCAGCGTGGATGTGTATTGTAAGCCATCACTCTCATTAATTGCGAAAATAGTTAACTTTCCACCAAAAAGTAGGTCCTAGGGATGCTATTTTAGGAATTTATTTTATAGTAAAGAAGAAATGATATACAGATTAAGCCAAGATGAATGCAACGTTTTATTCACACCTCCAATCGATAAAGTTGAAATCTCTAAAGCCAGGCGTGTACCTGAATGAGTGACAAAAACTCTCCATGTAATAAATTTTCTCTTTTTCTCCAATTAATTTTAACCAAGATTTAAAGAAATTAACCCAATCGCTTAAAACAGGTTTTAACTGACCTCGAAATCTTCACAGCTTTCAAGTCTGCAAGTTAAGAATTAAAAGAAATCTGAAATTAATACATGAATTTAGAAGCGTTTGGACAGGCCCCATGCGTGTATGGGTGGATGGCCGTAGCAACTATACAAATCGTGAATTTTTTCCTTAAATTTGTTTCAACATATGGTGAAATACATATGAACACTTCAGAAAAATATCTCGTAGTTTGTAAAGTTCCCAGAAATTTTTCAATTTTCTTCAGGTTATAACAAATTTGATTGTTACGGTCCTGTCATTTAAGTGTCTTGCTTAATCTCAACACTGAACATGGGCTGTGTCTTCAAGGAAGTGGTCCTGATCATCTGTTGGCATACGTATGTTCTGAGCAATTCCTCTTTATCACTAGCATACTCTTTTTCTCAAGATATTTTTATGACAAAAGTCCCTTTCTCCCTCTTTATGGGAATTTTACAGGAATTTTATTGACTCCTCATATAATAGGGTAAGAAAAAAGTGAAAGTTTTCTGTTGTAGTGCAGCTGAACCACAGAACGTCGTTAATAGCAAAGATTCGGTTTTGAAGAAAAATACCAACGAATGGCGTGTATACTTTTTTAACAATGCCTCGTTTTTGACAATGATCACCAAACCACTTTCAATACTAAGTATAAGGCACATCACATTTCCTAAATGTCAAATATCCTCAAACGTGTTTTAAATGTGATATTTAGTGATTGGACCGTATTTCTACCTCAGTATAGCACAGAAAAGGAATTTTATCCTATTTTACAGATATTCAAAAGTTTTTAGTTAATTTCATCTTTTTTTTGTTTTTTTTGTTTTTTTTTCAGTCGAAGCTCAAGTTCAAGCCTTACATTGTCCAAGCTCAGTAACTGAGGGCAGTAGCGTAAATCTTCAGTGTAATGCTACTGGTAATCCCTCCCCAAACATCACATGGATATGGCAAGATACAGGAATTGTTCTTGGCAGCAATGGTCATTTTGTTCTGGTTGATGTACATCGCAGCCATACGGGGATTTATCAGTGCCATGCATGGAATGGAATTGGCAATAGCTCGATCAATACATGTTACTTGGATGTATTTTGTAAGTCAATTACCTGTAAAGTTTGCTCAGCATGTTTCAGCTGAGTAACATGCGAAAAGTAAAATAATATAATAATGACAATAAAGTTTTATTTTTTTTTTTAAGAAGTTGTTTCTTTTGTGGGAGTGATATAACATACAATCGTTCCCCCAATCAGGCCCTGAGGCTGACTGCGAGAATAACGAACTATGTTTATTTTGCAGACTTGCCGACTGGTACACGAATGACATCTGACGGGAATGATGCTGTCGTTTTAGCTGGAGGTAGTTTGTTCCTAAACTGCACTTCAGATGCTAACCCCGCAGTTGATGTGTTTCAGTTGAAATTCGATAGTACCCGCGTCGCCACCAGCAGCTCTGGGATGTTTAGTGTTACTGTGAGGAAAGCTGGAATATACATATGTATCCCTGTAAATAAAGTGGGCTCAGGAGACAATGCAACAGTCAAAGTAACTGTTCTCGGTAAATAGATATTGTCTAAACTGACTTTTATCACTGGATTCTATGGTCTAAAATTGTCATCTAAATCAGTTTGAAACAGTAGAACTGACTAACTGCAGAACGGATAACTGAGGAGGACCTTTCAAGTGTTAGCATAACATTTGACTGAGAAGTGCTATATCTATGAATGACACTATAAACTTTGAATTAATCAGAATAAAATCGATTTACTTGAGTTAAGCAGAAAAGCACGTCTAGAGTGCTACTGAATATCCTGGTGGAAATCCTGCAAAACTTTAAGTAGATGTCCTTTCTGGGATCATATGTCTATTCAAAAAAATAGCAAGCATGTGCTTTCGTTCGGTGGAAAATCTAAAAATTTACTTCGTAGATAAAATTGCCGAAAAATTATCTTCAAAGGAAATAAAGGATAGTTGGATCAACTATTGAGAGCTTTTTCTTTTTTTGGAACACTCGGCCAGTTTACGAAGCATTAATCTTAGTGTTCACCACGCTTTAGTAGTGAGTGTGGAAATTGAGGGATCCGTAGATTGTGCAGTTCCGCAGCCCCAGCTTGAGAGTTTTTTTAAACTAAATTGGTATTACCTCTCACGGAAAGATTGCTCCCGAAGTCCCGATCATTGAGACTAAAAGAAATGGAGTACGAAGGAATGAATATCCCCGCCTTTCCACGGCTCTTTAGGGAATAGGTGATGAAATTATGTGTGATGAAATGATTTTTCCAACGGTTCTGTTATCCTGTAGTTAGTGAACGATTAAAGTAATTTTCCGAAGGACGGCTACCGCAGTGTCGCGGTTCTTTGGATCTGTAGTCAATAAATAATTTATATTAAGGTTTACAGGATTTTGGTTCCAGAGTAGTTTTACCTAGAAGTTCATTGATCATATGTATGTATGGTTGTATGTATATGTATATATATATATATATATATATATATAAATATATATATATATATATTTTTTTTTTTTTAATTCCCTTTATATCTTTTTGTAGATTCTCCTGGTTTTCCAGAATTTGTAAACAACACCGTTGACACGATAACTATAAGGTGGTCACCAATTAATCTTCATTATGCTACATATACCGTAAATATAAGACCTGAAGAAGAAACAGCGTGGATGAACGCAACGTGTAAACAGACTATTTGGCAGAATCATTGCATAGTGATGGGCACAGTTGCTGAGGTTGTTGGCCTCGAAGAGGACTCTGGGTATCATTTTAGAGTTTATGCTAACTACAGAGGCGTCAGAGGTGACGCCAGTTTACCGTCAGGAGCCTTCAGAACAGCAGGTGATGTTGGATTATGTGGTTCTCTGAATCGTTGCCGTGAATGAAAGTTGTTCTTCGGTATACTGTACTCAGTTTGGATGAGAGAAAAAATATTTGCTTTCATTAGAGATATATTTTTTGGAATAGGTAGTTAAAATGGAGCATTCAGATATTGGAGTGCTCTGTTTTTACTTCTATTTCAATCTATAATTTGTAATAAGTATTTGCTAATGAAATGAATAGGTAATTAGCAATACTAACAGGCCCAACAAATGAGCCCGACAAGGCGTAAAGATATAAAGAAATAACCATGAAGTGAGTGGTTTTTTTCTTTATCATCATCAGTCAAATTATATCTTTATTGTGTGCAATAAGAACAACACAATAAAGATAAATTACGACTTCATAGTTATCTCAGCCTTTTTGTTTACTTAAGGTATACGTTTTACCTTATTTAGGCATTTCAGGCGTGCTTGCTTTACCATTGGCACTAAAAATAGCAAGTGCTGATAATGGTTCAACCTAATGCAAATAACTTTTTCCCCGTGCGCGATTGATTTTCGAAAATATGGTGACCATTGACTGTTCTACACGAGCTTTGAGTTTTCTCTTTCAGGTTTACTCTTTTGTTTTTCTGCACTGGTTAATCTAATTTGGATGTAGGTGGATTTTCAATGAATTTCAGTGATAGGCGTACTGTTTTGGAGCACTTTAGGGCTGAAATGTCCCCCAATGTTTGGTATGTTCATATAAGTAATATTTTTTTTTTCTATCATTTAATGAATACGATTAGCGATATATAAGTGAAAGCTACGTCATATAGAGCCCTTATGTTAACAGAGCACCATGTACGCCATTCATAGTTTATTGTAGAGAACTGATGTGCTTCAAGCATTGCCTCGTTTGCATCAACTACGATTTTACATATAGATTAATTGAATCGAACTTCATGTCTTATTCACATCGTTGGATTTTCCATTTAAAATGTTTTTTTTTTCGTTCTTCTTTTTAATTGTTGTTTGCCAGACTAACGTTAAGCCCTCCTTACTGACAGAGGATAATGAGCTCCCACGATAGGTAAAACAAGATGGTACGTCTTAGGCGCGATTGTCGCATAAAGAAAGATGTAAATCGTTCCAGTTATCAAATATCTATTTTAGAAGTTTGAAATAGCTTTTTTCCCCGAGCAGTTAATTGTCTTGCCGAATTGAATAGCCACTGCAAGTATATCTCGTGCTCTGTTTTTCTTATCTGAGGATTCCTGGTCATGGGAATAAATATCCTCCTCCAAACGTCACATGCATGGATATGGAGAGATACATGAGATGTCCTTAGCAGCAAAGAGCAGCTTATTTTGTTCGATGTTCAAGGCAACCAATTGAGGACTTATCAGTGCCATACATTGAACGGAATCAGCAATGGTTCCATAAGTAAGTATCGCGGGGATGTATTGTGTAAGTTTATTAACTGTGGAGTTCTCAATGCATACGTCTGCTGAAAAACATGCGAAAAGTAGATATAATTATAAAAATGGAGTTTATAGGAAGTTCTTCTTTTGCAGGGGTGATATTACAGACGAATGAAATTGTTACTACATCATTCCCTCAATCGAATCAGGTTTTCCATTACCAGCCGCAAAAATAACCAACGAAAGATATTAGTAATTCGTTTCATGGAAAAATTGCTTTCAAAGTCCTGCAGTCCTGTTGACAATTAAAGAAATTAAGAGTGAAAGAATGACTGCTCCCGCCTAATTCCACGGTTCTTTAGATCTGTAGTCAATACGGAATTTAATTTCAGGTTCAGAGGACTTTGGTATTAGAATCATTTTATACATACGTTTATTGATTAGTTCTTGCTTTTTTTTGTTTAATTCCGTTCATATTTACATGTAGATGCACCTGGTTCTCCGATATTTGTAAACAGCACTGTTGATACAATTTTTGTCAGGTGGTCACCAATTTATCTTCAATCTGCTACATATACCGTAAATATAAAACCTAGAGAAGAGACAGCGTGGATGAACGCAACGTGTGAACAGGCTATTTGCTAGAATCATTGCATGGTGACAGGCACAGTAGCGGAGGTTGTTGGCCTCGAAGAGGACTCTGGGTATCATTTTAGAGTTTATGCTAGCTACAGAGGAGTTAGAAGTGACGCCAGTTCACCCGGTCAGGAGCCTTCAGAACAGCAGGTGATGTTAAATTATGTGGTTTTATGAAGTGTTGCCATATCATGGAAATTTTTCCTTCATGTATTGTATTCAGAGATATACAATCGATTAATGTATAGATTAAGCCAAGCCTAAAAGCGGGGCACTTGCTAGTTTATTTTAAAACTCTTCAGCACTGGCTGTTTCTTCAAGGGGACTTAGGGACCAGTTCGAGGGTGGTAGGGGAGAAATGACGGGGTCTAGAACCGAGTGACGATGTTCTCATAACTTGCAAAGCGATTAACACGCATGCTAGTCAGCCGTTCATTCAAGAGGACCTTCGTCATTGTTCCTAATGTTTTGATCAAATTTTCGAGGACAGGGAATGTTTCTTCTTCAGATGTAGTATATGAGGCCAGCATCAGCTAAAATTGCATCCTATTGAGCGTGACTGATAATTTCTGTTTGCGAAAATGAGCCAAAATCGAAAGAAACAACCGTAAACTACTTCCAGTTAAGGCATCACCGGTCAATTGAAGGGTATACACGTGAGAACAGACATTCAGTAAACCAATACTCCAGAATCGTATGGGCTTCTCTTATATCTTCTCTTGAAATTGCCTGGTATGACTGCTTACTCCACTGTTTTCCCTAACATTTCAACCTTCTCTGATAAGCGTAGGAAATTAAAAAGAAAAGTCATTTCAACACGAGTTTTTTTTTTTTTTTTTTTTTTTACTTTTCCTCTTTTGGCTATTTTTGTTTTCCTCTAGCTGGAAGTACACGGTGTATTGAGATTTTTCCTGTTATTTAATTCGGTAACCTCTGCTGTAACTACACATAATGTAGGTGTCTTAAAGCCAACTGTCCATGATCTTAGCAACTCTATCTACTAAACTACGAAAATTTTCCAACATGTTTCTTGCGTTGCAAACAGTGCAAGAAACATAGTTACAAGCTGGAACTAGAATATCATAATTAAGACTTGATGACGAAGAGAGACTTTGGAATCAACCATGGAGGCATTTGTAAACAACTTGAGATAATACCTGGATTTCATTTGGACATCACAGAAATCAATTCCAAACATCAACCAGATTTTCTCTTCAGTCTGTTTAAAAGTTGAGCTGATGTTGTTATTGATGTTGTTATTGATGTTGTTATATTAGAGAGGTTGAAAAGTTTCAAATGGTTCTCTCATGTTTAAAAATAATTGAATTTACTGGAAGTTGGAGTTGTTGCACGATGTTAACATGAAACACAACAATAAATTTTATTGATATGTATAAAGTTTTCATCTCTACTGGCAAGTCTTTGTATTATTTTTCAACCCAACCATTTTCCAAAACTTGTAAACAACATTACGAAATAATTAGTCAGGGAAATTAAAAATTTGTGGCACATACACCATGTTTGAAATGCCATGTCCAGAATAAGCTAACAGGAATGAGGAGGGTTTATGTGGGAATAAGCTTACTTGTTTGTGTCATTAATCTGCTAATTGTTCCTGTTGCCAATGTTTTGATGAAGCTGGGCGGTCAGGGCAAAGGAACTGAGGATTTTAGCGGACAAAGTAACTTTTTAAACCCGGAAACTATCATGGTGAAAAGCTATACAAGTGCCTGGTAACTCACTCTAATTCTGATAAACTAGTTTTAAGAAGGATACAATGATACAATATCTTACTTCATAAATTTGATGCATAGGCTGTGCACAAAACTTTAGTTTGACTATACGTCCATAGCCAATACTAATACCTAAACATAATAAAATGTTAGTGGGGTCAGAGGAAAAATCAACGTGCCGTACATCTGCAAGATTTCGTGTAATTATTTTAATGACTATTAGCTGATACGAGGAGATCTACAAATATTCAAAAGAGTAGAAAATTTTGTTGAAATATTAGAATTCAACACTGGCCGGATAAACAAAGTCCTCAAAAAAGAAATGTGTATTAATGAAAAAACTAAGCAAACTTTTCACAACACCTGCCTGTATTGTACTGCAAGTAGTAAAGTTATTTGAAGTAATCATAATCCCGGTTTTAAACACATACACATACAGATTTCCTAAAAACCTGTAGTTCAAGCTTGCCATGACTTCAACATTTGATGCACACCTCAGAAGGTGAGCAAATAGATTTCAAGTTTCTATCTATTCAGTTTAGGTTAGTCAGGTAAAATTAAGTCAGACTTCCATGCGACAACAGGATCAAGAAATTTCCACTGCTAATTTATAAGGTTAGCCTACCTAGAACAATAACCTTCATGTACATATTAGATCAGTTTTGTACTGATAATGGGAAAAATCACTGTTTCACAAAAAATAATGATTGAGAATTGGTAGTAAACCATAGCCCTGGGTCTGCCATTATTTTAAACAATGATCGAGAATTGGTAGCAAACCATAGCCCTGGGTCTGCCATTAATAAATTTACGAGAGTGCTTAAACAATAGCAATTTGCTCATACACAAAAGAAATATCTGTGGTAAGAGGGCAGGCTTTCCTTTCTTCATTTGAAAAGATACAGAGGTTATCATCTCTCACAAGCTCAGTGGACAGTGAGAGTAAATGAGACTGATGGTGACTATGTTATTTGAGTAAATATCCAGAGGAGGATAAAAAGTAGAATATGGTCTGCAAAACTCTATTATTTTAATTTTTTAACCTTTTTAAAGCAGGGACAATTATATTCTTGCCTTGTGCATTACGTGGACGCCAATTAGTTTAACTTTCATGCGTCAAAATACAAAAAATGTTCTCTTTATCTATGTGCCCTAAACACTAAAGGGAAGGAGTCAGGTCAAAGTTAAAACATGAATTAAAATAGGAGAGCCCCATCAATTACAACTCCTAATTAAAGAAGGATCCTTGCTTTTTCAGATTCCCGCCATTCAAAATTCACATATCTTGTGTAATCAATGTTTAGTTTGGCCATGATCATCGGCAAGAAACACAGTATTTAAAAGTATTTAATTTAAACTAAATAATGTTACATGTTACAATGTGGTAACTAACACAGCAAAATTATATAATCACACAATTTCAAACAAAGGAAGTCCGGTTATTTACTCACCTGCTTCAACTTTTGAGGTACAGAGAAATAGATTTGGTAAACAGTAACAATTAATACAAAGTTGAAAGTTTGAAAGCTAGAAGATATACATTACAATCATCAAACCCTATACATCCTAGCTAAAATAGGGTCAATTACCACCATAACATCTCCCAAACATTCATGTTTACAGGATACATGCATTAATTTTGTCATTAGGTGGTACTGACTACTTACAATAGTTCTACCAAGCACAAATCCATTTGTTTTTTCTTCAGTTATCTCATAGTATATGACTATACAGATCACGTGGTTACTGCATAGGGACTTATACTTCAATTACCTCAGCAAACCGTAATCATTAGAATTGCAAACCAAGGTGTATTTGCTCAATTTTTCACCTGATTGTCACAGTCATAGTCACTCCTTTTTGAGGCTATCTTCAGCTGACCATCCTTTTGCACGTGAAAACATCAAATGTTGCTCTACATTCAAATAATTAACTGATTCAAAAGTTATAACTTTTTTAATGTCCTGCTTCCTTTAATTGTGCCCCGGAAATAGTAAATGGTATTGAAGAGAAAGGAAGAAAGTTCTTGAAACATTCTACTTTAAATAAAACTTTGATATGAAATTCAATGTTAATTACTACGGCAATTCACCATAGGAAGCATGATATTATTAAATTTAATTTCACCCAGTTTGAATGTAGAATCCAAAATCTTATTAACTAGCAGGTGAAGAGGAAAAACCTCAATGTGTTTTTCCTGCTACAATCATTCTAAAAATCACAAATCAATCACACTATCTCTCCAGTGTGATTTTTTAACGATGTGCACTTTTTCTTATGGCCATCTATTTATAGTATCTATCTTTTACCAGCTGAAATCTGAGAAGAATCGAATCCACACTGGTAATTTGACACACTGAAAAGTCAGTTGATGTAAAAGAAGTGATTCCTGCTAAGAAACGAAAAACGCAATAGTGGAATGAGACATTCATCCCACTAGTTGAAAAGTTATCTTCCTTCTGGTTAACTTATAGACGGGTAGTGGGAATTTATTTGTCCTAGCTAGTAACGAAAATTCAACCAGCTGCTTAAGAAACTATTTTATCTCAGTGCAAATCTACTAACGTTTTATCACAAATGCTGCAAACCGATTGGCCACGCTGATCCCTATCTATCAAAAAGTTATTCCACGATCGTGCGTAAGATTTGAGAAGATAGATAGCTAAAATCATCTCATATCCAAATTATTTTTTTTCTTCCTCTTGTTTCAGAGTTTGAGGTGAATGTGGTAATAGTTCTTTAGGATGATCATCTCATCACAGAAAACTTTCCGATTAAATGATAAGATATAAAAAGAATGCCGTACGATTTTTAGAAAGGAAAGACTCTTGCAAAAGTGTCTCCTTTAGAAATGATTGAAGGAATGCTTCCACAGTCTAGAGTTTCTTGTATAGGATTTGAATGAAACATTAAATGTATGTCTTTAATATGAAAAGAAATAAATCTGACTTTCTGTTACTTTCGTCCAGGTGTTTAATTAAAGTGCGAATAATATATAGCTGCATTAAAAATTTTATGTATGAATGAACAAGAATTTTGTTGGAGGGTGTGTAGTCGTGCCTTTTATTTTATGTTCCCCCAGCAAAAAGCCTGATTTCCATGTACGAATGAAATTATACCATACTCAAATGCATGACATAGATACGCGAAGGTCTTAGAATAAAAACCTATAGTACCGTAGTTTTCTCCATATGGTCTGTATCTCATTTTCTCCTTTTCACTTCCTTCATCAAGTCTGAATGGCGGGCGGACTCTGAAACTCTCTGTGAGGAGACCTTCATTTGATTGTTTATTGGCAATGACCCCAAAAAGGAACAAATTGTTTTTCTCATTCGCAGTGACAAATTGCACCATACATTATTTTGAGCTCATTACGCAATATTAAAAGTTTTCACTAACATTCCATGGGGACGTTCACTTTTTCCCGTCATGATTAGATTCACCATGCAAATATCTATAATCTCCTTGCATAGGGACAGTTTCTTTTTCGCATAGGGGGATTACCATCTTTCAATTGCCTTTAGTTGCCTCTATCAGAGTTTACGAGATTCAATAAGTCTCTTTGGAGTTCTTATTGTACGACGATGAATTTTTAACTTGTATCAAAAGTGAATTTTTAAACTAAAATTCGAAACGTAAATCGAAGTCCAATACGAACTCGAACTCGAAAACAAACTCGATTACACCTCACTCCCCCTAAGCAGAGACGATAGCGATTGACATACCACGTTAACTATTTCAAACTCAGTCAATCCTTTGGTCAACACACGTGTGAAATTGATTCGACTGAAAAGAGGGAAAGTTTGTTTTTGAGTGCTTTGAACACAGCCGGTGGGTGTTTCGGGAAACTGTTTCAAGCATCCTTAAATCTGCTACTTCCAATTTTGTACACCAATACTGCGCATAATTACAAAGGGAATTTATTTGCATATCTTAAAGACGTTCTCTTGAAAGCCCTGACTAACAGTGGAACTTCCATTTAACGAAGTACCAAGAGACTGGGGAAATTGATTCGTGATATCAAGGGTTCGCTATATCGAAAACCTCAATTAAACAAATTTGCGGAAAAACAACCAAAATGTTCATTATATAGAGGGATGGTTAATTTTTTTTGTAGTGTCAGTTCGTGCTACCCAGCATTTTGAGATCGGAACGATTACTGTTATTAACATTTGTGCTTTAACGTCTATATGAAGCTACAGTACGTTGCACAGGTCTGTCCATAGCTACAGCACAAATTTTCGATAGTTTCAGTTTCGGCATTATAATGAGCTGTTAACTGTGAAGTTGTTCTATTGTTACAGATCTGAGGGATTTTGATCCTTGTTGGTCTGTTTCGCATTTGTCTTTTGTCACGTGTTGACATAGGCTCGTTTTATCAGGGTATATTAAACATTTGGGCCTCTGCATTGTGTTCGTTGTAACGGGGATTTCGTTATATCGAGGTTCGTTATATTGAGCTTCTTTCCCATACATTTTACTGTAACTTTGGCCGGGCTAAAGAGTATCGTTCGTTATACCGCGGACTTCGTTGTATCGAGGTTCGTTAAAACGAGGTTCCACTACAATTGCGACCAGTTATAGAGGAACTATTGTGAACGGCGAAGCTGGTTACTCGTCAGGATCTTTAAAGTATTTGGAATGAAGCTTGGAGCGTTTATGCTTCTTCTTGGAAGTAAGCACTTTTGAATATGATAAGTTAATTTTTCAAACGTACATTTAAACGAACTAATTAGTGGTTTGAGAGTATGGTATGATGACTGATGAGGGCGAAGCCAAAATCTGTTATCGCGCGATAAATGTTAAGAGCGTAAAATCGAATTGTTTAAAATCTACCAAACGTTCAACCTCATTAGTAAGACAGACTCATTGAAGTTGAAATTGAATAATGATCTAAACTGCAATTCCAACGCACGGATAATTGACACTCGCACCTCAAGGCGTTTACCCCTGTGTACTCCTTTGCGTTTTTTTCAAGGATCATTGAAATCTTCATTCGCTCGAACCTGAAACGAAAAGTCTTTTGTTAATAGGTACTTTACAAGTGGCTGATGACTCGATTTATTAATTTGTCTTTCTCATAGATAGCTTCCGCTAATTTTTGTTCTCAAATTCCTTATTTCTTGAAGCGAGGAAAATCTCGTAAATGATTATGCAAGGCAGAGAAAACAATTTTTGTACGACGTCAGCCATGCGTCTGAACTCTTAGAGATCTTTGGTGACTGATCACGAACAGTTTTGGCATAAGTAAAGTTTGTTTCAAAAAAAGTGCGAAGTTCAGATTTTTATTCACGATTTGGAAAACTTGGGAAAGTGAACGAATTGTTTAGTTCAGTAAACTACTTTTTGTTCCCATTTTTTTTTCGACGCGTTCTGATGGGGATGAAACAAAGTACAGATGCATGGAGTAACTTTGTCACGCCATCAACCAATCTGCGCAATGGCTGAATATTTCCCGGACTTCTATGTCTTGCATGACCTAGAACGCAAATATGAAAACGAGCTCCTGGCTTCAACTTATCCAGAACAACTTGTAAATAATAGGACAAATTACATGGAGATAGAGAGAGAAGTTTCGGAACTAATGTATTAATGAAAACACCGAATCAGCTAGTAGCAACAAGAGAAATAAACAACTGTTTGCAGCCATGTCAATCTCCAAAATTGACGAAATTACAATGTGAGCAGAGACGTAAAACACCAAAGAGAAGGTTTTTGAAGGTTCTCACGCTTTAAGACTCTCTCAAGCATAAGTACGGTAAAAGAATTCAAACACTGCTAACACTCATATGATAAATAGTAATAGTTTTCTTCAAAAACAAATCAAACAGGAATGATGAAATACCTGCTGACTCACGGAGCTATTTCATTTTGCGAACCATTTCAGCTTGTGAGCTATTTCAGTTTGTGTGCTATTTCAGTTTGTGATCTTGATGGTTTTACAGTTTGACTGCTTTAATCTTATTTAATCAAATTATATGAACCAATCTAACAAAGGTTCAGATCGGTCTATTTTGGCGTGCTTTATGAGAGTACCTCGTTTCGTTTGGAAATAAAGTTTGTTTTGAAAATTTTCACGAATGCGTGGCGAAATTAACGTTTTCTCCATCATGAAACTAATAAAAAACAATTGGGAAGCGGCCAGAGCACTCAACAAGAAGTTGGGAAAACCCTCGACTACGTCTCGTGTTTCCCTTTCACTCTCCAGCCGCTTCCTGCGTGCTTTACAACAGAGCAAAGCACAATCAAGGCTTCTTTATTTGTGGCCCGTAAAGAGGCATTACTGACTATACCGAGGCTATGTCCACATAACAGGAGTGTGTGCAGCGAATGAGTGACTTTTCTAAGTTTTGCAACGAGTGAATAAAATTCTGTGCAAAGCACTTTCAATGCTGTAATATGTTTATTATGTATAAATACATACACAACGAGAATTAAACATATCAGTGTTATCTTTCCCGAAATCATAGGCTTGCATACAGAACCGCAAAAAATTCAAGAGAGAATCGTAAAAGTGCGCAACATGTTAACGTAATATTCATTATTAAATATTATCCGTATCAGATATAGAAAAACTAAATTTTAACTCATAGAAATATATCATCTTCTTTATGAACGTCAACCGTTAATATAGGTGACCCAAACGTACGTGCATGTGATTTGGGGGTTTAAAGGTCATAAACAGGAACATGTAATACCAGGAGAATATTAACCTCAAGATGTGTATTAACTAGAGTAGTACAAGCTAAAATTTCCTCGGTATGAAATCTATCCCCTTTTCAGATTTATTAAATTTCTCTTTAGTTCATTGAAGTTGAAATTCCCTCAATATTACACGGTTGTGGGATAAATTTAGATTGAATTTTAAGCATTCGCGTGTGCCATGATGATAAAAACGTGACAGCTTTTATTGAATTCCTTTGTACCGTATGTTGGGCATTATACATATCAAGTATAATATCTCTTTAGGCCTTTCCCCCACCCCTCCCCCCACTACCGCTGCCTCTATCTCCAAATCAAACATGGCTGGTTGAATAAACGATCGCGAGTTTCTTAAAGTTAACTATCCCTATTAAGACGCCTGCACTGCAGGCTACACATAGCACGTCTTGCAAAAGTTAATCCAAAAATAAGTTTTCGTGGTTTTTCTTTCAGGTATTGTGGTGCTTCTTCCGAAAGCAGCAAGTGTTACTGGTAAGTGTTGTAGTGCATCAATTTACGTGATTCTCGTCTTTGGTTTAAGTAAAAATGTTTCGGTGAATTTTAGCTACGAAATGACAATTGAATAAGGTAAGATATGTAGGAGATATACGAATTCATTGCCATATTTTATAAACTTTGGGTCAATGAATGTTCAGGCAGTCGACATAAAAGTATTACAAGCAATCGAATTGAATCAGTGTTTTGCTTGCTGTTTTACTATAGACACCGACGAGACAAAATTCCAAGGCTTTCTCCCTTGAAAAACATGATAATTGTTCAATTTTTGTGTGGGTGTATTTGTGTGAGATCGACTTCTCTCGATTGCCGAACTCAGTAAAAACTCGATCCACGGATCGAGATGGGTAGAGGTCGCCTGGTATACCGTGTACAAAGATTCAATACGCGATGAACTCAGTGTTTCTATCTGTTCCCACGTCTTAAAAACACATTTTTAATCTACGGCCGGACTGGTTATAGGCACTAACATCCGCAGCAGCAACTAGTGGTCGTTTAGAACTGAACCACACTTGAAAGTAAATGTCATGTATTATACACGTAACAATCACCAAAAGAGTATGGGGAGAGTGAACTATAGAAGACACATGGTCGACTTATTTGTGTACATTTGTCTTTTTTCATCGGTTATTTACCTAACGAGTACACAACAATAACCGTGGCTTTAAATTCTTTCGACAATACCATACGCATCAGTAATGACTGGATCAGAGGTTCTACTGAGCTTTAAAAAAAACTCCATCAGTTTTTGTGTAAAGGAAAATCACTTTCTTTTCAACGGACAGCTTAGTTGATGCAAAGCTTAGGCTGGCTTTTCTCCGTCAATCACCGGTGCGCATTTCACTCGGACGATGCCCTCATTTTTCAGTTCAGGTCATGAGCGGTGCGACCATGTGCTTTGTTCGTTTTCTCTTAGGCGTGGTTTTTCCATTCACGAAGGTTGCGGGGATTCCACGTTTCTGGCAACGGCTCGGTTACGTGGGATATGGTTTTCGGTCTTCTTTTTTTAAGTTGATGGGCCGGAAAGCTATCTACATCTCGAATTGAAGTATTTGCCATGTTTAGTAAGACGAGATATTTTTCTCATTCTGAGTTCATGGTTTTGCTTAGTCTAAGCATCGTTATCCTTACAACAAATTCTACTTTGCCTTTGGCTCCGCTTCTTGGCTGAGATGGTCATGAGCTGGATGCATCTTGATGAGCGTCTCGATGATTACCATAGTAATCTGAGCTTCTACATGACTCTTGGATACGTCATATTAGTGAGCTGGATTAGTACCCAGATGTATGACTTGTAGTACAAGCGATGAGATTAGCAATGAATCCTTGAGATTTTCCTTAGTTAGGCCAAAACAGGAGTTCTCATTTTTTTAATTAAGAAATTTTCTAAAAGGGCATCAATACGACCAAGTAGTTTCTTCTTTTTTCCCTGCGTCCATCATGACACCTTTAGGGATTTTCGGGATATATTTCCCTGGCACTTCACGACAAGGTAGCAACCTTTAGACACCTACAACATATGGTTGAAAGGTGGAAAAATTTATCAACAGAATGGGCATTTTTTACCGCGTATAAAACCATTCCTGAAAATGTCCAACACTTCCACGGAAACTCCATGCAACGCCAGCGCCGCTCTTTTCGTTAATTCATAGGCGTAAGCATTAGCATGCTGAAATGCATGCGTGTTATTGAGCAAGAGCTATTGCAACGGAATGATCGGTTTTGTTAAATGTCAATTTTCCGAAATACATATGTAGAAAGCCTAAATATTTTGACTTTATGCACTTCAACATAAATTTCCCGTCGATCAAAGTAAGAATTCTTCAAAAACGCACCTATCCGGCGAACTTAAGTAACTTAAGATAAGAATTCAAGGCGTTCCGCATGGTGTTTCCAATTCACACCTATCGTAAATTCCTTCTTGCGACCCAAATACGGCAAATAAGTATATCATTAGTCTCCCGACAGCGAGACTGGCCATTCCGCCGCTTTCGTCGCCATTTATATTATTTGAAAGAAGATGGCAAGGGTAAAACGAACTTAGAACAGATCAGAGCGCACAATTCTGCTTGTTAGTATAACTGCCGAAATCTGCACAAAGGTAAGAAACATCATACAGCGAGAATAGTTATCACAAAGAACACCACTGACAACATAACACTACACTTTCCACAACTGAATAACGCTACATCCCTACGAGACTATGACCTGATAAGGTCCAGCCCATCTCCTTGTAACGACATATTTCGTCCGACGAGCAACCGCCATCTTTTCACAATCATGATGGAGTTTCTTGATCAAAAGTAGTTTGCTGAAGGAAAGGGTAAATTAGTATTATCAACTCAGTTGATAATGCTAAATTACTCTGTCATACTCTTCCACCTACGCAGCACCATAGTTTTTTAGAAATATACCCCCTTTATTTATTTGCTGAAGAAAAGACGTGCAAACATCAAAAGCAAAATTTAGCTTAAACCCGGCGTTTCGGTGACATAATGTGTTTATTCTCGTAGTGTCTCTCATAAACCTAAATAAAGGAATGACATCCACTAGTCGTGGATTCCTTGCCATCAAGTCCATAGACGCGCTCGCGCAAGTGCCCGTGTGTAGTCACATTGGCTGGAATCCTACAAGCTTCGTAAGACAGTTTCACTTGCTTGATTAGTGAGTAAGGAGAAGTTGGACTCCATCATCAAAGAGACGTTTTTTTTACGCAGGCTTGTATTGAATATGTATTCGTGCCATGGTCTATATTTGCTGTATGCAGTAAATTTTCAACTCAAGTTGGTCTTCTCGCTATTTTCTTGGTAATGGTATTATCGTCATGACAACGAAACAGTTTTTGGACAATGTTGCTGTTATTGTTTTGTTTTGTTTTTCTTTTTTGTATGAATGGACTCGAGCCCAATGATTTTGATATTTGCCCTCTGCTTTCGTTTTGGAGGTGCTCCGACCCAATTTCTAAGGAAAACGACAAACAAACGAACTTGGTGTTTCTATGAAAAACTCGCTGCGCAATTTGAGTTTAAGTTCAAATGTTACCTTATGTGATGGAATTTTGGGTTGTTGTGTTTCTACTTTGTTCACACCCTTTGTCAGTATGATGTGCTTGTGTGAAACTCGGATTTCTCTTGATAAACATTGTAAGAGGCTCTCCTTATTTTACTCTGTATTTAATTGTTTACGATATTTCTTCGAATAGCTTGCTAAGATTACAAATCAACCATTACCTCCTTTAAAATAACTGGTTTATTTCTGTTCACACCAAACCAGTTGTTCGTCTAATAAATTCCAACAATTCGCCTTCTTCTGGTCGCGTTGAAGTGCTGTACAATGGCACATGGGGAACCGTCTCTGGCAGCTATTGGGACCTAAAGGACGCTGATGTAGTTTGTCGCCAGCTTGGTCACGATGGAGCCTTGTCAGCGCCTCGCTATACAGTATTTGGACGACGAACTGGTCCGATATGGCTGGATCACGTGCAATGTGAAGGAGATGAGACATCCATATCACAGTGCATTCACAGAATATGGGGAGTTCACTCATACTGGCCTTTTTCAGCTGCTGGTGTGGCGTGCCGACCCAAAGGTAGAGTAACGATACGAGCACTTTTTATTGCCATATTTACTAAGAATGTAAAGAGCCAAACAGAACACGAGAAAGACGTTGCAAAATTTGACAGTAATAAAATTAACCTTTCCTTCACGGACGATGGGAAGCCCACAAATCTGGGCATACTGAGGACGCTGGAGTAGTTTGTCGACTAGCGGGTAAGGAGGTAATACTCCTACATCATACATAATTTAGAAGACACAAACGTCCTCTCAATTTTTTATTTTTCATAACCTATAATGCTAGCAGGGCGAATTCGAGTAAACTAAAATGTTACCGCCCCTTTTCTCAAAGGGCATTTCTAGTGTTGATATGTTCATATTTTCTTTTATTCTGTCGAACGATCTGGTCGAATGCAATTTACCATATATACCTAGCTCAGAGCCGTTGCCTGACTTCAGAACAAGGCGAGGCAAGTTTCGAGCGCCGAAGGCGTGAGCCGCCAGGGGGGTCTGAGGGCATGCCCCCCCCCCCCCCCCAGAAAATTTTGAAATCTAGAGGTTCAGATGGCAGTTTTGGCAGTTTTCTTTAATCTTGGGCCAAAATCAAGACGAGGCAATTGCCTCGTCTTGCCTCACGCTAGCTACGGTCCTGTAGCTAAATTTTATCCTTATACTCGCAGTTCGTTTGGTGAGCCCCACCAATTTACCGTCATCTGGTCGTGTTGAAGTGTTTTATAATGGGAAATGGGGAACCATTTGTGATAACTTATGGGGCTCACAGGACGCTGATGTAGTGTGTCGCCAGCTTGGATACGATGGAGCTTTATCAGCACCTAGAGCCGCAGCGTTTGGACAAGGAACTGGTCCGATATGGCTGGATAAGGTTAGATGTTTTGGAAATGAGAAATCCATATTGCGATGCAGTCACCAAGGATGGGGAATTGAGAACTGTGGGCATAGTAAAGACGCTGGTGTGGTTTGCCAACCCATAGGTAGAGTAACGATACGAGTACGTTGTATTACCATCTCTAGCAAGCATAGAAATAGATTAATCAGAATTAGAGAAAGCCGTTGCATATTCGACAGTAATTCAATTAAACTTTTTCACCGCGCGATCTTATTCCCACACAACAATTCTTTAAAGCGTTTGACTGCAACCTTTAATGAAAGCCCTAAATTGTATTCAGGATGATTGACTTTAGAATCAACAACAACAACAACTGAAGCTCATATAGCTTGGAATGTGTTCATCACTGGGTATAGTAATGAGCAATAGTAAAGTGAAGCTATGTAGTGTATCTAAAGGCTGAAGGCTTTTTAATATCTCTATTACTGGACTCCACCAAATGAGACGATAAAACTCATGAGTTGGCTTTTTTCGACGGCTTTGTTTCTTTTCGACAGAAATACTCGGAGGATAAATATCGACGGGGTTATTGCGTGATAGCAGTCCGGTGATTTTGCACCACTGACCTAAAATAGCCAATAAAATTGCGCGAAAATTAATTTGCTCAGACAAAGACTTAACGCTGAACGTGTCAATCGTTTAAAATGCCAAAATGCCAAAACTCGCTATGGCGGCTTACTTCTTGGTGATAATCCTTGATGTATAGCCCTTTGCAAGGCATTGCGTGAAACAATCTTCGATGTAGCTCTCATTAGGGAAGGTGATGAGGTACTGAAATCGATTCTCTATAGACAAAGAGTCTCGCTAAGACTGGTCCTCTCAATTTCGCGGGATAAAAGCTGTTTTAATTAAGAAAATGCTTTGCGACAAATTATCAAGAAGACGTTTCGTCCTTATTCCCTCAATTAAGAACATTATCCTCTGCTATTAGTCGGTGTATGACATACTGTCGTTCCTTGGTATAAATGACGATGATGAATCGTTCTGATGCCAAGTAGAAGTCTACTACTTCGGCTAAGAAGATTGTTTAAAAGGCCGTTAAGGCGTTTATCTAGAAGAGACGGGTCCTTTTTTGTCGAGTAATCTGCTGTAGTTTTGTAGTTTATGAAAGAATGAAGTAGCGGTTGCACTTGTTCAATAAAGACAGGGATAAAAAATTCAATTGCAGTAGTCCATACCCTGAAAGTTTTAAAATTCGCTCGGTTTGACTCTTTCGCATTTACGATGATGTGCAAGCGAATAGAGCATTTGCAAGGATGATTTAGAGCCAGGATTGATTGAGACAACTCTGCTTAAGACAGGTTGTTGAAAGTTGTTTCTCGAATTAGCGTAATATGGCAGCCTCGAGTGAAGAAAGTGTTATCCTCTTGTAGATACAAGATAGTGACTTCAACCTTTGCACTCCGAGTCGGTTTTCTTGTATTGCTCGACAACACTAAGATGAAGAGGACGCAAAAAATCAGAGAAAGGTAAATCTGATTCGAAGTATAAATATCAACTGTCGTCTTGATAGAGGTACAAAGAGATTTTCCGAGTGCCATGCTTCCCGCCGAAGGGTAAATAATTTCTGTAAGCGTTTTGAAAACAAAAGTCTTCAATATCTTAAAAAGAAGAAACTAGTTCATGCGCCCGTCACCTCACCAGGTTGTCCCATCCAAAATAATTATGATCATTCAAATGCATGAAGCCAAGTTTCTTTTCGCCTCGAGGACCTTCTCATAGCAGCTCAGGAGGCCAGTAGTTAGCCCTGACACAATATCTGGGCTACATCTCCAGTTTGGAAAAGATGCCGCAATTGAACAGCAGATAATATTATTATTTGCAGTCAGTCAGCCAAAATCCGCTCTCTCCTAAAGAAATTGCTCAAAACTCGACAAAAAAGGAGCTCAGCACGAACAAAGGATGACTCATAAGGGGTCTCCCTGCGCCGTGTGAACTAATTTAAGAGGCTTATTTCGATGATTTTCTGGTGCTAGGTGTGACGAAATTCATTCGGAAACAGCGACTTTTAGAGGTCTTGATGGTTTGCAACAGTGACATTACTAATAATATGCGTGTTTGCAGTATCACAAAACCAGACAGGCTACCACAGCCTTACCACTTAGGATACGTTCCTACTTAAGATAAGTTTTCGGTTTTCTTGTATCGCTCGACAACATTAAGATTAAGATTAAAAGGACGCAAAAATTCAGGGAAAGATAAAGCGGAGAAATCTACGTCGGAGTATAAATATAGACTGTCGTCTTGATAGGCGGACAAACAGCTTTGCCGAATGCCATACTTCCCGCCGAAGGGTAAATAATTTCTGTGGGCGTTTCGAGAACAAGACTCTTCAATATCTTTTTTTAACAAAACACTAGTGGAACGGCGGTGGAATGTAAACGATACCATGGTAGACTTACTAAGCTAGTTGCTACAAAGAAGGGCGAAAGCTATGCCACTAACATTTCATGGATCAGGGCAAGAGTGTCCTTTGCACTGCTGAGATCAGCATTACTTTGCTTAGAAGGCTCGCAAGCTTCTCGAAGAGTTCGTTTAGAATTGCCGGACATTGATAGGGATATTGAAAGAGAACATGCAAATATTCGTTATGGAAATTATAGAAAGTGCAAGCTTTCATTGTTTGATAAAGCATCTATAGCCAATGATTGATACATTTCTTGTTACTAGTTTGTTACTTGTTAATTTTAATAAAAAAACTTATTTATCGGTTTGTAGAATTTTAGAAATGAAATTGGTATTTTTAGTTATTAACAAGACAGTTTTCTCTTGAACATGGTCAATTTTCAAGAACTACACTTAGAAGTTGATTTTCCTGATGTAATCATTTTTAGTTCTAATTGGCAAATAAAGATTATTGAAGGCTATTAAAATTGAAAAAAAGACATGTATTATTATCATTATTCAGTGAAAGCCTGCGCTTTATTGAGACGTTTGCCCATACCGAATTGGCGAAGCTGCCAGGCTTCTCGTAATTTCTAAGGTGGTACATTGGAACCTGTTAGTTCTTACTAGTTTTCTGTTAACTTTTATGCCTACTTTACAGCTGTTCGTTTAGTGAATTCTTATTCATCACATGCTGGTCGTGTTGAACTGCAGTATAATGGTACATGGGGAACAATTTGTGGCGACTATTGGGACTTGCCGGACGCTGATGTGGTTTGTCGCCAGCTTGGATACGATGGAGCTTTACGAGCAGTTAGTAACGCAGCATTTGGAGAAGGAACAGGCCAGATATGGTTGGATGACGTGCAATGTTTTGGCAATGAGACATCAATATCACACTGCACTCACTTAGGATGGGGAGTTCACAATTGTCTTCACTATGAGGACGCTGGCGTAGTTTGCCGACCTGCAGGTAATGCGGCGATATACACACACAATGGACAACCCAAAGCCAACAAATTCTCTTTCTCCCTTATATTTTTTAGCCTTTTGTGCAAAGTGGTGCGTATAACGCTATTTTTAGTAAATCAATGTCAAGTAAAATACAAGTAAAACCATCCATAACATACATGTGAAATATCCGCTTACAAGCTATTCAGAATAATCTTTCTTTCAAAATTATTTCAAGAAGGTTCCTGTTATTTTGATAAACATCAAAATCGGTTGCTGACTTAAATAAACTTTTATGAACTGGCTAAGCATCATTTCCAGCACAGAAACAGATCTTTTGACGAGCCCTCACAATGTTAAACAAGCTTGCTCATATTCTCACATCGTCAACAGTTCGTTTGGTCAGCCCCACCAATTCGTTGTCGTCTGGTCGTGTTGAAGTGTTTTACAATGGTACATGGGGAACCATTTGTGACCACTCGTGGGACTTACAAGACGCTGATGTAGTTTGTCGCCAGCTTGGATACAATGGAGCTTCATCAGCACCCCTAGCCGCAGCATTTGGACAAGCAACTGGTCAGATATGGCTGGATAATGTTAGGTGTTTTGGAAATGAGAAATCCATATCACAGTGCAGTCACCAAGGATGGGGAGTTGAGAACTGTGGGCATAGTCGAGATGCTGGCGTAGTGTGCCGCCAACTAAAAGGTCAGTTAGATTATGATCGTGCAAACTATTATTTTCAATCATTTTAGTTCTCTAAATCCAATTCAATTCGATTCTTGAAAGCTTTACAACAAAGAACTTAAGGCATTCCATGGAAGCACGGGTTCAAACCCCCGCCAAAGTTTAATTATTTCATACTTAACTATTTTTCCGCAACTTTTTCAACTCCAGTTCACCCGTGACGATCATTTTGTTACCTGTGATCATCCGATGGTTGAAGTAATATATAGATTTAGCCAAGCCTAAAAGCGGAGCTCGCATTTTTTTTTCCCGCACGTCTCAAGGGCACAACGCATTTCCCTGGCCAGGACTAGAACCCGGGTCGTCCGACTCGGAGCCCAGTGCACTGACCACTGGACCACTGGACAAAGCCGTGGCGTGTGCCCGCGGTACAGTTGACCACGCATGTTAAAAGTAGCACCTTGTACGGTCGTACGGTCGAACGGTCGTACAACCAAATTTTTTCGGCTTGATGGGTTACTACTATTTTGTATAATTATGGGGCTACGCTCTGCGAGCTCCGCTATAACCTATCTATCAAGTATATTATTTTTGAAAACGAACTCTTTTGGTCTCTATTCGGGCCAAAATTTAGGATGCCAATTCTAAACTTTTAACCATTTGCACCAAATTAACGCCCAAAAACTCGACTAACTTGTCGGTCCTCAAATAACTAATGATATATCGCCTGAAAGCCTCAAAACTGTAGATACCATTCCAGAAAATTTTCTACTTTCCGATTCAGAAAATTCAGTTCTCAGTAAGGGCTTAAATTTTGTTTCCATTTCCAAAAAGACCAATGAACTTTCAGTTAAGCAAGACGTTGAAAACTTCCTTCGCCGCGTTCGATTCAGTTAAGCAAGACGTTGAAAACTTCCTTCGCCGCGTTCGATTGAGAGCCTTTTTTCACAACAAACAGGTTGATTGTAACAACTCGAACAAAGATACTTTCGAAACACTTCAGATTGGAAATTCTAAAAAAGACTCTCCAAGAGGGCCAATTTGAATCTTTAGATTTTTTCATAAAAAAATGTCGTCACGATATTAACAAACTTAAATTCAATCGTAACACCAAATTTTCCTACTTTTCTTCGGAAAAGTGGTCGACACTAAAAGGTCTAGAAAAAACGTAAAGACCTAGTTATTAAAGCGACCGACAACGGCGGCGCATTCGTTGTTTGGCGGGCCGACCTCTACTTAGAAAAGCTTTCGGGTAACTTTCTGACACTTCTTTAGATGCAAAAGTTGACAAAGATCTCACTTTCATCAACCAAAACATTGTCAAAAATACGGCTAACGATCTTATAGCTAAACAAGAATTGCCGGCCACCGCAAAAAATCTTACCATCACCACTCCTTGAGCTCCGTGTATTTACTTTTTACTGAAAACCCACAGACCTAACAACCCAGGTCGACCCATCTGCCTGTAGTCGTCCTTCCGAACTCATTTCCAGCGATTTAATGGTACCTATTTATTATGGTACCTATCGTCAAAACTTTACCATATTACATTAAGGAAAGTCAACATGTACTTGAAATTTTTCGCGACCTTAATTTCCTTGGCCAAAACAAACTTACTTTCACTAAGGATATTACATCTCTTTAAACTGTCATTCCCGATGACGAAGTCTCCGGGCCCTCAAACATTTTTTCGATCAACGCACTGTTAAGGAACCTAGCTCTACTCTACTCTACCTAGCCGAACTAGTACGTACACTCAATTGCTTTTCATTCGGTGGAATCTACCACAAACAAGCCAATGGCGTAGCCATAGGTACCAAAATGGGACTCAGCTACGCCAATCTTTTGGTAGGTTTTATCGAACACCAATTCTTCAGTCAATACAACAGCCCTAAAACCTGAGTTCTACGGTCGCTACACTGACGGCTGCATCGGCGCAACCTCCTCTACCAGAGCGAAGCTCACTCAATTTACAACCGCCGCCAATACCTTTAACCTGGCTCTGAAGTATACCTAGGAAATTTCCGACACCGAAAGTAGTGTTTACTACAAACCTACAGATTCACAAAGTTACTTGTTATATTCATCTTCGCATCCATCACGCGCAAAGAAGTCCATACCTTTTTCACAGTTCAATCAGACCTCGTCGTGTATATAATGACGACTCTGATTTTTCCAAAGAATCAGAGGCAATGCGCCAGTTTTTCGATAAAACGTGGCTATCCTGTTTCTGTCGTTCAAGCTGGCCACCGCCGCGCCCAACAAATTGATCTACAGTCAGCACTACAAACGGCTGGGAAGGAAAATACTGATCGCATTCCATTCACTCTCACATTTCACCCTCACAACCGGGTGGTTAAATCTATCATTCTTAAAAAACTTTAAATTACTTTAAAACGATTCAGAGACAGGTACTATCTTTTGAAAACCTCCACTAAATTCATTCAAACGCGACAAAAACATAGGCAACTTTTTGGTCAGAAGTTCATTTCAAACCAATGACCAATGTGGAACTTTCCATGCGCCTGGTCACGATGCAAAACGTATCCTTTCATTCACAACGTAGAGAAAATTTCGGGACCCAAAAGATCCATTAAGATCACTGATCACTTCACATGCACCTCCGCCAAATGTTATCTACTGCATAACTTAGTTGCAGTTATTGAAAAAGTTATTCAGAAAGACGACTAGGTGACCGATTCCGAGAACACCTTCGCGTAGAGAGAAATGGCAAGGATGCATCTAAAACATTCGCCAGACACTTTTATCTCCCTAACCATTCTATGCAGCATATGGTAGTTTGCGGCCTTTCCCTACATCTAGGCAATTCGGAAAGCCGAAAAATTCTAGAATCAAAATTTATCTTTCAAATTGGCGCTCTTAATCCCCACGGTATCAGCACCTAGTGATGCAGCATTTGAACAAGAAACTGCTGGGATATGGCTGGATGACGTTAACTGTGAAGGAAATGAGACATCGATAACGCAGTGCAGTCATGGAGGATGGGGAGTTCATAACTGTAGTCATGGTAAAAATGCAAACGTTGTGTGTCGCCAACTAAGAGATTATGTTCTTCCAAACTGTCTGGCTCGCTGTCTAAACTGTATCCTGGTGTCCTATAGCCTTTTGATCCTAAAGTCCTTGGAAAAAACCCCGACCAACTTAGAACCAATTAGAAGGCTAGATTAACCTCAGGAATGCCTTTCCATATAATAATTGCAATTGTTATATACCTAGACTTCACTTAACAAAACAAGCACTGTGATTGGTTGATTCTTGGTCACGTGCCCCTGATCAAATTCAAATGTATCCCGACCGGGATACGATTGCGCAGTTGTTGCCCGTGCGCCGAATACAGCAGCATGTTTTTCCCATATGATTGTTTAGGGGAAAGTCTAAATATATAACAAAGCGCTTAATGTATGGTCCCTCGAGAAACAAGTTAGTTTTGTTTTCCCTCGAGTCCTGATGTTTCCCTCGACTTCGTCCCGGGAAACATGTTTAGTAAATTTCATTGACTCCTGAACGTTTGAATGTTTTCAGCAAAAATTTTCAACTTCCAACACGTCACGATGCATTTTCGTATAAGAATCGGAATATGAGCTGATAACTGGAGTTGTGTGAACTAATCCCGGCAGAACACTACAAATGCAATACTTAGAGTTAAAAATTTGGTAATAACACTATGGTTTGAATCTTTTGGTCCGAAGTTTTGCTATATTCCTTCCAAAGAGGAATATTTTAATTCAATTTTGGTCACCTGAACGGCCCGGCGTATGATGGACTTCCATCATAAATTTCGTTGTAAGTAAGATAACTCGGCATAATTTAGCAAAGGTACATGAATTGCATGTAATTCAAGGCATAATGCATATGATAAATGCTGTAAATTCCAGTCCACGAATCATTTTGAAATATTGCAAGAAAAATGTTAGATATTTGTCACAAGAGTAATCACGAAATGTGAAAACTACGATCCGTTCCTTGAAAGCGACGTAAAAAATATTTTTTCTTTATCTACATGTTAACCACAGTCCGTTTGGTGAGTCCCGACAATTCACCGTCGTTTGGACGTGTTGAAGTCCAGTTTAATAGAACATGGGGAACAATTTGTGGGAACAACTGGGACTTAAAGGATGCTGATGTGGTTTGTCGCCAACTTGGATACGATGGGGCTTTGTCAGCCCTTAGAGATGCAGCATTTGGACAAGGAACAGGCCCGATATGGCTGAATAGGGTGCAGTGTGGAGGATCTGAGAAATCAGTCTCACAATGCACGCACGCAGGATGGGGAGGTCATAGCTGTGGGCATTACAATGATGCTGGCGTGGTGTGCCACCAGATAAAAGGTAAATTCAATGATGTACGCGGTCTTATCTCAGTAATCTTAATTCATTCTACTCCATGGTAGGGATACTGAAAATATTCAAGAAAAACTTTCGTTGAGAAGAGTTAAAGACAGCATTTTTCTAAAAATTCTACGCCTTACAATTTCTTGTAGCACTATGTAACGCGCTGGGACTTTCATCTTTCATTAATCTTCGTCCTTTTCACTTCTTCTTTTTTCTTCTTTTGTTTAGTTTTCTCAATTCTGCTCTTTCAATCGTTATGATATCTATTATTGGAAGAGCTTGCGTACATGACCGACGCAGTGTTTATTTAGGAATATTTATGATGCTAGTGTTAACTGGGAAGAAACTGAATACATCTTCATAATACGCAAAGGAATGGACTTCTCGTCTAAATGTATTGATATAGATGGCCTTTTTTAATTTTTATGATTCGGCTTAGGCCAATCAGCACGTTATAGGTCTCTTTTTTTATCAGTTAAGTAAATTTAATAAAAGAAATACAATCAAATACAATCAGGGCGGATATAATTTTATTATTTAATAATTGCTTGCACAGTTTGCTTAATGGCAAGAGAAGATAACCATTTTCATTTCCTAAAAGGCCTTTGATATCGAGGTTCACCACGCCATGTAATATCCACCTTCACTGAGAGAGCAGTTCTTCATTCACCTTTTTTGCTTCTAGGTGCACCATCAGCCACCCAGGCAAGCGCCATTATTAAACTGGAGTTAGGAGAAGATAGGTTTATTGGTTGCCCTGTGGACGTTGGAAACCCCCCAGCTGATATCACGTGGTACAAAGGAAATGATACCAACGGCAGAAAAATGACTAACTGCTCAACTCTCGAGGTTAGGAATGTTGCTTCAAGTGACGAAGGATGGTACACCTGTTTTGCAAAAAATGAATTGGGAAATGCAACCGTCGGGTTTTTGCTATTTGTTGGTAAGTTAAATAGGTTTAAGTATGATTACTGACAAATCTAAGCTACTTTTTGAATCTGGGGCCGACGTAAGTCAGCAATATTGTCAGCAAAGTCGTTAGCAAAGTACAAGGCCTCAGTGAATTATACTAGTATTCATTTTCTCTAATGGCATGTTACAGCTCTCTTTCCTTCAACATACTATCAGCAGAAGGAAAGAGAACAAAGGAATTTTTTAACCCTGTAAGAGGTACTAATGCGTATTGATCTAAAGAAATTTTGAAAAAGCATTTATGCTATAACGCTTGTTATTCTACAAGGGAAGATAATTTTTCATACGTATACATGCATACATCCATAATTGCATTAAACATTCGTCACGTCACATTGTTTCAAACTTGACATTACATAATCCACGACCATCGATTCCTTGGAAACCAGTTGACTTAATTTTCCCTTTCATTCTTGTGCTCCTCTGGTTAACGCTTGGAAATAAGTGTTGTTCTTGGATTTCTCAGACAATTTTGCATCGCCATCGTTCTTACACTTTTATGTGGCTTTTAATGGTTATACTAGTCCTAGAAAATTATCGCGTAACGCAGGACCACCTTAAAACTGCTTCTGCGATTGGAGCATCCTGCTGAAATATTGTATTTATCATCAAGGGGTTCGTAATAATAATAATAATAGATTAAAAAATAATAAAATGTCTCGTTTTAAAGTCCAATGGCATTTTTCTCCAGTTAAACCAGCATCAAGTACAGTTACTACATCATCCCAAACAACTCCCACAGGTGATTGCTTTTCTTTTTTATACATTAAAAATTAGAGATCGTATTTCGATGTTACGAACTGAAGCGAATAAAACATTATGAGGTTAATAAACTTGCTCTGACTGTAGACTGTAGACCTCTGACAAGTCATTTCAAGGGTTAGGTACCGTAGTCGAGGCAATCGTATGCAAAGTTTCATGCCAACATCGGTTTTTATGTCAAAATTTCAAACCTCTCTTACTCTGTTTTACCTTTCCACATTGTCGACCTTGTTTAATCTTTAGTTTTAAAGGAAATAGTTGAGAAAAAAACGTTACGTTGTTTGTTTGCCTTTTTCCTTTACGGGACTCCAATAAAACCGTAATAACTGAAGTAAGAAGTATTCGCTTTATTCGCACCAGAAACCCATTCAATGTAGTGTTTTTCTAGACTTCAAAATGAGGTTCGATCCAGGTATAGTCTTTAGCCATGTTTTAACTTTCCTGTAGCATGCTGCAAGAGAAGACAGATTCGGTGATTTTTTAAAGTCGATCCAGACTCAATAAATAGAGAATAATAGGTTGGGCGCGCGTAGATATGGTATTTCTCTTCAAGTGTTTAACTCGATAGCTCACAAGTAAGCACAGCGATACGGATTTTTTAGCGTTTTAGCGTTTTAGCCGCCATAATCCGAGAAAGTTCCGACAAACGACCTTGGATTGAGAATCGTGAAGGCCGTTCATTCGAAAAGCGAGTAACATGTCAACAGCTGATTGGCGATATCAAACATACTTGAAGAATATCGTATTTTTTTACGTGAGTTGTTGGGATTTTTCTCAGGGCTGGAAATCCTTGTATAACACCATAGTTTATATGATAAAACAAGTTTTGACGTCTGCAGATGGATTGGGAATTGCGACCAAAGGTACATGTTACAAGGAAACTTTTTCAGACAAAATTAAAAAAAAACAAAAATTATGGAAATCTTTATCAGTGATTGCCTTGTCTCCTTTTCTTGGTATAGCCATTTCTTTGATGGATATATATGCTCATTATTTTTCGCAGTGTTGATTCATACAAAATTTTGGTTCCCAAACAGGGAGGGTAACACCCTGTTTTGCCTTAGTATTTAGACAGTCATAGTGCGCATTCTTTCGTTCACGTGCCTAAGCCATGTCATTAGATCAGTATTTTAGCCAGGATCAGGATAAAACATTGCTCGATTGTTGCTTCATTAAGCCTCATGAAACCAATCAACTTAGGTCCTGAAGAATGCAAGTGCTCAAGTAACGACGTCATGTTAAGAGCGTTTATTGGTATTCCTGCCTTCATAACCCTTGTTCTGATTATTTACATAATCTGGCTACACAGGAGAGGTGAGTAACAATTTCATTACTTACGTTAGAGTGGTGAGGCAGGATCCGTCATGAAGCAAGACAAACTTTTTTACCCCTACCCAAAGAATTCTGATTTTTACCTTTTTCCCTTCCTTAGGCGCTGTAGAGAAACAAAGGTAAGAATTTTCTCACACGTGGAATGGTTTGAGATTATTCTTCAGATATGGTATCATCTTAAAATAAAATGAAAAAAACTGACGAAGTTCATTTCCTAAATATTTTTATGTTAGCGCCAAAATGGCTGCCGTGAACTTTGAGCTCTCGAGAATTTTACTTCGTTCTCTTTTTAAATAGTTTTCATTACCCGAGCATTTATTCAAGAATGCTTGGATTGACCTCAAGTCTATCTTGCCATATCATAATACTGTTTACCATGATTTTGGGCGAGATCATGGCCCTTCGATTGCTTATATACGCCGAAGTCTTGAATTTAACTTCAAATGTTTCGTCGAAGATTATGAATAATTTATTCTTATTAAAACTTACTTTTCGAGCGAGCTTATGACTAAGTTAATCAATTATCAGTGACTTTCCCTCCTAGAAGTTCTTAGGTTTTTATTTTGTAAATTCACATCAATGCTTGTTATCCTTACCTTAGCTTCATAATTTGTCATGCACATATGAACATACTTGTATGGTATGCGCGCAAAGTAAGTTCTTTATTCACTATTATTAGTATTACTATTAATATTCATTATTCTTGTGATCTTATTTTTCTTAATTGTAGGACTTATGAAGAAAAAAGAAGTGTTTACGACGTAAGTTACAGCTAAGGCATTAAGGTTGCATCGGTGCAAGGAGAAAGTTCGTGATATTACTTTTAATGTGCTACATTTACAAGACATTCAAAATTTTTGAACAAAGAGGAAAAGGATTTTACTAAAAACACAGAAGGAATGCATTTAAAATGGGTGGTAGATACCATGTGATAAATAACCCATAACCGGTTATGAACTCTGTCGTGGATGTTCTCGGTTGTTTTATTAGATTTATCTAAAGGTCTGCTTTCGGTGAAGATTTGCTTTTCAAATAAATCTTCAAATAATTCCATAAATCTCGATCAATCCGCTGACCATGATTCTTTTCAATGGTGGAGAGCATACTTTTTATTGATTTTAGTCATGACAAAGGAAGAAAATAGCATAAGTCCGATGCAAATGCGTGAGCTGTTGTTGCCTAGTATAGCCTGTTGTTGACTTCATTGTTACAAACCCATTTTCCAAACGGTTGAACGGGTACATTGATTTAATAGAAAGTGGTGACGCTACAAGAAATCGAACCAAGTCGGCGCCATTCAAGCACAGTCATGCAGCCTTCTCCGGAAGACATGGATCTCAAAGACCCCAAGAAAGATAATAGAAAAGTACAAAGTACAAGTCCAGGTCACGCGCCTCTTCATCCAGCAAACTGCTCATGGGAAGAAATCGAACCAAGTCAGCGCCATTCAAGTACCGTCATTCAGCCTTCTCCGGAAGACATGGATCTCAAAGACCCCAAGAAAGATAATAGAAAAGTACAAAGTACAAGTCCAGGTCACGCGCCTCTTCATCCAGCAAACCGCTCATGGGAAGAAATCGAACCAAGTCAGCGCCATTCGAGTGCAGTTATGCAGCCTTCTTCGGAAGACTTGGATCTCAAAGAACCCAAGAACGATAACAGAATAGTACAAAGTACAAGTCCAGGTCACGCGCCTCTTCATCCAGCAAACCGCTCATGGGAAGAAATCGAACCAAGTCAGTGCTATTCAAGCGCAGTTACGCAGCCTTCCTCTGAGTACATGGATCTCAAAGAACCCAGGAAAGATAATGGATTTGTACAAAGTACAAATCCAGGTTACGCGCCTCTTCATCCAGCAAAACACTCCTGGGAAGTTCCAAGACATAATGTTACAATCGAAAAAGTAATTGGCAAAGGTTCTTTTGGACAGGTTGCCAAGGGAACGGCAGTAGGACTTCAAGGGAGACCTGATACGACTACAGTGGCCATTAAGATGCTTAAAAGTGAGTCAAGTATTGATTTCAGAATATTTTTTTACCTTTTTTTTTTCCTTTTTTAGGTTTTTGTTATGCATATTATAAATATTTGCATTTAATTCTCCAGCTAACGCTGCTGAATCGGACAAGAGAGATTTGATGAAAGAACTTGAAACGATGAAGAAGCTCAAAAAACATCCTCACGTCATCAAACTTCTGGGATGTGTTACAGAATCTGGTATGTTTTGGTTGTGTAGGTTTTGTTTTACCATACGCATTTTCCTTGTAAATTTACCATCTAAGACTATCTCGTCAATATCATTTGCTTCAAGTTTTAGGAAAACGCTTTCTTTTGGTTTTCAGAGGAACCTCTGGTACTGATTGAATATGTTCCTTTTGGAGATCTGCTTGGTTACCTGAGAAAGAGCCGTGGATTAAATGACACTTATTACAAAGACCCGGATATTAAACCACAAACGAATCTGACGTCACAACAGTTGATGAAGTTTTCCTGGCAAATCGCCGATGGCATGAGTTACCTGTCCTCAAAATCTGTAAGTCACAAATACGAAAGGCATAATATAATTGTAAAAATTCCTTGTGGGGCCTCTGTCATGGTAAGCTTTTCCTTCATGCATACTATTTGATATCTTAAAAATACACCTCACAGGAGCAAACATATTCTTACTGTTTGGTTTCGGACTTTTTCTGTAGGGTGCACCCTCCAATTTTCAATGCTATCACCCATGTTTTTTTGTTATTATCATCATTTTTCTATTTTCGGTTGGCGATCGTCGTGCAGCCTTGCAGATGTACCTCACTCTCGACTTATTTTGGTCTCATTGACTCCTTTAAAGTTTTCAATTGCCAAAAGTTCACTGATTATCGAAAGAAAATTTTCTCCCTTTCTCTTGGAAACTGTATCAGTACTAGCACATTTAATTTATTATCACTTAGGCTTATAAGAAATACGCACGCTGTTGATTTCGCTAAATATGGCCTTTTTTCAGATCTGAACCTTTTTTCAGTTTTTTTCCTCTTTTAATCACTGATCTTCGCTTCCTTCACAATCCATTCCTTTAGATCATCCACCGAGACCTTGCAGCCCGTAATGTGTTAGTTGGAGAAAACGGAACATGTAAGGTAACAGACTTTGGAATGGCCAGAGATGTGCAACAGGAAAATATTTATGAACGAAAAACAAAGGTAATACAAAAATGGGGAGTACTCAGTTATAGAACATTCAGCATAATCACCTTACACAATAACTCTCGTGGCAGAGGTGACATTTTCATGGTTTCGATCATGGAATCTCTGGATTGGACCTGATGAGGAAATAACGGATACTTATAGAGTACTATTTCATCTGTAAATGTCGTTGATTTCTCGCTTACTATTTTTGTTCTGTTACCCAAATCTTTAGGGCCGTCTTCCAGTGAAGTGGACAGCTTATGAGGCGTTGCTCTATGGTGCATATACCACCAAAAGTGACGTGTAAGTATACCTGATCATAACTCTTAAAGATGGCGTCTATAAAACAAATGGTTCATGCTTAGTGTGCGTAAATGGAGGTAGGGATTGGTATGGATGTTTGTGGGAAGTTTGAAGAGCACAAGAAAAGCGTAAGAATAGGAGCGGCTGACAGCAATTCTTCGTTCGTGAGCGCTCCCCAGGCTTTCCAAGTGCATCCACAACTCGATATACGCACAGTTACAGGCATCGACCAATTGTTGTATGATACAACAGACACAATTTGTCCACGATATAATAATCGCGTGCTACCTGAAAACTGAAAATAATAATTACCGATCCGAATAAGAGTCCAAATGGCGCAAAGCCTCACTTGAAATCAGCAAGTTAGTTATCTTTTTCCAACCATTACCCGTATCGCGTTCGGGAATCGAAATATCGTTAACTCTAAAGCTAATTTCGTTGCCTCTAGAGTTAAATGTCCATTCAGTTTCCGAATCTCATGATATTTGGCATACTTACCTTTTCACTATATGCCTCAAATTCAATCTTTAAAACGATTAAGACCCGTGGTTAAACTGGAAGGGAAATTATAGACCTTGTACAGTGATGACTCAATAGTTACCAATAAGATGACAGAAGATAATAGGTTATAAATTTCCATTATGTAAATTTTAATACTAGAAATAAGGATTAAAAACTTTGTCAAACAAAATATTTCGTCTGCCTCATAAAATGTGTATGTTTTCAACCAGCCATTTTACTCATGTTTTCTTTGCCTCCCTGCAGATGGAGTTATGGAGTTGTTCTTTACGAGATTTTCACCATAGGTAACATTTGATGTTGTATATAGAAAACGAATACGAGGGTTTGATCGCGGTATCCAAATATTGAGAAACAAAGGAAAGCATGAGGCCGCTTCGACCGAGTGCCTTTATTTGTTTCGTGATGTTTGGATGCCACCATCAAAACCCGAAGCACGAGGTTTAGATTGCTTCTTAAACTGCCTACATTATTTACCACATAAAATCGTAACACTATTGTTACGTTCTTTTCATTGGTTGCATAATTTTGGAAATCATTATCAGCTATCATACATCTGTTTTCTGTTTGGGGTTTCTTTGGGTAATTTAAAGTGTATGCTTAGTTTATAGTAGTTTTGCTCATTTAGTTTATAGCTCCATGGTTAGTCGGAGCTTGATTATGGCAGAAAGTAATGCAGTTAGCCGTTTTCGTGTCCCAAAAAGCGGTGAAGAGGAAAGTAAACTGCTAAAGGAAAGTGTTCCTAAATCAATCACTATTGATCTAGATATGCGTTTTTATCAAGTATCTAGATTCATGCACGTGACGCAATTCTTTCCCCTCATTGGAAGATAACCTCATGGATAATTAATTAGTTTGAGAAAGAAATTTAAGAGATTTTGTGGATTTTTTTTGCCATACACTTCTTTGAATTGAGCAATTGTGTAACCGAAGTAATTGGGCTCATACTTTTATTTAAAATATCCATACGTCATCGTTACTAAACTTGAGCAAGGAAAATACATAAAAGGGAACTCACAATAGAGGAGAAGATTTTACGTGCATAGCTATACAGGCATTTAAAAAAAACAACAAGGCTGCCTCTAAAAAGTGGACATAAACGTTGATGCACAGGAGTTAATTTATCCACAAAACTTGACAAATTACTCGACATAAAATACGTAGTATTAAGCAACGATATAAATATCAACCACAAGTACACAATACAGCTAATAAAATTTACAAACACTCAGAGGTAATTAACACGCAAACGCAAAACACAAGGGAACTCCGGTACGGCAAAAAGTTTCGCGTTTAACAATGCATTTTCTTCAATTAGATAAACTTCCCATGCAAATTCATACTCCATCGAATGATATGGGTGGTGCTTTCAGTGATGGTCATTGTTTAAGACATTAACATGCCGATTGACTTGTTGATCTCTTTCAGGCGGTTCACCTTACCCAAGAATGGATGGAAAAAAAATTGCCAACTTACTTGGAGAGGGCTACAGAATGCATAAACCACAACACGTGGATAACGAATTGTAAGCTTCTATCAAGTCTTTCTCCTTCCTTACAACAGGAAATATTATATAAACTCTTTCACATCAACTGATGTTTGGTGTTCGCAAGATGAAATAATATCGTATTCCATATAAAAAATTCTAGGTATCAGATCATGATGAGATGCTGGCAAAATGACCCGGATGAAAGACCAGCTTTCACCGAATTAAAAAAACAGCTTAAAGACATGGAAAGTCTACACAAGGTGAAAATTATGGTGGATAATTTTCTTTTACGCTGGAGTATCTTTAAATTCATAGATTGTCATTCAGATGGCCTAACTTGATATTTCCTCATCTCTTCTAATTTGTGCGAAGTTTGAATTGCTTCTTCCTGTTGTTTCCTTGAAGCAAACAAAGTAAAGGTTATTATCGGTTATTATCGGTATGCGAGAAGCAAAATATAATGTTCCAACAACAGAAAAATCTTTATAGTCATTATATAAAAGATGATAAGACTACTGCAAAATTGCACTGAGATGCAAAAAAAAAATAGCGAATGATGACGTTCTGTAATTCTAAAGAATACTTGTACCTGACAGTTCATGTGGATAACTCGTGATATTACGTAAAGGGGGAGCACATTCAGTTTCATAATGTTATTGCTTTCTTTTTCTTTTTAGAGGCTGATCAACATGAGAATGTACGACAAGAGGTTGTACGTAAACGTCGAGGATTTGATAGTGTAGTTAAGTACACGTCCTCAGTGTTTGATTGGCGAACTGTTTGAACATTTTGCCGCAACAAGCTCTATGGAATGACCATCCTCGCTTGAAAACTCTTTTGCCGGGAAAACCAAAGTTTCCTTTTTTCTGGGGAAGCTGTCGAACATTTCTTTTTGCTTTTACTTGGACCGCCAATACTGTTGATACCGAAGGCAAAGACTCAGGCACTGAAAACTGAGCACAAGTCTCATTATGCGGTTTTTTCTAAGTTGTTCTTTTACTGTCTCTACTGTTTAAAAGGTGTACAATTTGGCCGAAGAGCGCGATAGTTTCGTACTTTCCAGATACGACTACTCAATCAGCTGAGCCGATGGATCGTAATTAATTTCCTTCTGAAGACTGACCATAGCCATATTTTTCGTCTCATCTTTGTACCGTAGGTTATCCACTAAATAAAAATATTGAAACACAACGACAACCTAAAGTGGGGCTCTGTCCTATCCCATTGCGCTTCAATACGGTTGTCAATTAGAGCAAATTCCGAAGTCTAAGGTGTTACTGACTGTGAGTTTTCAAAAGTCACGTTATTTGATGCAATTGACCTTTCGTCCCTTGAAGTTCTTTTTTCGAAACTGAATTACATCTGCATAAGTTAAAAATCTCTGCCATGTGTGGAACCCGAGTACTCCTTTGTCACCTTGTAATTTTTGTAAGTGAACGTCGCCTCGTTAGAAGGAATCTATCGAGTTGTGCCTGTTTGTTTTAAAATTTGCGCTTATTACGCGATATTAAGAAGGGGCCAGCAAGGTGATAATGCGATTCCTTATTTTTCACTTTCACGTCATACGGCAACTTTCACCTTTGCGCGTTGAAGTCTACCTTTGACTTCCTTCCTGACCCTTCTCTAGAAGTCCGAGTTTATACTTCTCTATGCTCTACAAGATAAGAAGCGTAGAAGCAGTCTCTTCAAGATGAAAGAGCATTTTGTGTTTGTTGCAGAAGAAGGGAAATATTTGCTTCGTTCATCAAGCCGTAACAGATAACACTCAAAAGAAAACCTCCTGCACCGTAAATAGTAAGCGGTTCGTAAATATTATTTCACGCGCATTGCAAAACTCGAAGGATGATTAACACATTAGTCGCTATTTGGCGCGAAAATATGCTCCTACATTTGTCCCTGGACACTACCTGTTCCTTGATGCTCACAATTTTCCTCGAGTTTCGCTTTCAGAAAACTGTTCGTAGCTTGAAACAGATAATGTCCGCGGACAAATATCCGTGCCTATTTTCGCGCCCAATAGAGGCTATTGTCTATATATTCCCCAAGTGACATTCTCCAGTTTCAAAAGCTTATGTCCAATACGATAATTCTGCGTTTAAAATTTCATTCAATGTGACAGAGAGTTTGGAGAAGAGGAGAAATATTTCTTTGTCTATAAAGTCGTACCAGAGAACGCTGAAAAATGCGGAACATCCCACACAGTAAACGTTAAGCTGATCGTAAACATTTTGTCCCTCGCGCGGCAAAAATATATTAACGATAGCAAATACAGCTCAAAAATGTTTTTTCTCGGAACAGATCGTGTCTGCGGGAAAATATCTGAACATATTTTCGTGCTAAATAGGAGCAACGGCACATATGTCATAAGGCGGCGCATAGGAACAAATCAGGGACTTGAACCCCTCGAAACATGTTTAAAACAGCATAGTTATAACTAAAAGCATGATTTCGATTGTAATTTAGTGTTAATATGCACGAGTAAATCTCACTCGCGTTTTAAAAGGCAACGAAGTTTCAAGAGCCCGTAGGGCGAGTGCGACTTTTAGTCTTTAAAAAATTACAAGTGCTTATTTACACCAAATTGCACGAGAATTGTTACTCGTTAATAGTTTACACGAAAAAGGCATCACAGATAGTCAAGACAGACGAAATTTTGACAGTCTTGTTACAACTTTGCACTCGTTTTACAGGAAAAATGCATTCGTTTTCGGCCAATCAGAAGCGCGTAATGTTTCTAAGTATATTGTTACATGAGTTATCAGGGTCGGTAACCAGGGACAGGTTTTACCATACTGTTTCTTTTGGACTGTTATTGATGTGAACCAGTTGAACAATTTCATACAATTTATTCTCGTGGAAGGCTCTGAAGGGTAACCAACATTCCCTTTATTTTAGTTGTTAGCTTTCAGTCGCTACAAACTTCGTAGCCATGTTACGGATGCTCTTACTCAGCCCCTCAATTCACACCTACTAGTGCAACATGTTTTTGTTGAGTGAGATATGTGACGGAGGAGGTCCGACATAAATTTTGGTTTCAGCTTATTCCACCAAAATGAAAACTGACTATGGGAATTTATAAAATGCCACCAATATGCCTCAACAGTCTTACTTTAAAAAAATTGTCGTCCCCATTCCTTTGCATGCATCAAATTTCTCGCTTGTTACATGCATACACACTCATTTTGCCGCTGTGTCACCTTAAAAGGGAGCATGCGCGAAAGCTGACTTTACCATCACCACATGCATTTGTTGTGTACTTGATCTTACATCACTGTCACCCAATCACAAAACAAGTTCTCTCAATCAAGTTCAAAACAAGTTGTCTTAATCCGTCATCATAATTAAACAATTGGTGTGCAGAAATCCCATCCCACTTATCGATAGCCTCGGCCGGGTATTTATCTCGACACTCCCTGGCGAAAAATCCTCTGAAGGGTTCGTTTAAATCAAGTAGAGAATCGCAAGAACGAAAACTTACACTCTGACTAAACAGGAGGGACTCCAAACATACTTTCTCAGCTTTTATTCTGTGGGCCAAAACCTTTAGCTCTGGTTTACTTCACTTCAAGCATCCATATTGTTCTTTATACATTTCTTAGGGTGCTCACAAGGACAACTTTTATAACAATCAAGGTCTTTTTTCAGCAGGTGATCATTTCCTTTCAGGGGTTGGTTTTTTTGGGGGAGAAATTTGATGCTAGTCACACTACTCTACAATTCGTTAACGCTATTTCTTGTGAACACAGTTTAGACTTTTTGCTACTACCGTGTCAACCTCAATTCAGGAATTAAGTTTGAGGAAAGCACGCCAGAAGCAGGACGTCTGAATCAAACTTAAACTAAGTTCGGCATGGTCTGCCTTGCTAAACGACTCTGGCGCGACAGCGATTCAAACGTCGTGGCTCTGCTCTACAAAACAAAATGTATAAATTAGGCTAATGTATCTGGGTGGGATTGGGTGTTCTTAACTGAGCCTTTGTTGAGTTTACAGGGAAAAGCGTGAACTAATTGTCGATTAGTGTCACCCCTTCTGGACAGAGATGTTTTTCTTAGCTTTTGCTTTTGGTTGAGTGTTTGTATTTCAGATTGGTAAATAGAGACAATACATTAAGATAATCCTATTGTCTTTGGCTGTATGGCTTTTTCCATCAGTTACTCCAACACGGGCTTTACAAGTAATATCTGAATTTAATACATCAGATATATTGTACTATCATAAACTATTGTCCAGTCACTGTAATGTTCACCTTTATGGCGCATATAGTTCAGATTTTTCAATTCTTACTCTATGAGGTTTCGTTTGAGTGGTCTGTCATGCCAAACCTAATAAAAATCCAATAAATCTTCTACCAACGTGAACGAATCATTTTTCTGCGGCCTACCTTGCATCCGTCAGTGGGTTCACAAACTCGTTAGCCACTTTAATCTCCGATGTCTTAACAAAATATAGTTCACAGTCGGGCTAAGCCACCGTTATTTGGTTTTTGGACACGAAAGTTGATTGATTCGGCAGTAAAAGTCCGTTTATAACTATCCAGAGAACAACCTTGGGATGACATGTACTGAGCACAAAAATATCCCGAAGAAATTTATTTCAAGGAAGTGAGACATTTGCTTCCCTTTTTTTCAAAATATAATTATTCAGGGCATCCTATTGTGTAATTCAAAGGCACTAGCACCGAAGCTTTAATTCTTATGTAAAATCCACCCCATCATCGTTTAAACGAAAGAGACAAACAGTCTGAAGTCTTTGCTATGTATTGCGCAAAAGTAAACATCTCGCTTGTATTTGATCACCTAAGCTTGTCATAAGGTAAAACATTTTAGATGATCTCCTCGATAGTTATAATATGAAATCAGCTGCCTTATCAACATTTCAATAGCAAGTCACCAGGCATTGATTATTCGTAATTCACCATGGAGTTACCAAAACTTTTACACTATGCCTGATTGCTCATTTGAAAGGGTTGCATCTTAACTAGTTCTTTTTTTTTTAAGTGAAGACTTGTACTACAAATGGGCCAAAAACTGACAACTGTAATTCAAAAATTATACATCGATGCATGTTTCCTCGATAGAAGTACAGATTACTTCGCAGAATCGCTACTTTAAGGATATTGCTCCGGTTTCCAAAATTCTATCTGGTCATGCAAATAGTGCGACAAAATTAATTTGCTGAAAAAGGTTAAATAAAACTTCCATCTTCGGACCGTCTTAGCCACTGGAATTCATGACCAAGCATGGCAGTGATTTCACCGGAAGAGCAGTCGTCTCCCACTGGCAAATAGGGTGGTGAGAATCGAAGGCGAGGTATTTGTCGGTGTGGGTAGGTTTACGGTAGACATTTGTCTCTAAATTACCCTGTACCCCTCTGGACACATTTAAATCAACCACCATATATGCCATAAAAAAGTCTCTAGCCAAAACTTTACTTAGGAGGGCTGACTGTCTACCATCTTCACACGATTCGAAGGCTAAGGAGAGGAAATATGTTTCCAATGTCCTAAAGGCAAACGGCTATACAAAAACTTTTCTCCGTAACTGCCAAAAACCAGTTACAAATAGTAACGCTCTTGATGAAAGGGAACCAGCGACTGGTTTTGCTGTTATTCCTTACATACAGGGTGTTACGGAACCCATCAAGAGAATTTTGAATAGCCACAACGTTAAAGTTGCTCAAAAATCTTTTCAGACTTTGGGGCATATTTCAGCCAAACCTAAGGATCCTGTCACGAAAGAACAACGAACCGACGCCATTTATTCTATTCCTTGCAATGACTGTGACAACGAATACATCGGACAGACCAAACGTCAGTTTGGTACACGGTTAAAAGAGCACCAAAAAGCGGTTTTCCTTTGCAAAAAGGAAAATTCAGCTTTATCGGTGCATACATGCCTAACTAACCATACAATTGGGTAGGATAATTCTAAAATTATCACCACTAATCGGCGTTACCACCAGCGCCTTTGTTTGGAGGCTTGGCATATTAACTCCGCCCACGCTCCTTTAAATCGTGACGATGGCGGTTTGCTTCCTGACGCCCATTTACACCTCGTCAGAAAAAAGGCCGCTAATAAGTGATCATAGAAAAGGACCTCTTGTTGCAACGTTTAGATCACCCCTGATGAGGGCACTAGACAGGAGTGTCGAAACGTTGGGTCTATGAATTGTAACTTCTTCGGTTACATTCATTAAATCTACAAACCAGAGTAGCATCAAACTATGTCTGATTGTCCACCTGGTTGCCGTGTGAACTTTAATGTAATGAAAAAAATACTTCCAAGTAAAACGTATCACATAAAAGGGTCTTGATATTAGCAGGCAAGTCAGGAATTTAAAGAAAGCCAAAAAACTTTTGAGTTTGTAAAACATGTTTCGACAGAAACTTCTGTCACCTTCAGTTAATTACTGTACAAAGCGTTGAAAGTTGAATTATATAGTAAGTAGAACAATGCTAATTAGGATGAATAGTGACAACAAGAAGAGAGGTAAAGCATGCAGGTGTGAGAATTAAAAAGATAGTTTTAGATTTACATGGTGTAATTGTTGATTCAAAGATGGTTGTTCTCTTTGAATATGAATAGCCTCTTTTATCTTAAGCTGAAAACCGGTAGAGGCGTGATCTAAAACATGGAAGCTGACGGGCTCCATTCACATGTGGTTTATAAGTTTGTATGTGCTGGCTTTAATGCCTGTCACGTCGGTGAAACCTGCCGGCACTTTTCCACACGTGTTAGAGAGCACTTATTCAGTGACAGAGCCTCTCACATTTTCAGGCATTAGAAAGATTTTCCGCACTGTCGCGCTTTGTGTTAAGCAGATAACTTTTCCTCGGAAAAAATTCTAATTAGCCACTAATGGGTGACAATGTGTTCTCGCGTTCAAAAGATCTTAAATTAAATCACGGGAATGATTCTTCAAATTTATCTCGTTAAAATAACAGATATGAATTTTGCGGTTTTCTAATAATTATCTAGAATACCCAGTTTATCAGTGAACAATACCCAAGGTCTCGGTAAGTGTTATTATCACTGCACTTATCTCGACCGTGATTTTTGCATATATCACAAGAGAATGTATGTATGTTCGAATAATGTTTGCTGAGCTAGAGCTGAGCTAAAGCTGTCACGCCATTTGCCAAATTGCTCTGTCCAAACATTTTCAGAGCGAGTGTGATCATGCTAACGGATCCATCGCGGCTAGCTAATCATGGCGATCTCCGGTCATCGCAGTTTTTTATATCCTTTTTTCAGGTAAATTATCAATACGTAACAAAATGATTTCGAGTTCAATTTGATGTAAATAAGCACTTATAAATCTATCAAAGACAATAAATTGCACTTGCCCCATGGACCCGTATAATTTTGTTGGCTTTGAAAAATTCTCTAGATGGCTGAGTTTCCTAATTTCCCCATGCTCAACAATCTAAGAAGCATTAAAGAACTGTCATCTGAGAGTTTGTTGGGACGGGAAAATCTTGTAATTGTTGATTCAAACAAATTACCTCTCGGGTTATGGTTTGAGTAGCAATAGCGTTTGCAAATGCAACATTATCCAATTTGGTACAAGCTAATACAAGCTCTATCTCACGTCTAAACCGACCATTTAGCTTGATTTTTAAATGCCTTTTTATTGACTCTGAACAATCAAATTGCTGAGCGAGTTAGAACTCTTTTTCAGAACCATAAGAGAAATAACTGCGAGCCCACCCGAGGGATGATTACTAGCTTTCAACGAAATCTTAAGCTATCGTATTTTGATTTACGTTACATTTTTTATTTCTAAAACCGAGGTTGTCCTATCTTCTCGACAAGTTTAAGCGAATAAGACACTGGCTTAGAACAAGCACACAATACATTACTTACTCAATACCCTCATTATGTTTTTCAAACAAAATATTTCCTTCTGAAATCTGCTACTTTTAATTTCATACGCCGATAATAAATATATCGTCACAAAGGGACTGATTTGCATATGTTACAGACGTTTTAAGACAAACATTGGTTCCACTGAAGATTAAACAACAGTCTTATTATTGTACGCCCTCAAGGCTGAATAAGTCTGCTGTACCAGGAAACTATTGTGCAATGCGACTTATCAGGATCTTCAACGTATTCGGAATGAAGCTTGGAGTGTTTATGTTTCTTCTTGGAGGTAAGCAATTTTTTCATGATAACTTCTTCTTGTTAATGAATTTTAAACAAATCAGTTTGTGACTCGAGATGTCCATCGCATGATCATTGTAATGAAGGCGAAGTTTGAATATGCTATCACGCGATAAAAATTAACTTTGAGCTGAGATCAAACTGCCTTAGTGCAAATCCACTGCACGTTCATCACCCATCAGCAATACAGGCTCATCTTTTAATTAGTTAATTAGCTAAATCGTACCTCGGACAAACAAATTATTGAAAGCTGCGCCACATTGTATTTTCCCCTGTGTACGCCTTTGAGTTTCATTCAAGGCTCACTGAAATCGTCATTAACTCGAAAGTGGAACGAAGGGCCTTCTAGGAAGCCAACTTCTGTTAAACAAGTAGATATTTATTTACCAAAAGGTTGCTTACGACTGACTGGAACATGATCGAAAAGTGAGTGTCATGCGGCTTACATAATGATAGGGTGCCACAGCAGAAGAGGAGCTTATCAGTGAATTAGCGAAATTATTTTCCATGGACAGTTCGAAAACGCGAAAATTCGACCATTTTGACAACAGTAACACAATGTTTGGCTCTCCCCTCTCTCTCGTAACTACTGAACAATTTCCTTATTTACTCGAATAAGCACCGCAGGCGGTGCATGTCTGGGCAGTTTTAAGTGGCTGACTCCTCAATTTATTCGTCTTTCTTTTATACTTAGCTCCCGCTTGTTTTCTTGTCAAAGTCTCTATTTCCTCGAGCTTCCGTAACAAGCTCGAGAACCTTTGTAGAAAGTACAGAAGAATACTTGAATGGAAGGAAACGGGCTTCAAAGTCTTTAAATCGACAAAGCTGTCTCAAACGACAGATATGGAAATATGTTGACGCGTGATCTCTGTCGTGTGATAAGATTAATGACAAAAGGAAGGTAGATAAATTTCGCAATGATATACTGTATTCACAAAGGGAAACGTGAAGCATCTGTTGGGTGATTCATGCTAACCAGTGAGTATCATTTAGCACTAACACAAGTCGACTTTGAGGGCATACGCGTGACCCAACACTGGAGGACCGAAAACGAGAATTGGCGATATTTTCAATAACAATTTTAGTCCAGTGTTTAGGTACCGGTTTCGCATTCGTGTGACAAAAAATAAGGAAAGGCTACGACCCAGCGCAAAAATTTGGACATAAAAATAGTTAGTCGAAAATCCGCTCAAAATAATTTCTGTGATCTAACAACAACTCTATTAATCAGTAGCATTTGCGAATACAACTACCTCCTACCCCTCTCGCCTACTTAAAGTTCGTCCTCCACCCCTCCCTCAGTAACAACAGTATGCCTCCCACCCTCCCTGAGTACTGATAGACTGCATCCCACCCTCCCTAAATACTAATGGTCTACCTCTTTCCCCCCCTCCCCCGCAATAAAATGGTCCAAACAAATGGTCCCAAAAAAATAGTCCAAATAATAGTCCAATAGTCCGGGGGTCCAATGGTCCAGTCTATATCTTATCCTATGCCGGGAAACATGAGCCTTTCAAGCTAGCCACTCTTAATTATTATTATACTACTTTTGTTATCATTATTATTATTATTGTTAATATTACTACTTGTTACCAAATTGTGCTATAGCAGTAGCCAAATGTAGTCCTAAGCTGTCTTTTTTAATGATTGTCTTCATGCTGATTTTCGCGTATCTATTTAGCTGTCATATGGCTATATGTTACACATATAGCCATGTTTTAGGGTTTTAAAGGTTTCATTTTATTTTACCTTTTTAAGCAATTTTATTCTTTCTTTGAGTTTATTTCGCGAACCATCGTGGCTATATTTTACAAATATTTAGCAGCTCATTTATCATGTTTTGAGATGCACAGATTTCATTTGATTTGACCTTACTTTTCGTCGCGCACCTTGTGTGCGGTGCGCTCCTGAGGCATAAATCTATTGCGTCAGCCATGCGCCTGAAGTCTTGAGGGTCGTGGGTGACTGATCACAACTTGAGTAGTCATCAGTTTACTGAAAGAACAAAAGCATACTGTAAATCATGGACTCGACTAGACTGGACTGAACTAAATTAGTAAAACGAAGATTAGTAAAATACGAGGACTGGTAAAACACGGATGAGCATAGCTCGGATTAGTAAAACACAGACCAGTCAGACGCGACGAAAACATTTGTCCTTATGTAAATGATCATTCTATCACCAAAGAACGATATCAATTAAATGTCCTATATTAAAAAAAAAACCAGCAGAATTTCATCCTTCGTATGTGATTACGTTCTCCTAGGATCAGAATCATTCATGATTACTTTCCTAGAGAGGAGCAAGTTCATTTTATCAACATTTTTAACAGAAACACTATTAAAAGTTTTACGAGTGCATGTGCAACTGAAATAAATAACATTAGATCCATTCAGGTCATCTTCTTACTAAAAAACATTACGTGTAATGAAAACAAATTTTATAAGAGATGCATCAAATATTTAGCTTCTAAAATGTGGACGGATAGGCAAAACTACGTTTCTTTCCCTATTTCTGTTTTCAATATATTTTTTCATTGTTTGTCTTAATATCTGGTCACTTTAGATGTGGATCGAGACGTTTCGACTGCAAACTGCTAGTCTTCCTCGCGCTATGAGATCGATTAAGTACGGGTTATATTTATTTACATGCTGTTTTTCTCAGCTGTGATTGGATGGAATTCCATGGTGCATCCGCTGGTAAGTTAACCCATGTAGGCATTTGAAGACCATGGTGGCCTTTTGTATGTTCCACTGGCGGTCAGGGTTTTCCATTCCTAACAATTGGCCAGTGTCAGCGTTTTAAGTGAGAACGTCAGAGCGCGAGCTACTCTATTCACAATTTTTGCAGCTTTTCTTGTAAAGTTACACGTGAGGCTGTATTTAAGCTTGATTTGTAAGATGAAAGGTCGCCTGGGGAACCAGGTGTCTAACACATTTCATGGCCCCGATTCCAGAAGCCATCTTTTTGGTTAGTTTTTCGATGTGGCAATACCGGCTGAGGTTGTCTTCTATTGTTACACGAAGTGATATGGAGATAAAACCTGTTCCACCCGAGCACTAACCATTGGGAAGTAAGTAAGAACACTTAGCATTTGGCCAGATCCTATTAGCATAAATTCGGTTTCATTTATAGATAAAGTAAGTTTGTTTGCGTTTAACCAAGTATGTAATTCAACAGGTCTTCACTAAAACATGATTCAATGTTGCCCCCGTCATAATCTGCATATGCGAGATGCATGTCATCGGCGTACATCCTCCGTTCACAGTTTGAGAAATAATTTGGAAGCTCATTTATAAGTATAATAAGAATAACAGTAAAACGAGGATAGTTCCCTGAGGGACACCGCTAGTTAGTACACGCTGTCATATAAGGACCCACTAACTGAGCACTGTTGTGTACAGTTCTCCAAATACGACTGAAACCATTTTAATAAATTCCCAGATATACCATAAAGGTCAAGCTTACATAGAGAAATTTTGTGGTCGACCGTATCGAAAGCTTTCTCTAGATCTAGAAAAATAACCCGGTTGACCCTACCAACGTCTATATTATCTGCCCTGGAGTCACTTGCCTCAAGCAAAGCTGTAACACTTAAGTGAATAGCACAAAATCCCGACTGATGTTTGCATAGTATATCGTGCTCCTCTTAATAGGCATATAATAGTTCGTAAACTATTCTCTCCAATACCTTGACCACAACTGACATAACCGAGATAAGACGGTAATTTTTTACGTTGTCTCGATCACCTTCCTTGAAAAGAGGTGTGACTGTAGCAGATTCTCAGTCTCCTGGGAGTTTACTCTGTCTGATAGTTTAATTTAAAGTATCGCGAGTGAGGACGGCGTACTCACGAGAAAGTCTCGCAGATATTCCGTCTAAGCTAGTTACCTTAGATGTGTTTAGCTTGTTCATCAGTGAAAAGACTTTGTTTCCATTGGTTGCAAGGAGATGAAATCGTGTATCTGTGCATGTGAGATATCTTGCTTAGTCTCAGCCATCCGAGTAAATCTCACGGGTAAGTTTTGGACCAGTGGTGGAAAAGTGGTTATTAAACCCATTTTATATCTCCCCCGGATTAGTTATCGTCAATTTATTCACTTTTAAACGTGACGTAACTGGAGTTTTCCCAGATTTCCGGGAAATTAACTCATTGATTGTTTGCTAAGTCTTTCGAGAAGCACCCGTGTGCTCTGTAAAGCTTTTTTGATAGTATGCTGATTTGACTTATCGTATTTATATTTTAGTTACATTCCGCTGTCATTCGTATAACACCCAATCATGGGAAGATTTTTGAGTTAATGGCTTTAATTTTTAAGAAATCTCGTTTATACTTTGAACCTTTTATTCCTAATGTGATTCACGGAGAACCACGCAAGCGAACGCGCTTTGTACTCAATGGAGCGGATCTGATAGCTGTTAGCTTGGATAATGCATAAACGTTCTCTCTAGATTGAGATAAGATGTCATTTAGAAAGCTTTGTGTGTCAAATTTCCGAAAATTTCTTTAAGTTACTGTAATATCTCCATTAGACATCTCGTTCAGGGCTAGTTTTCTGCAAGCAAAACCATAATTTGAGTACTGATCCCGGTGTGACAAATTCGAAATCTTATCCGTAAAATTGGCATAAATTAGATCGATTAAAGTTGCTGAGGTAGGTCTAATCCTTGTCGGTTCTGACATGAGTCGCTGGAGTCCATAAACATCAGAAATACTCATCAGTTTGAGAGCGTTGTTGTCAAATCGGGTAGCATGGGTAGAAGTCATTTTAAAGTTTAAATCTTCCATTACGAAATACACTACATTTTCACCTACAAGTTTCCCGATTACAGATACGAAAGGCGAAAAGATACCAGTAGGAGCGTTTGGTGGTCTATTCCACGTGACAACTACAACCGGTTTTGATCTGGGCCTTCCAGACGCTCCAATTTCCAAGCACAGGTTTCTCAGGGCATGCAAATAAATGTTATGTGAATGATAACATTTATAGAGTTTGTGGCATAAAAAACCGTGATTCTGTCACCACGAATTATCTCGTATCCAGGGACGTGGACTTCATTACCAAATGCATTTTCGAGTTTGGTCTCGTTTATTGACAAAATATCCATATATATCACTAGAAGCTAAGAGTATCCTATGCTAATTTCAGACCGCGCCGAGGAGGTAGACTTTGGGTGAAGTCTGCCCCTTCCCCCCCCCCCCCCCCCCCCATAATTTGGTACCCAAGAACTTCTATTTCTGTATATTCTGTATTTATTTAATTAATTTAAATAAATAATATATACATAATTTAAATCTAGATGTGCTTGAAAACTTAAAAAACTGTTTGTTCTTTCAGGTATTTTGGTGTCTCTCACTAAAGCAGCAAGTGTTACTGGTAAGTGCTATAGTGCATCAACTCCGGCATTATCATAATGATTTGCCCGAAAGATGAGTAAACTTTTTACCGTTTGGTCTCATCGTCAGGATGAGGGTAGACCTGAGAAGAAATTTTGTCGTTATCAGAGACTGCGTTTCGAAAACCTCGACGGTGGTCACCATCAGAGTCGCATAATTTTTTGTCTTTCAAGTGTTGGTAGTCCGTGCGTGCAAAATAATTGATCATGTTTGCCGTTAGCCGTATATCCTTGGCTGTACAGAGCCAATAATATCACGGCAAAAGTGACCTATCAGTTTAGGTTTACCAGCTCCTGGCCATTGTGATAAAAAAATTATCACCGGGTCAAATTTAGCCAAGAAATTAAGAAGTTGGACAGGAGAGTAATTTCAGTTATTTAAGACAGTTGTATAAAGGGCGGACAACGCTGTCAAACGGATAAATCGCTATCTGGCGGATAAGTGATAGAAAACCTATAGCGTAGTCCACCGAATAGAGTTTCATCCAGTGGATATCTCATCAAACCTCTGAACAACCGGGACCTGATGTATTGCTCGCATATAACCATCGAAGAGGTAGTTGTGATTTACCTTCGAGATTAATATCCCAAGATTCATCGTAAATTTTTATACTTTCCGTACCTATAATGGCAAGCTGTATTGATCACTTTTTAAACTTCACGCGTTAAATGCCCCATTTTTTAATCCAATTTACATTATTATACTTGGTTACAGGCAATTACATTTATTAAAAAAGAGAGTAAAAAGTCTATAAGTTGTCTTCGTTGGATTTTCCTTATTCCTAAGTGAGTTTTTAAATCACATAAAAAGCTCCCTCACTTTGCAAATTGAATTTGGGTACACTCTTAACCAAATTCGTCCCTTTTCAATCTAATTTCAGCGAATTTATGCAGCATTTATTCTTCGAATGGTCCTAAACAGTTCCTTATTACTAACCCATTAACTAAAGCTTTGAAATTCTAATTACCATCTCTTTGATGGTTTGTGAGTAACCCATACTTCTCTTTAGATAGCCCAATGAACAAACGACTTGTGTTTTCATCAAGCATCAGCAAAAAAAAAATTAGCAATGGATTATTACCGCGCAGGATTTCCCTGCTGTTGTGCACGAACAGATTTCTTTGTAGAGTAGCCGTGTTACCCTTGTTGGGTTTACATGCAAGTGGTTTGACCTCTTTCACATACAATATATATTCACATCGTCGCCTTCAGAACGAGGGTCATCGAGCAGTGTTCTTATTCAAACCATTGCCGAGAAAATGGGTAGACATATTTTTCGGAAGTTACGCGGTCTTTGTATTGGAGAACGTTCTTTCTGATTGCCGGAGTGAAACCAGCAAAAGATGCAAGTGAGATCTAAACATTGAACTTTCATCAAAAACAATGTTGAAATAGAGTCGTAACTCGAGGTTGGTCGACCATGTGCTTTGTCCGTCTTCCAGTTCGTGGTTTTCCATTTTTTTGGGTTCAGGGGACTCCACGGCTCTGGTAATGGTTTGGTTGCGTGAATTATGGTTATTCAGTAGTTTTTTGGCTGGACTGCTATCTACACCTCGTGTTGAAGCATTTACCATGTTTAGTAAGACGAGGTATTTTCTCATCCGGAGTTAATGGGTTTGCTTTACTTACGCATCGCTATCGTTACACAGATTCCACTATGCCACTAACCCTGAGTTGCTTACTGAGATGGTTATGAGCTGGATGCCTCAGGTCTTGATGAACCTCCAAATTTCGCTGAACACTTACTACAGGCCATTTTTACCGACTACTTGCTTCAGTGTTCCATAGCAAACTTAGCTTCCGATGACTCTTGATAACGTAGAATTGATAAGCTGAACTAGCTTTACTTTTTAACTCAAAGTTTGCCATGTAAGAACAGGAGCAAGATAAGATTTGATGTTAGGCCATCATTTCTGTATAATTTACCTAAGTTTCGTAACTTTGGGTCTTCGCTGGCGCTGGGCTTAAATTCCTCTAGCTCTAGGTCGTTTCTAGGGATGTCAACACCTCTAAGAGCGCCTGTAAGGAATATTTCTTAATCATTGAGGGTTGAGGTTCAGGTCCAAAGGAGGGACAGTATCTCTCCCATGTTAGCTAAACATTTCCTATCTCAATGGCCACACGTCTTATATCAATTTTGTTATGAGTGCCACTGTGACACACCAGTGGCTTTCTTTTTCAGGGGAATACGGTGCCTTGATCGAAATTTTCTGCCCAAAATACACTGAGGCTTGATTCACGACAGCGTTTAAAGATCAGGGGTATTCGGTTGTCGTATTTTCCATCAATGCAACACTATGAATCCAGTGGACTTTGTGAAGATTTTCCATTGCCTATTTCGGCCGTTTTTTAAGTTCTCTCATAGAAACTACCAGAAGAGGTTAAAAAAGTGGTTGTTGAACGTGAGGAGTGGCGAGCTTATAGCGGAGATGGTGTCACAGACAGAGTTTTGGCGAGAAGTTCTTAAAGGCAGTCAATTTTTCATACTCATACCGCTGCACTTTGTTCAGCGCTTTTATAATTATGGAAATGCTGCACTATATACTCCCAGCGACAGAAATTTAACTGACTCAGCATTTATTACAGTCCATGTATTAACAAGTCGCTGAAATTCACTTTTGGCTTTGTGTTAACTTTAGTCTGTGGTGGTGCGTGCTCAACGACTTCCAGGGGTAACTGCTACAACTGTTGTTAGATACAACATTTCGCCAGAGGGAATTTCAGAAGCTTTCCGAATACATATTGACAGCATCAACGGTTATTAACGCATTGCAATTTATTGTAATGAGATCCATTTTCTAAAAAAACATAGTAGGGGGGTCATTTACTTTTCTGCGAAAGAAAAGTTCATTTTGCATTCTAGCTATAATATATGACTCATTACCTTCGCCATAAATTATCGCTGAGGGCTGCAAGCAGGGATTTTATATCGTTATTCTATTAGAAGAGGACAACTCTGCCCTTATTGTTCCGTTACTCTTTCATTGCCCTTCAATACCTATACTAATAAATTAACTAATGGGTTCCTTCCTTACTTAGATCAGAAGAAAATAGTGTCCTATTATCATGATTGTCTCTTGCATAGATTTATGGTTCACAATTTATTGGTTGGTTCTATTCATGCAGAGAATTGGCTAAACGTTTATGAAGTTCAACTACTTAGAATATTCTCTACGTATTTGTTGTCAACAGTCCGTTTGGCGAGTTCCGCCAGTTCGCCATCCTCTGGTCGTGTTGAGGTACGATACAAAGGTATATGGGGAACCATTTGTGACTACTCTTGGGACTTACAGGACGCTAATGTAGTTTGTCGCCAGCTTGGATACGATGGAGCTTTATCTGCACCAAGAAGAGCAATATTTGGACGAGGGGCAGGACAAATATGGCTGAGTCATGTGCAATGTGTAGGAAATGAGGAATCGATATCACAGTGCCGTCACATGGGATGGGGAGTTCACTACTGCCAGCATAGTTATGACGCTAGTGTAGTTTGCCGACCCGCAGGTAAAGTGATGCATGTACACGGAAGCATAAAAATCTCAATCAAATTAGAGAAACCTCATTTATTCCCCTCACTTTTGAATTGCTCCGTCCATATCAAGGAAATGACGCTTTTCGCAATCAACCAACGTGAAAAAAATTCAGTGCAACTAATAGTTATAGGAAAGCACAATAATCACTTGTCTTCGTTCCCTTTCTTTCACCAAGATTCCCCCCCCTCCCTCTAGATCTCTCTCCACGTACAGTTTTCTTTCAATGATTGTGCAACACTAAATGATCGTAGGGGAGTATCTAGGCAAACCGCCCTATATTTTGAATTTGATTTTTGCTGAACATTTTCTGATATTGGCCATATGAATGTTATGTGTCGACTGGCTTTATCATGGATTTTAGCAAACTTGTTTTCCCACACAAACAGTTCGTCTGGTAAGTCGTGGCCCTTCGCTATATTCTGGTCGTGTTGAAGTGCTATACAATGGTACATGGGGAACAATTTGCGACGACTCATGGGATTTACAGGACGCTGAGGTAGTTTGCCATCAGCTTGGATACGAGGGAGCTTTATCAGCATCTGGTGATTCCGCATTTGGATATGGACCTGGCCAGATATGGCTGGATGACGTAAATTGTGTAGGAAATGAGATTTTGATATTGCAATGTTCCCACAGAGGATGGGGAGTTCACAACTGTGGACAGAATGATGACGCTGGTGTTGTGTGCCGACCCGCAGGTACGTAAACATTAGATTATCAATGGTTGTCATAGACATAAACGAAATGCGGCAATTTGTAAAGGAAATCACATGATTTCGAGTGCAATTTGGAATAAATTAGAACATCTCTCCAAAGGGGTAACATGTGATAGTGTAGTCTGATCGTCCGAGTAAATGTAGTCTTGAGAAGGACTGTTGTCGGTAATGGTGACTGACGTTTCAGCAACGAGAGCGGAAGTCATCATCAGAGTCAAGAGAATGTTCTAAGACCGGTAATCGGTCATGATTGGTCTGTTTCGATCCTTTGGTAAAGTTACTGCCACGCCTCCTACATCGGAGAGATTGGCAGAAACCTCACAACAAGAATGATTGAACATAAGCGGGCGACGAGGAAAGGTGATGTCAACGATCACGTTTCTGAACATCATCGACTTAAGAAACGCGCTATTGACTGAGACTCTGCGCAATGCCTAGCCTACAGCACCAACCAACTTCAACTACTGACTCTGGAAACCTGGTTTACTAACTTAGAACAGACTCCTCTCACCAGGTGTCAACAACTACCAGCACCATACAAACGAGTTATTCACGACACGGACATTACAAATGAACAGAACGACCCACCTAACTCACTAACTAAATTGCACAAGCAATTAGGACGAATGCAGTTTCTTGTCTATGAAAAAATGCTTGTGTTCATTTACCCCAAGTTGCAAGAGATAGATCAAATGATTATTTGTTAATAATATATGTGGAAAACAACGACTCTGTATTCGTCTTTCGTCGTGTCTATTTCGTGTCATGGCTCGCTGGTTCCGTTTACATTAAGGTTATTGTTTGAAAACGACACCTTGTTTTTCAATGAATGATGATATTACTCGTTAAAAACTTGTTTATTCTAAGAACTCATCTTATCAATGTTTGTAGTCGATTCTAATTAAGACGAATTCGATCAAAAGTTTGAAGCTTTTCTAGAGATATATCAGAAATACCATCCGCCTCATATGATGTAGCTAGATGTGGCTTTTCAGGAACAGCTGTGTTTCCCATGTTGAAAGTGACTTGGCAATGGTAGAAATAGTTTATGTTTATGAAACACTGACGTTACTCATTCTGGCCAGATAAATAACTTGTCATATGAAACCCGAAAGCTGTTTGGTTGAAGTTGTGACTGAGGCTCGAGCTAGCGGAATGCTGATTTTTCGTGGCTGATAGCGTGAGAGAACTGCTGTTGTGCTCTTTGATATTCTTCCTTTAAACCATCAAGTAACTATTCTTTTCTGTGGCCGGTTATTTTTACGATTGACCTTCGCTTTAGGCCTGTTGTCTTCAACTTAAACAGATTTCCTGGCGCTTTAGTTAGATAAGGATTTCACTGAATCTTCCAGGGTTGTTCCTCTAATGACCAACTTCATCACGTCCTTAATTTTCTTCACTCCCATCGGCTGCCGCTTACAATAATCTTGCAAGGACGAAACTGGCTCACAAGACAGATAAAGTGGACCAGTTTTACGCACTTTGAGAGGACAACGCCATAGAAAATCTTTGAAGATTGTAACGGGACTTCCTTCTTCTCCAGTTGCAAACATTTTTGGAAGAACGCCTTTGAGTTTTGCGAACAGTCCTGACTAGTGTGTTTTTCTCGGGTTCCTTATGGATTCAACGAACTCTGTTTTGTTTTCATCCAATCCAAATGAAAAATCTCGAACTGTCAATACCAATACCAAAATGCTGGGTCAGGAGCCCCAAAACTGTGAGGACAAGTACTTCAAGACTTCCCTTTCCGACTTCTTTTTTCCTTACGGCTCATTTTCCTGTTAGTTTGGTTTAGTTAGTTATTTGTTTCAGCATGGTTTAGTATTTCGTTTATATTTCGAATGAAGTGACTGTATGAACTCGAATTCCGAAGTTATTTAGGTTTAAGCTGTCCGTGATGAGTTTCCTAAATGTGACAGTGTCGGCTAACTTCCATAAATTGACGTATTTAGTTTGTCTACTGGCATACCCACTCATATATATCAATGATGAATATGTAAACAGGGTCTTTTCCTAGCGAACATGCTTTGACCTTTTAAACTCGAGCTCTTTGTCACGAATAATCGAGCTTTTGCATTCTTTCTCTATTAGGTATAGGTAAGTAGTAGTAACATTACACAAGGGACAGGACGCTCGAAATGTTCCCAGTCTCTCTTACAAACGGTTGTGTAAAACTCCTCGAGTACTTTGTACAAGGCCTCTGTTTGGTGTTTTTCAATACTTTGGTCATAGTATTTTGCACTTTGTTGGGTGTTCTTGTTCCTTGCTTCTCCTTCTTTTTACGATATTTACAAGAAGCTTGATGGGAACTTATCGTGATTGTCAAATTTTTTTTTTTCTAGGTAAATTTTGTAATGAACGATTCTAAAATAAAAAGAAATTGGTGTTGTTTTTAGAAGTACAGTGATATGACATCGATTGTTCATAGTCTGAGACAAGTGATGATGGAAAAGTGATTTATGTCAAAATTTAAGTTAGTTCTCAGGTCTAAAGGGCTTTTTAAGGGCACGGTTTCTAATTTGCTCATTACCTCATCAGAACTATGTGGAAAGACAAATTAGGATTACTCTTTTATTAAGCCTTTTTAAATGCTCCCTTCTATTTACCACATAAATCTATGACTGCGTTCTTTTTCCACTAACACAGCTGTTCGTTTGGTGAACCCTTTTAATTACCCGTCTTCTGGTCGTGTTGAGGTGCAACACAGTGGCACATGGGGAACTATTTGTCGCGACTCATGGGACGTGAGGGAAGCTGAAGTAGTATGCCGCCAACTTGGATTCGATGGCACTTTAACAGCGTTCACATGGGCACGGGCATCATTTGGAAAAGGAGTAGGCCAGATATGGTTGGATGATTTGCAATGCCAAGGAAATGAGACATCAATATCAGAATGCTCTCACTTAGGATGGGGAGTTCACGACTGTAATCACTATGATGACGTTGGTGTAGTTTGCCGACCTGCAGGTAAGGCGTCAATACACCTAAACAATAAATCATTCAAAGTAAATATACACTTTAGCTGTAATTGAAAGTTCACTTAAAAGAGCGTTTTATGGGGTTCCCCATTTGCTTATTGGTAACTGGTTAATAATTAATTCCACAATTAACAGTTATTCGGGTGTTGGCTATTACGATTATTTTTCTGATTTTGACTGTCTTGTCCAATTTCCGCAATGTTGTATTTTTTCTCAAGCGTAGTGAAACAAGATTACCCGCCTCTATTTCTTGACAACGAGGTCGTCAAAGACGTTGAATCTCACACTCACTTATGACTAACTTTGCAGAGTAATATGTCGTGGAGAAATCGTATAGTTAAGATGTATAATAATATACATGAAAAAATTACTCGGTTCTGATTGGTTAAGATCAATGCAGTTTTCAAGTAATTCAGTGCAGAAGAGGGTTAATTCAGTGCAAATAAAGTAATAAATCAGACATTCTGATTGGTCAATAATCAAAGAAACTCATAAACAGCCAATCAAATGCGAGCCTTGGATGTCGCAACAAAATTTGCGAGCGAAACAATGGCCGGCGTTTTAGGTAGGTTTTCTTTCGCCACCGCGGCCGAAAAACAGCGCAAACAACGAAAATACTGTTAAAAGCACTGGTTTTTTGTTGTCGGTTTGGAAAAAGTAGTGTTTAGAGAAGGGAATTGTTAAGGAAATCGAAAATTACGAACCGACCCAGCTTAACACTTTGCTCGAGCGATCCAATGCCGAAATTAAAAACAAACATGGTTAAACCTCGGAAACGACGATTCCATTTCATCGAAAGTGATTCGGACACAGACTGAAAAATTCCTTGAACTATTTAGCCGGACTTTGAACTTTTTTGCGCCTTAAGGACGTGGAGATATCATTACATATTATTGTTTTGATCGTACGCGGTTGTTTTGACCGAATGCACGGTTTGAATAGATTATTTTTGCACTTGATGCACGCGCTTTGCTTATGCTTAATTACGATAGGTCATCTCGTATTTTTTCATGTATGTTATTAACACGTAATCACATGATTTTTCTCGTGCAATTTGGAATAAATAAGCACTTATTAATTTTTTTTAAAGACCACGAATTGCACTCGCCCTATGGGCTCGTACAATTTTGTTAGTCTTACTTCTTACTTCTAAACGATTAAATATGCTGAAATGTGTTAAATACAAAGTTGGTAGATCCACTTTAACATGCTTGTCCTAACCTGATTAGACCACTCATGGAAGTGGGGATGTTATCTGGAACAACTGTCATAATTGTGATTTAGCTTTACTGGATAACGTTCAATACGAAGCCGCAAGGGTGGTAACAAAAGCCATTAAAGGAACTAGCTCCGCGAGGTTACATGATGAACTCGCTTGAGAGCCTATTAGTATCAGGAGAGAACTACATAAATTAAGTCAATTTTACAAAATAGTCAAGAATCTTGCTTCACGTTATTTAACTGAAATATTGCCCAAACTATCAAGTGAACGTACTCGCTTTCGTCTCAGATCGAGAGAAAACTTCACTCAACTCCGTTGTAGAACTTCTACGTTTCAAAAGTCTTTTCTTCCATCAGCAATCACTGACTGAAATTCTCTGGACCTAGATGTCCGAAACTCAGTATCTCTTCCCACTTTTAAAGCGAAAACTCGGTCAATTCTCTTTCTGCATACTTTCAATAGGTTATATGATTGTTCTTTTACAAGGCGTGCATCTGTTGATTACACCCCCCCCTCCTTAGACTTGGGTTTTCTTATTTAACGGAATGTCTCTTCAAAATTAATAGTTGTATGTCGCCTATTTGCGGGGGCAGTTTTGACTCTGAATCGGTGAACACTTTTTCTTGTATTGCCCAAGGTATGCTGCTCGTTGTGATATCCTCCTTACCTCTGCTGCTAGGTGAAACATGGTCATTGAGTAGTGATGCTAGGAAACTAAATGTTTTTTGTATGGTGTTGAGTCTGTAAATTACGACGTTAACTGTGCTTTTTTTCGCGAAGTACAAAGTTTTATAATTAACATTAATAGCTTTTCTGTGGCCATTGTTTGATTGTTTAAATAATATATTAATAGCATAGTAAGTTTAACTCTTTGTTATTGCAACTTTTGTGTGTTGTTTAGGTGTCTGTTTGAGAGTGAGCCTGAATGAATTGATTATATATTTGTAATACTGTAATCCCCCTCGTTAACCCTAAGTGCTTTTGGGGAAAACAATGGTAAATATGTTTAAATTAAAAAAAAAAAAGTTTCCGCTAGCGGTTGTGATTAGCTTGTCCAAAGACCTCCTACCGGACTAACACTTAAGTTCTTGTTTTGACTTTAGCACTCAAAGATTAATTGGTAGATCAGCAGCATAAGGTTCGTTGTTGTTCAATAGTAAGATCCTGATGAAAGAATTTGGCTTAAAGCTTTAACGCGTAGCGCCGAGCTGCCTATAAACAGACTCGTGTCCAACGACTCCGAATTTAATAATTGTTTCATTGTATCTCATCAAATTTTGAACGTGTTAACATCTGGAGCTTTTTCAGCCTCGCAACAGGTGGTGCATTGCATTTCCATATGAAGTGACTCGGAGTATGAGCTTATAACCGAAGTTAAGAGAACCAATCAGAACACCAGGAATGCAATATTCGTTATTGAAAATTTAATAAATGTATATTAAAGTGTTTACTGCATAGTTGGTATCAAGCGTATCGGAGTAGGAGTGAGGTTAAAGTTCTACAGTGTCGGAGTTAGTTGGAGATTTAATAAAGAGAGGAGAAACGAAGGGTGAATATCCTGCGAGAGAAAGTTATCGTTTACAGTGTTAACGAAGAACTAAAAGAATATTTACAGAGTTCTTAGCGCCTTCAGCCAAGTATGGCACGCTCTTTAGATGGTTTCCCTAAAACACATAGTAACAAAGTTTATTAGCCTGAGTATGATTGTATTTTTACATCAACAACAGTACGTTTGGTGAGTCCCGCCAAGTCACCATCTTCTGGTCGAGTTGAAGTGTTTTACAATGGCACATGGGGAACCATTTGTGACAACTCGTGGGACTTACAGGACGCTAATGTAGTTTGTCGTCAGCTTGGATTCGAAGGAGCTTTATCAGTGTCTGATGCCGCTGCATTTGGACAAGGAACCGGTCAGATATGGCTGGATGGCATTAAATGTGTAGGAGATGAGACATCAATATCAGAATGCAGCCACGGCGGATGGGGAGTTAACAACTGTGGACATAGTGAAGACGCTGGTGTGGTGTGCCGCAACGCAGGTAAAATGACGATCTATGCTCATTATACAATGATATCTCTATTGTTCCTTCGAGGATAAATGTTAAAATATATGGAGAATTGTTCCAATTTTTTCATTTCCTCGTTTATGAGTGGTTGCTGAATATAATCCAGACTAACGTTATACAAGGGTGGAGGAACTTCTTGATAAACGTCCTAAGAGTCACAACTTGATCGCCTTCAGGAAAAAGGCACTCCAATTGTGGCAAATTCGACAGTGATATCTTTTGTAAGTTTCAAATGTTCTTCAACACATGTGCCCTCTTTTATATCGTAACGAATATATCGCTTTACAAAAACAGTTTGACCAGAAACTGTTTCTGCCGCTGGGGTCGCATCATCTGCGAGAACTTCAGAACCTACTCTACAAAGCCTCAGAGTCGTTTGGCCACCAATTTACAAAGCACACTTCAAATTTAAGTCGTCATAAATCGAAGATTCTATCCGAAATCCAAGCAATTATCGATGTTTTTTACCTAAAACACAACCCAATCCAGCCGGACAAAATTCTTCTGAGTCCATAATCTGTTATTTTCACGACGTAGAAAACTCAAAAGTCTTTGTTCCGCGCTCTTCGACGGTTACACACAATGAATAATCTATCAAACCTAACATATAACTTAAACTAAAAATAATGATGGTTTAAACAGCAAGAAAAAAATAAATTTCGTCCAATCGTTGGCTTAATTCCTGTAAGATAGATTGCCATTCAAATAGCATCATATCATTCTATTGTGTTCATCTAGTTAAAATTTGCATAGAACATGTTGTAGAATAGTTGTGATTGCCAAGCTGTGATTGGATGGAATTGTTCAGAGAGGTCTTTGGTATAGGGCAGGACTGAGGTGGACCGGAACTCGGCAAGGGGTTCAGTGCTGGCGGTCGGTGCCCTGGCTTTTATTACCCTCTGCACGAAAGAGGAAGAATAACCATTAGATACAAGAGCAGATGACAGATGTTTCTTCTTCTTGGAGATAACGGAGGGTTTTTTTACGAGACGTTTCGCACGCACCTTTGGCACTTGTGTCGGCTTCCTGAATACGCCGATGCTTAGGCTGCTGACCCATTGCACTGGAAGTAAGTATCTCTCAATGCAAGGTTCAGGGAGTCTGTGATCTGACTGGGTGTTTGTGTCGTGCGGTTAGGTAGGCTAGGATCGTTTCCAGTTTTTGCCGAGCTGCTTGTACAGCTAAGTCGATGGGAACTTCGTCGAAGAACATGATAATCTCGCTTTCTTTAATACTTTCAAAATTGGACAGAGTTGGCACCATAAATCTGAGCTACCCGTTAGCGGAGATAGGATGTTAGCTTGATAAGCGGATAAATCATACGCGAAGGTATGACACAATTGGTTTCAGAGGTATATCAGCCTTATGAATCCTCGGTAAACCGTAAATTTTAGGCGGCTGTTTGTGTCGTGGTCTGATCTTACTGTAGATGGCCTCTGAGAGAAATCTGCTTCATTTTAAGGTTAGCAGTTAGCAGTTTCTCAGACAACTTACTCGTCAGAAAGTCTGTTGGATCTTTGTTCAAGCGCTGGTACGGTCCGTTATCGATCAGGGAGGACATCTTGGTCTGGTACGTGTTGGCGTCTAAGACTGCATTAGCTAGTCCTTTGTCCGCTGGTAGTACCTTGATGGACTAGTCCTCTTTTAGGCGAAGATGCATGTGACAAGTGCATTCGAAGATGCTACAATCACAGCCGTGGAATTCCATCTTATCACAGCTGAGCAATACAGCATATAGGTGACGGAAACTCAGTCGACCTCATCGCCAAAACAAGACTAGCAGTATGCAGTCGAAACGTCGCGATCCACATCCAAAGTGATTACATTGTGAGACAAACGATAACATTTCTTTAATGAAAATTAAACGTATTGTTGTCGTGATCTGCATCCCGTGCTGGGCTGTTGACGAGATTTGTATGAACCACATTATATTCCTTTAAAAATCAGAAAAACTCCAGTTTTGTACACAGTGTTAGATGAGATTTCTAACATTCTTTTACGATTGAAACTTTCTTTATTGCTTCTGTTAATAGCTCAAACAGCTTGTGAGCTCGGGGTGTAGCACATCATCTTCAGGAAAGTGTCGGTTTCCAATTTATAAAGGTGGCAATTAGAAAGCTGTCAATATTTGACCAACGTCACTATTTCTCACTTCACTAGCGTATCACGTTGAGTTATGCATAACAGCTCCCGCATACTGAGAATGCAGGACTTTCTACTTTAAAATTCATATTTTTGCGGTTAAGATCGGCCAAACAAAAACAAGATTGATAATATAAAAATTATAAAGAAACCGTTGCGTAGATTAGAATTTCAATAAAAAGATCTCTAAAGAGAAATCAACCCATAAAGCTTGTTTCATAACAAACAGAATAAACAGAGAATTCGCGGAAGAAAGGGCGTACCCTAAGTACCGCTCCGTAAGAGAACTATTTGCCGTTCATATGAGTCAACTGATTATAAATTCAGTGCGGAAGATGAAAAGTACAAATTGTATACATCTTAATCTCCTTATAGAAAGAGGTGTTGTACGTGCTAAATTAGTAGCTAAGACTTACTTTCTTGATCGAGAATTCGATATGAAATTAACCTAAAAAACGAGCCTGAGCACTTGTTTCTTGCTTCTTCTTCAATCTCTGAATTATAACGTTGCTACTTTCCATCTTGCCTTTGCGAATCTCCCGTGAATCCCTTTAATTGAACTTTTTGCACTCAATTTCAACTTTCCACACCGTTTGGCTGACTAGTTCTCAGCTAATGAGCATGCTGGATTTTTGGATGCATTTTATTATTGTTCGTGTAACTGAGACATGATATCTGCAATGCGCAGAGAGCGTACAATTCATGTCTTCCAACATGTGCAGATGACATTGTCGTCTGGGAATCTGAATAAATCAACTTAGCGTTCTTGCTCTTAGCGTGGGCCTTCATGCACTCTCTTTGCAATCTCTCGAATCGGAAGAAGTATTTATTCGGTCCCGTGTTTCTTAGGCTTTCCAACACAATAGAGCGGGTTAGTTACCAGGTATCATCGTTATTGGTGGATAAATATCGAAGGCGTCCGTTCCCTAGCAAACCATCATCCTTTATTTCCTCACAGCCGACATTCGCGATCTTTTTCCGATATTTACAAGAAGCTTGATGGGAACCCATCGTGATTGTCATTTTTTTTTTTTTTTTTGGGAGGGGGGGGTAAATATTAAAATGGACGCTTCTAAAATAACAAGAAATTAGTGTTGTTTGTAGAAGTACGATGATATGAGATCGTTTGTTCATAGTCTGGGAAAATGATGTTGGGGACGCGATTTGTGTCAAAATTTAAGTTAGTTCTTGGGTCTAAAGGGGTTTTAAAGGGCACGGTTTCTAATTTGCTCATTACCTTGTCAGAACTATGTGGAAAGGTGAATTAGGATTACACTTTGATTAAGCTTTTTTATATACATCCTTTTATTTATCACATAAATCTATGACTGCGTTCTTTTTCCACTTACACAGCTGTTCGTTTGGTGAACCCTTTAAATTACCCGTCTTCTGGTCGTGTTGAGGTACAACACAGTGGCACATGGGGAACCATTTGTGGCCACTCATGGGACGTGAGGGAAGCTGAAGTAATTTGCCGCCAGCTTGGATTCGATGGCGCTTTAAAAGCGTTCCTACGGGCATGGGGTCTATTTGGAAGAGGAGTAGGCCAGATATGGTTGAATGATTTGCAATGCCGAGGAAATGAGACATCAATATCAGAATGCTCTCACATAGGATGGGGAGTTCACGACTGTAATCACTATTATGACGTTGGTGTAGTTTGCCGACCTGCAGGTAAGGCGGCAAAACAACTAAACAATAGATCATTCAAAGTAAAAAAAACTTATAGTTGTAATTGTAATTTCACTCAAAAGAGCGTTTAAGGGGGGTTCTTTAGAGCTTATGAGTTTATTGTTAACTGGTTAACAATCAATTCTACGATTAAAAGTTATTTGGGTGTTGCTATTAAGATGATTTTTCTGATTTTGACTGTCTTGTCCAATTTCCACTAGGGGTTGTAATTAGTTTCTGAAAAGACCTCCTTATGGACTAACAATAAAGTTCTTGATTGGCTTTCGTACTCAAAGATTAATTGGTAGATCGACTGCACAAGGTTCGCTGTTGTTCATCAGAAAAATCCTCGAGAAAAAAATTGGCTTGATGCTCTAACGAAGGAAGCGAATTTCCTGCCAGGGGAAGGTATTGTTTACAGTGTTAACGAAGAACTAAAAGAATATTTACAGAGTTCTTAGAGCCTTCAACCAAGTATGGTGCACTCTTTCGCTGGTTGCCCTAAAACATATAGCAACAAAGTTTATTAGCCTAAGCATGATTGTATTTTTATATCACCAACAGTGCGTTTGGTGAGTCCCGCCAAGTCACCATCTTCTGGTCGAGTTGAAGTGTTTTACAATGGCACATGGGGAACCATTTGTGACAACTCGTGGGACTTACAGGACGCTAATGTAGTTTGTCGTCAGCTTGGATTCGAAGGAGCTTTATCAGTGTCTGATGCCGCTGCATTTGGACAAGGAACCGGTCAGATATGGCTGGATGGCATTAAATGTGTAGGAGATGAGACATCAATATCAGAATGCAGCCACGGCGGATGGGGAGTTAACAACTGTGGACATAGTGAAGACGCTGGTGTGGTGTGCCGAAACGAAGGTAAAATGACGATTTATGCTCATTATACCACACAACGAATAATATAGCAAATCTGACAGGTTAACTTGGACTAAAAACAATGGTGGTTGACACAGCAAGAAAAAAATACTTTTGTCTAATCGTTAGCTTAATTCTTGTAAGATAGAATGCAATTTAAATAGCAACATATCATTCTATTCTGCTAATAAACGTAACAAGATAGGTTTGATAGCTAAGCTGTGTGTGGCGTGCCGCAACGCAGGTAAAATGACGATTTATGCTCATTATACAATGATATCTCTATTGTTCCTTCGAGGATAAATGTTAAAATAAATGGAGAATTGTCCCAATTTTTTCATTTCCTCGTTTATGAGTGGTTGCTGAATATAATCCAGACTAACGTTATACAAGGGTGGAGGAACTTCTTGATAAACGTCCTAAGAGTCACAACTTGATCGTCTTCAGGAATAGGCACTCCAATTGTGGCAAATTCGACAGTGATATCTTTTGTAAGCTTCAAATGTTCTTCAACACATGTGCCCTCTTTTATATCGTAACGAATATATCGCTATACAAAAACAGTTTGACCAGAAACTGTTTCTGCCGCTGGGGTCGCATCATCTGCGAGAACTTCAGAACCTACTCTACAAAGCCTCAGAGTCGTTTGGCCACCAATTTACAAAGCACACTTCAAATTTAAGTCGTCATAAATCGAAGATTCTATCCGAAATCCAAGCAATTATCGATGTTTTTTACCTAAAACACAACCCAATCCAGCCGGACAAAATTCTTCTGAGTCCATAATCTGTTATTTTCACGACGTAGAAAACTCAAAAGTCTTTGTTCCGCGCTCTTCGACGGTTACACACAATGAATAATCTATCAAACCTAACATATAACTTAAACTAAAAATAATGATGGTTTAAACAGCAAGAAAAAAATAAATTTCGTCCAATCGTTGGCTTAATTCCTGCAAGATAGATCGCCATTCAAATAGCACCATATCATTCTATTCTGTTCATCTAGTTAAAATTTGCATAGAACATGTTGTAAAATAGTTGTGATTGCCAAGCTGTGATTGGATGGAATTGTTCAGAGAGGTCTTTGGTATAGGGCAGGACTGAGGTGGACCGGAACTCGGCAAGGGGTTCAGTGCTGGCGGTCGGTGCCCTGGCTTTTATTACCCTCTGCACGAAAGAGGAAGAATAACCATTCGATACAAGAGCAGATGACAGATGTTTCTTCTTCTTGGAGATAATGGAGGGTTTTTTTACGAGACGTTTCGCACGCACCTTTGGCACTTGTGTCGGCTTCCTGAATATGCCGATGCTTAGGCTTCAAAAAGATTTTCTTCTAACTGCGGTGTTGAGAAAGACGAGGCTATTGTTACTTAGCGTCTCCATGGTGAAGCGGATGGAAGGCTTTTGGGGTTTTAAATGCTTTAAGAAGCTTTCTACGCTGTCAAAGGCTAAGATGGTGAAGGTTTCGTCTACTTATTATTTCCAAATCATGGGCTTGTTGAGTGATGCGTTGCTGCTTGATCTTTTAAACTCTTTATGTGGTGGTTAGCCTCCTGTCTGTTCGTAAGCTGACCCATTGCACTGGAAGTAAGTATCTCTCAATGCAAGGTTTAGGGGGTCTGTGATCTGACTGGGTGTTTGTGTCGTGCGGTTAGGTAGGATAGGATCGTTTCCAGTTTTTGCTGAGCTGCTTGTACAGCTAAGTCGATGGGAACTTCGTCGAAGAACATGATAATCTCGCTTTCTTTAATACTTTCAAAATTGGACAGAGTTGGCACCATAAATCTGAGCTACCCGTTCGCGGAGATAAGATGTTAGCTTGATAAGCGGATAAATCATACGCGAAGGTATGACACAATTGGTTTCAGAGGTATATCAGCCTTATGAATCCTCGGTAAACCGTACATTTTAGGCGGCTGTTTGTGTCTTGGTCTGATCTTGCTGTAGATGGCCTCTGAGAGATATCTGCTTTGTTTCAAGGTTAGCAGTTAGTAGTTTTTTAGACAACTTCCTCGTCAGAGGGTCTGTTGGATCTTTTTTCAAGCTCTGGTACGGTCCGCTTTCGTTCAGGGAGGACATCTGGTCTGGTACGTGTCGGTGGCTGAGACCACATCAGCTAGTCCTTTGTCTGCTGGTAGTACTTTGACGGACTGTTCCTCTTTTAGGCGAAAAAGCATGTGACGCATGGTGTATCTAAAGATGTGGAATTCCATCCAATCACAGCTGAGCAATACAGCATATAGGTGACAGAAACTTAATCGACCTCATCGCCTGAAGAAGACTAGCAGTATGCAGTCGAAACGTCGTGATCCACATCCAAAGTGATTTCTCTACTGAAAATTAAACGTGTTGATGTTATGATCGGTATCCCGTGCTGGGCCGCTGACTAGATTTGGATGAACCACACTATATTCCTTTAAAAGTGAGAAAAACTCCAGTTGTTTTGTGCACTTTATGCCGGACGTGACAGTTGCATATATTTTGGAAGAAGATGGGTTAGCCTTGAAAATTCCTCATATGTACGCATATGAAGATGAGAAACTTGTATGTTTTGGAGTTTAATTCACAAGCGTGTAGGTATGAAAGGGGAGACAGAGACGGAAACAGGAAACGTTTGGCAAACTGTTAAGTCACAATATTTTTTAATGTCAAGAATATAACTATCATGGCCAACGATAACGATAACGACGCCGATGGCAATGCCTGTGGAAACAGCCACGGTCATGGCGATAATAAAGATAATGGCGATGCCTCTGGCAATGATGGCGATAATCATGGTGAGGGTGAGGGTGAGGACGAGCATGAAGCTTAGCGTGTGGGTGAGCTGAAGATGTTTATGATGGTGTTGTTGATGATTGAAATATGGTTGTTGTTTCATTAAAAGAATATAACTATCTTTCTTATGTTACATGATATCAAACCAGGTGTACTCTCTGTAAGACCCCCTCATTGACTGAGCGACACTTAGGCATTTAGCAGGCCAAAAGGAGGAGCCTTTTCTTTCTTTTCATTTGCTAAGTATCGTTTGAAAGTTTTTGTTTTCGTTTCTTTTTCCTTATTTCGTCTGGCACATCTGCTTACTTGCTCTCGTTTCTTTCTCGGGTAATTACTGAGACCATAGTTGTTAAGACACATAGCTGCTCTGAAATGAGCTCATCTTCTCTTGATTAAGATAACGTCTGATACCTTTCTTAAGTTTTATCAAATCTATCACATACCCGTCACCAAATCACTCAAAAATGTAGAGCAAAACTGTTATAAAAAATAGTAGTGTTAAAATGATAGTGCACATACAGCCATTCACCAATATCATCCTTCCTATCCTCCTTTCATCGACCTTTTCTAAAAAACAATAATTTTATTATTCTCGTCTTAGATCTTGCCTCTCCAATATCTTTGATAATTGAAAACGTAGAAATTCATAACCGTAAAGAGGCTTTCAACTGGGGATTTCCAGTTTTGCTTACCTGTTAGATGGCCAATTCCTCAGAATATTATCATTTACCTCAAGTGGGTCTGAGCGCAAAACGAGTTCCCACTGAATTGGCATCGTTAAATTTCTTAGTTCTCTTAGTTCAGTATTAGTCTTTAACTGTTCTTTTATATAGATTGTGCTTGAATTTTTGTTTCGACATGAGGATTAGTAAGGTAAGGTTCAGAAAAAAACCGTTAAACCATTCGATATAGTGTAATCATGCTACATTTGAGAAGACTCTTCCTCATAAAGAAAGTGCGCCTCTATCTGTTTTTGCAATTTTTCCCGTTGCAATTTAAAGATTTAAGGTCTTTACCAACCTTAGCAACAAAGACTGACTGTTGGCTATAACTTCGGCATCATCGGTGTCGGTAGATAACTGTCGTAGATATTCCTCATCCAGCAAAGTATCATCTTCATTGAGATGACGAGCGATTTGCACTTGAAACGTTGTTCTCTACAGTATAAGTGACTACATTGTACGATGACCGGAAAAGCTTCCTCATAATTAAAGTATTTAAGGATGATAAAAGGACTCGTGCGCTCAAATTGTGATGTTTCCGCTTTTTCGCGGCAAAATGTCATAATCTTTTATGATATGATCCGAAACAGCCTTTTCATGACTAAGTGTAAACTTTTTTGAGCGGTTTACACAGTTTCCTGTAGACTTCCTTGTTGGGAATGCGATTCGTGTTTCAGTTTGTCGAGGGATTTGAAAGTATGTAGGTCCACTTTGATTATATTCCTATTGGACTATGATTATTCTTAAAGAAAACGACTTACGACGTTCCCTCGTATCTTATCAAACTCTAAAGTAAGTTGGATAATTCCTCAAGATTTAAAAGATCATATTCTGAACACCTTCTTATTCCATTTAATCAGCTGTTCGTCTGGTTAATTCCTTCAATTCGTCACGTTCCGGTCGGGTTGAAGTACTGTATAACGGTGTATGGGCAACCATTTGTGACTACTCATGGGACTTAAAAGACGCTGATGTAGTTTGTCGCCAGCTTGGATACGAAGGAGCTTTAGCAGCACTTCGTAACTCACCATTTGGACATGGAAGTGGCCAGATATGGCTGGGTGACGTGCAATGTATAGGGAATGAGACTTCAATATTACAATGCAGTCAAATAGGATGGGGAGTTCACAACGGTTATTGTTGGGGCAGTGATGATGCCGGTGTAGTTTGCCGACCCTCAGGTAAGAGGAAGATGTTTGTAAACATCACATAACAAACCTCATCCATAGTTTGTTGGTAGTTGTCAGTTTTGTTTTAATTTTGTGAACAGTGATAGACGAACAAATAGAACGTCTTTGAACAGACCTCCTTCCACCTACCCTCTTACCCATTGTTGATTTGCTCCTTCCGTGTTCTGTTCATAACGTTATTTGTAGTAAAAAAAAAAATGACGAAAACGTTACCCATTTTGTTTACATTCCGTACAACTTCCAGTTAACTCCGGTCCAATAAACTCCTTACGGTTTAAAACAGAATTATGATCCTCTAAGTTTTCGAAAACTATTGCTTCTTCTGTTAAAAAAAAAATGGTTTGGAAAAACTATACAGTGTAAAGCAAGAGAACTCTTATTATCACATTGCCAACAGTTCGTTTGGTGAGCCCCACAAATTCACCAACATCTGGTCGTGTTGAAGTGCTGTTCAATGGTACCTGGGGAACCATTTGTGACACCTCGTGGAACTTAAAAGACGCTGATGTAGTTTGTCATCAGCTTGGATATGATGGAGCTTTATCAGCACCTGGTAATGCAACATTTGGACAAGGAGCTGGTCAGATATGGCTGAATGATGTTAAATGTGTAGGAAATGAAACATCAGTATCACAGTGCAATCACAGAGGATGGGGAGTTCACAACTGTGGGCATCGTGAAGACGCTGGTGTGGTGTGTAGACCCACAGGTAGAGTAACAATGTCAGCAGTTATTTTACTTCTATGTTTTTTAAGCATGAAATATAGCAAATGAGAATACGGGAAAGTCGTTACGTATTTCCGACAACTGCTCAGCGAACCCTTAAACCTCGCGCTGCGATCCTATTTCTGTCAAAGTTGGAAAGTGTTACCATTTCTTGTTATTTTTTCAAGCGTTTGACTTCATGACCGTTTTGATAACCTTTATCTGTATTCTGTGTCATTCTTTTCATCAAGGCCGTGAGATAAATGATAGCTTGCATGCATGATAGAAAGGGAACAGAATATTTGTTTAATATGTCAATGGTGGTCTGGCAAAAAGCGGTCCTCTCGATTTCCTGACTAAAGAAAGTTTGCCAAAGGAAAGGGTTTGGGGAAATAAAAGTAATTCCTTTTTTTCCAATTTCTTCCTTATCTTTGCACCAAAAAAGCGAAACTTGATTTTTGGCTAAAAAGCGTGAGAGAATGGTATAATATCTTTGTTCAACTGCAAATCGAACATCTTGCCTGTCTTCGGTCTCCGTTCTACAGACACCCAATATAACTAATGGCCTTTCACTGAGAGTATTCCTTTAGGCAAAGTAACAAAGGGAACGCAGTTCACTGGTTATATGCTTCAGACACTTCTTTTTATCTGTATTCTTTTTTTAATTCTTACATGTTGTACAACGTTCTTTAGCGCCAAACGCAAACTCTCGGATCTTCAAACCAACGAAAATAAGCCAGCTTGTTATCTTGTGTGGCGTTGACTATGCTAATTAATCACTTGTACTTAATGAGCATGAAATCAATTCTGACGAGAGAAGTTAACATTGGGGTGTCCACTGTTACATTTGTGTTTCGATGACCACATTTCACAAAAAGTGGTCTTTGGTACCCACAGACCCACGTTCATTATCCAAAAAACGACTTTCAAGAGAAATATCATTTATCATTTTTGTCTCAGAGGGCACGGTAACAAATCTTGCAATCTGATTGGTTCTCTTTCGTGAGTCACCGAGAACATTCCTAACTCCGTTGCCATTCGAAATGAATTTGTACTAGCAAATGTGTCATTAAATGGGTTGACACGCGACCTAAAACAGATTTCAGTTAACCTTAGTCTTTCACAAAGAGTAACTCAGAAAGTTAAGGCTGCAAGATGTTTGTTTAAAATTAAATTAATCAATGGAACTTTCATTCATTTTATATCTGAAGTCTCTCAATCAATTTTTTTCGTTGTGCGAAGTTTTTAGTCCTACATCAAATCCGCTTTCATTCATTGCAAGTCGACCTGTTTAATTTGGCCATTTTCACTGTAAATTGCACAAAAAAAACCGATGAATTCAACCGAGAAAAAGCTGAATTAAATTCCCCTCGGGTCTAGTTTAAAAATTCCTCATTTGATTTAAGTTCATGATTTGGTGGAAAAAGGCCTGATTTACATGCGCCATTGCAGCAAACAAACGCGCAAATTCCCACAACTTCAAAACATACATTTGAATTTGCTTTCAATTACTTTCCTTGCAATTTACAGAGGCATTCTTCGTAAACTAATCGTCGATGGAAGTGAATAATACTCGTTGTGAAAACATTAAATAGTTTTGAAGAAATAAATGTCGTGACAGTCATTGAAGCTGAGTTTGTTTGCCAAACCAGTAGCGTTATTTTCCAAAAGTTTTTTTTTTCTTACGCGCTCTCTAACTGACATGTGTCAGATTCTGACTGATACTTTTTAAAAAATGTTAGAAAGTTTCTTTGGAAGCTTACTGAGTCACTTTTTACTGAGTCACTTTTATCGCTAAACAAATAGGGATATTAAGGTGAAGTCTCTCCCTTTAATTTGCATTATCTCTGTTTTAACTACCATTTGCTCACTTAAAAATTGTTCAGTTTAAAGAAGGATTTTGCCGTTATTACAGCCCTAAATCATTAATTTTATTTTGGCTGCAATTTTTTGAAGTTTTAGATAAAAATAAAAACTTTGTTCACCAGCCTAGGTCGGTCCGTATTGGGAAAAACTTTGCCTTCTGTCTTGAGTACCGCGAGTACTCAAGACCTAGGGCACAGTTTTTCCCAATACGGATCAGTTGCTTTGTGGTATCATGAAGCCTCGTCAATACTAATGCACGATAATCGTGTCCAGACGGAAAAAAGTGATCACCGTCTTAAACCTCCAGAGAGCAACTGTCACGACATTTATTTCTTCAAAACTATTTAATGTTTTCACAAAGAGTATTATTCACTTCCATCGACGATTAGTTTACGAAGAATGCCTCTGTAAATTGCAAGGAAAGTAATTGAAAGCAAATTCAAATGTATGTTTTGAAGTTGTGGGTTCTTGAATTCGTTTTGTTATTCTTCCCGACTGAAGATTAACTGAGTTGCTCCTGTTCACCGTAAAACAGCTGTCCGTTTATTGGATTCCAACAATTCGCCAAGTTCTGGTCGTGTTGAAGTGCGGTACCAAGGTGTATGGGGAACCATCTGTGACAATTCATGGGACTTAAAGGACGCTGATGTAGTTTGTCGTCAGCTTGGATACGAAGGAGCCTTGGCAGCACCTCATAACTCAGCATTTGGACAAGGAACAGGCCGGATATGGTTGGCCAATGTGGATTGTGGGGGTAGTGAGACATCAATATCACAATGCAATCATGGAGGATGGGAAAATCACAGCTGTTATCACAGTTCAGATGCTGGTGTAATTTGCCGACCCAGAGGTAAGGCTGCCATTCTCTTCTAAAGCAAATTATTTAGAAAAAGAAAACTTTTGTTCTTCTTCCAATCTTTCTTTTGTTTTTTGGTTTTTGCCAACCGCAATTTAATGGTGTAATAAGTTCACGTAAAACTACGCTTTACTGCATCTAATTTCGAAGGGATTACTGTTGTTGATTTTCTATTAACGTGGCTTACCTGTGGCAGACTGCGTGGTCAAATATAGAAATTGGCAACTTCCTTGAGCTTTTTTTAGAAGTAAAGCCCTATTGGCTGGGGTTAATCCTCGGATGGGTGACCGCATTAACCCGTGCAATTAACTTTTTTTTCTCGTCTTTTATTACTCTCCACATGACACCTGAGTAACTATAGAAAACGACCAATGCATCCGAGGTCAACGCTTTCAGGCGTTCTTTCTGTACTTTCCATCGAATGTTTTGGTCAGTAGAGTTACGAGGTTCGCATTGCCTCGGTTTTCAAAACAATTAAATTAAACGAAACCCTACCATGGATAACAGCTAACTTATTTCGACACTCTTATATCAACAATAGTGCGTTTGGTGAGTCCCACCAATTTACCAAATTCTGGTCGTGTTGAAGCGTTCTATAATGGTACATGGGGAACCATCTGTGACAACTCATGGGATTTAAAGGACGCTGATGTAGTTTGTCGCCAGCTTGGATACGATAGAGCTTTGACAGCACCTGGTGATGCAGTATTTGGACAAGGAACTGGTCAGATATGGCTGACTGACGTTCAGTGTGTTGGAGACGAGACATCGATATTTGAATGCAATCACGGAGGATGGGGAATTCACAACTGTGGGCATAATAGTGACGCCAGCGCAGTGTGCCGACTGCCAGGTAAAACAACGGTTCATAAAGAATTCGTTCATGTGTAGCGGGAAGTTTGGAGAGCACGAGAGAAGCGTCAGAGTTGCTCGACACGCAGTCGAAAGCAATTCTAGCTTCTCTGTAAAATGTTACGATTTTAAAACAAATCTCTTGAACAAAACTTTTGTATAACTTAATATAATATTAATAACAATATCTACCGTTCTAAAGAGTCCTCGACGTCGCAAAGCCCGAGTTGAACTCAGACATTTTTTTTTCAGCCATAATTCGTAACACGTTTGGGAATGAAGTATCTTTAACTCCAAAGCTAATTTTGTCGCTTGAAAGAGCTACATGCTTATTGTTTTTAGAAACGAGTATTAGCATATTTAATTATTATTTTGAGCTCCAAAAGGTCTTTCTCAATCAGTATGGAACAAAAAAAGAATATGAAAATTTAAAAACTCGGGTCACAGTCACTCACCAATTAGTTACCAGGGCAGAAACAGATGAGGTTAGTCGGCTATCGCCATGACGGTCGGCTGAATCAAAGAAGGGAAAGAGGCAAAAAAGGACCGGGGGGGTTGCCATTGCTCAACAGCCTGGAGTTCTCTGACTAAAGTAACCTGGACAAAAAATATGAAGCTATTATATGCATAGATGAGGACGCTGTATACTCACCACAAGCTTCCGCCTATTTGATAGTTTGTTTGACGGGACTTCATAGTTGATGGTGTAAAATGCTTTCCTTTACTCGATTAAAACCGACCAGTTAACCGACTATGTCGTTAATGTTCGTACAGATTGCAAATAAATAAATAAATAAAAACTTTATTTAAGGAGGGTAACACATAACAGTAATTCAACCGAAGAACTAGTGGCCCTCGATCCTAAAAGTACCATAATTAGAGTTAAAATTGTATTCGAAGATTATAAATCTGGTCGACAGTTTTTCATAAAATAAAATATGCCGCTTGGGTCAGGTTAATTGCATTCGGACTGAAATTTTCTACTTCATCATAGCTCGTAGAAAATGTTTGTCAAAGGCCTTTCTGTTGTCGCCTCTTTCTTTAGGTTAATGGCTTGTTGGCTCCACAGTCTTGTTGCAGATACGCTAAAGGTCCTCCCTCCCTAGGTTTCGCGATTGAAACGAGGACAGGCGAGATTTAATTTACTATAACGACCAGTTCGGGAGTGTAGGTGTGCATGAAATTTGAGTAGATCGTACATATAAGCAGGACAGCATCCTTGTTAACGCTTTAAGACTAAAGTACTTTTATTTAATTTAACTTCGTCGTAGAAAGGGGAGCCACGATAAATTCTTAAAGAGGCGGTGTAGTAAAACGCTATTCTTTGAGATAGTTTCTTACACATGCAGTTCTTCAACATGAGCATTAAAGCTTAGATGTCGGTCAAAGGTAAGCCCTAGGAGTTTCTGACTATCCATCTGTTCTATATTTGAGTTCCCAAGATGAAAATTTAATGAACCATCGACGATCTTACTTGTAAGGTGTTTCCCGGTCACTGAGAGACATTTCGTCTTAGCGGCGTTCGTAACCATCTTGTTGGCAGCTGACCACTGGGAAAGGTCTTCTAGGTCTAAAAGGGCTAATAAGATGCCAAGAAGTCTATTTGTCACGTCGGATGAAAAATTGAGAGTGGTGCAGCAGTTCAGCACATCGTTCTACCGTCGGACGGTAGAACGCTGAGCTGCCAAGGGTAGGTCGTTGATGATCAGGAGAAAAATAATGGGGCTCAGTATGCTCCCTTGTGGTGCTCCAGCTGTCACAGTTCTTGGAAAGAAATGACATCCGTCAATGACTACGTACTATTTGCGTCCACTCAGATAGTTGCGTAGTAAGTCTAGTTCGTGGCCACACATCCCAGAGACATTCAGTTTCGTTAGAAGGAGACCGCGGTCTATGCGGTCAAATGCTTTCTCGTAGTCAATAAATACTACCCCCGTTGCTCTGTTTTTGTCTGAGTCAAGGAGCAGCTGGTCGACTGGTCGAGTAAGGGCGGTCTCGGTGGAGTGGAATTTACGGAATCCGTAATGAAAGTGATGAAGTAACGCATTTTCCTCAAGGAAGTGCGAAATGGGGGTCACTTTACCTACTTTTCCCTTTCTTGGGAATGTCTGTGTGTCGATGCAGTACAATTTATTAGCTTACGAAGGAAATCAGCAATGGCTAGTGGTGTAATTCTCAGCACTTTGGCACTAACACTATCCCCACCAATAGCTTTATGCGCTGGAACAAAAAGAAGGTCCACAACTGTCTCCTTAGATATGTATGGGAAATTTAACGTTCCAGACACTTGATATGGCGCAGGAGGGGATGCCTGTTTAGATATAGAATTTCAAGGTCGTCCGCTTCGAGGTCTCCGCGTCTTTTTGCCTCATAGGAGTTGTTTACATAGGCTAGAATTTCACCGTCTGTTCTCGAGACTTTTTTTATTCCGAAATTTTCTAAATTCTGAAGGAAATCTACTTTATGTAATTGACTTTCGAAAAATGACCTAGCTTTATATGTTAGAAAAATTCTCACGATGTTGTGAGAAGACCTGCACTAACACCCGTTCATTAATCCTTAATCCTTAGGTCCATTTCTCCCCCTTTGATATTTCACAGCATATAAACTGTAAGAAATAAGATGAGATAAGAATTCAGCGTATCTCAATCGGCTGTCACATCTTATTTGATATATGTGGGAAATTTAACGTTCCAGACACTTGATATGGCGCAGGAGGGGATGCCCTCTTCTTATTTTCTGATCTCGTCACGACCGGCTACGATCCAAATTTGGGTGGACAAGGATGCTGAAGTCCGATTCGTTCCGCTCGCATTGTTTCCATCTTTGTGATACTTCTTGACGATCAGTTTCGTGACTTGATGTCTTCAAGGAATAATTTTCCTTGAAAATCAGCATCGTGAGATAAGAATTCAGCGTATCTCAATCGGCTGTCACATCTTATTTGACCTTCTTCATCTAGTCGGGGTTGTAACGGGAGTGGCTTGCTCTTCTTGGGTAGTTCCACTTTGTTAACAGGCCACACCGAGTCTTCTTGCAACCAAAAGGCCATTTTTAAAAAATTAATCCGCTGGGTTCTTCTCTGTTGGGACAAATCGCCACTGCCTTGGGTCCGTTTCGGTCTGAATCTCTCCAACACGATTTACCACGAACGATTTGAATGACTGACTTCGTCCTTTTATCCACCATAGCACATTTACGCTGTCCGACCAGAAAGTGACTTGATTCAAACTGACACTAAAGGTTCTTGAAATAGATTCCATCATCCTCAGTCCTAAGACTGCTGCCATCAATTCCAAATCGAGGAATGCTAGTGGCTGCAAGTGATACTACTCTTGTCTTTGCCGCAACAACTCTTCTCGTGGTTGTTCCGCTTTTGTAAGTTGTCCTTGAGTAGACAACAGCCCAATGTGCATCTTTCGAAGCGTCTACAAAGGTGTAAAACGTTTGTGACAGCATTTCTTCCCCCTGTCCTTATCTAAGACTCCGCGAGACCTTAATGGTGGATAGATCCTCCAATTCGCGAAACTGTGATCTTACTTTGTTAGCCATCTATGTTTGGAGTAAATTGTCCTAGTCCATCCCCACGAGCCTCATTTCTTGAAGATCTTGGCTCGGATGATGAAAGGCGCTAGAAATCCGATTGGGTAAAATGCGTTGGCTATTTTCTTCAGAAAATTTCGTTTGGTGAGAGGAAGATCTTTCTCAGAAGAGTTCGATCTGAGAGTAAAGACAACTTCTTCTGGTAACTATGCAACACCTAATGTCTTCACCATGGTTGCCCTAGTACTTGCGTAATGCACCACTGATGCTCTACTTTCAGTTGGGATCCTTTTGAGAACTTTGGGAGAATTTGTGAGCCACTTGTGAACTTGCATTCCTGCCTTAGACCAAAGCTCGTTTAACTCTTCGCAAAGCCTTACTCCCTGGTCATCGTTTGCGACCAAATCCATGCTGTCGTCCTTATAAGTCGATTTCAAAACTGTCTCCGCGCCCATTGGAAATTCGTCTCTGAGTTTCTCCGTATGCGTCTTCACAACAAATTGGGCTTGGAATGAAGAAGAGTTAAGGCCAAAGTCAACTCGGTTGAATTCGTACTCAGTGGGCCTCTCGTCTTGATTCAGGACTCTCCAAAGGAAAGGCAAGTGTGGTCGATCTCCTGGAGCGACTTCAATTCTCAAGTACATCTCCGGGATGTCACACATCAGAGCTACAGGGTTTCTTCGAAAACGGAGCAGAACACTTTTCAGTGCTCTTTGAATTTTCGGCCCTTGATGGATGCGTTATTTAAAGAGACTCCGTCGCACTTTGCAGAGGGATCAAATACGATCCGTATCTCCGTTTTTGTTAGTTCTGGCTTCACATCAGGAAAGTGGGACAAGTAGTACTTCTTAGATGAATGCTTTTCTGTAGGGTCTACTTTGCGGATATAACCCTTCTTAAAGCACTGGTTGATGGTCTTTCTGTAAATCCCTCTCCCATCTCTGAATTCTTCATTAAACGCTTCTTGATGTTTAGAAATCGTCTCAGAGCCATTTTGTAATTGTCTAGCAATACAGATCAGTCATCTTTCCAGGGAATCGCCTCTTGATATTTGCCTTCGACGCGTGTGATGGATTCTTCCAGTTCCTTTACAGCTGATCTCTCATCTGGGGTCAATACTTCTAACACTTTTGATATCCCGTAATCTTCAAAGCAAGCTATCCACTAACTTTATCTGACCCTTCTCGGTGCTGTTTAACAAAGTAGATGTGCGTAAAATTGGTCAGCAGACTTCCGCTTTTCTGGCCGTCAACGGGTCCCACGCAGGTCCAACCTAAGGGGTTAGCCTGGCTGCTGGTTCGCCTGTGGATTGGCTGAGGCGATCACGTGTGATCTTCCTGTTTTCTCTTCGTTTGGTCCTTGAGAGGATTACAGAACTACTTGGGTCGTTTCTCTTCCTGGTTTCGGTTCTCTTTGTGTGTTGGTGTTGTTTCAGTCTTCACTAGGTCCTCACGATTTGTGTCAGTACGGCTCTTGTCAACGTGTAAAAGTCTATTATGAGTGTCTCTGCAGTTGTTCATTCTACAAATCCTAGTCCTGGTACATGTTTGTCCGCGATGGTCAGCTCCTAGAGAATGAAACAAAAAGCTCAAACGTTTTGCAGTGTCCCATCTTTGCTGAATTCCTAGCTTTTTGAGCTTGTTACATCGCCAAACGCCATGTGGTCCCTTGCACACTTTTGCATGGGCGAAATTTCCGAGTTTCCGACTCTTGAGAAATCCCGAAGAATAATCTCTCGCCACGGGTACGTCTTGAATCAATGTTCTTTTTGAATAATTAACTCCTCGAATAGTCTCCGAAGCAACAGTTTGAAATTCTGCTTCCCGCAATACAAACTCCTTCAGGGTCTCGACCAATTCCCAGTGACTGTTTTCAAAATGCCAGCGATTGTATTGGGTGAGCATCGCCTCGTTCTATCTTTTGCACAAATTAATGTACAATGTTCCTTTTCCGAGTTCTTCGTAGCGACCAGTCTCTTTAAGGTTTACCACGATTACGTCCAAAAAATCTGCAATTTTTCGATGTCTCCCGCGTTTCCACGACGGACGGTTTTGATGTTTTCCAGTTCTTCGAGATGTAAGGCTATTTTTCTGCCCTCTCCGCCAAATTTGTGTTTCAGTCCAGCCAGCTTCGTAACCCGCAGCAGAATATCCTAGTGGTTCCACGATCTTTTTTGCTTCTCTAGAAAAATGTTGCCGTAACTGAGGCAATTTATACTTGTGTGTGGCTGGATTGCCATGGATGCTGCTTTCCATCCTTTGTATGCCCTTTTGTAACCGTTAAGACGGGAATAGAACCACGCTTTAATTGATTCCACATGTCTTGTCCCAGTCTCCGTTTTTCGTGCAGTTCTTTGATTTCAACACCTTCGACTTCCTCGTCAATTAAGCGTTCTTTATACTTTTGGTCTTAGTCCCGAAGGGAGATTAAAGTATTTAAAATGATTGAGACACTAAACACTTTAATCTCCCTAATCACTCTACACAGCATATGGCAATTTGCGGCCTACCCCTACGTCTAGACAGTTCGGAAAGCCGCTAAACTCTAGAGCAAAAATTTATCTTCCAAATCGACACTCTTAATCCCAACGGTATCAACGAGCGCTCTTCATTCAATTAATTTATTCTTGTTTTCTGGTCACCATATTCCCACCCGACAGGCCTTTTCACACTCCAGCCTTTACTCTTGAGACTTAATCTCGTCCTTTACAATTAGCTTACTTTTCTTTTCGATGCTTTTTTCAACATGGCGTCGATGAATGTTCAATGAAGCGTCCGTTGCCAAGCTCGATAACTCATCCTTTCGACCGTCCAAAAATACTTGCACTCTATCGTTCACATCTGAAATTCCGTTTCTAGTTTGTCCATTTCTTCGTCGACTTTCCTTTGACTTTAAACGTCTTCTTCATCAACCATGTTAAGCACTTTGTTTTTACGCGTGTAAAGGCGTACTTCTGTGTGGCTTTTTCCTGATATTGATTCTGCAGTCTTTCTTCGACGTCCTCTTGAAATGTTTCCTCGCTGCCGTCCTCCAAGGAATCTTCGCTCGCTGACATGACCTTTTAGAAAAGCTCGCTTTGCTACCAGAAAATGTTCTCAAAACGAAATTGTTCTCAAAACGAAATCTACTTAATCTTCTTGGCCTTCGAAAAATGACCCGGTTTTATATGGTAGAAAAATTCTCACCATGTTGTGAGAATACTTGCACTAACACCCGTTCATTAATCCTTTTGTCCACCGCCTGACTTTCCTCTCGATGAAGCTGAAAATCCATGAATACCATAGAAGGAATCAGGTATTTTGTGAGAGCAAAAGGTATCCGATAGGATCACAATATCCAGTCTGTCCTGGTAATTGCTCGGTCGTCTTAACATTGCTCGGATCTCCTCTAGCTTACTATCTATCAGGTGCTGTACATTCCATTAACAAATATGCTGACCGTTTAAGCTCTGAGCTTGACCGGGACCAGGCTGAATCTCTACATCATTAGCCAGCTGAACGAGTAATAACAAGATAGAGATATTGAGCATTAGTCGGTAACCGAGGAGAACTCGCGTAGAGTTTGAAACGAGTCCATTAGATCTCGTCGCACTGGAGTTTCGTGTTTGATAGCCATAAGTCTCTATTCTTGGTCTAGAGAAAATGCTTGAAGTGTAGAATGCTTGGCTTTGATGTTGCTTAGATTTCTGAGAGCTGTAGTTAATAGAACAGAGGTAAAAAATACAATATAATGCAGACTGAACGGTGAGCTCAAAGACCACGACCACCCACCATCTTTTTTTTTGTATCGGCAAAGCAACTAACGACCGATTTAGTGAATTGAAATTTTTGGAAAACGTATTGGTAAGAGCTAAGAAATCAGTGAAACTGGAGATAATGGTTTTGGAAATCAAGAAACTGCCGAAAACCTAGAGATTTATATGTCATTCACCAGCCGGGAGGCCTGTATTGGGAAATACTGTGCCCGACGTCTTAATACTCGAGACAGAGGGCATAGTTTTCCCAATACGGACTAACTTAGGCTGATGAACAACATCTTTATTTTTTCTAAAATTTGAAATGCTTGCTAAACAAAACATAACGCTTAACAAAGGAACCCAAATTATTTAGGGTTGTTAATACAGTAAGATCCTCCATAAACTGAACAATTCCAGTTTTCCTCCCAATTGCGAGTAGATGGCAGGGAAAACAGTAATAATGCAAATTAAAGAGAGAAGCCTCTACAAAACATTTTTATTTGGGTAATAATAGAGGTTTTTTTATAGACTCCTGAGCAAACTTTCAAAAATTTTTTTACAAAAGTCTGTCACAATCTTACACCTGTCAATTGGAGACGGTTTTAAGCTGCGTGTCTTTAGGCGACCAAACTGTTTTGAGGGGGAAAGAGAGGGAGAGAGAGAGAAGAGGGGAAAAGAGGCTTAAAAATACTGCCCAGTCGATAACACAAAAGATATTTTAGGAAAATGGCAACGAAGCTAGGGATGGACTCGGCGACTCACGAAAGCGTTATTGGTGTTCAATATAACCAACGAACAGATTGGCGAAGCTGGGTCCCATTTTGATGCCCATAGCTTCACTATGAGTTTGCTTGTAAAAGTTGCCCCGAATGAAAAGCAATTGGTCATGAGTGTTAACACTAGTTCAGCTAAGAGGAGTTATGTTTCTGAGCTAGGTTCCTTAACAGTAGGTTTATCGTAAAAATGTTTGGGGGCCAGGACACCTTCGCCATTGGGAATGACGGTACAAAGAGATTTAATTTTGTGTTCGCCTTAGAAATCGAAATCGCGAAAGATCGTGTCGGTTGTCTTTCGTGTGATAATTTGACGATGGGTGCTATAACATTGTTTAAATAGCTAGAAATAAGTTAGGAGGGACAACTTCAAGAATGACAATGGGTTGGTCTTGGCTGTTAGATTTGTGGATCTTAGATAAAAAGTAACTACACAAAGTTTTTAGGAGTGGCGACGGTGAGAATTTTTGCTTTTGCAGAAGCAGGCGGCTCCTGTTTTGTTATAAGATCTCTCTTGGTTCCTGAAAAAATCTAATTTGAAATCGGGCGACAAAAAATATTTCGGTTGTTCTCACGCACCGAGATGTCTCAACAAAAAATATTTCGAATTTCGTAAAAGCATTCTACAGTTTGGTGCAGTAGCATCTGACGAATACTCTGTCCAAGTTTCACCAAAATTCCACAAAGGTAATTCGCGTAAAAACCAACTTCGAGTTAATGGCTTCCATGAAATTCACAGCTTTTCTCAACTGATTTAGCACGCATCAATGCGGTCATGCCGCCAACCAATGAAACGCTACCTCGCCAGAAAAACAAAATTTAATACTAAAATGAAGGCAAAAACTTTATTGGTAAAAACAAAGAGGAAGGTTAGCCTATTTTCGCTCAGTCAAAATCTTTTACCTTTGATATCAACGGTCCAGGCTTTCTCTTAGATTTTTCCCATACCAGCTTTTCACTTCTTGACTATTTCATGACGACTATTATTTTCAATGTTTTGAGAAAAGATAATAGTGAACCACGTGACAAGTCCTCAACTATGAATTATGAATTTAAAAAAATACATACATGTATCATACGAAGGGGTAAACTGTCCGTTTACATCTCGTAACTATCACAAAAATATGAAGTGCAATTGAAAATGTTCCCTGATTAACATTATTCCTCCATATACCTAAAATAGAATATTCACGTTTATAATTTTTTTGACAGTTAACTTTTTATTATCTTGAAACAGCTGTACGTTTAGTGAATTCTTATTTACCGAGTTCTGGTCGAGTTGAAGTGCTGTACAATGGTACATGGGGAACCATTTGTCACCACCATTGGGACTTGCAAAATGCTGATGTAGTCTGTCGCCAGCTTGGATTCGCGGGCGCATTAGTGGCAACGTTTAGCGCAGAATTTGGAGAAGGAACTGGTCAGATATGGCTGGATGATATGCAATGTAAAGGAGATGAGACATCAATATCACAATGCGCTCACTCAGGTTGGGGAGTTCACAACTGTTGGCACTCTTCGGACGCTGGAGTAGTTTGCCAACCTGCAGGTGAGACGATGATACCCCTACACAATGGATTATTCAAAGTAAACAAACCCTTTTATTAAAATGCTGCAAGTGTGTGTGGGTGACGCTATAGGTAATAAACCAACGCTAGGAAAAGTTCAATTAAAACCATCCATAGCAGGAAGTTTAGGTCTGCGGTTCCTGATTTGTTTAAACTTCATCAGAAATTACACTTTGAAAAATTTTAAGGGGATTCATTTCATTTGGACATACATCACATACCCCGGTTAAGTATTATTTCCACTTCAACCAGAGATATTTTGGCGGACTCTTACGAAGTGAAACAAGCTAACTTATACTTTCAATTGGGCAACAGTTCGTTTGGTGAGCCCCACCAATTCGCCGTCTTCTGGTCGTGTTGAAGTGCTGCACAATGGTACATGGGGAACCATCTGTGACAACTCATGGGACTTAAACGACGCTGATGTAGTCTGCCATCAGCTTGGATACAGTGGAGCTTTATCAGCGCCTGGTGATGCAGCATTTGGGTTGGGAACAATTCAGATATGGCTGGATGACCTGCAGTGTGTAGGGGATGAGACGTCAATATCAGAATGCAGTCACAGAGGATGGGGAGTTCACAGTTGTGGGCATAGTAAAGACGCTGGCGTTGTGTGCCATCCTTTAGGTAATTGATTATTATGATATATGAACTCCCCCTTGACAAATGAATGGCTTACAGAATGTGTTGACTTTTCGATGGTAAAAATGAACGGGAAACCCTCACGGATGAACTGCAATAGGACCATAGGGGAGCCTGTAGAAAAAGAAGCCTTATATAATTAAGGCTTGGGGTATGATTCGAAAATTTGCCTCGTAGATACTTATTGGGTTTAACCACTCGTGGGTTACAACTATCGAACGATAGACAATTTTAAAGCGCATAGTTTTAATATTTGGTGTATCATTTCGCAAAGTTGTTTGAAAGGCACATCCAGTTCGGAACCTTCCTAAAGTTTCAGGTGGCTTTGAAGTATTTGTGAAGAGATTTTAAAATTTGATTAAAGTATATAATTATGTGACATACAGATAATGGCGGTTCAGGAATAAGACACTAGGTCTCCAAACTCGTTTTTTGAGTCTCAGGCGCATATGAGTCAAATCCAGGGTGCTTCTAAGAGGTTGAGATGTTTACATAAAAGTAATCAAGTTACAGTCAGAAAAAAATGGGATATTTAATTTGAAATTAGTTTCGAGGTAGCCTTCATAAAAAAAATATAGTAGTATCATCGAAGAGTTCACATTTAGAAATAACGAAACCAATTTGAGCCACCTGAAATAAACTCTGCTTAGGAGTGAGTTCAAGTTCAGAAGCAAAATAGCTATAGACCGATGAAAAGTGAATTCGTCATCCTTGATACCAATGATAATAATCATACGTATACATGGTGCATAATTCTATACGAATATCTTCTGTTGTGCATTAGTTACAAAAAATCCCCTGTGAAATTCAAAATGAATTTCAGGGTCATTGGCACCCGCATGTGCACTCAGCCCCTCTTTCAACCGTTACTCTTGCATGCCATGATGTCCAGTAGCCGTCTTGTCATCTTGAACTGTGCTATTGCCGTCGTTTGCTGAAAGGGCAATCTTGTTTATTGTGTTAGTGAAGATCTGACTTCGTATCACGTGATTCCTCTTAAAAACTTGTTTAAACACGTTTCAGGGTTTCTTGAGATTGTCATGCCACAGGATCAGCATCAATGCTGTATCTTGTTATGAAGATGTTGTGAAAATAATCTCCGTCTTGTTTTCAAAAATATCCTCATAAATAATGATCATCTGTATTAATTCCTCTTTCAGTTAAGTTGAGACGCTTTTTTCCGTTACAGCAGAAAGAAGTGTTTACTTCACTCTTCCTTCTGCTGGGTTTGCCCTTTTATTGAAACTTGGTTCAATATCAATGAAATCTTATCTAAAACCCTCTCCTCTCTGAATTCTGAATATTTTTTTGTTTTCTCCAACGACAATGAATGGTGCACTTTGTCTTGATTTTGGTCTTGTCTCTCCAATAACATCTCTATCTTTTTCAAGAGAAAGAAAAAGAAAACTTAAAGGTCTCCAATGAAGCTGTTTCTTGTATATATTGCTGTTCTATTTGAACTCCATTTATTTATATTAGTAACACTCAAGACACTCACGGTATGAGGAAGATGATCATTACAATGATTAAATTTTTATAAAAGGAAGATCGAATCGCCAATTTTAGGGAAAAAGAAAAAGTGTCTTTCGTTGTTTGATGAAGTGGATATTTTGGTCTGAGTGAAATTGTATTGCTTTGTGTTGTATGGTTGCTCAATCCTGACTGGTCGAAAGCATAAACACTGAAGTAATAATAACGAAGTTCTTCACTGTCTGAGTTTTGGTTTTTGTGATACCAGCATTTTTCCTTTTCTTTGACGAATGCCTTGGTAAAGAGATTTCTGTTTGCACATTTTGACAAAAAAAAAATGAAAAGATTGTTTCTATTTTTCGTTATCTACATACTTCTTGTTTGCAGCGTCTTCGTTTTCAGTTGGATAGGCAAGATCAAACCAATCGAACTTTAACGATACCATTATTCTCTTACATGTCCCCTTATTGGGATTTTTTTTCTCTAAGGTGAGAGGTTCGGCAGCCTTGAATCTACTTGCAACATCAACAATTGTCCATGCATGCCTATAGACCTTCCTCACTCTTGGGTGTCTGTGATGAGGAAGGAAAAAAAAATTCAGATTGATGAGCTGTATTCGAGAATAGCCTCGAGGCAGGCAAATAAATCTACCAGATGGCTAACTTCATCGGCCAAAGCTTTGCAACATCCTCAGACATTCTGCCTTCTTTAGGCAACTTCTTAAATTCATCGGCCAAAGCTTTGCAACATCCTCAGACATTCTGCCTTCTTTAGACAACTTCTTAAATGAAGGCAATTCCTTCCATAAGCCTTTTGAGCTATAATAAACTCTTGAAATCTTTCTTCCCATTTTATTTGTGGATTCACAAAAAACTACTGACAGCCAATCCCAGACCAAAGCTCCAGCCTCAACTTAGATCACTCCACCTTGCTTTTGTTGTGGTCTAGGCTTGTAGAATTCAGAAAACTGTGGCTCAAGATCTTGATTATGTGCCTTGTTTTCTAGCTTAAAAGCCTAATCCGTATCAGTAAAATAATGCTTTTCCTGTGCCTTGACACGGTCATTAGCTGCAATCCAATCGAGGAGCCTTGTTCAATTCTCTTTAAGCTTCTCAAAGACCACCTGATACTTCTCCATAGCGATATCATGTCTCTCCTTCTCCTCTTAACGATATTCTGGTCTTCACTCAAATACTTTGCGAAATAGCTTCCACCAACAAAGGCAATCGCATTGATGAGCGCTCCTGCAACGACTATTACTATTCTTGCCATATATCTTAAAAGAAAATCATTCTTTTGACTCAAGGAGAGCTTTTCAATATAGCTCATAAAAATCTTGACGAAGCCGCCCTTCTCTTTCCAAGATGTAAAGTGTGAAGGCAGCTTCACGAAGCAAGAAGATAGCACCAAACTTCAAGATCTTCTTTGTAAATTCATTGACCATTTTTGAGAAGGTAACATCTTTTGCAAGAAAAGCGGTTTCGACCACTTCACGCAGTTCATGAGATTAGAAACTTTCCTAGAAATCCATCCGATTATAGTTGCAGCATTAGTCACTGTTTTTACCAGCTTATTATCAGACAGTTATTTTACTTAGCAAACAAAAAAGAGTCCACTGGTTTTACTCTTTCTTGAATCTGTGATTGTGTTGGTTGAGGGCTTTGAGGCTGTAGTTCTGGTTTTCTACTGAGAGCCATCACCTCTTTCCTTTGATTGCAGAGTCCAGCCAGATCCTGTCTTCTTTTCCTTTTCTCAGCTGCAACCCCCCTGTGTCCTTTGGTTCTGTTTTGTTCTCGGCTAAGGCCACCTTTTGAGCTACTGGTTCTCCTTCAGTCTTGAGTTCTTCACCATCCATTTTATATTTTGAAAAATAATTTTGAAGTTCTTACACAAGAACGTACACAAGCACTTACTCAAGTTCCTACCCAACACCTGACACAAGTATTTACTCAAGTTCCTATCAAGTCATGATAAGAAATTGATCAGCCTCTTTACAAGGCTACTATCTTCTGAAGCTGATTCCTTCACAAAATCAACATCCTTGGCGGTCAGAAGAACAGTACTTGCAATTGTCATGTACTTTCCGTACCTTAGACTCAATCCACCAGCAATCATTTCAAGTTCTCTCTTAACCATGAAGTTATCGTTCAAATCCTTCAGAAGCTTTCTTTCATCAAGAGGAAGAAGACTTGACAATGCTTTGCATGAGAGCTCGAGAACCGTTCCACGATGGCTTCGCAACTTTTTGTTGAGAAGGAAGTCTCATATCTTTTGAAGTACTTCTCAACGACTTTTTCGGAAAGCTTCTTGACTTGATCCCGAGTGAGAGATAAATCAATCGTTTCATTCGCTTTACCACTTGCAACGGGAATTGCAAGCTGCTCTCAATGATCCGAATCATTTGTGGCTTCAGCCTCGAGAATACTTGTAACATCTTATGTGGCTTCTTGTTCGGCCGTATCACCTTCTAAAGAAGTCACATGTTAAATTTCAAAATCAATATTGAAGGGGTTACCAAGTGAAAAGATGATAGATAAATATTTCGCTCCAGTGAGCTTTGCTCTTAATTCCATCTGTTCATTATTCGTCAACTCACTCGCATAACTCTCTAATATGATCTTTATGTTCTCTCTGAATGGTTTTGCGATACTTGTCATCTGCTGATGACAAGGAGGACCGAAATATTTATTCCCTCATGTCTGGCGCCGAATGCCAAGTTAAAGAGTTCATTCGTCCTGTGCTTCGCATCTATTAAGGCAGCACAGTCATCGAGATTGATCAGTGTATTAGTTCCTCCGAATGCTCAGATGATCTTGAGACAATCATCGATCTCGTCTTGGAGTGGAGTCAAGACAAAGAAGTCCTTATAACTTCCTGCAAAACCATCATATGAAATGTTGTGGATAAATGTCGGGAAATTATGAAGAAATAATCAACCATTCCTCGGAAGGCGCTGCTCAACAGGTTTACCAAGTATCTCGTATGTCCTGAATTGTAGGTCTGACTGTTAATGAAGTGAATGGAATATCATCAGGATTCAAATTGTATTACATTTGAAGATTTGATTGAATAGTGTCTTTGAGAGAAAGAGCTTATTTCATATTTTACTATTATTCTCTTATCGTTGTTAGCACTCAAAGCTATCTTTTTGATAGTTTCAGTGAAGATTTTATGCTTATGTGATCCGACTATATTCAACTTTCTCATTCGCATAGTTCCGTTGAATAAACCCTCCCTATTGTCTTCATGAGAAATATTCTTTTTTATCAAATGTTCTTTACCCCTTTACACTTCTTCTCCTCTTTTCCCTCAAGCATCTTGGAACTGTAAATCTCTGCTCTCAACCAAAAGAAATCTTCACTGATCTTTCCCCCAGCTTCATCTTTCATTATGCCCACAACCTTCTGGTTGCATCCGGTTAGAATACCAGAAGGGTGATCTTTAGGGTAGTTTCCTGTTTCAAACTTGTCTTTCACATCGTAGTTGATGTCTTTCAAGAAGTCATCGCTTTCAATCTCTTAAGCAAGTCCGTCAGTATCTGTGGAGAGCAGCTTTGCACGATCTCCATATTTAGATTTGATCAAGTTGCGGTGAAACTCGCACATCAACATTTCGCTAATATCGAGGATGCTCATTCCGCAAAAGACAGGCTTATTGAATACTTCGTTCGCTTCACATGGATTTCAAAGACATTTTCATCGAATATGGTCAATCGCTTGAAGTTTGGTTTTGCTTCAAGTTTCAATGCCTTCATGCGGTTTTTTACTTATCTCACATCCACGTGATTCCTGGTGTTTTCCATCGTCTTTCCAAAGACAGAGATATTCATAGGCTTGAAGAAATCCTTTTTGAAGCAATTTTTTTCATTCGCGCGCAACCTCGTGTTGAACTCGGTGTGGCTTTCTACCCAAGGCTCCTCTTTGAAGATTATTCCTCTGTAAATCTTTTCTATCTTCAAACCGCGATCAAGATATTCTTTGCAGTTCTTATGGTGAATGATATACCTCTGTTTGTAATTGAGATCCTGATTCAGCTTCTCTACCCTATTGATTAAAAGCCTATCATGAGCAAGTAGGAAGTCGTTATGCAAGTCATGAAGCTCTTTTAGACATTCAAGGTCCAACTCAAGAATGCAAGCAACATCTCTACAATTTTCAAGTTCAAGGTCAATCATCCACTTGAAATATCCAACAGGAAGAGAGTAACACATTGCCCATCCGTATAAATAATTCGCACAAAGATAGAAGATGTATTTCGTTGGCTTTGCATCATCACATATCAAATCACCCGTATATGTGTTGTTTGCCCTTTCATAGTGGTTTGAGATCACTGAGACCCCTCCCGGAACTCCTTATTTAATCATCAATTAAACTGTTAACTTTTCTTTGCTTGAGAAGTGGTTCAGATACCTGAGGCAATGTTCTTTTGCTTTCTTATCCTTGGAGGTTTGACTTGGGAGTAACTGTCCATGTCACTTATCAGGCATTAGTGCTTCATTTCACTATCTGATATGAGAAGAATGTTGACCTTTTGCCTACTATTTTCCTTCTTGCCAACACTCTCAATTCTAAATTGTCTCATGAAATCTCTCAATCCGCTGCCTGGTTGACTAATTCTGCGTTGATTGCTTTTATCACTTATCTTTTTTATTTCTCCTTATCGTTCCTCGTCATCTGATGACTACATAGTTATTTTGTAGAATTAAGGCGGAATGGACAATCTAATCAAAAATAAAGTAAGAGATCAACACTATCTGTAAGGTACCTTATTAAAAAGCCAAACTTAAAAAAATAGGTGCTAATAGGAGCTAAAAATCCATTCTACTGGTTGTGAACATAGACAAAACGATTCAGCAGCAGGACACCTCAAATAACTTCTTAATTCTACGAATGCAATAAAAGTGATAGACAGCAAATGAACAAGTCCTTTGGATATGGCTTAACCATTTCAAAACAGAGCAGATTTTCAGGTTTCAATCCCCGATTACAATTAGCAGTGCGCTGCTCAAACATCTTGCTCTACATCTGAAGTGACTACATCATGCAATAAGCGACAATAGTGAACAACAGCAACCTATTTAGGAGTTAAGGCATTGAAGGGCTTGAATTCCGATATTTCTCCTTTCTCTGTGTTGAATTTTCGCGGGGCACTGCATAGTAAATACGAATCATAGTATCATAGTCATTGTTGGGTTAGGACATTTTTATAGTTTGCAGTTTGTGCTTTTTTAAAATTCCTACCGGGAGAACGTTGAAAAGAACAGTTATGACATAGGACGTTTTTTGGGGCGCGCTTCCACCCTAAGAAAATTTTTTTTTTGTTTCAATCGTCCCAATTTCTTACCAGGAAGACAAAATTTCATTTGCTAGCTCTGCGTTAATAGTTTGTTACTATTTTCATTCTAACAGTTATTCGTTTGGTGAACCCTTACAATTTCTTACGTTCTGGTCGTGTTGAGGTGCTGCACAATGATACATGGCTAACCGTTTGTGGCTCTCATCACTGGGATTTACGAAACGCTAACGTAGTTTGTCGCCAGCTTGGATACGATGGAGCCTTACAATCATCGCGTTATACAGAATTTGGACGACGAACTGGCCAGGCATGGTTGAAATATCTGGATTGTACAGGAAACGAGACATTAGTATCACAATGTCCTCTGAGATGGAGAACCCGTCGTTGCTGGGACTATTATAATGCTGGCGTGGTGTGCCAACCTACAGGTAAGACAGCTATAAAACTATACAGTACATTGATCAAAAATTAATAGTAACCTTTTGGCCCACTCACATTTTGTTAATTGCCCCTTCATTTTGGTTTAAGCAACGATATTTGCACTGAATCAACGTGAAAATGTTAATGCGACGAAAATTACATTAAGAAAGCTATTTGATAAACGTTATATTGAATTTGTCGAATTAACCCTTTTTTTGTATTGTGTAATAACTTCCTTATTAACCGACCGTGAGGACCGAGGTCGTATTCCTTGGTCGTGGCAGGAAGGACCATAAGAAGCTTCTTATAGTGGATCTTACAGTGTGCGCATCGTGGCCCCATCAGTTGTCAAAGTGGTAGTAACCCATCAAGCTGATAAAATTTGTTGACCTTATGACCATACTTACGGGGTGCTACTTTTAACATGTGCATTTCTACACCATAGGTTTACGTTTTTATAAGCAGGCGAGTCTGTAGCCTGACGTTCTTTGATTGAATTGTGTGAATATACTATTTCGCTGAAGTTACCTTAAATATAATGATATTTGGGTGGCGTTTAAATACTCAGGCTCAGGCGTTCAATTGTGTTATTCTTACAAATGCTGATATCCATTCCTCGACATATGCAATTTTTCACAAAATATATGAGTTTTGCCTGGTGGGAATCTGGAAAAGGAATTATTCTCCTGACAAGGCCATAAATTATAGAGCGTCCCCATCTTTTGATCCGTGTGTTTAATTTGACCTGCCTCAGACCCTTTAATCCGTAGGGACAACGAGATTTAGGGTTGCTGTTATGTATTTTGACGAACGAAGTTTAAATCCACTAAAGGCTAAAAAGAGCTTGACTTCCCGCCAAACTCTATACAATTAATGACTGGTCCCTAAACTCCCATTAATAAATTCTTTAACAGCCAATGAGGAATTCTGAAAAAGTGAAGGGCTAACTAGAGCTTCACTTTAGGCTTGCTTAATCTGTATATCACTAAGAATAAACTTATTTATTTTGAATTTGTCGGCTTTCTCGACAAAATACATGGCTTTCACCGATTCCGTGGAAACAGTTCGAATGGCAAAAAACGGAGCAACTAGGAACCAATCAGAACACCCGAAGTGTCGGCAAGCTTCGCGGAAGGTGTGGGTCACAAGAAGCAAATGACGAGTTAATAAGTATTGACGGACCTGTACGGCTCCTGCCGTTCGCAAGCGATTTTAAACTTCTGTCTTCAGAGATTCCCTCTAAAAAGGATATATCTTAATGATTTTCCTTTGAAATGTGATTAAGTACGTTGGTTTTGAATGGTGTGCCATTTCCCTTTCAGTAAAAATTCTTGATGTTCACTGAAAAAATTTTCTGTGTGCTACTTTCTTCGTTTTTACCTACCTTTTTATCTACCGGAACAGATAATTCCAGACATAGCAGGGTAATTTAGTGTTATCAACAGAGTCGAAAAAGCAAGTTGGCCACAGTAAAGAGTTAAAAGGCTGAAGCTTCGAGCGTTAGCCCTTCATCAGAATAATGGGAGGAACGATGGGTTGTGTGTGGGTTTAGATGCAGAAAATGGAGCTACGCTATTGGTGGGAATGTAGGGAAGAAAAAACAAGAATAAATTAGTTGAATAGGAAGCGCTCGTTGATACCTTGGGGATTAAGAGTCCTGATTATAGATAAAGATAAGATAAATTTTTGCTCTTGAGTTTTGCGGCTTTCCGAACGGCCTAGATTTAATAAAAGCTGCAAACTGCCATATGCTGTTTAGAATGATTAGAGAGATTTAAGTGTCCAGCAACTGGTTTGGATGCTTCCTTGTTATTTCTTTCTACGTCGCGAAGGTGTTCTTGGAATTGGTCACTTAGTCGACTTCCTGTTTCACCAATGAATAACTTTTTGTAATAAGTGCAAGTTATGCAGTAAACGACAATGGCGGAGGTGCACGTAAAGTGACCAGTAATCTTAATGGATCTCTTGGGTTCCGACATTTTCTCTACGTTATGAATAAAAGGACAAGTTTTGCATCGTGAGCGAGCGCATTTGAAAGTTTCAGATTGGTCATTGGTTTGAAATGAACTTCTGACCAAAAAGTTCCCTGAGTTTTTGTCACGTTTGAATGAAATCACTAGAGGTTGCGAAAAGATAGTGCCAGTCTCTGGATCGTTTCGGGGTAATTTAAAGTTTTGAAGAATGATAGATTTAACTGCATGGTTGTGAGGGTGAAATGTGAGAGTGAATGGAATGCTATAAGTATTTTCCTTCTCAGCCGTCTGTAATGCTGACTATCGATCGATTTGTTAGGCACGGTGGTGGCCCTCTTGATAGACAGAGACAGGATAGCCACGTTTATCGAAAAACTAGCACATTGCCTCTGATTTTTCAGAGTTATCAAGTCTACTTGCTTGAGTTCCTTCCGAAAGCTTGAGAGATTTTTTTTGTAATTGAATTTTTTTTCAAGCTGTTATTCTGTCCAAAAGCGGTAACTCCCTTTTGGCGTTCTGAAAATAGGAAAATTTCTTTGCAGTTTGCATCGTAGCGGAAATATTGTTCACTGATCGTGATAGAGGTTTCTACTAGACATAAGAGATTCAGTGGCCAGAGTCTATTTCCATTGAAGTTCCTATAGGCGCTAGTTTGCGAAAAATATCGCCGAAAGTCCATCATTTCGGGTCGCATTGCACTTCGAGAATCGATCAGTTAAAAAGGTGTGTTGTGTTTTTATTGTAGAACTCCTTTCTCTGCCTGACCTCTTTCCTCTTCTTTTTACTGTTTGAAGTGCCTTCCAAATCGACACATAAAGTTGCATATTCACACGAGTTACACTTATTCTACTTGACCTACATGTAACTCATTACATAAAGTGTCTGCTCTTTGCTTTCTAGCACACTTTAGCGCCGATAGGCAAAACATTGTCAGATGGCTTCCTCCAATATGACTCGATAACAACCTTCACAGGCGTGAATTGGTAACGCGTTTATTTAAACAAACACCGACGCCCCGAAAAAACTTCAGTTCGCTTTTTCTTGTTACAAAGTGTTTTGGTTTGAATTCTGGTCTTTGAAGAGTCTGTTCTCTGCTGGTAATCGATCGATTTTCGTAAAATTTGGAGATAACCACGGAAAGACCCTGACCCTTTATAATAAGTATTCATCCAAAAATGGAATCATGGGCAATTGATTTCTGAGGCTGCTTCTTAAAACAGAACATGCATTGACCAGGTATCTATAAGTTTGAATGACGAAGCTGTTGAATCTCAATTTCCTGATTACAATCTTGTTGGTGTGATACTGCGAGAACTTATAATGTTTTGATTGATGTTTTCCCTTAAAATAAAATTAAAATGTGTTAACTAATGTGAAAAAGGAGCATTTATAAAAATAATTCGAGAATTGTTTTTATAGAAGATTTCTCAAAAATGACTTCTTGTTTTAGGTTTGCTTAGTGTATAATTTGAAAGGATAGCTGGTTTATGGTCGTTTATGATTTAGTAATTGATATCATTATTGTATTTTGAGAGTTAGAATTATTGATACTGAAAAAATTCTGATGTTATTTTTCTTAAATGTTCCTAATAATATGCAACTATAACATGATTTTGAGAAAAAATATAACTATTTCTTATTTTTCTTTTGTAGTTCACATAGTGTTCACAACATGTGCGACACCATAAAACAGATTGAATAAAAGTTTAGTTAAATATATTTTAAAATTGAGGTTCAGATATTATGGACAAGCTAAACAAATGTTCTCAACCATGCTAACCATGCTACAAATGAAAGCAGTGGCATCTTAGCGAGTGAATAAATAGGGTACGAGTATTATCATAGCTTCCACTACTGATGTTAGAAGAACTGGGAAGGTGAAATGTTCTGGAATAATGTGACAATTCTTTTTAGCAACCTATGTGAGAGGTTTGGCTTTGTCAGGCAGTTCTATAAATACAAACCGATCTTAGAAAAGAGTTACCGAAAATACTCTAAGGAAAGTCATAACAGATTTTTCCACGCATCATTGCCGCTCAATTAATGACCGCAACAGGATTGATTAAGCGAGCTCAGTTAAATGTTGCTAAAAATTTCTATGTAGCAAACATGCAGAGTTATTAAATAGTACAGATTGACCTTTTTAGTCTTGTTCACTTAAGACCCAAGGCAGTTTACTCGTCCAATTTTAACTTAATGCGCTTATTACTGTACTATCCCACAAATATAGCTTTAGGATACCTACCTTTTTAGGGAACATTGCTCAGGTTCAATGATTCAACATTTGTTTTTGAAAGAAAAAACATTTTTCTTATAATAACCTCTCTCACTATCTTTTTGTCAGAAGTTGAAGTTGATTTTCTGCGAATTTAGTTCACATGGGGATCATTCCATTCGGTGCTCTTGAAATGTGTTATAAAATTGTTTTTGATTTAAATAGGTAATTAGTTTGTATACAATAGACAGAACATGACATGTCCGCTTGAGGATGCACACTTAACTTCTCAAGTTGCAGTTATCTTTTCTTGTTCACATTTTGACTTTTTTTTCCTTATTCGTGATATTGGTAACACTATTTGTGGCAACACTAACAGAAGTTCATATTATTTTATTTTCCAATCGAACAATCTGATTAAGTACAGTGATGCTTACACTTGAAAAGTGTTAAATGGGGGTTCCTTTTACTTTGATAAACATTTCATGGCAATATCATAAGTCTTTTTCAAAAACCCTTACAAAGTGCAATTTCCTAATTTTAATCTGTCATCTGTTAAATTTACGAGCTCTACCGGTATATTAATTGGTTAACTACAACTGCTACGCTAAAAAAAGTTCGTTTACGAACTTGGTGAGCCCCACCAGTTCTCCGTTTTCTCCTAGAGGCTTGAATTGCAGTCGTTCAACGGTAACCAAAAAGCTTCTGTAATCTCTCTAGTTGGGCATTTGTCCAGTACCTATTTTTATATTTGTTCCATCGAGCTATTTATTAAATTCCATTTATCATATTTTTTTTATACTTTTTATTCAGCGTTTGCGATAATTACGTCATGTTACATGCGTTACATAAGTTTATAATTTATTATTATTATTATTATTATTATTATTATTATCGATCTGGTGAGTACGTAAGTAGGAGGATTATTTCAGTGAGGTAAAGTGTAATAGTAACCACAAATACGAATACTGATCTAATGCAATGAGTTTCACTGTGATATTTTTTTTTAGCCATAAAGACATTTAATTAGACGAACCTTTGTCACGTAAAGCTTGCTAATGTACAGTTATGTTCTCATATTGACCACAGTTCGCTTGGTGAGCCCCGGTAATTCACCGTCTTCTGGTCGTGTTGAAGTGTTTTACAATGGTACGTGGGGTACTATTTGTGACAATTCATGGGATTTACAGGACGCTAATGTTGTTTGTCATGATCTTGGATACGACGGAGCTTTATCAGCACCTGGTGATGCAGCGTTTGGACAAGGAACCGGTCAGATATGGCTGAATGACGTCAAATGTGTAGGAAATGAGACAATGATAGCTCAGTGCAGTCACAGAGGATGGGGAGTTCACAACTGTGGGCATCATGAAGACGCTGGTGTGGTGTGTCGACCCGCAGGTATGGTGAAAACCTGTGCACATACTATTACCATATTGCCTAACGAGTTAACACTGGAGACACCAGCTCTACAAAATTCGCGGTTACAACTCTGTTTTAGTCTTACTCTAACTTCTTGGTGATAATCAATGAAATTAAGGAAGTTGGCATTTATGTAATTAATAATGCCAGAGTGAAAAAAAGTGTGTCTATTATTCAATAGACTTAATTTCCTATGATAGACAAGTAAATCGCAGATTGAGGTTAAAAATTAGTTAAACCTTAGATAAAATCTATTCGGTGTTCCGTTCAAAATGAATAAAATTCTGTTCAGTCAATCAGAAGGCTTTTTGTATCGTTTCGAAGGAAGACACTTGTTTAATGGGTCTCAATAACTTGATTTTAAGCGTAAGATGGTTTTTGTCTTGTCAAAAGCGTAGAACAAAGAGTCTCTATAAAGAATCAAAGTGCTTTATTCTTTTTAAAATATTCGCTGCGAGAATCGATACAATCTGTATAATCATTACAAATTTATCAAGATTATTGGTTCTTCAGTAACCGATTAATTCATATTTCTGTAATAACAGCTGTCCGTATTGTAAATTCCCTCAATTCATCGCGTTATGGTCGTGTTGAAGTGCTGTACAAAGGTGTGTGGGGAACCATTTGTGCCGACTATTGGGACTTGCGTGACGCTGATGTAGTATGTCGCCAGCTTGGATACGAGGGAGCTTTATCAGCACCAATATTTCGTTACCCAACATCTGGACAAAACACTCGACAGATATGGTTAAATGGAGTAAATTGCGAGGGAAATGAGACATCGATATCAGAATGCAAGCACCTGGGATGGGGAGCTCTCGACTGTCGGTATTATTTTGATACAGGCGTAACATGCCGACCCACAAGTAAGGCGATGAAAAAAATTTTCTTCCTTTCTTTTTTTCGTATGCTCCTTCGAATCGATGGTTATTAAACGAATTACATTGTATTCACCCAAGGCTAACCTGCGTAACGGGTGCTATCATGAATCCGTTTACTTCTTTCTAATCAAATTTTAGAGAAGGTATTTTGAGAAGTTCTCCTTCATTTGATTTAATTGTCTTTTCGAGTTTTCCAGCTCCATATTTTAAAACTACCAATAAAAAAGTAGAAATATATATAACTATAAACTATAACAAACATTAATGGTGAACCTTTAAAGCATTGAAATAAACTGTAGCACGTGAAGTGAGCTGCATTGTTTTTCGCTCTGATCATAGTTCGCTTGGTGAGTCCCAGCAATTCACCGTCTTCTGGTCGTGTTGAAGTGCTGTACAATGGTACATGGGGAACCATTTGTGACAATTCGTGGAATTTACAGGACGCTAATATTGTTTGTAATGAGCTTGGATACGATGGAGCTTTATCAGCACCTGGTGATGCATCATTTGGACAAGGAACTGGTCGGATATGGCTGGATAACGTTAAATGTGTAGGAAATGAGACAATGATAGCTCAGTGCAGTCACGGAGGATGGGGAGTTCACAACTGTGGGCATCATGAAGACGCTGGTGTGGTGTGCCGACCGGCAGGTATGGTGAAAACCTGTGCACATACTGTTACCATATCAATAACTGTACACTTTGGGTGACTAACGAGTTAACACTGGAGACACCAGCTCTTCAAAATTCGCGGTTACAACTCAGTCTTAGTCTTACTCTAACTTCTTCGTGATAATCATTAAAGTTAAGGAAGTTGGCATTAATGTAACTAATAATGCAAGAGTGAAAGAAAAGTGTGTCTCTATTATGCAAACGACTTAATTTCCTATGACAGACTAGTAAATCTAAAATTGAGGTTAAAAATTAGTTAAACCTTAGTTAAAACCTATTCGGTGTGTCCGTTCAAAATGAATAAAAATTTTGATTCTGTTCAGTCAATCAGAAGGCTTTTTGTATCGTTTCGAAGGAAGGCACTTGTTTAATGGGTCTCAATAACTTGATTTCAAGCGAAAGATGGTTTTTGTCTTGTCAAAAGCGTAGAAAGAATCGAATTTTAATTTTTTTTAAAAGATTCGCTGCGAGAATCGATCCAATCTGTAGGATTACAACATTTATCAAGATTATTGGTTCTTCGGTAACCGATTAACTCATATTTCTGTAATAACAGCTGTCCGTATTGTGAATTCCTTCAATTCATCACGTTTTGGTCGTGTTGAAGTGCTTTACAAAGGTGTGTGGGGAACCATTTGTGCCGACTATTGGGACTTGCGTGACGCTGATGTAGTTTGTCGCCAGCTTGGATACGAGGGAGCTTTATCAGCATCACTATTTCGTTACCCAGCATTTGGACAAAACACCGGTCAAATACGGTTGAATGGAGTAAATTGCGAGGGAAATGAGACATCGATATCGGAATGCAGGCACCTAGGATGGGAAGGTCACTGTTGGCATTATTTTGACGCAGGCGTAGTGTGCCGACCCACAAGTAAGAGGATAAAACACCTAAGTAAAGAATCAAAAAAATTTTCTTCCATTCTTTTTTTCATATGCTCCTTCGAATTGATGTGTAACAGTTACTATCAAGGATCCTTTTACTGCTTTCTAATCAAATTTTATAAAAGGCATTTTGAGAAGTTCTGTTTCATTTGATTTAAATATCTTCTCGAGTTTACCAGCTCCATATTTTAATACTACTTTCAAAAAAATAGAAACATGTATGTAACTTCACACTACAAACATCAGTGGTGAACCATCAAAGTATTGAAATAAAATACAGAATGTGAAGTGAGCTACATTGTTTTTCGCTCTGATCATAGTTCGTTTGGTGAGTCCCAGCAATTCGCCGTCTTCTGGTCGTGTTGAAGTGTTTTACAATGGTACATGGGGAACCATTTGTGACAATTCATGGGACATAAAAGATGCTAATACAGTCTGTCGCCAGCTTGGATACGATGGAGCTTTATCAGCACCCGGTGATGCAGCATTTCGACAAGGTATTGGTCAGATATGGCTGGATGACGTTAATTGTATACGAAATGAGACCTTGATAGCGCAGTGCAGTCATGGAGGATGGGGTGTTCACAACTGTGGGCATGGCAAAGACGCTGGCGTAGTATGCCGACCTGCAGGTAACGCCACATCTTGCGTTCAATATATCAATATATATTTATTTACTGAGGATATTGCTTTTACAGTTTTGCGACTTGGGTTCAGTATCGGTCTTGACGTATGAATTGGCCCTTTTCACTGGGTGGTTGACCGCACGTGCAGGCTAGATGAGGCGAATCATGCGCGCTCTCATCTGCTACCATGGGAGCTTGGTGGGGGCTTGATGAGTACGCTACGAGAAACAAGTGTTGTTTCCAGTTCATATGCCCCATGACCTTGATAAAACATTTTACCTTATAAAATGGGTTTCTAGCGTTGTTGCATTACAGGATCACAAAAATTTTTCAATGACAGTCAAACAAAGAAAATATGACGAGACCAGTGAATGCTTTTAAAAAAATCTGGCAATTTTCCATGGCTCCTTGCTGCTCTCACTTAAGTAAGTCACTGGTTTTACTCCTTTCAAAGTCCTATCTGCTGGCTTTACTCCTAAACAACGAAAGAACCTAATAATGAGCAGTGGAAATCGGTACTGTCTTATTTGGAGAGCCACATGGCTTTCGTAGTAACGTTGCACGTTTTAACCGTCCTAAGTTCAGCCTGTGTCTCCTCGTGCTAAGCTAATCGTTTGTGAACGGTACATTCAAATTCTGCCTTCCCTGAACAGAAATGGGCTACTGTTTCCTGCTCTCAATATAAAATTCCTTCATGGCCAGAGGAGGAAATCAACTTCATTGCCAACTTTTAATCACAAAGCACCCATATCCATGACTGTGAAAACGCTCGAGACATTTTTAGAAGGGAAAAATCACAACAAGCATCACTGGCCTGCATGACCCCTAACATGTTACACCGATCCAAGATTCCTTTCCTCCACCGTCAACAAATTCCTCACAAGAAGCTGCTGTGGAAGGCATAATGCATGTTGCGACTTATGTCAACAGTTAAGAGGGTGCAACATGGGTTAGTAGGATGCGCGATGAGTCTTAAAATCGAGGCGGGATGTGGGATATGAGAAATTTGAAAAGAGGGATGCAAGATGAAAATAGGAAGGCGAGACCGTGATATGCTCCGTTTCGAAGGCGGTAAAGGGGAAAGGAGGAGTATAGGCGGGATCATAATTTAGCTCAAGTTACGCCTCACCCGACCTCAGAGACATGAGAAAGTATTTATTTTCTTAATAAACGAGCGATTTGTTGGCACTTTTATTGAAGATTTGAGTTTCAATTGTAGAAATGAAGGTGTTTGAATAAGCTTCTCCCTTTTTGGCGAGCATGGCGGTTCTGTTCGTTTGCAAGTACTTTTGTTCGTGACTTTGAATGAGTTTCGTCCAAGTGCTTTCTCTAGCAAGGGCTTTGGAATGAGGGAGGCATCTCTCTAAAAATTCTCGTACTCGCTGCATACTTTGTTTATGCCTTCAACTTGCGGTATGTTTGAGTATAAGCTCGTAATATGTATTGAAACGAATATCACTTCTTTCGGAAGCTCTTTTCCCTCTGAAGTTCGCGAAGTTTGTTGTAATTGAGATATGATCTTTATTGTTGTGCGATAGGCTACAGAATTTGATAGCTCCTCTGTTGGTCCTCCTATAGATGAAGTTCTTTTAAGCCGGCTTAATATGCTTAAGCATGTCTTTGACTTTTTCCATGATAGGAAGAGTACATTACCAATATTGCAAAAGCTGTAATTTTTCTATCAGTTTAAATAAGGCGGTGAACTTGAACAACTTGGGTTTAACAAGGCGAGGTCGGGATGGAAATGTTCATTGCAGCGGGATGACGGAATGGGATGAAAAATAGCGGCGGGTTGCGGGATTGGAAAAGTCTATTTTGGACCCTCAGTTAAAGGTTTCGAGGTACAGATTCTCCAATTTTCTAGTATTGATGAGCCAAAAATAAGAGGAGACTCTCCGGCTGAAATCGCTGACATGGTTATAGCAGTCGTTTTTCTGTCGATCCAAGCCGTTAGAATCGTCAACTAACACTTATGCATTTATTGTGGAATGTAGTAGACATTATAATCACCGTGTCCTTGTAGGAAGCTATTTTGCGCTACGTTCCTGATGTCAGCAGAAAAAAACAGCGAGATTATATACAGAGAGTAGGGGAAATTTAAAATTCCATCAAGAGAGCTGTGTAATAAAAAGAAATTGACATAATAAAACAACAATCAACTGCCAAAAAAAGGCGCAGATTAAGCTTTACCTATTGAGCCCCAAGATGCCTTGGCCTACCAATATCTCAGGCAAAGAAAAGGCAAAAGACAGATACCGCGACATATAGAGCTGTATGGTCGTTTGACGACCTATCGGCGTCTTACTCCCCCCCTACCTAAACCCTCTTCGATTGAGTTTGCTCGAGGAAGTGATTAACGAAGATCGAGTGCGCTACTTTTGATATGGGAATGGAAACCTTGATTAATCATAAAATGTGTAATAATACCTTCACACTATTTCTAGAATATATTAAGTTCGTTCTCTACTTTGTGTCCGTCTGATTAAATTTGACCGTGGATAACTAGAGATTACCACCATTAGCCGCGATCGTGATACATTGGTGACATGTATATACAGGGCCATTCCGCACAGGCTTCACTTTAATTAAGAAACAAACTTAAATTCATGTGACAGCCATTTCAAAGAAACTTTAAAAAAAATAGCTTACGTCTAAGGTACAATTTAATTTAAAATGAAAGCGAAAATTATCTAAAAATTCCTAAAATCTCTCAACATTGTACGGGCCGAATGCATTAGCCTTTTTGGATGCGACCGCTGAGTTTAGTTCAAATGGTAAATGCGTGGGTGTGGGACTTAAGCGAGGAGAGGACTATTTTTGGACCAAAAAAATAACCTACTTGGGTGTTGGCATGATTTGATCTTGGAGGTATCTGTTTTTAAAAGGACGATTTCGTAAACGAGGACGATTTCGTAAACGAGTTGTGTTTAAGTTTATATTCCAGTCAGGAAAATGAATCGTTTCCGTCTCTAAGGTTAAATGGGTCCTTATAGTTTAATCAAATTTATAAAATAATTTTACGCGCTTGATTGGCCATTCCATTTTACATGGAAAATGAGACACATTTTGGTTTCCTGTTTCATTAAGAAATTGCATCCTAAACACGCGGATGGGTCCTTATAGTTTAAAACATTTCTACATTTCTTCAATATGATTCGTGAGACAATTCCAATTTTATATACAAATTAAAAAATCCGAGTTTACCATTTCCACGATATCTAGTTAAGGTCTACATTTACGATTACAGATGTTCGTTTGGTGAGTCCCGACAATTCCCCGTCCTCTGGTCGTGTTGAAGTGCTGCACATGGGTACCTGGGGAACCATTCTTGATTATTCATGGGGCATACGGGAGGCTGATGTAGTTTGTCGTCAGCTTGGATACGATGGAGCTTTATCAGCGCCTAGCTATGCAGCATTTGGAAAAGGAACTGGCCAGATATGGCTTGACTATGTGCACTGTGAAGGAGATGAAATTTCGATCTTGGACTGTTCTCACAGCGGATGGGGAGTCCATTACTATTGGTATTATAATGACGCTGACGCTGGCGTTGTGTGCCGACCCACAGGTAAGGCGGTGATACACTTTCAAAGTGCATTGTTTAAAGTGATTCTATCTACTGTTTCCGATTTTCTAATCGACGCTAACCCAATTCACACCAACAAAACATATCTAACTAAACTTTCAGGATTAACTGAATGAAAATCAGATCCAAGTAGTCACTGATTTGTTCATTAAATGTGCTAAATTTGAAGTCGTCAAACATCGGTTTCGCAGTTTCTTTGTAGAAAACAAATTTAAACCGTTTCTAACGAAACAGATTTAAAACATGTTTAAGCTTTTGTGTGAATGGGGTGTAAGATCCGTTTAAAGAAGTCTTAGGTAACGGCCCTTTTTACTGTCCAGTTCTTCTTTCGCTTGCATACCATCATAATAATCTGATCAGTTAATTACTCGTAGAAAAGCACCAAAGAGGGAGTTCCTCCTCATTTAAATTGACATTCTACTCGTCGAGTTAACTGTCATTATATGATCTCTCGAGTTTATCGTATCCATATATTGTCTGCCTAAGGTGATTCCTTAGAAAAAAAAATCATCCCATAATTTTTTTTTTTTTTACACTTTCAGTAAATGTTCCCTACCAATGCCTGTTTCCAAAAATACAACGAGAAAGATAGGTCAATGATACACACCTTATATCTTTAACTCTTTCTTCTCCTTGTCACAGACTTACGCTTGGACTTACGGGAAGAGTTCAAACAAATCATTTGATCATTTCCTTGAAAGGTTACGAAGTTTGGCCAAAAGCCAATCTATGAAGCCAATCGCAACCCCGTACTTGAATGGGTGACTGTTAAAAAAATATCCTCGTTATGAACTTTTCGTTGTTCTTTGAAGATACCAGTCAGGCTGGAATCGATTAGTAAAAACCCATCAACATTGCCGGATATTCGGGTAAAACAGGTTGCTTCGGTACCATTAAGAAGTGGACTTCATTTTAAGGACACTACACAATTTTAAACACCTGAAGAGCTTCATTTCAAATTTACAAATTAACTTGTAAGAAGTGTCTTTTTCTTTGCCTTTTCTATGAAATAGATTTATCTCGCTTCAGGCGAGTACAAGTCGCATATTTTTCACAATTTTGAAAGTTGCGTCTTGGGTTGATAGTTTGGTAGGTAGGTAGTGAAGTAAGTTACAAAGTGAATGGCTAGGTGAATGCCCGTAAACACAGTCAGGTTCGCAGCTCGTGCATATATTATGAAGGTACTAAGTCCACTGGAAGGTACCCGAATTCCAACATTTGAGCCTCAAATGGCTACCTTTATTTTCACGGGACAAAGTAGGAGTAACACGAAGAATGTACGGCGATAAAGAATAAGGCAGTGGTCAAACTATCACATACTAAGTCTTTCTCTGACAAAGCTGAAATACAAAATCGAAGTGATTTCTTGCCACCCTCACATCAGTACGTTGTTTAAAGTTTACGGTGACGTTACAGCTTTGTTGCTCCCGATTTTTGTTCCCCGTGAGTACATAATTTTGTTTGAATATTTCGTGCATCAGTCATACTTCTTTTTTAAGATTTCCAAGTCTCTGATTCTATGGTTCGAGTTTGGGTCCGGATTATCACAAAAATTTTTTTGTGAGCTTAGATTTAAAGTAAGAGTGTGTGACGAATTAGCGCAAACGATCTGAAATAACTCGGTTTCCAGCGTCTCTCATTTAAATAGATAATCGTGATCTTCTTGAATTGTATTTGCTGCGAGCGGCGATAAACCATCCAAAGATTTTATAAAAGCAAATCTTTAATCGGCCATCCCTTTAAGATGACGTCAAAAAAAACTCTATATGAAACGAGTAAGCATTTTCTGAATCAAAACTGGTCAAACGCAGTGGTAATCCAAAACCCTGAATAACAACTGACAATCTTGAAAGTTGCAACTCGGTGGCCTCATGGTTGAAAAGACCGCCTCTGTGCACTTCTGAAACCTGAATATCCAGTATGGGAACCCCGCTGGGGAGCGCGAAGTCCAGCTGCAACAGTCACTGTTACCTGCTACGTCATTTAGCTTACGAAATAAAGACGCGAGAAGAGTGAAACCCAGTTCAAGAGATATAGGAACATTGTCAAGGCCCACTCCCTATCTGGGTGATGACAAGAATCAGTAGGGGATAGGAAAGGCTCCAAGCTCACCACAAACCGGCCCAAAGGTATACACAGGACAATAGTTCTGCAAAAACTTCCTGTATGCACTTGAGTCCTAAAAAGTATACGGGCGACGAGCCAGAACCGTGAATCATTTTCATGTAGAACGCTGGAAAAATATCCTGCATATTAGCCGTCTGGACTAAGTTCCATTGGAGGCATGATTTATTTACACTTTCAAGCTGGACCACCTTGGGCGTTAACATCTTCCATTAGAGGCGGTTTTTAGCTTCATAGACTGGCTTATCAGGCGGTTTGCTCCACCACGCGTTATAGTTACTCTCATGACTTGATCGGTGATAGGGTGATCTCGGTGGTCTAGGGGCCAGTCGCAGTTTTGATATCTTCATACATCCTTATGGCGTTCCTTTTTACTGCGGCTTACTTTATCTAACCATACCTTCCAAGCTTCGCTGTCGGCTCCCTATTTAGCGTTGACGTTACCAAGAAGGTACATTCCTTCAATGAAGGGGAGCCTGGAGATTGCCTGCGAGGATCTCTTAATTTCGTTTCTTAACCGCAGTGCAAATATATGAATTTCATATATCTAAAATCATCATTTATCACTTGGATGGTTTATTTGGACCCAACACATTGATCAGCTCCCAGTTGGCTTGTTAGCTCAGTTGGTAGAGCGCTGCACCTGTATCGCAGAGTTCATTGGTTCAAATCCCGTACGGGCCTGAATTTTTTTCAGGTCCTATTTTCAACTTCCAGTTCAGTAGTGTTCTTAGCTACGAGGATCTCTTAATTTCGTAACTGATACAATTTGGTAACAGATGCAAGAATTGCCGAAAGGAGACGCATTACGCCCTCAAGTATTGATTAGTTATCGAGCCCTCTTGGAAAAAACAGCAAGTCGTATTTCCACTGTCCAAGAAATCCCGCCAGCTAAATTGGCCATACCACTCGGATCACGAATATTATTTTTAAGTCTGAATTCCCCCTATTTTACCACGTGTCCTCACTCGTTCAATCATGAGCACACTTACCAGGCATAAGATCCCTTTTGAACAACGATAGTTACTTGCATTACTATTTTAGATAAGAAGGGAAACTATTCTATACCACAGTATTTTTCTCGCGCAATTTCACTCGACATACTGACATCTTTCTTTTCGCAAGTCGATAAGTCTTGAACATGAGGCCGTTAATATAATACGGAAATTATTTTAAATTTATTTTTTAACTGATATTTTTCTTTTCTCTCTAGCGGGACCCCAGATTTTAAACATACAATGTCCAAGCTCTCTAGTGCAGGGAAGTAACTTGACTCTTTATTGTAATGCTACTGGTAATCCTTCTCCGAATATTACTTGGATATGGGAAGAAACAGGAGAAGTTCTTAGTAGCAGTGAGGAGCTCACTTTTTCAGCTTTTAACCGTAGCCAAACAGGCAATTATAAATGCCTGGCGTGGAATGGAATTGGTAAAAGTTCCACCAGAACATGTCGCCTGGACGTACCTGGTAAGTTAAAATCGTGTAAACCAAACCCTTAGGGCCGGTTATTTAAACAAATTTTAGCCTTTGTTTAACAAAACTACGTTCTAGGCCATCTTCAATTTAGCCGAACCTTTTATCTAAGGATCAATTGTTTGTGAACAGTGTCAAGAGGCCGAGACTTTGTAGTGGAAGGACATTTATTTCTCTGAAATCAACCCCCCTCTGGAGAATCACCGAGGTTCACTGCTTGCGTAAAACCGCAATTTGGGTTGGATCATAAAAATTATTGTCACATCAATAACTTATTTCAAAATCAGAATCAATTGTAGAAAGGGTGAATCCAGGAATTACTGAAAAGGAGGGTTCAAAGAAATTTTTTTCTTAACAACTTTTCATACGACCCAGGCTCGCCGAACCCTCCTCCACCCCACGGTCACACAGCACACCCCATTATCAAGTTAATACCTTACCGTGTCCATGAATTGTACTCATAAGAGGAGGCAACTGTAGACCATTAAAAGAAATTATACCAGATGAGGAGTAATATTTCATCCCTTCAATGCAAAACTTTGGTGGGAAAACTCACTAGTCTGATAAGGGGAAGGGGTCTCCGCACCTCCCAGACATCCCTCTGGATCAGCCCTTGAAGTTCACCTTTAAGACCTTTAGATTCTCAAATGCCATAGCGCGTGGGATATTTCCACTGAAGCAATTTCTACCGATAGGGGCTGACCTTGACGGTAAAGTGATCGAGTCGCCGAGCAATTCATCAATATCAAGCATTATAACACTTAATTTTCCTTTTTTTCGTATAGACGAACCTTTGGTTCTAAACTTAGAGTGTCCAGCATCAATCATTGAGGGACATAACGCGACTCTTCACTGCAATGCAACTAGAAATCCTCCCCCAAATATTAACTGGATACGGAAAGACACAGGAGATGTTCTTGGCACCAATGTACAACAGCTTACTCTGTTGGATGTTCATCGCAGCCAAGCGGGGACATATCAGTGCTCTGCATGGACTGGAATTAGCAATAGTTCGGTCATTACATGTCAACTGGATGTGTTTTGTGAGTCAATTAACTGTAACGTTTTTAGTGCACGTATCAGCTGAGGCGCATGCCAAGAGTAAATGTGATGATGACTATAGAGTTTAAAACTCTACTGTAAGAAATTGTTTCTTTCGTGGGAGCGGCATGACATACGAATGGAATTTTTGATACAGTCGTTCCCCAATCAGGCCCTGATGCGCGACCGCGAGAACAACGAACTCTGTTTGTGTTGCAGACTTGCCATCTGGGACAAGAATGACACCTGACCTAAAGGATACTGTCGTGTTAGCTGGAGGCAGTTTGTTCCTAAACTGCACCTCAGATGCAAACCCTACCGTTAGTGTATTTCAGTTGGTATTCAATAGTGCCTTAATCGCCACCAGCAGCTCTGGGATGTTTAGCGTTACTGTGAAGAAAGCTGGAATGTACACCTGTATCCCTGTTAATGAAGTCGGCTCAGGAGACAGTGCTACAGTCAAAGTCACCGTCCTCGGTAAGGAGATATCGTCTAAACTCTCTTTTATTACTCAATGCTCCGGCCTGAAATTGCCATTTTAATTTGAATTAATACAACTGAATCATCTAACGGATAATTGAGGAGGACCTTTCAAGTAGTAGCATAACACTTAACTGGGAGGTGCTACATCTGTAAATGATACTATCGGCCGTGAAATTAATCAGAATAGATTGGATGAATTTGAGTCAGCGTAAAAATCACGTCTAGATTGCTACTGAGTTACTTTGATGGAAATCATGCAAATCTTTCAGTAAATGTCCTTTCATAGGAACAAAAGTCTATTTAAAAAAAAGTGGCAAGCATGTGCTTCCGTTCGGTGGAAAATCTAAAAAGTTACTTCTTAGACAAGGTTGATAAAAAAAGTAATATGTAAATCAACTATTGAGAGCTTTTGATTTTCGGAATAATGGGCAAGTTTTCGGAGCACTAATCTTGGTGCTCACCGCGCTTTAGCAGTAAGTGTGAAAATTGAATGATCCGTAGATTTGTGCAGTTCTGCAGCCCCAGCTTGAAAATTCTTTTTTTTTTTTAAACTAAATTGGTATTGCATTTCACTGAACGATTGCTCCTGAAGACCCGCAGCCCTGTCGCTGAGAATAAATGAAATGAAGTGTGAAGAAATGACTGTCCCTGCCTTTTCACGGTCCTTTTGAGGATAGTTGATGAAATTAGGTGTGATGAATTGACAATGACAGTTCTGTTGTCCTGTATTTGAAGAATGATTAAATAATATGCGGAAGGACTGCTACCGCGGTCCCTCAGTTATTTAGATCTGTTAATAATTTATGTACAGGTTCAGAGGATTTTGGTTCCAGAATCATTATTTTTCTCAATACGTTCGTTGATTATATCTTGTTTTTGTTTGTTTGTTTGTTTTTTTTTTCTCAATTCCGTTTATATGTTTTTGAAGATGCTCCTGGTTTTCCGGTATTTGTAAACAACACCGTTGATACAATCACTATCAGGTGGTCACCAATTTATCTTCAATCTGCTACATATACCGTAAATATAAGACCTGGGGAAGAAACAACGTGGATGAACGCAACGTGTAAACAGACTATTTGGAATAATAAATGCACGGTGACAGGCACAGTTGCGGAGGTTGTTGGTCTCGAAGAGGACTCTGCGTATCATTTTAGAGTTTATGCTAACTACAGAGGAGTCAGAAGTGACGCCAGTTTACCGTCAGGAGCCTTCAGAACAGCAGGTGATGTTGAATTATGTGGTTTTATGAGTTGTTGCCATGTAATGGAAGTTTTTCCTTCATGTATTGTATTCAGAGATATAGTGTTGTAATGCGCACTCGATCATATCTTATCGCATGCTAGACTGCGCAATATAAGAAATAAACATTATTATTATTATTATTATTATTAGAGATATTTAATTGATTATAAGTATTACTGACACGAAGCATTCAGATATTGAATGTTCTGTTTTTTTATTTGTATTTCCATTAACTTGCAATTTGTATTGGTATTTGCTAATCAAATGAACGATCAAATAGCAATGCTAACGAGGCTCGAGAACCGAGCAAGTGTAAAACATACTGTGTAAAGAAACCCACGAAGTGGTTTTTCTTTATCATCTATCACTCAAAATATGTTGTATATCTTTATTGCGTGTAGCGACAACGACACAATGAAGATAAATTACGACTCTAGTTACCTTTGTCTTGTTGTTTATTTAAGGTATAAGTTTTACCTTATCTAGACATCACTTATTTTACCCTGACTGGCACTTTTATAGCAAGTGCTGGCCATGGTTCAACCTGCTGCATAACAATTTTTCGCCTGTGCGCGTTAGACTGTCGAAAATAGGGAAAACGTTCATTGCTATACACGGGTGTGGAGTTTTCTCTTTCAGGTTTACTCTTCTTTTGTCAGTACTGGCTTTACTAATGCTGTAGCAGATGCCTTTCACGTTTGTGCTGGATTTGAGTGGTTGGTTTACGGTCTTAAAGCACTTCGGGCCTTGAAATGTCTACAAACGGTTGGTATGGTAGGCTATAATTGTTGAGCCATGATCATAAAAATAGCAATACTGTATTATCAGATGTACATAATTTTTTTAATATTTCATAATATGCTCCGGAAAGCATAAAATTTCTTCCTCCACCATTAAATTCCAAATTGAAATTATGACACTGACTGCGTTCTGGTACCCTAAGAGTAAACCTACCTGCTAAGGTTTTCAATTGTACCGAAAATCAGTTTCAGTACAGAATCCCCATGTTGAATCTCTCTGTAAAATGAAGAGAGTATCTTTATGGATCTATCTCTTGAAAAGCAACTCTGACGAGGGTTTTTTTCCTTCTCACCTTTGTTTATTTTTCCAGAACAGAAAAGCTTTTAAAACAAAAGCTGACAGGAGGCGACAAAGAGTTGGAACTTTGACTCATGCACGTGCTGCTGTTCCTTTGGGCCTATAGTACAACCAAACTAAAGGGTATTGGTTTTATTAAGCAGGCAATGTTTTATAACATAGTTCGAACAATTCTCTCTGACTCTCAAAGGCATTCATTTTTAGTTCTAATATTTTTAAATAACTAAGTCTGCTAAAAAAGGGCATTTTAAACGCTGCTTTTTGCCAAGAATAAGTTAACCGACTCATAAGTGATAAGTGTCTGAATTTCGCATTGGGTGGCACACGATCGGTTTTAAATTTTCTGTGACATCCAAAAATGTTAGTATTTGCCAGTGGTGATTTTCAGATGAATAGAGAGGAACTAGATTGACTACTGTCCTTTTTTTCGTTTTCGAATCCTGCTCCTATTCCTAGCATTATCAAGCCAAAGCTAAAAAGTTGTATACTTTTTTATCTTTTACCGAAGGTGGAAAAAACATGATGAAAATTCCTGCAGAAAATTTTCAGCCGGAGTAATATGCTAATCACGATGCAAGAAAAATTCATGTCAATTTCGCAGAACAAGTTTACAGAGACTGGCTGATGTTCTTTGAAAACAACGGAATCATAATGTAAAATGAAGACTGTCAATCTATCTTTGAAAAACGGACTTGATTGTGGGTTTTTTTTCTTTCTCGCCTTTCTTTCTAAACCAGTTTTATAACGTATAACAAGGCAAACTCACTTTTTGCAGTTTCGATGTCGGACTGAAAGCTAGAAATTCCTGCTTCAGTTTCATTAGCTTTGGAATATTAAAACATTTTATATGAGGGTCACGGACACGAACCGAAACAACTAACATAAGATAAAATTTAATGTGTTGCTGAGCTTCTTCTATTTGCTGGTTGTCTCTCAGACCATCCACCGGTCACAATACCCACGCCATCTTGTTTGACTCAGGGTCCAGCGGCACTCGCATGGAAATCTACAAGTTCCTTGCCAGTGGTCCTTCCCTCCAACCTTCTGACGTTGTCCAGATCGATGCCTCACCAAATAAAGTGAAACCTGGAATTCCTGACTTTTCTGATGACCCGACTCAAGTTGAAGCTTACATGAATCCCCTACTTGAATCTGCTAAGCAAACTATTCCAGAGGACAAACAAGTATCCACTCCGATATTTTTGTTAGCAACAGCATGCATGAGACTCTTGCCTGATGATCAGGCAAACGCTATTTTAGTTGAGGTTAGGAAACTGTTTAACGACAAAGAGAATTTCCTTTTCTGTTTCAGAACTATGGCAATGCTAAAATCATCGCTGGTCAGGTCGAAGGCATTTATGGTTGGGTTACCGTAAATTTCCTTTTAGATGTTTTTGCTTTAAAAGATTCTACATCGTATGGTAGTCTAGAAATGGAAGGAGCATCCCACCAAAATTCTAGGGGGAGTGACAAAGTAGCATTGTTGTTGTTATTTTTGACGTGGCTGAGAAAAAATAAGGGAGTTTTGTAGTTAGATATAGTTATCTAGGCTACGGAATAGAGCAAGTTTTGGCTTTTTATCGTGTTTAAGAGATATAGGCGCCGTTTGCTCTAAGTTCAAGTTTATTAAGTTTGCAGGAAAATCTTTGTACAATAATCACCTCCTGCAAATAGCGAGCTAATCTAGGCAGGCGGTGTTAAGGACATACAACACGAATTACAAAAACACGAATTATGCGAATTACTCGATTTTGCATACATTATTTGACAAAAGAGGGAAAAAAAGGTGATAAAAAGTAAATTAATATATTATGTTTGAATTATAATTAAGATGCCTTTTTATTTCAGAAATAAGAGTGCTAGTGTCAGCATAACTATCCAGACTTCCTAGAGTTGCAAATAGTAATGCTTGAATTTTCTTTTTGAATATGTGCTTCGGCAGACTACGATAGCTTTCGGGAATACTGTTCCAAATTTTAGCCCCAACGATAGAAAAAGAGTTTTTATGATGATTAAGCCTAGAATAGTTAATATAGTAGTTACCAGAAGATGCTGATCGGGTATTATACTGATGTATGTCTTGTGTAGAGATAAAAAGATTGCAGATATTTTTAGGTGCAGAGTTAGTGGTTATATCAAGCTGACAACCAACTCTTGAGCACCAACTCGCTCCTCTAGTGATTTTATATCACGTCGAGCAGAATCGAGCATTCTCTTTAGATCCTCATTACTTTTCCTAAGCGATTTGACTTGTTGATGTGACATTATAAGTGCCTAAATTGACTTTCTTGAACGCTTTAAGCAGAGCTTCAAAAGGTATGTCCGACCGTTACGCGCAACGCTCTGACTGCGAAAAAGCACAGTCAATCCTGGTAAAATAAGGCTGTCATCGAATTCATTCTGTAAGAAAGACTACAGTGAGATTGATGAAAAAAATCCCTTATGCTAAAAATAACTGCTTTGGGGCAAATTATATAAACGCGCTGTTGACTGAAAGGTTTGGCCACGGTCGATTAAAGGAAATCACACTTGCTAATTTACAGAATGGATTCAAGTTAGGCTGGACCTTAGATAGAGGTCTGCTTAACACAGGCAACGCGGACGAGTAATTCGTTTATTTTCCAAATTCTTGGCACAAAAGGTCATGAGAAGCTTCAAGTGCATCACCTTGAGAACCAGAATATGTCTTTACAATGATCTAGAGAACATGAATAAAGCTCACCATAGAGAAGCAACTTCCATTTTTTATTTTTTGACTTTATACATTATAACTCATCATTATCCATTTAAGTGGAGGACATACTTTTGAAGGCCAGTTCTTTTGATTAATCAATCGGTCGAACGCTCGACTCTAAACAGGCGGTATCTAAGCTCTCTTCTTTAGGGTGGCAATTGAACTATCTTTGGAAATCCTCCTCCAAACATTATTTAGTTTGGGGAAGACAAAAGAGGTGGTCTCTGTGACAGGAACAAATGACTCTATCTAATCTCACATCTTTAGGGTGGTAATTGAGCTATCTTTGGAAATCCTCCTCCTCCAAACATTATTTAGTTAGGGGAAGACAAAAGAGGTGGTCTCTATGACAGGAACAAATGACTCTTACAGCGTTAATCGCAACCAAGCACGAACTTATCAGTGGCATACAAAGAATGGATTTGCTAATAACTCCATCAAAAAAATACCGCCGGGATGAACATTGTAGACCTTCTTCAAACTCGTGAAATGTCTTGTCTATCTGTCTGATGATCGGCCGCTCAAAGATAAATTTCTGAAAGAGTTGTAAGTGCTGGAATGCCTCTAAGCTGGAAACGTCCACTGCTGATTATAATATTAATATTTTGAAACACCTTTGCTTGTTAGATTGAGCTTTCTGAGTTGTTAGATAATATTGAGCAGCCGTACGCTGAACAAACAAAGGGGAACGAAAAATATACTCGCTACCCTTTCATTCTGAGTTTGCAAGTTGATTTACACGAACATAGTCAAATATTAGCATAAGTAGTTTGCTGTTGCAGTTTTGCGACAATAAACTGAACACATTGAGCTACCAGTTGAATTCCGATTTTAAGGGGTACAGAAAGTTCATTTTTAATTGATACAATCCTAGGCGTCACCGCAAAGATAACTTAACTCCCCATTTTCATCAAGCGCCTGACAAAAATAAATTGGTAGGCTGAGGCGCAAGCACCTTTTTTTTTTCTTCCCAGGGTGAGGTAAGAGTGTTCCATGCGCCGTGATGTAGAGCAATTTGAGAATGTAAAAGGGATAGATTGCGGCCTCGCTCACGTTGATGGGAGGCCAAAAGGCGATGGAGATTTATGATAAAGTTTGGATATAACGCGCGCTGTCATTGGTTGAAAGAGTGTGCTCTATCAGAATACAAAGCATAGAGATGAGCTAAAGCTGTCACGCCATCTGCCAAATTGTCGGTCCGACCTTTTCCCGGACTTCTCTTTAGCCTTTTTTTCGTTGATTGAAACTGAAATTTCGAACCAAGCGAGCCGGCAAGTAGCAACAGAAGAACCAAAGAAAGGTTTGAAAACATGTCAGGCACAGTAACTGACGTTATGATAAAGTGAGAAGAGACAAAAATCATCAAAGAGAAAGCGAAATGGACAGTCCAAGTTTTGAAGGTTTCATGCTCAGCTAGATTGCAAGCTTACGTATGTTAAAAAATCAAACTCAGCTAACACTGAAACAAAACAAACAGGAATGATGAAAAATAAAGCCAGACTGGCCTAAATGTTAAAATTAATACTAATCATGACGGTGTAAGAGCGACTGCGATCATGTTGAGGTCCATCGCGGCTTACTCATAATAGTGATTTCCGGTCATTGCAGTGAAGCAAGTCTCAGATTTTACATCAGCTGCCCTTCGATTGAAAAACTAGGAGCTTGCCCTGATATCCTTTCCGATGACTGGAAGGCCACATCAGTTACAGCAGCAGTTACAGCAGTTTAAGCAACCGAGCCGAGTTTTACGGCGCTGCCATCCCGAGCAATCTTCATGTTCTTGCGAATTCGGCTGTCGTTCATTCATAAAACACACGCCTTGATCATGGGCAGTTTGTTTTCCAATTGTTATGTCTAAAAACTTGCGCGTCTTTATAAGCCACAATTCAGCCGGTTTTCACTGAGAATTTCACTTTCAGATTCTGTAATAGAGACTGAGAAAACTTAAGGCAAAAGTGTTAACATCTACCTGCCGAACTATTTCAGTTTGTAAACTATTGCGAACTTTGATGGTTTGACACTTTTGACAGCTTTACTCTTGTTCAACCAACCATATTATTTGAAACATTCTATCAAGGATTCTGATTGGCTTATTGTAGTGTGCTTTATGAGAGTATAGAGCATGCTGACGACACTGTTGTTCGCTTTGGAAATAAAGTTTGTTTTGAAAATGGAAAGTAATGCGTGGGAAGTTAACGGATTCCTTATCATGAAACAAATAGAGAGGCCTTGACTGTGCTCTGTTCTGTTGTAGAGCACTTAGGAAGCGACTAGAGCACTCAAGAAGTGGGGAGAAACGCTTTACTACGTCTTGGGTTTATGCCAACACTTCTTTCGTGCTCTAGCCGCTTCCTGCGTGCTTTGTAACAGAACAGAGCACAGTAAAGCCTTCTCTGTTTGTTAAACAGTTCATCGTTCTAGATATTGAGATTTTTTTTGGATGCAATGAAAGAAAGTGTTATGCAAATGTCAAAACCAGCCTTGCAACATCCAAATATCCGTCGTTAGACAAGATTACTCGATGAAATTTTCCCTAAGGTCTATTTAATCGTAAAAGCCTTCCGTTAGTTCAATATACCTCTATTTGTTTCCGTTACTACTGGTATTGCCACAAACCGAATAACCAATATGTACTAAACTGACAATATAAGGTTTAACCAAAACGCGTACCTCATGATGTCACCATCAAACAACTCAACAACATTGAATTCATTCCACAGAGATGCTTGTACCACAAGTCAGTGGAGTACCCAACAGCGAACGAGTTGTGCTACAGAAGGATATATTTGATGGCTATTTCTAAAGTCCTACTTTGTATATTTCTTGTCGGAGGTAAGAACCAACCACTTAAAAAATTTTTGCGAGTGAAAATAACTTGGCACAATGATGAATATAGTGCAGTTGAAGATCAATCCTGAGTCCAAATTTCGTACTCGCTCAGTCATTCCTTTCCTTGTCTTCTTTTAAAAGCGATGTGATGTGATCATGATGTTGGTCATCATACGTACTTTGTGTCTGATTGATTCGCTTTTACAAAACAGGAAATATCATAGAATCCGCACAGTAAACAATTGTTTGTGACTTTATCTAGCAACTTATTCATCCCAAGCCTCGGTGATTTTAACCATTTAGCGTATTCAGATCAATACTTGAGAATTCTAACTTATGGTCTGATATTATCAAATATAGCTTCGTTTTTTCTGCAAATGTAACAGAAGTCAAACGTTTGTTCTACCCTGGTAAATGAGTGATCTCTGGCAGTTCATTCTCGATCGATATCGGCTCTTAAGGACGTCTAGTCACGTAACTGCTAATTTTACCCGAAATCACTGTATGTCTGACAAAAATCTCTTTCGATACCAAATATATAGCCATCATTTACATTGATATATAATTTTCAAAAGGAATATGTTACATTAAGGGCTGACAATGTTCAAATGTTCCTCAGATACTTCACCATACTGGCCGATCGCAGCTTACTTTAGAGACGTTTCATTCATCTTCCCCTTTCTCAGCAGATGTGTAGATATATATAAGCATCATTGATGATAGCTCAGAAAGAAAGTTTAAACCACGACCAGAATCCCTCTACTGTTATTAGGATTTATTTTTTGTTTGTAAATTTTTCAGGACTCTTTCCTCGGACGGGAACTGCGTCAGATATTGTTGGTAAGTAGATTGACTCCGCAGTTTCAATCCTGTCCTAAGTCCCTCAGTCAGCTTTTCACCATCTTTGTCAAATTTTTCGTTTTATATTATGCTCAACAGTGCGATTAAGTGGCGGTTATAATCGATCTTCGTATGGCCGTGTTGAAGTGCAATTTAATGGGACCTGGGGTACGTGGTGTAGTGCTCCGTGGAACCTCAATAATGCTCATGTCACTTGCCGTCAACTGGGGTTTGATGGAGCTGTTGCCCTGCGACCCGAGCCTCACTGGATTTATGATGGAGTCGAGTGGAGAAATGATTTACGGTGTTTTGGGAACGAAACTTCCCTAACTGATTGTCCGCAAACTGGATTCACTTCAGTCAGATTTTGCGCTTTTGGCTACCGGGCCGAAGTCATGTGTAATTTACAAGGTAAAACTAAGCATCCGATTGTGCACTTATTACCCGAGAATGACTAATTTCAGAATTTTAACATTTTTAAACATTTTTTTAAAACGTCGTTATAATATAAGCAGCATATAGAAAAAAATTTCAAATATTTTCCATGAGCTAGAGAGGGATATACTGGTTCAACGTTGGTTGGGGTATAACAAGATAATTTGATTTTAACAACTGACTCGATGATGTAAATTTGCTACCGTAAAGAGATACTATGCTGACGTTTTTTGCGTTTGCCCTTCGTCTGAGGCAATAGAGAAATTATGAGTTGTGTGTGCTTTATACGCCAAAAATGGAGCAACGTCCGAGCGTTCGTTCATACTGTTAGAATAAAGAGTGCAAATATAGGGAAAGGCTGCAGACTGCCATATGCTGCTTAGAATGATTTGGAAAGTGTTTAGCGACTGGTTTGGATTCGTCCTTATCATTCTTCTCACGTCACGAGGTTGTTCCCGGAATCGAGAACCATTCACCAAATGAATGAATTCAATGAAAGGGAAAATGTAAGCAATAATAAGATAGTATTCAAGAGTTAAGCTTCACCTTTTTATACGCGAAATATTACTTGCACAATCAGAAATTACTGCATGGTGACTAATCACGAAAGGGATTATAGGTAATTTTAACTTTAAAGATGACTTCAAAATCTTCTTTATGGTTTAGCGATGTTAAAAGGATGTTAAAAGGAGTTCAATGTAGGAGGAGTTACAAAGAAAAGAACAAAGAGTGTCACAAACAACCTTGTATTGTTATTTTAATCCTACATTGCCGTTAATTATATTTGATAAAAGCATTTTAAGGCAAATGGTGTAAATTTTTTCTTTTGTTTGTATGTTGCTTATGCTGCGTATTATCATGAAGTGAAAATAAGAGTAAGCAGTGCCTATTGTAGTACTGTTGAGTACCGCAAAAAGTGTAATCTTTTAAGTAACGTAGTAACATTGTTAGTAACGTGACGCAATCGGTAACTAACGTCTGGTAATAAGTGGTATTGTACGTAAGGCAACATAAGTGGTAGCATTGCTTTACGTTTTTCAACGTAAATTTTATCAGCATTGTATATAAAAAAGAGAAATTCCCGCACGACGGGCAATCGAAAACTTTCGATATATTTCAAAATTCAACATGGAGCAAGAGACTTCAGCCCGATGTTCCAAAGGATAGGTAAACAGTTGTGTTTGTGAAATTTATTCCCCAGGGTATGGAAGAGTTGTCTGTGAGTCTATACTCTTGTAGCCTAAACTCATTCATTAGACAACTGATGTTTGGTTCCCAAGGAAATTTAGAACCAAACCATCTGGAAAATGTGAAAATGAAAATACATTTTTGTACAATCGTCTCAAAAAAGATGCTTCTTTGTTAATTTAACAAACATAATTGACAGATTTTAAACCTCACCAGCGACATTTATGGACTTCTTTTTTCCTCTGCAGTCCGCCTAGTAGGTGGGGCATCTAACAAGCAAGGTCTGGTACAAGTTTATTACAACAACAATTGGCACTGGGTTTGTGGTGAGCAGTGGGACAAACACGATTCTAATGTGACTTGTCAGTGGCTGGGATACTCAGGCTCCTCTGAAGCTTACACGGACACAGCACGTGACGGTGCTAATGGTACCACGTGGATGACCAATGTAAATTGCACTGGAGATGAACGCTCTCTTTTTTCATGCGTTCATGATGGATGGTTAGGCGGGAGCTGTGCAAGCAATCAAATGGCGGGAGTGCGATGCACCGGACCTGAGGGTAACACCAATTTGTTCTTGTAAAGTTTGTAATATTCTTAGCTCTTAAGTTTAATTGATATTAAACTTAAGATTGATACTTAAGATTGATTGACTTAACTTGATACCTGTACTTCTCAGATTACTGACAATATTGCTATTACTAATATGTTTCTATCAACTCTACCACTATTACTACTATTGCACTACATTTACTGCGTTTACACTGCTGCTATTGATCCTGAACCATTCCGTTGTGAAGCCAACTCAGCTGTAAAACTTAAGCGTATCCTTAACGATGTCACCATGGTAAGTTTTATTGACCTTCATGAAACTCCCAGTTCGTGTTTTATCCTTTCCGAAATTTCCGAGTAACTGCCGCTTCCTTGACGTTAATTTATCTCATCATTAGACTGTTGGTCCCTCTCGCCTGATGGGGTTAGACCAATTTCCCATATCTTTGCTTAGTTTTAATCAATTGGTTCAATGACATTTAATTCTCTCTCTTTTAAAGTTCGCTTAGTAGGTGGTGAACATACATTATATCAAGGCCAAGTAGAAGTTTTGTTTAATGGCGTCTGGGCAGGAATATGTCATGATTACAATTGGGATTTTCCGGAAGCCAATGTAGCTTGTCGTCAACTGGGGTATCATGGAGCTGTGCAACCCACCTACCATGGACGGTCTGCAATAGGAATAGATGATGTAAGATTAACCAATGTTCATTGCCTTGGAAACGAGACCTCAATACTAAACTGCACACACGACTTGTTTGGCGTGGGCCGCAATTGCTGGAGTGGAGAAGTTGGTGTGAGGTGTTCTCCATCAGGTAAGGACATCAGAAATTTCAAAGGGCTTTTTGTTTATGTTCCTGAGAAAGGGTTTTTTTTTTTTAAACGGAAACAGGCTATTTCTAGTTTTAGTTCAACAACCGTCAAGTTTTTGTTTGTTTCTTTTATTATTTAGGCTTTGCCTTCGAATAGCATTGTTCTGGTTTGAACATCTAAATAGACCAGTCGCTTGCTCGGCAAAGTAAATGTAATAAATAAACATCAGCCACTGGCGAACTCCACTGCTGGATCTAACATTTCCCTGTTATGTCGCTGATTGTAATTGTTCCTTTAAATCTACTAACCTGGATCATACACAACTTTAACTGAATTTATTTGTTTTTCAAATAGAGGTAAGAACAACGCCTGTGAGAATGTGGCTAATAAGCAAATAGATCTATATGAGATGCCATGAACTTCTATGTTTTTTTTTTTTTTTTGGTTATGTAAGTCAGAAATCTGTCCTAAGTTATGCCTATGTTGTCGAAGTGATAATTTGATTTAGTTAATTACCTTACTGCTTTGCTAATGGCGTTAAATATTCCCTTCAGTTCGTTTAGTTCGAGGACTGTCAGCCAGAGAAGGCCTTGTTCAAGTTTATCGTAATAACACTTGGGGCTGGATCTGCGCTAAGAACTGGAAACCTGAGAAAGAAGCGAATGTGGTTTGTAAAGAGTTGGGTTACACAGGCGCATCCTCAGTAAATACTTTTTCTCCAAATGAGCAGGTAAATGGTTCGTTGTGGATGAACAATTTTCAGTGTGCTGGAAACGAGAGCTCGCTTTCCATGTGTGTTCACGATGGATATACCAATAACAGCTGTTCCACTGGCGGAAACGTTGGCATTGTTTGCACCGGTCCAGGAGGTATACACACAGAACATCAATAAAAGTTTTAAGTTATTTCTAAGTGGTTCGTTACAAACAACAAATAAATTACAAATTATGTTTGGTGCGAGCATGACAGGGATAAAAAACCTGATCGTTGATTTCATGATAATATTACAAAGTGACAAATGTATTAACTGATTTCGAACTTTGCCATGGTATCATATCTGTTATTTCATAAATTCATCTGGCCCGAATTTTAATTACTTGGAATTATAACGCTGCGAAAATGAATTCCTAAAGTTTCAACATCCAAAAAAGGAACAAAGTTATCCTTTATAAAAACCTTGACAAATTAAGACCCATCAATGAGCCCTTTAATCATGAAGCATGGGAAATAAAAACGCTGCTTGCACTTATGAGAGTTAATACGAGAACATCAAGGAAGTTACAACATGAATTAAATCTGACTTTATCTCAACAGCAAGAATCAGTGCAAATGACTCGCATAGCTTACACTCCCGCGTGGAAATTCTGTTTGGAGGATTCTGGGGACCAATTTGTGGTGATCATTGGGATCAGCAGGATGCAAATGTAGTTTGTCGTCAGCTAGGTCACGATGAAGCGTTAGCAGCTCCTGTTTTCCATGGTATTTCGGGGATCGCAGAGGTATGTCTGAGATATTTGCAATGTACCGGAAACGAGACTTCAGTTTTGAGCTGCTCGCACCAAGGATGGAAATGGGTCTTCCATGACATATATGGTGAAACAGAACCTCCTACAGTTGGCAATGTCATTTGTACCCCTACTGGTATGTTCACTTGATTAGTGATTCAGCAAATATGGTCGCTAAATTTAGTTTTCGTGTAATTCAGTGCGCGGTAACCTTTCTAATGTTTATCGGTTCAGAATTATTCATCGTGCGCGTTCTCTCATTTATTATCGCACACTTGATAATATTTTCCCGTCGCCATTAGAGGAGTAGTCTGAAAAATAAATCATCGTAACTTATTTGGAAGTATGTCTTGGGAAATGTGTTAAAGTTTTACTGCTATAAGTAGGCCTTCAACAAATCAGGCATGTGATTTTGTGGCTTTTATTTCTGATATGGACTGAAAATTATACACAACCTGACGCTAGCCTGAAAAGTTTTACCATTGTCTAAGAAACATGCCTCGCTATGATTCCAATTGGCAGTGGTAATTTATCCATTTGATATGTTATGTCCAGCAAGAGAGCAGCGTGGAAAATGTTTTGACTATAGCAAGAGAAAAAATAAAAACAGCCCACTGACCGTTTTAACTCGTAAAGACAAATTCGGTAAGTACTAAAACCTTAGTGTGGCTAGATACAGCTCAGGGTTGAAAAGCACTTCTTCGATGTTTTCCTTTAAAGGAATAATGACTAGCTTTGTCGCCTGCTAACATGCCGCCATAGGTCAATTAAATACAAATTCTACACATTTCAGTGCGAATAGTTGGAACAACAGCAACGCCAGGTGAAGGTTTAGTACAGGTTTACCACAATAACATGTGGAAGTTGGTCTGCGATGAGCAATGGGATACAACAGACGTTGATGTAGCTTGTCGGCAGTTAGGTTACCAAAGCTCATCTACAGCTCTGAGCTTTCCAATTTCTAACCAGAGAAAGGAGCATTGGACAGCGTGGTTAAATAATGTGCAATGTGTTGGTGATGAAAGCTCCCTTTTGTCATGTAAGCATGGTAGTTTGCTCCAGAAAAGCACTTGTACAACCAAACAAATGGCTGGTATGAAATGTAGCGGGAGTCAAGGTAAAATATTAATTGTTGATTTCCGTGATTATTAGGGTAAGCTTCTGAAGAAACTGTGGTGCTGCGTGGGTGGGAGAGTATAACAGGGTAATTAAGTATTATCAAGAGCTCTGCTTCGCTCTAACAAAGGGCTAACGCTCGGAACGTCAGCTTTGAAACTCTTTACGGTGGCAAATTTACGTTATCAACTCAGTTGATAATACTAAAATTCATCCGTGATTATCGGTTTAGTCAGACATTTCTGTTGGGATCAAGGACTTAGTCTAATGTTATTACAGTAATTTCACGGCTGCCGTCCGCCTCATTTGTCGGCCGCCTTAAAAACTTGACTTGACTTAAAGGAAACCTCCTTACCTTGTTTTTAATTTGATTTCAAGTACTATATTTCCTAAATGCTCTGAATTATCCATTTAGGTATTCACAAAGGATAAAGAGTTTGTCACGTTTTAACTGCATGTATAAAAGATGGTACGGCTATGCTTTGGACAAAACGACCCAAAAACAATCTTTGACTCTCTTGTACTGACAAGATTATAGCAGTCAAAATGATATAGATGAGACATACTTACATCTTTTTCGTAACAGTTAGGTTGGTTGATATGTGTGAAGACTCTTTACGTTCAGGAGGTGTCGTGGAAGTTTTGTTCGGGGGAGTTTGGGGTACAGTGTGTCGTGACTCGTGGGATCTCAACGACGCCAATGTGGTATGTCAACAACTGGGCTATGAGGGGGCACAGAGTACTTTTGATCCCTATGCATGTGAAGGGGATCCACCTGTCACCTGGATGAGTAATGTACAGTGCAAAGGCAACGAGACCTCACTGTCACAGTGTAAACACATGGGTTGGAATGCCACTAGATCTTGCCCGCCCTATTCTCCTGCAAGTGTAATTTGCATCCCTCCAGGTATGTTCATTGTATGTCAAAATTTAAACCGCCAGACCAAGGTTCATGGAGGTTAGACCAGATATGTGAGATCCCGACTGAAGTATACTGTTATTGACCTCGAGTTACCACGTTAAAAATCCTCTTGCGAACGGTGAAATATGAACTTCAACTAATTGACAAACCTTTCTTGAGAAAGTAATTGATTTTAACTTTTTTGTAATATTATTTTCCTTCGTTCTTCGCAGTATTATGATTCAGCCATTCGTCTGACTTCGTTTTGATCCATATTTTCTTAGGTGCCTTAGGACCACCGGAATTTGTCTCAAGCGACTTCGTAAATATTGACATATCATGGAAATCTTCAAGGTCCTCAAAGTTTACTGTGCAGATGTGGAACAAGGACACCATGACATGGGCCCCTGCGCACTGTAAGGAAAGTTTAATCGCTGATTCCTGCGTGAGGGAAAGCCTGAAAGCCACTGTGGTGAACTTGAAACCATCCACAACATACTACTTCAGAATTTTTGTCAGCAGATTGTCTATTAGTACCCCATCAGGACCAATGAAAACAAAGAATCTTGGTTAGTTGAGGAGTTTTTCATTAGACAATAACAACCAAGACCCTAATTAGCAACCACCAGAATCTAATTTCTCAATTTCTTTTAGAAAGTGTGAGTTAGGATATGTGTCATTTAAAGATAGTGAAGACATTCAAAGCAACTAACCATTTGGTTGAGTTGTTATTTGCTTTCGGTGCAGTTCTTGAATGTACAGCGAAAAGGCTGCCTGAAATAGATCTAGTACGTACGTACAAATTAATGATTTGTTTATCGCTGAGAAGTAACTGGTCATTCTACTTTGAGGTTACGATGAATTCAATTAAGTTCACTTTTGAGACAAGTGAAATGATCTTCTTCTCAACTAAAGCTCCTTGCTTTGAGCGAGCTTTTACATTGGAACAGTATATGACGTATATGTACATTATGATTTAAAGTAATAGGTGAAATGGGTACGTTGTTGCGGCTGGATGGATTTGCATTGCTTTATTTTGGGAGCAAAAAGAACATCTAATCATTTGTTATTACCATTCTAATGTTTTTAGATCCACCCCAGAAGCCTACCTTCATGGGAAGTACAACAAATAGCATCACTATTAAATGGAAGTCGACTTCTTTGCTTAATGTGACGTACGCAATTCAGATTAAACGTCATGATGATTACTCGTGGGCTTGGGCCAAATGTGACACAGAAAGCCTGGTACCAAACATCTGTACAGTACGTGGTACTATGGCACGGGTGACTGATCTGCAACATAATGCTGAGTATTACTTCAGGGTGTGCACCATCTCTGAAGATGTCAAGAGTGAATTTAGCCGACCATCAAAGGCATTAAGAACAACAGGTGATGTTAGATACACTGATTCTATCAGTTGTTGTGTCTTAAGCTTCGTGTTTTTACATTCTAGCTATTCCTAGCTATCGATATTTTTCGACAAACCTTTTTCGCCAGCGTCAAATTAGACTTGAAGTTTCGTGCAACAATATCCAAAGGTGTACTTCTGTTGAATACGATCGTCTGATTGAGGAGCCAAATATTTGTTCGAACTAAATGTCACCAGTTCACTTAGCACTAAAAAAGTTATGCGAGTCTTACGTCCAGTTAAACAGAGACAACGTTCTGAGAATAATATTTTTTATGAATTCGGAGGAGCTATTTCTTGTCACCCCTGCGCTACGTATGAAAATTTTGCCAATCTCGTACAGTCAAATACCAAATTGGACCCTTTCAACGAATATTTAAAACGATTTTTAATCAAGGAACAGGTCTCAGTGAGAGGCACCGGAATGTTTTGTCGAGCTTTTTTGGCCGGTTATAACGGAAATGAATCACAAAAAGCAATGATTTGGAGCTACGGTCGAACGTCTGTAACCACCGTTTCATCGAACATGGGAGGTAACGGAATCTTCGGTTGTCAAGGTGTACATACCGTTGAGTTATCATCTCCATGTCGTTAGTAATTACATTATGTATTGCAGAAGAATAGTGTATTCACGGTGAACATTACAACGCGTGAATGCCCTTTTCAGTTTATCTTTCTAGCTGTATGATGCAAAGCTAAGCTTTGACCACAATTAGAAATATGAGAGGTTTGACTTACAGATCATGAATAGTGGAAGTGTGATTTTTCATTGCCACTAATTCAGATCTAATATTCCATATAAACAGTTGTTTTATTTCACACTGGTATGCTGTGAAAAGGAACAGACTGGAGAGAAAGGCACACTTCTCGTCGCGTGCAGTAAATTGATAGTTATTTGCCTGTCAAAATAAAACAAATCTTTACTGAAAAAGACTAAGATAGCAAACAGTTAAGTGTAAAGGGGAACGTGCGACCGCCTTGGCCACCAGGGATCTGAAAATCTGACGTGTACAGTTTTTCTCTTTGAATTTTTTAGGGAGCCCTATAACTCCAGCTTCGATTCAGTTTCCATCCGGTAACTCATTGTGTAGCTTCGTCGATCCTGTAGATAGCAAAATGGAAATTTTTTTTTTAAATGTTTAAAGGTTATCCCTGCTAGGTGTCTCTGTTTTGTTTTGCAGATTTACACTAGTGTCGCTGAAGAATTTTTAATAATGCATCCATGTTACATCCATCCAGCTGACTTGCCGTTTGTGGTGCAATTTGCACTACTCATTCATAACCACTGGAATGGAATAGTTAGCTTGTGGTTAGTTATTTCCTGAGGCATTATTCCATTTCCTAGATTTAAGACTGTGTTAGCTTTGAAGGTAAACTTAAAACAGGAAATAGTTTGTTGTAGTACCTCAAAGATCGAGCACAGGTGACGACAGTCTGACCATACTTCTCAACAAATCACCACACACTCTATTTCTACGCAAACTACCGAAAAACTTGACAAAATTAACTTTTTTCGAAGCAACGAATTAAGAATTGTTGTATTTTCTCCTTCTTACAACCGTACTTTTGTGGGGACAGTGATAATTCATCCGGCATGTTGAAGGGAAGCATTGCAAAATGAAACAGATCCTCCCTTTGTCTTTGGTGAACTTGCCTCACATTTTTTCCTCTGTGCCATTTGATTTCTTCTAGGTTTTGTAAGAACGGCCTGATCATGTTGAAATTGCCTTCTAGCTCCCATCCTCTGGAAAATAAACTCTTCTTAGTGTCAGCCAAATACTTGGTAAGTAAACTCTCTTCAACTGCTGAGCTCAAGACGAACAATTGAGTTTGCATGAACATGTGTTCTTGAAGATTTCGTTGCAGAAGATTTTCTTTTTTGTTTTCCCCACAAGCATCTAGGCCAAGCAAAGGGGATTACAATATATCAAATTCTAATTTAATCTATTCAGGCTCACACAAAAACAAACAACACACACAAATTTTAATAGAAACGAGTTAAACATACAAAGCTAAAGATATATCATTTAAAACAACCAAACAATGGTTAACGAAAAGCGATTAGTATTGACTAAAAACATTTGTACTTTGCGAAAAAAAAGGCACAGTTGACGTCGTAATTTACAGATATAACACTATACAACAAAAAACTTAGTTTCTTTTCATCGCGCCTCGATGACCATGTTTCACCTGGGATATTAGCAACAGATGTAAGGAGGACGTTACGTTGGGCGGCATACCTTGGGCAATACAAGAAAAAGTGTTCCACCGATTCAAAGTCAAGACCGTTCTCACAAATAGACGATGCACAACTATTAATTATTTTATTTTATAACTTTTTTTTCTCTGAGACAAGAAAACCCAATTCTAAGGCGGGTGCGATCAACAGAACAATCAAATAACTGATGGTAAGAATAAGAAAAGAGAATCATTGACCGTGTTTTCGCTTTAAAAATGGAAAGAAATACAGAGTTTCGGACATCTAGGTCCAGAGAATTCCAGGCGAAAATCTAGAAGTTCTGCAAGGAAATTGAGTGAAGTTTTCTTTTGATCTGGGACGAAAATGCGTACTTTCACTAATTAGTTAAGTTAATGCAGGAGTTCAGTTAAATAACATAGAGCAAGATTCTTAGCTATCTTGAACATTTGCTTAATTCATGTATTTCTCTTCTAATACTGAGAGGGTCCCAAGCAAGTTCATCCTGTAACTTCGCAGACCTAGGTCTGGTGAAAAGAGAATTTTAAAGTGTCTCATCCCAAGCCCATCCCAACCATGTTCGTCACGCATGAAGTGAATATTTTGGAATGATCAACGACACGAAAGGGAAAAAAACCAGAAGAGAAGGAGAAGTTTTGAGAGAATAGGAAACTTTAGAGCGGCACAAGTCTTTGTAATTATTTTGTCTTATTTCACAACACTGCAGATTTTTTCTTCTTCGGGCAACTCACCGTGAAGCCTTTTTTTTACAATTTTTACTCTTTATTACGGCCTCCCTTAGTGTAAAAAGAGTAAACTGGGTAGGTATGAATCCATGCATAGAAGGAATTTTGTCTTTTGATTATCAAAATCCCCTCGGCATCATTGCCAATAAGCTGTTTAAACAAAGAATTAAACCAAGAGAGAGATAAATTTCTTGACGGAAGTGTTGGCATGTTGCATAGTTGTCATAGTTACGCCCGTTATTTTTTTCTTTGAAAATACTTCCTTTATTAGAAAAAAAAAAGACAGATTTACGCCTCTTAATTCTGTTCCCCAATTCTATGCGAAAGAAAAAGTGGATAAATGGATTGTTTCGAGGCCGTTCGTGATATTTATCTATCTAGATTCGTAGGCTTGCTATGGAAATTAATTTAATATCAGCAATGCTGATGAAGGGCCTTTTTTTTCTGAAAAAAAATATGTTAGTCAAGTTCTGTTGCGCCGACACCTTACAAAGCGATCAGTTTTGTCTTCAGAGACATATCAAGCTTACAGTATGAAATTAAACGCAAACTTTCCCAAATATTTGTCCCTGTATGCTTGCCAAGTTTTATTTCTTTTACTTTCCAAATTAAATGGTCTACGCGTCAACGAGTCATGTCAACGCTTGGTTGTTCTGAACGGCAGAAAGGTCTACGGCTGAAGATATCAATGGTACTTAGCGAAAGTTCGGGAACCTGTAATCAATGCGTGCGGTCAGGAGCCGGCATGATAAGTAAACTGAAGTATTACTTAATTTGATGCAATGTGCTTTTGCTGGGTGGAAACTACAACCCGCTCCTTTCCGGCTCGGCAAGCTATTTAAATTCTACAATTCTGCGACAAAAAAAATGGGAACGCTCACCAACATGATACTGAATTGTGAAAAAGCTACTTCGTTCGAAACGTCAAACGAAGAATGAATTTCCATACTTGTACAAAATAAATATATAGACACTATATAAACACTGAGCCATTTTACATGTAAAGATACTAATTTCTGAAAGGAATAGTCATTCCGTCCCAATTTGAGTAGAATCAATATAATCTATTCTCCGCCGGTGCGTTTTTTGAAGAATTTTTGTCTCTCAGTGAGGTTACCAAGGCTACAGGGTTTACCTAAAATTCTACCAGCTTTTTAAATGTCATTTTTGTTTGTTTGTTCGATTTATTGATCCTTGGCACCAACGTGTTTTAGACAGGTCGATGTACAAATTCTCATCCAAATTCATGATTACAGTCACGAATATAAGAAATGTATATAATTGGAAATTGTGTTCATTTCAATAATTAAACGTAGAAATAAATGACATAATTTTGAGTGTTTTGATAGGTTGAATAGCAATTTTTAGCACATATATTGCGGTAATACTTGAGAAATGGAAACAAAAGAATTCAACAAAAGTTTGGTGCTTTAGCTCACGAGCGATTCCACTTTGATCATCCGAGTACAAAGCGACTTACGAGTCTGGGTTCCGTGCTGTAAGATATGATTTACATTGTACCATATGCATTACTTTATCAAGTTATTTGTGCTAGTTCTTACGATTAATAATTTCGTCCTTTAAAAATATTGCACAAGGCAGTTAGCATAGCGCAATTGAGGAACAACGACTTAGGAGGAAATCAACGAGCACATTTGTCTTTGCGTTATAAAATTTAACGATGCTCTATTTCAAAAGTGTTTTGATAGATGTCAGATTTTCCTCTCCGCGGCCGAAGATCGATAAAGTGGTATTTGTTAATGTTTACTATCCAGTTAAAAAGCAAGGAACGTTATATTAGCTTTAAAAGTCAATTCGGTGTCTCCGTCGTCTCTAGCTTCACCTTCTATATTTCGTATTTTATATTGCATTGGGTAATTTCTTTGTAACTGAATGAGGAAAATCAATAAAGAATCCAAAATTTTACGAAATTTTCATTCTTACGTAACTCATTGAAAAGGAAATATAAAGTTCCATTTTTTTTTTGGTGAAAGTTGAAAGTCATGTGTTGATCATGATGCAAGAAACGTTCGCGTACGTTGTTATAAAATCAGGAGTTAGAGAGTTCCTGGTTTTTCTCAATGAAAATTTCGAAAAAACAGAGTAACTGTGAGTCGCTATTGGCTCTAAAAAACCAACTGGGCGCGGTATTTTTTTTTTTTTTAACAGCTTCCCTCAAAACATCGTTACGTAGTTTCACTTTCCGCAGAGACTGGAAAATGAATACTCCTGTTTTACACTCTCAGCCTACGAAAACTATAAATGCTTATAACTTAATCTGATTATTTAAAATTAGATTGCTATTTAAATTACTATTTAAAAGTAGTATGACGAATTTCTGAAAACTGACTATCAAATAACGAATGGAATTTAATTTCTCGCTAGTTCTGAGGAATGAAGACATTTTCGGAGCAAGTGTTGCTGAGCTTCCTCTATTTGTTGGTTGTCTCTCAGTCCATTCCAGTTCATCAAGACACTGGTCACAATAGCTACGCTATCTTGTTTGACGCAGGATCCAGCGGCACTCGCATGGAAATCTACAAGTTCCTTGCCAGCGGTCCTTCCCTCCAACCTTCTGACGTTGTCCAGATTGATGCTTCACCAGACAAAGTGAAGCCTGGAATTTCTGACCTTTCTGATGACCCGACTCAAGTTGAAGCTTACATGAATCCTCTACTTAAATCTGCAAAGCAAACCATTCCAGAGGACAAACAAGCATCCACTCCGATATTTTTGTTAGCAACAGCAGGCATGAGACTCTTGCCTGAAGATCAGGCAAACGCTATTTTAGATGAAGTTAGGAAACTGTTTAACGACAAAGAAAAATGTCCTTTTCTTTTTAAGAACGATAACGACGTTAGAATCATTACCGGTAAGGTCGAAGGAATTTATGGTTGGGTTACTGTGAATTTCCTTTTGGGCGTTTTTGCTTCAAAAAATTCCAATTCGTATGGCAGTTTGGATCTAGGGGGAGCGTCCCACCAAAATTCCATGGACTTTGACAAGAGTAGCCCGGAAGTTATTGTTTTTGACGTGGCTGGGAAAACATACAGTGTTTTTAGTCGTAGTTATCTGGGTTACGGACAAGACCAAGCTCGAGAAAAATATCTAGCATACATTGCACAAAAAGCAAATTGCGCTGAGGATTCCAAGTGTGTCGTGCAAAGTCCTTGTCATAATAATGGTTTCAAAGAATCTCTTGAATATCAGGATAAAGAGAGTATATTTAAGGGGACAGCTGAAGTTAAACAGTGTAGGGAGATAATTCGCGAGTTGTTTTTCTGTAAATCGTGCCCCTTTAATGACCAACCCAATTTAAAAGGAAAATTTTATGCGTTTTCGGCTTTTTACTATATTTTAACAGATATAGGCGCTGTTTGTTCTGATTGCGAGGAAAACACTATCAACCCGGGTAAAATACGTGAGTCCTCGGAGTCATTCTGTGAGAAAGACTACAGTGAGGTTAGTGAAGACCCCTTTGCTAAAGATAACTGCTTTGGGGCGAATTATATATACGAGCTGTTGACTGAAGGGTATGGTCTTAGCGGATTAAAGAAAATTACTGTCACTAATTCGCTGAATGGATTCAGTTTAGGCTGGACCTTAGGCGGAGTTTTGCATAACACAGGCATCTTGAACGAGTAATTATTTAATTTGCTGCCGTTACACTAAATTGTATCCAAACGATTAAGTAAAAATAAAGCTAAAGTGACCGACAATACTGTCAGTTTGGTAGCCTTTAGATTTTTTACTCTCTTTAAGACTATTTTTTTTCTTTAAAAAGAGATCATCATACGAAACATGTACGTACGACCCGTACTGATCGTCTAATGTATTCATGAGTCGTAAGATTGAGTCGCACGACTCGTAAGGCTGTGTCATACGACCCGTACGAATGGTGTAGTGTACTCACGAGTCGTACGACCCCTACGGATCGTCTAATGTACTCACGAGTCGTAAAGTTTTCCAGACAATACGTGAATCAGACTTAAAATCTCTCTGGCCATGACTTAATTAGTTTGTCGACTCGTATGGTGGATCACGCACAAACGCGCAAACAACAAGTGTATTCCTCGTTCTACTAAAACGTACTGTGCGAAGTGAACGATAAACAAGTGTATTCGTCGCTTTTAAAGCAACTCGCGAATTGTATTCCTCGTTCTAAAAGCTCCGCAAAGTGCACAATCAGCAAGAGTAGCCCATGTTCTACTGAAAAAAGATCCCTGTGCGAAGTACACAAAACCGTATTCCACGTTCTAATAATAATAAAAAAAAAAAAAACCACGCGCGAAGTGCGCAAACAACAACTGAATTCCCCGTTACTGCAAAAAACACTGCGCGAAATGGACCAAAACATTTTAACTAAGATCAAAGCACACTCGGCTGGGGAGCCGAGAAGGAATAAATTAATTTATTTTCTACCTTCTTTGGCGACATTCATAAAGAATTTTATTTTGGGAGAGAATTTGTCACGTATTATTTGTTCTAAATTGCAACTTCTACGCGCATTTATAGAGTAATGATGGAGTTATTGAATGCGATGTCCATTGGAAACACAACTTTGTGATAGGAAAAGGGTAGACAGTTTTATTGTTATCAAATAACCAAAAGTAACGTGAACTCTGCAATATTAACGAGTGGACAATATCGACGCAAGTCAGAGCACCGAATACACGCAACGTGAGCGTAGAAAAAAAAAAAGAACAAAGAAGTCCAGAAATTTTTGTCCAATAATGCCTTTATTGGGATCAAGAGTAAGAATTACGGTTAGATCGCTCCCAGTTAGATCGCTCCAACCAAAAGTTAGATCGTTCCACTCGAAAGTAAGATCGCTCCATCAAATAAGTGACTTTGCTCCCAACATGAGTTACTTCGCTCCATGTAGAAAACTAAGGTAAAGGTAGCAAACCTAAGCTATCTTGTTACACAACTATGTATCACATGCTTCGTTGCACCAACATGTATTACCGTATTATTGCACGGACCTTTGTGTACTTTACACCTTTGCATACCTTGTACACATTTAGTGATTACGATGCATTAAATATTCAGTTTTGGACACGCAACAGAGACATTGACAAGGTGGCAGCGGTGATTTTTTTCCTCCTCCCTCGCAGCATTTAGATGGCTTAACGATTTAAATCTATTGGCAACCATGGCTTTAAACACTCCTTTTCCAGATTTTAAAACAACGGGAGATGACAAACACGACATTGAGGAATACATTGAAGATCTGACGGACTACTGCATCATGCAAAACTGGTTCGTCGAAAGAGACAGAGGCTGCAAAATTGACGAAACCAGAGAAAGCGATGGCATGCCTTCGGGCGTTACTATCCCCTGCGATCAGAGCGGTCTACAAATACAGTTTATGGCTTTCAGCAGAAGATCTGGCGAAACCTCACTTGGTTATTAATGCCTTGACAGAATATTATGGCGCAAGCATTGGGGTGTCCCGGGTGAAAGACACAAGCCTCTTCGCCTGATGCAAAATGAAGACGAATCGATCGGCTCTTAGGAATCGCGTATACGAAATCAAGCTTCACAGTGCGAATATGAGAATAACGTCTGAAACCTTGCGTGTAAAACTAACCGGTAAAGGCCAAAGACACCGAGATGCGGCAGCCATCCCAGTCCTCGTCAACATTGCGTTTGGCAAGAGATGCAATAAGTGTGGAATCGTTGGTCATTTCGCTCGTGCATGTAAAGGAGGAACAGGAAAGCAAGCAGGCAACAAGCAACAGTCAAATTTCGTTGATGATGATGCAGATGAGGAGGCGTTTGTAGCAGAATGCAAAGCATCACATAAGCCTGCAAAGAAGTTCTTCGCTCATTTACACCTTGTTCACGACGGGAAATCGAAAATTGTGAGAGCACAAATCGACTCAGCTTCAACTTGCAATACCATGCCCAGCAATTTATTAAGCCAGTTATTCCCTAATTTGAAGGTTTCAAAGACCAGAAGCAGAATCAGCACATATGGAAGTCAAAAAATGCGACCAAAAGGTCAAGTGACCCTAGTTTGCGACAGAAGCAGACTAGAGACAATAGATTTTCTTGCGGTGGATGTCCCTGGCGACAAACCGTCACTTCTCAGCGGAAAGGATGCGCAGGCTCTAAAGTATTTGAAGATTTATGCAGACGAAAGAAACGCAGTTGAGGACGAGATTCCGCAAACTCCGCAAACACTTCCCCCACTCGGAATGCTAATGGCGGAGGACATTTTACGGCAGTATGCTAATGTGTCTAGACCGTGGCGCGGGAAACCCCTTGGGACACTTATGCATATTCAGCTGGACTCCTCCGTTACACCTGTTTCATGCCCCAACACACCGAGTGCCTGTGGAAGAGTTAGACCAGGTAAATGAAGAGCTGAAAAGGCTTTCTGAAGAAGGGGGATTATTAGGCCTGTTACCCAACCCACAGATTGGCTGTCTAATATGCTGGTTAAAGAAAACCCAAACGGTAAACTTCGTATCTGTATTGACCCAAGCCAGACCATAAATAAGGCGATTAAAAGACCCAAGTACACGATACCGACCATCGAAGAGAAGCTTCCTTTACCAATAAAGGCTAAAGTCTTCACCACCGTAGATGTATCTGAAGCATTTCACACCATTGTACTGGATGAAAAGTCCTCTCTACTCACGACGTTTCAGGGGCCAAACGGTCGCTATTGCTATAACCGCATGCCTTTCGGTATCACTTCTGGTCCGGAGGAATACTAGCGGCGACAGCATTAATTCTTAGACGGTATACGCGGTGTAATTGACATCGCCGATGATATTTGCGTGTATGGGTGTGGCGACACAAAGGAGGACGCTGACATCGACCACGACCGAAACTTAATGCAGCTCTTGGAGAAGTGTGCTGAACACGATCTACGGCTCTCTGCGAAAAAAGCTTCAATTCAAATCCCCGTCTGTCACTTTCATGGGGCACAAGCTTACCCATAAAGGGGTGGAGCCCGATCCTGCCAAAGTAGCCACCATCAGAGACATGCCAGTTCCAACCGACAAAGCGGCAGTACAACGCTTCCTGGGAATGTGCCAATACCTGTCCAAATTCTAACACAACCTGTCCGAAACAGTCTTGCCATTGAGGAGCCTTATCAAAGATGACTCTGTATCACTTTGGTCTGAAAGTCACGAAACAGCGTTTAACTCAGCTAAACGTCCCATCGCCTCAACAACCGCGCTGCGCTATTATGACCCACACCTCTCAGTGACACTTCAAGTAGACGCATCTGACTATGCAATAGGTGGGGTTTTACTACAAGAGGGGCGCCCTGTCTGTTTCACTTCACACACCCTTAGCAACACAGAAAGAAACTGTGCTCAAATCCAGAAAGAGTGTCTTTCGATCGTGTCCTGCATGGATAAATGGCATTACTACTTGTACGGCAAACATGACATCACCGTCCACTCAGACCACCAACCCCTGGAGACAATCTTTAAAAAACCCTTGATCAGAGCCCCTCGCAGATTGCAAAGAATGATGCTGAAGTTGCAGAAATACCAGTTTAAGAAAGGGAAAGAGCTTTTTATAGCAGACACACTTTCTCGCTCAGCCACCAGTGTTCGTGATTACACAACCCCGACAGTCATACAAGAGTGCAAAGTGTTTAGTGTAGAACTGGCACAAATGGACCTAGCAGCAAATAGAGTAACCGTTGAAACAATGAACCAGATCAGAGAGGAGACTTCAAAAGATTCTGTTCTAGCAGTATTGCATTGAGTGGTGCTAAGTGGATGGCCTTCAGAAAGGAAGGAAGTGCCCGATCAAATCAGAGCTTACTGGGACTCAAGAGACGAGATCACAGTGTATTACGGAATCCTTTACAAGTCTCATCAAGTTATCGTACCCACATCCTTGCAATCTGAAATGTTACGGAAGATACACGAAGCTCACTAACAGCGCAGATAGCAGTATACGACGAGCACGCAAATCCGTGTACTGGCCAGGTATGCAAGCAGCAATCAGGCAGACATGTTCATCTAGCGGAGTTTGTGCCCAGTACTTGAGCGAGCGACCTCGAGAACCTATGGGGTCACACGACATACCTTTTCGGCCTTGGTCAAAAGTGAGTGCAGACCTATTTCAACCAAATGGCAGCAATTACCTTGTTCTGGTGGACCACTACAGTGGCTACTTTGAACTCGAACCTTTACAAAACAGTCATACGAGCCATGAAAAGAAATTCGGCCCGATACGGAATTCCAGAGGAATGTATAACTGATAATGGCCCACAGTTTGTCAGCCATGAGTACTCGCGTCTCTCTCGCGAGTACGGGTTTACCAGTACAAAATCGTCACCCTACCAAAGTCAAGGAAATGGAAAGGTAGAATCGGCAGTTAAGATTTTCAAGAATATCTTGAAGAAATCACGTAACGAGGACCCGTGCTTAGCTCTCTTAGCGTACCGAAACACACCCTAACATGGATACAACTATTCTCCTGCTAAGCGCTAGATGTCCCGAAAACTTCGGGACATTATCCCTATAGCTACTAGTCAGCTCGTCCCAAAACTACAACATTGCAGAAAGGAGAAATAGGTCAAAGGTACAGTAAGACAAGAAGGCACTAACCCCGCTTAGAGAGTTCACAGAAGGGAAAAAGTGTACCTCAAACCCCGCCCAACAAACAGGTCTCAGCCATGGATCCATGGGTAGGTAGTAGAAAAGCCCACACATAGGTCCTGCGTGGTCAAAACAGCAATTGGATCAGTTCGCCGTAATCATTGCCAAATCACGAGAGCAAAAGCAGAGCCAGCTGATGGATACAGCACAGTGATGGACCAGCTTGAAATCGCATCTACGCACTCAGAGCAAGAACAGGAGAGACAACCACCAAACGCTGACTCAACAGGAGAAACAATGCCCAGCTTTTTAAAAACGGATTGATGTTTTTTTCAGACGTTAAAAACCTACTTTTTGGCTACGACGATCTCACGAAGTCTACTACCGATAAATTAATGTTAGTCTTGGTAAGGCTGAATGGAGGTTTTCTCAACTTCTGTTGTCAAAATTTTATTCCTTTATTTTCCTCTACCGGCCTTTAAAATACGCTCGATCTCAGTAAACTCTTGGGAACGAGGCTGACCATTCTAAGATAGAGTCGACTTTCTGCGACAAACCTCCGGTATACTTCAAGAATACGATTGTCGATATGTGATGCTTGTGTGCATTGATAATTTGAGTGAAAATTATACAATTTAAGCTTGCTGGTTTAAGTGAAGGACGATGCTATTCAGTAGATAACACGTGCCCGCTCCTCAAAGAAAAAACTACAATTGCTCCTAAAAGAATTCCCGATTAGTACTCGAGACGTTCTACCATTGAATTATGGGAGAATCAGGCAAGGGGGCCATTTACCAAGGCAAACTTCCCGGATACAAACAGTGCGAGGATATAAATGTCGATATCATGATGTAAATGATGATGAAAATTAAGATGGTAAATTTCAATTTGAAGGAATACTTTATTCAGTGAATGGCACAGGCATACTTGGAGGAAAAAATGGGATTGTTCATCAGTACTCAGTGCAACTAAACCTTGTTGAGTACGCAACAGTTCGAATGACGAAAGCAAATGATGTCTTTTAGTCAAAGGTAAGACTTCGCAGTCGAGAGACTCCATGACAATTTGACATGAAGCATTTAGATGTTCCAGTGCTTCCTTGTGAAGTTAGGGATCCCTGGGAATGAGTTACCGAGCAGCACGTGACCACAGGAAGTAACTACGCATGTGTGATCCGTCAAGGAGGATTCTGCTCCACATGCAAAACAGTGATTTTGTCCAAAATATCAGGGCTAGAAAATTGAATTCAGCCTTTCCAGCCTGTATTTTGTGTTATTTTATGAATAAGCTGTTATGTGAAATTCTTTCAGCGCAAGGAGGTAAGGTTCAAACCTTTATATACGAACAATTTTGTCTCGATGTCGAAACCACTTTGAACCCTGCTTACCCTTGCATTTCCTGTCAGTTTTGACGGAAAAAAGGGAAAGTTATAAAATCGAGACATCATTATCAGGGAATACTTCTACTTATTTCATGTTGACAGCTTGAATTTTTTAGCTTGAACTTTAGGAAATAATTTTTTGTCCGACATGCAATGTACGTTGATGTTTCTCGGTCGTAGATGACCTAATGGATGCCTTCGTTTTTTGTTTTAGTATCATTTATATATGTGCATTTAGACATGGCGTATCCTTAACTAATGACGATAAAAAAAAAAACAATAAGAATTTTGTTTAAGTGAACACGTGAATATTTGGAATGGTAAATTTCCAATGCCTGAAACCTTCCCAGTTTATTGTTAACAGGATAACAAACAATGAGCTTTGTGGTAAATCCATTCATCGATTATTATGTTTGTCTAGCTTCCATTTTGATCTTTCGCTTGAGAAAGAAATTTTAAAATTTTAGCCTTTATATGTTGTCTATCATTTATATTCACTCACGTCATTGGGAAACATCATGGACCTGTGATTACTTTGTGTTATTTCATGACAGTGGGATTTGATAAATGATTTGCAGTATTTTGTATATGTGTATTTACAAATAACACTTAAGAAGAAGCTACAAATTTAAAACTGTGGTCATTTTTGTTTTTGCTACATGACTATAGAGCAAGTCTTAAAGTAATTTGCGTCAAGTGCCAGTGTGTGAAATTGCTGTCACCTTGTTGTACATCTATATGAAGAGTGAATGAATTCCAGAGACATCTCTTTGAGAAATGATCAAGTTTATAGACTAAAAAATATTATTTTACCCTTCATCATTTATTTTCTTCACAGATATTGTTAATTGTAGGTTATACTCTCCTTACTTATAATTTAGAGATGGTTTCATTCTCATTTCAGGGTATTATGTTGTCATACCACTAAGAGATATCTGCATGTGTTCTCTTGGATGTAGATTAGTTAATGGTGTTCTTGAAATTAATTACCAACCACACGCCTGAGATAAATGAACCTTTTTCAGTACAGGAAAGAAGTTATTGTTACTCACCACTCTGACAGTTCATTAAGAATGCTGTATCTTTTCCTTTTTTCAGATCAACAGCTGTTACTTTAAGTCTGGGTAAAGTGGACATGCATTTTTAAACTGTGTAGAAGAACAAGAGCAGCAATATTTTTTCATAAACTACATTAATGTTTGCACACATAAATGGTTGTTACGTGACACTTGATATTTTATTATTACAAAATGACTGTTTCTGTGCGTGGAGGGACTGGTGGGGACTCTGCTCCTCCCAACAGTACCACACCTGTACAACAAGGTGGCCAATCAAATGACTCAGGTCAACAGCAGGACAATGAGAACTCAGTTATACAAAATGATGATAGTTCTAGTCTATTGTTACCTAATGGAGAAGTGGCATTTCCTCTTACTGAATTGTCCAAATTGGATGAAATGATTAACAGGCCACGTTGGGTGGTACCTGTCCTTCCCAAGGGTGAACTGGAGGTTCTCCTTGAGGCATCTATCAAACTTTGCAGAGCAGGTATGAGTTCATGTATATGCTTTTGTCCAGAGAGAGATAAGAGTTTTATGAGGTTAGGGTTTCCTCTTTGTAGCTTGTTGAAAACAAATAGGAGCATATTCATGTAGTCCTGACCAGGAATATTTATTGTTAAGTTTAGTGTGATTCATTAGCAGGAATCATGGACTGGATGAGATATGCAATAGTCATACACAGTTTATACCAGACAACAAAAAGTTCTATAAATGTGATTTGAACAAAACTAAGTTTATTTTGTGTGCATACATGTTAAGTAATCCTAAAATGTACGCAGAGTCTGTGAAATCTGGATGAAAAAACATGTATCTTCTTTAAAATTAATAATGTTTTAAAATTGACAGAGCTAGACACAAAGAGTGAAGAGTGCCAGAGGTTCTTTCGGGATGGCTTGACCACATCATTTCATAAAATTCTTAATGATGAAGCAGTTAACGGGTGGAAGTATGACATTCATGTAAGTCATGTCTTTTTTCGGTTTTTGATCGTGTGGATCCAAAGTTAGATTGAGTTTAGCCTAAGCTATTGTGCCCATGGATGACTGCTACTCTCCTTGATCGTTCAAGACTTGCAAGGCTTTTTATTGTTCTAAATAATCACAGACCATTATGTTGGTCAACAGTGGTTGTCATCTACATGTACAGTATTGTGCAAAAGTAACCCAAATGGAATTTGGCAAATTTTGCTATTTGTTCTAGCAATCTTTCGTCAAAAGTTTGAACAAAAATTTGATTGAAAGTTTAAGGCATGTTAAGCGACATTTTGTTTGAACAAAAAAGGACACTTTTTTGTTGAATTTTTGCCATGAAGCAAAAATTCGTGGTGGAAAGTGTCTCTTTGATCATTAGTGTTTGAAATTTTGCTTCAAATTGATGATAGCCTTCTGCGATTGATCAAGTTTGTTTTATATTCATCTAAGCAACACAAAATATTTTTAAACATGTTTCCAACCTTTTTCAGTCACCATGACAGAGACACTTAATATTTTAGACTAAACAGTAGACTAATGGACTTTTGTCCAACTAAACAGTAGACTAATGGACTAAAATTCACTATAATACATGTACTTGGCTGAAATTATCTCCCAGACGAATCCAGATATTTTGCACATCAACTTCAGTTTCCTGATGTTTAATCAAGGCTAAACCATCATATCCAGTTCAGTGTTCGATCAGTTTACAACAACAAAAGTAACTAGGGATGAATAGCAATTGCAACCAAGAGACATGTATTTGGTGGAAATAAACTGTCAAATGATTGGTATAGTTGTGTGAAATAAAGGGAGTGAAATACTTTACATTTCACAACAACACTAAATATTAATAAATGACAGCTGAAGCAATTAGTATTTTGGTCATGTTGCCCTATTTTTGTGTAAATTCTGTCATCTTTTGCCAATACTTATTTTGCACTGTTCCCACATACACTGTTCGTTTCCATAGACAGCTTTTGAGGTCTTCCTGATCAAGGTAAATTTGCCAGAGAACCAGTGAGAGTGAGATGCAACTTTCTAATGATGCATGTAGTACTGGAAAAGCTCACCAGTAACCCTTCGCATTTCAGTGCTTTCAGTATTTCAGCTGGGTGGAGGCCTTGTTTGTGGAGGATCTTGATTTTTTTTGTAGAATAATTTGAGACTTTTGCCATAATGACTACCAAAAGTAGAGTACATAAATGATCCCAAACGCATCAACACAATTGATACACTGAGTGTTGCCATGGTTGCAAACAACATAGGTTGCGCCGAGACTCAAATCGTAGCAGGAAATTTCATGTGAGTTTTACGTAGAGCAGTACCAAACCACAAATTCAACCAAATCTTTTTGAGAAGAATGAACAATAGCAACAGATTTTCGTCCCAAATATTTGCCATATTGAATGAATTTTTGCTCGAAATTTGAGTCACATTAACACCATCAAGGAATATGTTGCCAAAATTTCGAGCCATTCAAAACGATGCATGCCTTGAAAATTCACAGAAATGTTGTAGAAGTTTTGTTTCGGTCAAAAATTTGTCAAAAAGCTAGGAATTTCATCGAATTTTATCGAATTTCATCAACAGGTGTTTGCATTACTTTTGCACAATACTCTACCTAGCACTTTATAGTTTCATCTTTTAATGATTTTTTTTCTTCTGTCTCAATTAATCAGTCCTAGATTATATTTCACTGCCATTGGGTACTGAGATACCTTTCATGCCTTATTGCAATTAATGGTTGCAATGAATCTCTGCAACCTCCCCATGAAGTTTAATTTAGTGAAACCCTTGGACTCCCAGGTTTCTAGTCTTCTGTCTGTTTACCATGTACACTTGTATATCAAGCTGCACCTCTCTTTTTTAAGCTTATGTTTTGGGAAATGTTCTCTCCTGATTAATTTATTGTTATTTCTTATTAAAAGCTGTTTTAGAGCAATGCTCAACAGTAATTTGTCTTAGTTTGTTATGTGTTTTTCAGAATTATCTTGAGATACTTTTTATGATAATGACACAGCCACATCTGAATAGTGTATGGTTTGCTTGGGGAGCCATATCCATGAGTTTTAGACATAGTCTTTAAGTTAATGGTGCACCACAACAAACTTAAAGGCCTTTTTTATGGAACCTTAAAATATAACAGCTAATGAGCAGGTGGAAAGTTTTGATCAGAATGTTGTAATCAGTTTGTTTTTATAAATTGAAGTGTGTTTTAAATTTCCATTTTTATCCATTCAGAAAGCTATCTTAAAGAACACAGAGAAGCTTGTAGAGTTGTGTGTTACAAAACTGAATCAGGATTGGTTTCCTCTTCTTGATCTTCTATCTTTAGTATTTAATCCTATGTCCAGGTATGTACAACTGTTTGGTCTTAGTAGCAATTGTCAATTCATTTTTGCAGTTTTTCTATTTTGAAATTAATGTTCATTGTCCTTCATCATCCCTGGTCCCTTAACTGTGACAATTTACAACTAGAGTTATTGTTTTCTACCTCAGGCACACTAATATAATTATGTTTCACTTGATATCATTTCAAAACGATTTTTTTATTTACCTATTAAGTATATTTAAAGTATTGTGGTAGACATCTAGCCTCTACACTGTTCAATTGAGATTTGTTCGAAATATAATTTGGTAGCTGACTGTTTTAACCATACTAATTTTACTACATTTACCTGTGTATTATTCCTGTATAGGGTATGTGTCACTGTGTGTTTCTGCTTTTTATCTTTTGAAGTAAAACTGTGCAGACTTAATGTACTTAGAGTTACATGTATTTAACTTGTCAGATTTAATATCTACAATGGTGCTAGGCCTTCAGAGACAGTTCCACAGGGAGCTCAGGTCAGTTGGTAAAACATTGTACTTATTAATGTGTTTAAATGTATTTATCATCACCATCATTATTATTTTTAACTTCCATTAAGTAAATGTATAGAGGTTCTTTATGTTCTCCGCACAAACCAAAATGTATTAGTAAAAAACAAAAAGGAAAAGTGTTATTGACTTAAAGCAGTGCTCTTTTAACAAATTTTAACATCTGAATTAGCAGGAGGCAAACTTTTTGCCAACATATACAATGTATCTTGTACACTGTAGACAAAGTATATACATGTGCTGCCACTTACTTGAGCATGGAACTTCCTGGTTTGGATTTCTCATTGCTCAGAACACTTAATTGCTCTTCTCCTTTATGAAGCACATTAATTTTTCAGCCATACTTGTATGCAACATAGCTGATCAAGAATATTCTTATTCTTTCATCCAGTCACCTGGTTGTTGTTTGCCATTTTCTGATGGTTTCAAAAGTTACAATTAAATATTGTGTGACTGTAGGTTTGAATACTGGCAGGTTGATAAGCTTCTAAAATTTGTCACCTCTCATCTCTGACATTGAATGATTGCAGTAAATCATCAGAAATCTGCTCTTGCAGAAATAATCAGTTTTGTTAACATATGTTATACAAAGAGAAAATTACTCTATATTGTTTTATGTTATTTCTCTAGGTGGCTGAAAATTTAATTTATGCCAGACCTCCTGATGCCAGGTCACCAAAGGTACATATTTGTTTTAATTGATAAACTTACATGTAGGTGCAATACAGTTTGAGTGAAGCGACTCTCTCCACAGATCATGAGTAGTATGCTTTGTGAAAGTTTTTTTTTGCCATTAGGGAGGAGTTAAATATTGTATTTGAATGGAAAGGGTTATCATTTCACAGTTCCAAAGAAAATAAGGGAATTACTCAGACTCTACTTGTTTAGTCAGGTTTAGTTGAGGATCCAATTGCTTTCAACAACTTACAGCCAAGTGTAAAAGATATGTGAAGTGGAATAAGAATTGTGATTTACAGCTTCAAGTTCAACCTTTCTGCCATTTGGCAGAACAATGAAATGGTTAGCAGAATAAAATTTGGTCACCAAAAAAGACACTCTCAGCAATATTACAGGATATTCAAAACAGCTGACCACACCACTTGTATTTGGAGCTACATGTAGCAGTAAGCCATGACTGTTCCATACATGAAAACATACCCAAATTTTGTTGGTGAAATTTTATTCTAGATACTATGATGACTAAAACAGTCACAGCTGGTAGTACAATAATTTTGTCTTAATATCCACATACATAATATTATACATGTAACTGAGAGTAATTTATATTCCCCTTTTTATTGTAACCAATGGCTCAATTAAATTTTATCTTTGTAGGGATGGCTTGTGGATCTGGTGAACAAGTTTGGTGTCTTGGAAGGTTTTAGCACTTTACAGGAAAGAATATGTGATGGCAGTAATCTTAGTGTCCCACTCTTAGCAGCTCTCCTTAGGTTTGTCGTGCTGTAAATTTTTATACCTTACATTGAACATGCAAATCCAACCATATTGGAATCTATTTGTGTCAGGGGTGGCTTTGGTCTCAATTTTTACCCCTATTTCAGGTGGTGTAAATGTACATGCAAAGCCAAATCTCTGAGGATTCATGTAAATGATGGCTGTAAGCCATTTTTTTATCAGTAGCACTGAAAAGCAGTTGCAAGTTGTTGTCTATTACAGAGCAAACTTTTATGCAAATCTTGAGGTGCTCTCTCTGCTTTGCTTGAGTTAGTAAGTCATTTTTTTATCAATAGCACTGAAAAGCAGTCGCAAGTTGTTGTTTATTACAGAGCAAACTTTTGTGCAAAATCTTGAGGTGCTCTCTCTGCTTTGCTTGAGTGAGCAAGTCATTGTTTATTATGCAGTGTGATTGTATTTGATACTCATAGTAGTAAATCATTCATAGTACTGTATATTTATTGATATGCATAAGCAACATTAGTGGTGTACAAAGTTAACAATACAATGCTTAATTAAAAGAAAGATATGGTGTCATGTCTTTGCACCTTTATGATTATTTAATGCATGCAGTGTACACTGATAAATAAAAAAGAATAAAAGAAACATAGAAAAATTTCATGACATAAACATGCAATACCCAACTAACAACAGCAATGTGTTTTTATTTTAGACCATTTGGATCCTGTGCAGAGGTTCTGACAACTAGCACCGTAGAAAAATACTTTTTACCTGTTATAGTGAGTAATTTAGTTTCTGAAAAGAGCAATGTTTTCCATAGGAAAGAAGAAAGAAAAATAGAAAAAAGTTGAATTGCTTGGTCAATATTCAAACCCCATACCCATCATGTGGGGGAATTAATAGGAAATGAAATCACATTGTAAAAGGAAAAATCATTCAGTGTCACTTAACTAATGCTGAAACTTTCATTGAAGTGCTAGGTAGCTTTCTAGCAAAAAAGTAGAAGCTGTAATTATCAGGCTTTACTTACAGATGGGGATAATCTCCATCATAACGTCTACAACAGTGTGTATAAGCAAATTTTCTAAATTCTGCAGGATTTTGTTCCAACATTTCTTGAGAACTTAACTGATGATGAGCTTAAAAAAGAGGCCAAGAATGAAGCAAAGAATGATGCTCTCTCATCTATTATCAAGGTATTTTTAAAAAAAGTTTAAGTGCTGAATTCTTTGTAAAGAGCCTCACTCCCAGTTTGACTTTTTTTCATATGGCTACCTGGTGACCTAAAAGAACAAAAGAATTAGCCAAGAACATAAAGAAGAAACAAAGTAAAAAAAAGAGTAGAAGAGGATTACTATTTTTTGATCTGTTGTGCCATTTGACACCATAAGTATTGGGGAATGACAATGAATACAGACTCCTACAGAACTGCTGAACATACATGTGCTGTAGGCTGTCATATTTCACTACAAATTTAGTTGCCAAATTTTTTTTCCTACTCATCATGGTGATGAATGAGGTTGCAATTAAGAATACTGTAGAGACTGGATGGGAGGAAAGGAGAATGAGCACCCTGCAATGTTTGTTTAGATTATCAAAACAAATCTTTTGTAGATTGCGGTTACCATCTTTACACCAGGAAAAGAGAGGGAAGGGATTTTCTTGTTTCAACAAATTCTCCCAGACTGTGATTGAAGTATTTGTAAACCTACATTTATATAAGTTTGTGTGTTTAAAGTACATGTATTTCCTCTCAATAATGTTGAGTGCATGAAATTTTGCAAGTTAACTTTCAATTGAGACTTCTGTTGTTTTTAGGCTCTTAAAAACCTGGCAGTTAGACTGACATCTCGAGAAGACATTGCCAAACAATTGGAAACATTTAAACTGAAAATGATACTCAGGTTGGTTAAAGATATAAAATATAATTAAAATCCTCAGTGTGGCTTCAGGGGCTGTTGTTATTATTTACCTTTTTACATATACTTCTTTCAATAGATTACTTCAAATTTCTTCATTTAATGGAAAAATGAATGCACTAAATGAGGTAATGCAGTGAGGCTTTGTTCTGTACAATACATTTGCATGTGAAGCAACTGGAGATTAGTACACTCCCCTAATTCTAGTAATGTATAGCCCTTATGGGTCTTCTTTAAAATTTGGGATAAGCCAATGAGTGCTTTATCAAATTTGTGACTTAATATGATCATGTTTGTTGTACAGCATTTGTATGTTAAGAGCAGCAACAGCTGCTTAACTGTACTGTACTTTACTCTCGGGCCATTCACAAACTAAAAAAGAATCAATTAAAAAAATATGAAATTCAGTGAATTTGTATGTAAGCGAGGGTGTGCAAGATGGGGGCACTTATTCCAAATTTTTACAGATACATGTAGGAGGGGTGACTTTTCAAAGGAAGGCACTAATTAAAGGATATTTGGTTCCAGCTGTGTTTATGTGCAAAACACAATTGTACTGATATTGATTTATATAAATATATATATATATTTTTTTTTTTTTTCCTTTTTCAGATAAACAAAGTTATCACAGGTGTATCATACTTCACTCACAGACACACGGTAGCAGAAGAGGAGGAGTGGCTAACAGCAGAGAGGATGGCTGTGAGTATTAAACACATCATACTCGCATATCTACATAAAAATAAATTATGTATACCAGGCACAGAGTTTAAAGAGCTACTATACAATACTGACACTTACACATTCAACAAAATCCAAATGGTTAACAAACAATTCCAATTACCCACTTATGTATATACCTACACTGTACATGTATTAAGTTAGCCTCTACTACAGTGTAATTACAGTACCTTTCACTACTGTATTTTACTTACCTTACAGGAGTGGATCCAGAAAAACGGAGTCCTTTCAATAGTGTTAAAAGACAATCTTCATCAACCTCAGGTTACTGATTGTAGATATGATTACACAAAGCTGAACTATTAGAAGGGTTTTGATGTACTTGTCCTTGGTAACCCTGGTGTCTTTAAGAAACTTTCATAGAGCAGAGTTATAGAGGCTGCTTGGTGACAACATTTTGTCAGCCATTGCACCTCAGCTCTGTTGTGGCACTGCCATGTTATATTTACTGTTTTAATCATATATTTTGCAATTGATGCAAAGCCTACATTGTGTGTAAAGACAATAAAACCTTAAAGAGTTGCTGCATACATTGCTCAGTTATGTATATGTTTGTGGTGCATTAGGTTTTTCCATGTTCACTTTTTACTTTCCTTTACTTCGTATTATCAAAAGAAATATAAATAAGAATTGAGATGTCGATTAAAATATTAGGATAATTTTGAAACAGAACAAGCATGCATGTTGCTAAATACTTATCTAGCAATGATGCTCTCAATAATGTGCATAAAATGCACAGTATATAGAGTGACATGTTTATATTTGTTTATTCTAGTATGTTGAAAAATTGGAGAAAATTTTGCGGTTTGTTATAAAGGAAAAGGCTTTGTCTTTAGAAGATTTGGACAACATTTGGGCTGCTCAGGTTTGTATATAAAGTTGACCCTTACTATACGTGTACATGTACTGTATGGTGCTGGCCCCGGTTGTTTAAAGGTTGGATAACACTATCCACTGGATAAATCTATGTAAGGTGGATAACGCTATATGTTTTGCTATCACTTATCTGCTGGATAGTGATTTATCCATTGTATAGCATTATCCGCCCTTTATACAACTGGACCCTGGTTTTCAAGTTAGGTTTCTTCATTCTTGTGACACTGATCTTTTTCAAATGTTTCTTGCAGGCTGGAAAACATGATGCAATTGTAAAGAATATCCACGACCTTTTGGCCAAATTAGCATGGGATTTTTCTGCTGAACAGCTAGATCATCTGTTTTCTTGTTTCCAGGTAAAAAAAAATTACTTCTGTGGTCTCTTCTTCCAAATTTGCATAAAAGCAGTTTTTTCTGATTTGGAATTTGTCAAAGAACAAATTTCACTCCAAAGGTGTAATTTAGGATGGGAATAGTCATCTTCAAACCCTTTTTTGTTTTCTTTTGTATATTGATCAAGAATTTAAATTGTTGTCAAACTCGTAGCAATGAAAGCTGCTTAAATCTTTTTTGGATAAATTAGGAATGTTTTGTTTTCTTTTGGTTTTTGTAGGAAAGCTGGACGAATGCTAGTAAAAAGCAGAGGGAAAAACTGTTGGAGTTAATAAGACGTTTAGCAGAAGATGACAAAGAAGGAATCATGGCACACAAGGTGAATGGAACACAGAGTTTATTTCTACATTACATACATGTATGGTCAAATTGGCAGAATTGGTAATCAGATCTTCAGCCCACTTGAAGTCAATAAGGTTGTAAAACTCTTTGGAGTATCATATTGCAATGGGTGATTAATTTTTGTAGAAACCTCTTACTAGTAATATTGGAGATAGGAGGAGAGGTTGCAGGGGCATACATGTACAAACACATGTATGTACTTCTTCTTTAACAAGGGCTAAGGATCCGGGCTATGATACATGTAAGCCATTTGCTTGTTGTTATGCAAAAACCTGAATTTTCTTACCCTGTTGTTGTGTTTATGTAGGTGTTGGGTTTATTGTGGAACCTTGCTCACAGTGAAGATGTCCCAACAGACATCATGGACTTAGCTTTAAGTGCACATATCAAGATTCTGGACTACAGTTGCTCACAGGTGACTTAGTGGATGTAGTGGCACTATATTCAATTGAATTATACTTGCTTGTGAGCCCCCATTAATGTCTTTGCAACTGGGGCCTGTTAATTTGTTGATGGTACATTGATATAATCCAGTTCTTGCATGAAATTGTGTTGCAGGACCGTGATTCTCAAAAAACAGAGTGGATTGGTCGTTGTATAGAAGAGCTACGTAGTGACACTTGGGTTTTACCTGCACTCAAGCAAATCAAAGAAATATGTTCCCTTTTTTATGAGGTATATTTTTTAGTTAGGTTGTTGCATTTTTACACTGGTGATCACTGTCAATGTAGTCTTTTGATATTATTTTGCTCCACATTTTGGACAGTTTGCATGGTCCTAGTGTAGTGCTGCTCAGCACATCATGTTGTTTTAAAGCTGTATAATCATTATTGTTTGTACTCTTTACCTTGTAAGGCTCCACAAAACTACTCTCACACTCAGCGTAACCCTCATGTATATTATCGACATGAAGTTATAAATCAGCTGCAACAAACTCACTCCTTGGTAAAGTTAGTTGCTGATAATCTTGCAACCTACATGCAGAAAGTGCACACTCTGATGGAAGGTAGGATCTTTGATTTTCCTTTGTAACTGATAATTATTTCAAAGATGAATCACTATTGTGAATAATTTGTAAATGTTCTGCTATTCACAGCTCAGATTGGCTAATATCCCCAAAAGCACAACAAAATGTTGCAAAATAATTATCTCCAAATGATTGCAAGTCATGGCTGTGATTATTGACTTGAATAAGAAATGCAAAATAACAAACAAACAAGCAAACACAAACAAATAAAACTGCAATATATATAAAAATTTAGAGCATATTTATACCTACATGTAGGTGAAAGAACATGAAAGGTGGAAGGAGTGATACTAATACTAAAGTCTTTCTCAGTTAAGAATTAACCTTAGGATACCATGGTTGTCATCTAGTGAGCTGAGTTGATTTGGTTGTATCAGCTGAGTTGATGATATTAATTGGCCATTTAAAGAGTTAACGTGAGCCCTTTAACAGAGCAAAAACTAGTCCAGCATAGTAAATAAACAAAACATTTATACACAATTATGTTTCAATAAGTGCACTACAATTTATGGCAGGTGTTTCAAACAGAAAAAAACTTTAGTAACCTTTAAGCCAAACTGTGTTTTTTTGGGATAATCAAGACAGTAACTGACTGTAATATGTGTCTTAGGCAAACCAGATGTAGTCCCAAGTGATATAAAAATTGATGGAAGGTACAATCATGTGACCCAAGTACAGGAGAGACTTAACTTTCTCAGGTACTGAGTGTATGTGAAACAGATCTGAAAGGACCAGAGAGTTGTACAGTGTATATACACAGCTCATACACAAATTTTTAAAAACAAGAAGCCTTATTACACATGTCAAAAAATTTCCCATTTCTTTGTCAGCGTTGACAACAAGTGAACTAGACTTCCTGAAAAAAGAAAGAGAGATAGATAGTGTAGTGTTTCAACAAAAACTTGTCAAGACTTTTCTGTACATTAAAGTGGTCATACTTTATTGATAGCCTTTAACTGACCCCACCAAGCCTCAAGAAACAACTACATGCCATTCATATTTTTAAGTGCCAGTTAAAAAATCTTATTTTTTGTACATCCAGTGAAAATTGATACCTAACACAATGCAGACTGAATTTTTTCCTAGAAAGTGGTGGCAGGGTTGTCTTAAGCAAAATTTGATGATTCTCAGAAGAAAGACTTATCATCACTGCATAAAATTAGAGACAGCTGTAAGGCCAGTAAAGCAGTAATATGGTGAAACAGGCATCTTACTTTCCTTAGTTATGAAGTGTACTTGTACTTTACTAGTGATAATTCAAACAAAGAAATGTTTATTTTGCTAACAAAGACAAAGCACCGTGTAGCGCCCAAACAGACCAAATACTTGATTGAATCTCTGCCCTTGAACAGTAAGTAAACAACTGTCTGTTAGCTAATCTGTTTCATATACTTCTTTTTTTAGGTTTCTTCTCAAGGATGGACAGTTATGGCTATGTGAACACCAAGCCAAATTGGTAAGTCAACATTGATATCTGTCAGTTACTAAATTTTCAATTATCAGTCAGTGAATTGGTTAATTAGGGGCTGAGTGGTTTTGTGACTGAGTTATCTACTTCATTTTGTTACAGATCTGGCAGTGTCTTGCAGAAAAAGCCGTTTTATCATCAGATAGGGAGAGTTGCTTCAAGTGGTTTTCAAAAGTAATAAAAGTTGTGGTCTACCTTAATAATAACGCATGTACAGTTTTGTATGATTTTATGAGGCCTAATATTTAGTAATTTATTTGGTGTTCATTTTGAAACACTAGTCAGTTCACAAATTCAAAACTTTTGGGATGCAAAACATTTGCAAGGACAAAGGTATAAGAAGACTAATAGTATACACATGTAAAGTGCAGCATTCATGTTGCAATAATTGATATGATTGATTTACAATGTAACTGTATTTCTGTAATGTCCTTAATCAAGGTGAACATTTGCAGATGTTCTGCCCAACTCCTCAATTGTCGGCTATGGCATGGATGCATTATTTTACCTTTTTTTTTATTCTGTAGTTGATGGGGGATGAACCAGACGTAGATCCTGAAATCTGCAGATCATTCTTTGAAGGCAATGTCCTCAAGTTAGATCCTTCTCTGTTAACAGAAAATGGCATAAGGTTTGTGATAAAAAAAAAAGTTTAGTGGGGTGCACATTGCACTATTTTGCACCATCCTTTTAGTACATGGTACTGTGTAAAAATAATAAACAATTATTGGCAAATTTCCTAGCTGCACAGGGCTTTTTGATCAAAATTCCATCCAAACTTTATTTTTGTGATATTTCCAAAAATTAGAGGCAGTTGATTTGCTGTGAATGTTAATGAGTCAAAAATCATAGGGAAACTTTGCTCCTCCCAATCATTCGCAGAGATGTTTCATAACCAAACCTGTAAGGTGCATTCCTTCAAAACATGCTACTTTCCATCAGTTTGGAGGTTTTGAAGGTTTTTTTGTTTATCACAAATGAAAGAAACTTCTAAACTTATGGAACACAAGAAAATTTTTTGGTCTTTAACCACTTGTATTTTCACATCCAAAGAGGAAAGCTGCATTAAACCTCAAAATAATTTTCAATGAACAAAACTTGCAAATCCAATATTTTTTTCCTTTTTCATATCAGGTGTTTTGAAAGATTCTTTAGAGGAGTCAATGTCAAAGAAGGTAAACTAGTAGCTAAGAGAAGAGCGTACTTAATGGAGGATTTGGATTTGATAGGAGTGGATTACTTATGGCAGGTAATTACTCATTGTTCATGCTGAAACTACATATTTAGTTCTATGATGTATTATCTGAATGCTCCTTTGCATCTCAGTATTTGTCAAACAGGGTTGAATATTTTTGTTCATACTGAAAGTGTTTTGTTACATCATTGCATCACTTCTGAAAGGAGTCTTCATGATTTTAATGTTATTCTCAACCCTAAAGCTTATAGAAAGTTGTGTGGACTTCAAAATCAAACAAAACAGAGAGTCATTTTGATCTAGGAAAATCGTCTACTTCTCTGGTTTTACATAAGTTGCAAATACACATGCATAGCTATTACCATTGCAGTTTACAGTTTTTCAATGGTTAAGAATTTTTCTAACCAGTGTCATCTGCCATGATTTTCAGGTGGTACTTCAAGGTTCAGATGACATAGCTGGTCGTGCCATTGAACTGCTCAAGGAGACTTTCACCTCCCTGGGACCTAAACTGAGGGCTACACAGGTATTTTGAAAAATTGACATTCAGAGGACAAGTCAAATTGACCAATAAATGCATATCTTTTCTTCATTTTTGATCAAAAATTTGGTTGAGTTTCTGATGTCATTACTCTGCAAATTTGCATATTTTAGAACTTGAATGGCTATTGAGAAGAAGAGATGTGTGGAAGTATTTAATAGCTTTGTTCTTCCCATGTAGACTTTAGATTAGACTGTCATCATAGTAGTATGTACAGATGTACAATGCAGTGATACCCGAAATAAGCTAGGAATTAGTTTGAATGTCATTTCATACACTAAAAGACTAATATATATTATTTCAGTGAAATATTCCTTCTAAGAATGTGGAAAATTGATAATCTGGTAGATCAAAACTTCTTGCCTGAAAAATTATATTTTATTTTTTAATTACCTATATGAAGTTGCTATGTAATATTGATACTTCTACAGGTTGACATTCATGAGAAGTTCATCCTGAATTGTACAAACCAGATTCGCCAATCAGCAGATGTATTTTCTAATAAGGGTACAGAGATCACACGTATTGAAGACAAGTCTCCAATTCCAAAGGAAAAGCTTCAGCAAGAAGCAAAGAAAACAGTGAGATGTCTGACAGTTCTTAAAGAATATGTTGCTGAGTGTGATGATGAACATGCAGAGGAACGAGCAATCTTACCTCATGGAAGGTAGATATTGTGTTCCAATTATCTTCTAAATGATGCACTAGGTGACTAAATGTTTCTCTGCTCTGTAGGTCATGCCGTGGCCGACATGTTTCACTTATTGTCAGATTCCCATCCCATGGCCGCCAGGGAGAAGACTTTGAGATTTGGTCACACACAAACGAGTCTATTGCGTCCGTCAGACGACAAGTCATGAGCAGGTTTTTTGTTTATTTTTTTGAATTTGAAAGATAGTAACACTTATGGTGTTTTCGTTAATATTGCTAAATTATTGCTTGTCTGTTTGTTACAACAGGTTGAAGAACTCTTTACAGACAGCCAGGCTTGATCTGTATGTCAATGGAGAGATCCTCTGTCCTTCTGATGACAAGAGACTAATTTCACAAGTGCCATTGAGAGACAGGACAGTAAGTGATAAACTTGTATTTCACTTATGAATGAATTTGCATTTGACCGTTGTGTTGTTGTTGTTGTTTTGGTTTTTTTTAATTGATCCTTATCTCACATCATTAGAAACTAATTATTTTTCCTGTGGAAAGGGACATCATTTAAATCTTATGCCAAAATTGCTAAGAGGAATAATATTCAGATCTAAGAATTTTTAAAGATTAAATATTTTGCATGAATTTATCCCATCATAGATAGTAATTTTGTTGGACTTGTTATTGTTCTCACAAATGTTTTTTTAAATGATGATATCAGTTTTAAGGTGGTACCAGGGGTTAACCTGACCTTTTTGGATTGCTTTTATTTTCTCACATATGAAAGATTTTTGTTTAAATCTAGCCTATTTGCAGAATATGATGATAGGAAAATGTGCCTTTATTTGAAATACAAGCAGGAAAAGTTTTGTTTTGAATGATGATACTTGTGGCAAAATTTCAAGGCATTGCAACGAATCTGTCATGAGATATCTTATTCCAAAAACTGTTGAAAATTCACCAAATTTTTCCTCTTGTACCCCCATGTTGTTTTCATGAATTGAATTAAGGATCAAATTTCTATTAACAGTTAATAACAGCCAAGATTGGAACAATGAATAGCTCCATGCCATCATCACCTGATTCATCATCAGACTCATCAGGGGGGTCTACACCAGCTGCTCTGGATGGTCCAAACTTAGATGCTGAGAACTGCCTTCCAGGAGTGGTAATGAAGATTAAAAGATGAATTTTTGGTTAACAAATCATAAACCACAATTGCAAATTTTGGTTTTGTGTACAGGTGTATGTTCGTGGTTGTATCTTTTATGAAGCATATAACAGTGAACTTACTTACTTTGATTAACAAATTTCAAATGTTTTCCTGATTAAATGATACCAGAACACTTGTACTTTTAGAAAGGTTACACCACTGTTGCCTTACATTTTGTAATAAGCATACTGTGTCGTCAAAGAGAACAACTACCTTGTTGAGGTACAGTCGTGTTCAGCACCTGATTTATGATACCCATTAATTGTTATCTTTAGATGTTGTCCAAACGGCACAGCTTTATGCAATACCTAATCGATCTATCTGATCAAGGTATAGCTCATAACATTCCAGATCTAAGGGAGAGAGTTCAACAACTCCTTAATCTCATACCATCAGGTGAGTGTTCATATGCAACAATTAATTTCCAACAGTTTTGTTAAATGTCAATATTGGCTTGAATTACATTTTCAGTCCTCTACATTTTAAAACAACATGTGAATGATTTTCTTCTAGACACAGAGACAGTTGGAAATATCAAGAACGTTTGTCGAGCATCTTCAGAAAACAGTTCCAAAACATCTTCTCCTTTACTTGACAACATGTTCTTTATATCCTCTTCAACACAAGTTCTTTATAACCTAGAGGTATAGTACATGATGTTTGCCAAATAAATAGATACGGTGAGAAGCATATAAACTTTAAGTGGTATGATATTAAAAAACAAGGTGGGGTCTGTAAGCTGATCAGTCAATGGCATGCATACATCTCTACCCAAATATGGAATTAAACTATTGAGGTGCTAATAATGATTGTAAACAAAATACATGTATGTGCTGCTTCACCCTTGATTTCCCAGCAAAAATTTATCTTGAGCATTACTCTATGGTAATGGAGGTATGGTAATATTCTGTAGCTGTTCCTTGACATGGATGTCACCTTTATTCCTTATTTTCTTTAAGATTGTTTATTCCCTTCTAATGCCAGCTGCATTACCCAGTCAAGATCACCAAACTTTAGAATTCCAGGTGCGTACTGTATGTGTAGGATGTATGTCTTAAATGAAGAAACATTAACGCTTGTGGGGCACTTATGCTGCTTAGCCTTCTTATTCCAAAATCTCAACCTCAGTATGCAGTAAATCAGACTGAACTTCCATCAAAATTAATGGTAATCATATTAATCATAGCATATTGTATTAATTTAATTGTGTGAATTTGAAGGTCAACTTTTTGAAATGTGGAGGCATTCAATGCATTCTTAATATGCTGACAAGTACAGAATTCCTTCAACATGCTGATGTAATCACCAAAAGGTACACAATAGAATAGAGACACTGAGCAATGAAGTGAGGCACCAATCCTTATTGAGGGTAGTCTGTCATTGTTTGACAGAAAGACAAAATTGATAATAAACTTGATTTGGACAAAATATGTGGGTTGCATTATTAGAAACATTGCTGTCTCCTTAATTGTTACCTGTGTGTAGCTGTTTTGTCACATTAGGTTGGTGGCATTTTCAGTACCTTTTTATATGAGTAGAGTGAAACATACTTTTACCAGTTACTCTTAAGCATGCAACCTTATGTTTTGAAGGTTAAAATTTACATGAAGCTAGATTTATGAATTGTTTTCTATCAACATTTACAGTACAGTACATTTACAATATTTCCCTTCTTGTCGTCTCACTTACAGAGCTGCATTCTACACACTCCTTAAAATGGCCAAGTTGTTGCTGACAGTAGTGGGTTACGCTCAAGTAACAGTGGTAGCAGAAGCTATTCAACCCTCAGACCCATCCTGTTCCCCTCCTCCAATCTCTGCTAGTGCTCATAATGCGGCAGTCATATTACAGCAAGCCTTGCAGTATATTCCTAACCCTGGCACAGAGTGCATGTTACGGAACATGGCTGTTAGACTTGCCACTCACTTGAGTAGCCAGGTAAGTAGGTACAGAAAATAACACACTCAGGATGTGGGTGACAAAATATTGTTGCAATTTAGTTTTGAGTACAAGAAAATGAAAAAAAAGGGAAAAAAAGAGAAAAAATTTGGTGTGGCTATAATTAAAAAAATTCCTTGATGTCAGCACTAGATTGTGACATGTAGAAACTCACACCTCTTTTTGTCTTTCTTTATGTGAGGCTAGAAATAATTTATATTCTGCTTGTCAATATCTTGATATATCAAACTTCTGTAGGTTACAGAGCCTTTACCCGATCTAAATGCAGTCAAGTCTGTGCAGCGGTTATCTTGGGCTGCAGGTGTGGGCATGCTACATCTTATACAGTCAACAAATGAAGAAATACATAAAGCCTATGATTCAAAGGTGAGATTTTAAATTTTTCTCTTAACAGTTTTCTTTTTCTTATTCAAATTTGTGAAAAGAAAATGAGGGAAATAGCTGTTTGGCAAACGAACACAGTTTTTAAATTGCACACGACACCGGGTACTTTTTACTCCTACAAAGTTTTGAAGTTGTGTAAAGAAACTCAGTGACAGCCTTGGTGAGCTCACTCTGTTTATTTTGGTGTAAATATCTCCTCACTTAAATTCATGAGGTGGAATGTGGACAAATACGGTTTTTTTCTTGTTTGCAGACAAGTACAAAAAGTCTTGATAATGATGACATTCAAGTGGCAAGAGAAGCACTTGAGGTAAGTTATTCCATTCCTTATTATACTTTATTACTATATTTAATTCTCAAAAACAGTAGTTTTTAACGAATCAAACAAAAAAGGAGACTGTCTTTACTGCTCTGTAAAGAGTTCTACTGTGTTTTATTATCTTGAGATCAATTACCTGTTTGAAGTAGAGCACAACATGAGTTATTAACACATGATAAATTATTAACAGTAACTTCACTGAGTCTGATCTGGAGACTTGTACAGAATGAGAAACATCTCCTGGTTTCATGACGCTGAATTAAATAACATACTAAAGCTGTATGAACTATTAGTAGGAGCGAGTAACAAGTACACATGCAATTTATGGTCTAAGCTCTTTGTGTAATTCCTTTTCTATTGTAGGTGTTGAGTGTGTGTTTAGCCTTATGTCCAAGTCTTCTTGAAACTCTCACAAAGGACAAATCCTGGCAATGTTTTATCATTGATCTCCTTATCATGTGTCAAAGCAGGTATTCTAATTTGTATATTTTTGTTTTTTCATGCAATGTACCACATTCCTTGAAATAATGCTTTAAAGGAAAATCATAGCCTGTTTGTATATGACAGACTTTGGCAGTGTGTAGCTGATCTTTTTTTCTGTTTCATTCTGTGTAGAGCCATCCGATGTAGCACAGCAGAACAGTTCTTTCTCATTGCCACACGATGTTCCCACGGTCACAGACCACTTATCTTTTTCATTACACTTCTTTTTACTGTGCTTGTGGTGAGTGTTTATAGATACTTTGTCTGTAGACATGGCACTCACTCTTTGTTTAACCAAGGTGGATTTAGTTTAATTTTAAGGTCATAACTTGGCTTTAAACCAGTGACTAGCTTATACTTAATTTCAAATTGTGGTAATAATGGAGATAAATAGTAACTCGTGAACATGCGATTAGGAATCCCTCTGCAGTAGAGGACCAGACTGCTAACATCTTGAATTCACGAACAGTGCTTTGAGCGCGAATCTTAACGAGTTTGCTGGAAAATTCCAAAAGGCATCTAATTAGTCTTTTGGCTGAGACGAAACGGTGCATCATACCAACAAAGAAGTATTTTTGACAAGTATTTGACAATTTTTTCTTTGCATGATGCAAAAATTTTACCGTTCAGGTCATACTCTAGTGACCTACTTCAGTAAAATATGACCTTAACGACGAGGTCGTGCTACTTAAGATGTCAGTTATTACAACAGGAAAAGGATCATACGTTATTTCAACCAGATCGACTTCTGCTTGATAACTAATTGTAGTGTTTCACTTTTTGGCTGATGTGAACTAAGCGTTACTGTTTTGTACCTCACTCTTAGACATGTTAGGCAAACAAACTCTTTTGTTATTACCAAATAGTGTTCTGCTCCATGCGTTGTATTTGTGATTGCCGTTATTACTTTGTTGACTTGTTAGCTTTGACTTTCGCTTGCAGAACTCTATTAAGGATCATGCTGGCTCCTCATATGAATACTTTAGCTTGTTTTGCAAGTGAGTAGCAATAAGAGCGTGGTTAGTCATAGTGGTTAATAAATAAGCGTTATCGACCAAGCGTGAGGTCAAGATGGTTGGATATTGGTTGAGGTCATTTTTTTTGCGTTTCTATGGACTAAGACAAAGTCGAAGTCGTGAAAACGGAAAAGAAGACGAGGCTAATATCCAGCAATCTTGACCGAACAAGCTTGGTCAATGAAGGATTTATTATATAACAAAAAGATTTTGCTTTGTTAAGAATCAAGAATTACTTGTTTATTTCGAGAGACGGGAGGGAAAGCTAACTGTCCATGTAGCATAATAAACCCACGAGAGCCGTTATGTTTTCTTAATTTGACTATTTTTAATGCTTTTAGCGACCCCACCGCACACACTGTCAAAAAAAAACGAACCTTTTTGTAAGTTCACCTCGAGCAATTTTCTTTTCTCGCGCGGGATCAAAGTGAGCAATCTTGAGCGGACAGATGGGCTGGATAGCCAATCAGAACACAGGATTCGCTTCATATTGCCAACGGGCACTGCCAGCGATATGATAAAGGACAATAGTGGTAACGAGTTATACTTTTCAACAGGAATAATGAATTGAAACCATAGTGAGATGTCATTTGGATGATTAGATTGAATTGCCCTTTCTCCCTTCATAAACAAAGAAATCGTGAAACTTCAACTAAAAGTTTGATTGCTTGAGTTAATATTTGCACATACCTATACAAATCTTACATGCATCTTTAACTTTGAGCAAACTATCCATGCATTAGTGCCTTTCAACGAAAACGGGAAGTGTTTCCTTTCAAGCTGGATAGTATTTTGTACCTTACAAGTTTAGTTCCATGACCAGTGTGTTATAGAATGTGCATTGGATTAGCCTGCACTTTTAATCAAATTACATTCTTGGTTTTAATTCATAGATTACTTGCCCATGCCTTCTTAACCCATTGTCCCCTGCCCACGGCTGAGATGATGCTGAACACTGAAATAACATGGCTCAAAAAAGCAAAGGTTAGTTACTAGGATTATGACTCACTTAAAATCTATTCCAAATTTTGATTCCATAAGTGATCGTACTTGATTTGTGCCGGATGATTATCTTTGAATCTACGATTTACTACTTAAAGTACCTTCTTCTTTTACGATATTAACTCGAATTAAGATCTCCTTTTCATTGTGAAATAAAAACAAATGCCGTAAAGCTGTCACGATATTAACTTATGAGTAGGCTCCCATTTCCAACAAGCGAGGTCCACAAGGGGCCTGGCACGAAAATGAACAGCAGACTCTTCACAGACGTCTCGCTGCTCACTCCGCAGCGCTAACGTTCTCAGGCTATCACAGTACGAGTTTTACTGATGGCTGATTCATTTCTGTTGTTTATTTCAGGATTTAGTGCTATCATCTGAGGAAGGTAGCTCTGCAGTGGATGACTCCCTGTTAGAAGGTCACCTTGGAGTTACAAGAGAATTATTACTTTTCCAGTCAGCTCAGAAGAAATTTGCAATTGGCTCACAAAAGGATGGGCCAAACCTTATTAAGGTATAGATATCAAATAGATATTTTAGAAACTTTAACAATACTTTAGGCATCTTGAAATACAGCTTGCCCATTGTATATGAATGAAACAGAATTGTTCAATGTCGATTTTTGGTCTTGAACTTTTTTGCTTCTGTGACCATTTTTGTAGATTAATAAGTCTATTTTATTGTTAATTCAACAAACATGTAATGAAAAATCTGCATGTGAAGCAGATAATCTAGCCCACACTTACTACACTTTAGTAGGTCATTAAGTTTGTCGTTTTGTATTTGAATAAGTTGAAAATTGTTTCCTTCTAGGATCTTGTGGAGGACTTCATCTTCCCTGCATCCAAGCTTATCATCGATGCTAGGAATGGTAATGGTAAGGAATACAGTTTTGTCCTATGTTTTGCTTTTCAAAGCCAATTACCTGTTGATAGAAACTGGCTTTGGTTAGAATCTGCCATACCAGTATTGTAACCATGTAATTTCTTTTGCTAGATGACGTCTGGAACAAAAGAGTCACAGCAATCTGCTCTACCCAGACCACCATGGTAGCTGCTTTTGATCTCTTAGTTGCTCTTTGCAGAGGCTGTGTTCAAAATCTTAAAGTCTTAGCTGACATCCTCACTGATTTCTACTACTCTGGTAAGAACTGATTTTTTTTTTACCTCATTCATTTTTTTTTGTTTGTGTCTTTGCCACAAGTTATTTGTGTTGCACGGACCCTTTGCAAGGACACTTGCCCCTCCCCGTCCGTTTGTCTTCACATTTAAGTGTGCTTCCGATGTAACCATCCTTTAGGTTATGAACAGAACTTAAATAATTTTGTCATTTAATTTATTTCCTTTAAGGTTTTTCGTGAGAAACCAAGCCAGTCTCATCTGTGTTCTCCACCTTTCGCATAATGCGTTTTTATAATTTGAAATATCTCTTTTGCAGGTGAGGACCCTCCTTTGACAGAATGGGAACATTTACCCCCGATTGGGCCACGCCCATCCAAAGGTTATGTGGGGCTCAAAAATGCAGGGGCTACATGTTACATGAATTCTGTAATTCAGCAGGTACGTATAATGTTTATTGTCTAAGTATTTTTCAATCTGTCTGCCTGTTGTAACTTTCCATGAAAGAGAGCCCTCAGTTCCCAGTGGAGTGAAAGTTTACACGTTAGTTTTTGACTTCTTTGGTGAGTTTTTTTAGGGGTTTAAGTGATTGTCTAAAGCAGGTTAAATTTAAATTTTTAAGTGACTTAGTGAAAGCTAATGACATCTGCGTGTAGAGTTGATGTTCCCACCAAACCCTAGTGGCAGTTTTTTCTTTAGTGCACCTTATTTACATGATATATGAAATAAAAATAATTAATATTCTGTGGTTTTTCAGATTACAATCGCTAATTTCATTTTACAAAGTGCTTTGAAATATAGGAATGTTTGTGTTATCTTTGTGTTATGTATGACTGCGGCTAACACGTTAGCATCGCTTTTTTCAGCTTTTTATGATTCCTGAATTACGTGAGGGTGTTCTGAAAGTGGAAGGAGCTGCACAAAAAGAAGAAGAGGATGGTGTGGACGTGGAGGAGAAATCTGAGAGTGAGAACACCATAGACACTGGATATCAGTCTGAAGACAACAAAGACAATGATAAGGATACTGACACTAACGATAAAGAACTGGAGATAAAGAGATATCAAATCAGTGTGCTTAATCAGATTCAGTTCATCTTTGGACATCTGGCACAGAGTCAGCTGCAGTTCCATGTACCTCAAGGATTCTGGAAAACGTTCAAGTGAGTCCATCTTGCTTTTTCTTGAATTTTTTTTTACTAACTGAAGCCTTGTCAGTCCAAGTTGCTGCCATTGTTTGGTGACTGGTCTATCTTACATACAAACTTTTTGCACAGTGAAGCCTTTTGATATTACAAGGATCAGTGAATGCAGGAAATGAATTAACCACGAACTATGAAATAGATTTCATTCAGATACGTTTTCATCAGAACCAGTGATGAACGTTTTCCATTCAAAGTTGGTTTTCTGTATGAACGTGGGTTTCTTTAATGTCAGTCAACTTTGTTAGGCGTAAATGATGTTACTTTAGTAAATGATGTTCCTGCTGGTAGAGTTTGACTCTTATATCGCTACTTTGCAGGTTGTGGGGTGAACCAGTAAATTTACGCGAACAGCATGATGCTCTGGAGTTTTTCAATAATTTGGTCGATAACTTGGATGAAGGTCTAAAAGCGCTGAGTGGCGACCCGCTGTTTTCCAACATACTGGGCGGTAGCTTTGCTGATCAAAAGATTTGTAAAGGATGTCCTCATAGGTGCGTATGGGCATCATTCTTTCCAACGAAAAAATTCAACGTGCTAAGTATCCTCTGATCAATTGGCATTTGACTTGTATTTCTACATCCACTTTGTATGAAATTAGCGTTAAGTTCACTTCGGCCTTTGTACAGCAGAGGTAAATAGTATGAGGCAGTACACACATATCAGCCCATTTTTGTAGAACTAAAACACTGCGAATTATCTTACTAACGTTACTCTGAACAAAACGTGACAACACTGTTGCATTATAGTTTATTTGTATCGCCATTAATTCCATCGTGTCCTCTACCTTTCCTTGATGTACATTGGGTTCTGTTGCATGTTATATTATCCTTGCTGCAATCCTCTCTACCACCAACTGTATTCTCAGACGTCATGGTTTTTTAATTGTAATTTAGTCATGTGATTCGTTTTACTTCAGGTATTCCCGTGAAGCACCATTCATTGCTCTGAATGTGGACATTCGTAATCATCAGAGTTTAGTGGATTCTTTGGAACAGTTTGTTAAGGGAGATTTGTTGGAGGGCGCCAATGCTTACCACTGTGAAAAGTGTGATAAAAAGGTCATTATTATTTCTGCTGTTCTTTTAACCTTAGTTTGACACTCGTGTATTTCACAGTTCCTTTATGGTCAGATACATTACGATTTTAACGCATATGTTGTGGAAAAAATATTAACCAAACAGGGTGACATCAACAGTTGTACTGGTGAAGTCGATTAATGCGTGTGGTTTGAGGAATAAGAGCAGAAAGTGTCCTGATTTACTTGCAAGGTTAATGTGTTGACTAGTTTGCGTGAGTAATGAATGTTATTTACTGTCCTGTTAAATCTAGGTTGACACAGTCAAACGAATGTGCATCAAAAAGCTTCCTCGAGTACTGGCAATTCAGCTGAAGCGCTTTGACTATGACTGGGAAAGGTAACTTAGAGTCCTTTACACAGCTCCACTTGTTTTATTCTTCATGACTTTTATTGACTCTTATCTTAAGCAGTGATTTATTTGTTCCTCTCTCTCCCTCTCCCTTTCTCCCGCCCCAGAGAGTGTGCTGTTAAATTCAATGATTACTTCGAGTTTCCACGTGACATGGACATGGAGCCTTTCACAGAGCTTGGTCTTGCAAAGCTTCAAGGTATGTTCACGCATCAGGTTAAAGAACCCTTGTAAATCCTTGTTACTTGGAAGTCTTTCACCAGCCTTTTGAGTGTTTTTGAGAAAAATCGTTTCTTCTGATTTGGTTTTCAAACACACTCACTAATAATGCCGGATACGATGGAAGACTCGCACTTACCATAACTATTTGATATACCTTGTGAAGGGAATACTTTACTTTCGTTCTCTTGTGTGATTGGTAAACTTAGTTCAACGGGATGTTTGCTTCAGGTGAGATCGCTGAAAACTCAACTGATGGTGAAGCAGAGGAAGAAATAAAGAGTGAAACAACACGCAGCACGAAGTACCGGCTGGTGGGAATCTTGGTCCACAGTGGACAAGCTAGTGGTGGACATTATTACTCTTATGTCTTGCAGAGGTAGAACTCATTTTACAACCTGTATGCTGTTAAGCTTTCAGTTGCTTTCGTCTTTTTTGCTGCTAGAGAAGTTTTTAGGTACACGATTTAATCAGGATTTGTAAAACAGACGAGAGTGAAATACCAGCAAGTGATACAGAACGATGAAATTAGAAGGCTTTGCTGCGTGATTAAGGTCTCCTTAAGCGTGTATAGTCATTGTACTTTCTGTATATAGAGAAGTTTTCCAATGGCTTTTGCGTTGAAATTACTGAAAATGCTGAAGACTTCTTGAACGTAAAGTAAGATTTCATTGATAGTTAAGAGCCTAGGACAAAGGAAAAAAATCTGAGTCCCCTACACGAAATCGAAAACCAGACTTTTAGAATCCGTACTCCGACCACTAAGCTCTCGAGAACTCTGTGGTGAGCCAAGCTATTACTAGCTTCATATGTGACATGCGCTATGTACACTGCTAGAATCAGCAGATGGCGAAAAGAATTTCTCCATTATGTTTGAGGTCTCTGTTTTTTTTTTCGTTCTTGGTAAAATACCAATATTGAAATATTGTGCGATTATTTGGCAGATACATCTCAATGTTAAGTGTGTGTTTGGTTAGATCTAGAAAAATCCTGTTTGTTTCTAGCATCGGCTAATTCTGTAGTTGCTTTTTTGTTTCCAGAGTTTCTCCAGATAACGTTCCGAAATGGTACAAGTTTGACGATGGCGAGGTCTCAGAATGCAAAATGGATGATGAGGAGGTGCAGGCTCTCGTTACTTTGTGAAATAATATTTTGGTGAATAGGATAAAGGTGTGGCTCGTACATGTGCGAGCAATCATCAATGTGACTTTCGCGAACATTTCAAATTCAAATAATGAAAGTGAATGATACATGTTTTTTAACTGATAGGAACTGAAGACTCAGTGCTTTGGAGGTGATTACATGGGTGAAGTGTTTGATCACATGTTAAAAAGGTGCGCAAAATCGCTGGGTTCTTGCACTCGTGTTATTCTTGTTACGGTTCAGTCAAAGTCACTTACTCATTTTGTTTGCTAGGATGTCATACAGAAGGCAAAAGAGATGGTGGAATGCATACATCTTGTTTTATGAACGCCTTGATGTCATGGATGTAAGCAGAACTGTCGATGTTGACAGAAGTGAGTACTGATTTCATAAAAACTGAAAACGATATATACATTAGCTTTGGGACGTGATTTTCTTCAGGTAGAATATGATTGTCACCCGAAATCCTCTCTTGTTTTCATTCCGTGCGTATCTGTTGATATGTTACTATAAGCGTCCTTGTCCTTTATCATGGTATGTTGAAATGAAAAAGCATACCCAAGAACTTTCATATTTTAAAAAGAGACGTGTTTGTTTGATTATTTCACTTAATTGCTCTGTGTCTTAGATTGTTGGATGCCACCAGCAATAAAGAGAGCAGTTCGTAAACAGAATGTGCACTTCCTTCACAACCGAATCCAGTACAGCAGTGAATATTTCCAGTTCATGAAGAAGCTGGTAACCGCTAATGCTGCTCTGGAAAATTCGGTGAGTACGTTGAACGTCAGCATTGTATCTTGCCTCAGCTCTAGCTAACGAAAGTGTTACACTAGGCGATAACTCTACACAATACTACTGTTACACGTTCAAACCTGTACAAGTCTCGTACTTGTGAAAATAGAACTCAACGATTCAACTAGCGGTTGCTAAATTAAATGAAGACCGTGTAATTTAGTAACAAGAGCCGAACTTTAGGACGCTGAAGGCTGAAAAAAAATGAAAATAAAAAGATTAGATAAATGAAAAACCCAGGTTACCGCCGCGACAAGTTCCCTGCTGGGAAATAGACACAAGAAAGAAAAACTTTGTAATATATGTACTTTTTCGTTCTTTAGGCGGAAATGGAGCCTTTAGCAATGACCAGCATTCAGTTGGTTTCCAAGTTCCTTTTCACCACTGGCTTCCGAACCAAGAAAACCATCAGGTCATTACTGAATTGTCAACATTATATACCACCTGGTTTCCTTCACTTTTAGGGTCGTTTTCATTGTGTATCTTTACCTCTGTAGTGAATACTCGATATCACGATAACATAGATATTAAACACTTTGACACAACGAGTGGCGCAACTCAATAACGCTTACTGTGTATGAAACCTGCTCTGACTGAATGAACGCAATCTTTAATGATATGATTTACTGAATGGAATGAGGAGTTAATTGTTGTTCGTTTGAACCTGTCGCAGGGGTCCAGCGGGTGAATGGTACGATGCTGTGTGTGTCTTACTCAGACAGAGTAAGGCTGTCCGGGAGTGGTTCGCCAAGTTTGTGTTGTTCTCTCACCCTGATCGCTTTTCAGAATATTTATTGGAGTGCCCCAGTGGAGAGGTAAGATATTATTTTCCTTCTATGCAATTTGGTTTGATTTATTTCATTTCGTGCACGGGGACAGAATGTTCGTGTTTCATTGTTCCGGTGTCCATTTCTTTGTGTTTTGTAGGTACGAAGTGCCTTTGCTAAGATTTTGGTGTTTTTAGCTCACTTCTCTCGTCAGGACGGTCCGTGCTATCCGTACCCGGACGACAATAAACAGGAATCAGGTTTGTTAATTACAAAAAGCGTGTTTGAGTCACATGGTTAATAGTGGAAATGTGATGTTATGTTTTATTTTTATATTACAACACAATACGCATGCCTGAGGCTGCTTGAGGTTGGGTTTTTCGATAAATGGTGATAACTACTGCAGTGCCTATTCTCATCACACCGTAATCCTCATAAGGAATTTGCTGCAAATTCGCTTATATCGTGCGATAACTGTTTTATGCAATATTGCGCCACAACGAACGTTTAGTGATGTTTTGAGTTTATTTAGTGTATTCGCTACCAACTGTCGCTCCGTTGAAAGGCGTTAGCTCTTCAAAAAAATTCAATGGATTTGCGTAAAGATACACGTAAAATGCTTTTTTTTCGTTGTCGTGCCGTTCTGTAGATCTTGACAACAAAGCGACCTTGAGTGACCATATCCTAAGTGCTGTTCTTGGATTACTGAAGAAAGAGGTTCCGGAGCACGGCCGTCACTTGCAACAATACTTTCACTTCTTTCTCATGTACTCCACTATTGGCCCACCCGAGGTATGAAACAGTATCATAGATGTCGTGCTATGAATTAGATCAAAAGTGGTCCCATCTAGCAAAATACATCAAGCAAGAAGTTTTCATTGTTCTGCTAATCCAGAGAATGTCTGCTTTGTGGTAATAATGATTTTGGGCTATTTCTGTGAGCGATACTAGTACGAATGTGCAAAGCTTAAAATAACTCTTATGCTGACTTAAACAGACTATTTTAGCAGACCAAGTTTTAATTTTGTTGTTATCATTGTTATCATTATCATTATTATTATAATCATTAATTTTTAGCATTTTAATTATCCTGTCTTCGTATTCACAAGTAACTTTTATTTTCTTTCTTCTTGACAGAGACTTCAACTCCTACAACTTGGTGTTCCGGCAACTTTCATGTTGGTGGCATTGGACGAGGGTCCAGGTCCTCCCATTCGTTACCAGTATGCTGAACTGGGAAAACTTTACTCGGTTGTGTCTCAGTTAGTTCGCTGCTGTGACGTTTCGGCCAGAATGCGCTCTTCTGTACCGGTGAGGAATCCTGTAACTTGCAAGAATTGTATAATTAGGATTCTCCTCGCATCATATGTGCTACTGAATGACCGAATGTAAAAAAGTTTGTAATTCGGCCTTGAAATAAAAAAGGCAACAACGAGCGAAAATAAAAGTGTTTTATGTAGCGGCAGATGAGGATTTCCAAGAATTTTTTCGTTGGAATCTTATCACTAACACTGAAGTTGTCGTTGGTATTTTCAGAACACGCAGCCAAGAGCGAATCCGTTTGATGAAGGGCATCCAGTAATGGAGATTCAGCCTGTTGTGGCAGACATTCTGTTCACCAAGGCCACGTTAGTGCTGCTATTATTGTTGTTGTTGTTTTTATTTTTCTCTCTCTTTTTATCACGACTTTTTTAATTGACCCACAGATACTTAAAGAAAGTGATTGAAGACAGCACAACTTCAGAAGACACTCTGAAACTGTTAAGAGTAAGTACATGACAGCCTTCCCTACTTGTTTTGAGAACTTATAGCTCTTTAAACAGACTTCAACTATTTGGTCAACAAGATAATTTGGATTTTATCAACTGAGTTGTTAATGTAAATTGCCACTGTAAAGAGTTTTAAAGTTGACGTTTCGAGCGTTTGCCCTTCGTTAGATCGAAAGATAAAGGGCTAACGCTTGTAACGTCAGCTTTGAAACTCTTTACATAAGTGCTTTACTTAAGTGTAGTTACCGGAGAGAATTGCATCCAGGCCTGCATCAAAACCTTTGTTATCTAATCCAGCACCTGTGATTATTTTCAGTTTTGCTGTTGGGAAAATCCACAGTTCTCACGGATAGTACTGAGCGAACTTCTCTGGCAGGTAAGTGTGGTATCCTTGTGTATTCGTTGATATACTTATATTTTTTTGTCGTAAGTTAACCCTTTTGCTTTTGTCCTCTTTTTAAATTTTTTTTTCTTTAATTAGTTTCTTGGTATTACGGATAAATTTCTATCATCAATTGAGGTTAAAAGAAAAATAGGAAAAAAGACGCTTAACGATGCCAGAACCTGAACAAAACAGCTAACAAAGTGTAGCTTCTATTCCATTAAGAAGCGCTATCCGCCCTATCTTTTCATCTTTTTACTCATCTTTGTACTATCTTTTTACTTATCCCTTGTTCTAAGGTGGCATTTTCGTACACATATGAGCTGCGACCATACCTAGACTTGCTTCTGCAAATGATGCTTATAACAGACTCCTGGCAGAGTCACAGAATTCATAACACTCTTAAAGGTAACAACAGTGGTTGATTTACACATGTTGCTCTTTGTTTAACAAAGCCATTTCGTAATTTCGGTGCATTACCAGATTAACTTCTACATTCATGCGAGAACCCCCATAGTAACATTTGTTCGTGTGAACTTTTTTTAAATCGCCGATTCCGTCTTTCCCGAGAACGTCAATCACGCGTGAGGCCATCTCGAAGTTTAGTGTCAAATGAGTGCTTTTCAGATTTAGAAAGGAAAGTGGTAACGGTTCAGACGAACAAAACATTTTAAACACAACAAGTTTTCTTAGTGAAACGGATTCCCTCTTCTTTTGGAGTTGAATGCTGGTATATTTGTTTGTCCAGGAATTCCAGACGACAAAGAAGGTTTATTTGACACAATTCAGCGCTCGAAGAATCATTATCAGAAGAGAGCGTATCAATGCATCAAGTTCATGGTCACACTCTTTTGCAGGTCAGTAAGTAATTGTTGGAACATAACATTCAAACATCTGGTTACCAAGAAAGAAACCCAAAAAAATTGGCCACGGCCGTTGCAGCAGTTCCTTCGGGCTCTGATCCTGTCGGCTATTGTGGGGCAAACACCCTTGTATGTTATATGATTAACCCTTTAACCCTTGAGAGTGATTAGTAACTAATATCTCCCATCAGCATCACCCGTAAAACAAACATTGATCATCCACTAAGGGGTTCTTGATTTTTAACCAAATACTCCTTGTTAGTACCATAGGAAATGTATGGAAAAAATTATGGAGAAAATGTACTCTGATGTTAGGGTGTAAAGGGTTGATTAGATACAAAGCTTTTAATCGCTTCCTTTGTAATTGTTTCCTCAGCTGTCCCCTCGCGCACCAGATTCTCATGACGGCACAGGACCTCCGCCGGAAGTGGACATGGGCAGTAGAGTGGCTTAATGACGAACTGGAGAGGGTTAGTTCTCTCCCACATTGGTTTCCTTCTTTTACGTTGTATCATAATGAAATATTTATTACAGAAGTATTTAATTCCATTTTAGGACTACATTTTAGTTTCTGCATTCTAGGCGAGTCTTTCACGAGACATTCTTTCATATTTCGAGAAAACGTAATTTTACTTAGGAAAACGTTTCGCTCGTAGCTTCTCAATCATTGTAGCTACCAATTGTTTATTGAAAACTGCTCCGTGTGTCGGCTGCATTTTTCGAATTATTATTATTATTATTGTTCATGCTATGATTGTCATCATAACAATTACTATTTCTTTATTACTTTGTTTCAGCCGGACATTTCTAGCTGTTGTTTGTACAATCAAACTTGCTACAAAACTGTTAATGCTTGTGATTGCTTCACAGACAACATTGAATTCTGACCCGTCGTTGTATTTTAATTACTTTCCAGAGACCGTACACTGGAGGCACGTCTTACACGTACAACAACTGGTCACCACCGGCGCAGTCCAATGAGACTTCCAATGGGTACGTCGCCGCCTGCCTTCTTTGTTTTTATTTACTTTATAAGACATTGCCAAAGTTGAGCATAAGTCAGTTCAAGAGTTTGAATGAAAACTGCAAGAAATATAGGAAATTTGCGTTTCTATACAATTTTCCAAAATTACGTGCTTTTTGTTTGAATTTAATTGTTTTTTATATTATTAATTTTTGAAAAAAATTTAATCCAGGTACTTCCTTGAACGATCACACAGTGCACGACTCACACTCGCCAAGGCTTGCGAACTGTGTCCAGAAGAGGTAAAGTGTTCTGTTTGTTTATTTTATATCTTTGAACACAACATCAGAATATTCACCCTTATTGTCTCTGTACTTTCTCAGGACCAAGAAGAGCCCGAGGGGGACGTAGAAGGGGAAAATGGGACCTCTGCAGACGAGGCTTCCCCAAATGCTGAGCGCTCGAGTCCCCGACGGAATTCTGAAGACCAGTCTTCTCCGATCACTGAACAGATTCCACCCTTAGACAATAGTGATACTGTTGATAATGAATCCACGACCAAGCTGCTAAATGAGGAGTCCGACTGAGCACTAAGTGTGGTAGAGCCTAATGGATATTTCTCTGAACTGCAGTAGCCATCACTGGGCTGTTGTCTACCGGTTGGTATCTCCATGGCAACTAGCAAGCCACGATTGCGTGGATACAGTGGCATTTGTCACACTCTGACCCAATCCTATCACGGACAAGAGACACCGCGTCCGTACTTGGACGTATTTACTTTGATTGTTACAATACCTTGGCGTCGAAGTGGAAAATGCTAATTTATTTTTTTATTTAATGTAGAGGGCCGTTTACTTTGACATAACGACTCAGTTTTGTAGTATTTTCAGATGGTGTTTATATGCGATGCTCGATTGTGGTGTAGTTTCAATCCGTTGTCTTTGTGTAGCCCTCTCTCTTTCAGTCTGACGGGGATAGAATAATCACAAGCCCGATCAGCATCCGTTTGTCAAGAATTCTCTGTGTTCTGTAAAAATTTTAAGAGAGAAAAAAAATGGAATAATTCTAGAGCCTATAAAAAGTACCAAATAGAAGTATTGTCACCTGTTCATTTCTTGTGGTCTATTTCTTGAGTGAGAGGAATAGCGAAGTAGGTAGATGGGAAAGGTTATGGTTGGTTGTATTTTGGCTGAAGGAGCTCTAGTTCCCACCGTGGTGGCGATTTGCGGTTGGGTACCAAAACTAATGCCCTTTTAATTTTGAAGGCTTTCAGCTTTTTTAAACACTCGAACCTCACCAGATAGCGAACAGTGACGTAACTAAACAGGTGTCTCGGTTCCATTCAGCACCCAGGGAATAGCTCCTCCAATGGACCTTAATGGAAAATACCTTGCATTTTGATTTTAGATATATGGAAATTCATATATTTGCACTGCGGTGGAGAGATGAAATTAAGAGAATTTTTAAATTTTGAAACCTGAATTTTTTCAGGTCCAATTTACAACTACTCGTTTCAGTAGTGTTCTTAGCTGCGAGGATCTCTTAATTTCATCATACCTTGCATGTGTTTTTTTTGGTTGGTTGGTTCGCCGTCCGTGTCCTCCAGATTCTCGTTAAGAGTCGTGTTTGTTAAGCCTACAGAGTACAGAAAAGTACTTGCATGCAAAATGCGATCTTTATTAGCTAGATCCACGACAAGAGGGAGGTAATGGTTTAATGGAAAGCAGTCTTTTATGATTTTTTTACACCTGGTGGACATCACATACTTCATATGCACACTTTTGATGAGACTGAAATTTACGCTTCTCATTGTTAGGCATGATAAGGTTTGTGCATGGTGTCTTGTGCAAGATATGTTGCGCAAGATGGGTGCATGGATGGTCTGGCGAGCTCGTAACATTAAACTTCGTGGGATTTTTGCTTCATTCTCGTTCTTTTTTTTTTTCTATTTTAGCTCCTTTAAATTTTGATCAAAAATTTTTTTGGCAAATGATACAATCTGGTTCTCAAACTTAATTAGTTCTCGAGTGTGGTTTTCCGAAAACAGCAAGCTTTAAACCCTATGTCGCAGATTTCAGCAATGTTAACTTACCCAAAAGTCTCTAGAAGAGGGTGCAGAGGAATCTCAGCTTCGGCCGAATATCTACAACGCACCGCGAAATGTCTTTGCTATTCGAGATCTCAGCACGTGTTCCACCGAGGAAATTTGCACCCTCTGCGTAACGCAGCTCAGGATCAGGTACGACGTCTACTTTACAACCAGAAAACATCGATCTCGGTGGACTGATCAGCACCACGTAAACAATACAAAGAATAAGCCCCTTGTTTTTATGTATTAGCTGTCCCAATCCTAAAGAGATTAATTGTTAAAGAGCTTTAATTTCCACATTAGAGAACAAAGGTCAGTTGGGAATTCAGTACAGCGAAATTTGTTGTCGTGTCGATCAGCTGACTTCCTTCCCTTGTATAGTTTGTGTGCTTCTTTATTTTAATTGCAACATCGCACGATGAGAAACTTCATGCCTCGAGCCGCCCGTATGACACTTCAGAAAACGTGCCAGAATGTTTACACGGAAGTGACGCCGTGTTTTGAAGCCTGAGCCTTGTCACGTACGCGTGCTGTTGCTCGATAGGACATACACAAAGCTATTGCCTAAGCTTTAAATCATAATTTATCAACCTTCGCTGAAGGATGTTGGAGCATGCAATCAGAATGAAAGAGCGAGTTGGATCAGCGAACAAGCTTCGGAATTATGATACGGACGGCTACATAAAGCGGGCCGGCTGCATATGCTTCAGAACAAACCATGCAAAGGAAGTAAGTGATTTTGTATTACAACTTCACTAACTCAATTCGTGATACCTCATCCTACCGATGCGAAATAAAGTGGATGTACCAAAAAACATCATGATCTTGACAACAGCTCTACATTCTTCGGAACAGAGGTCATTCTCTCCTTAAATGGAGTTGAAAGGCCCAAAATGTTTTAAAGGGTAAAACCGCTAGAGATGGAGAACACATCATTGACATGTTAATTTTGCTAGAGTTATTGCGACATCTTGTAGAATGCAAATGCTGTAAAACCATCCTTGCTGTTCATAGATTGTGAGCAAGATGATCGGAATTGAGCGTTGGAAGCAATCTCTTCCTTTGTATTACGTTCAACTCTGTACGTAGGGCATTGTTAGAACATTCGATCGTGCCGAATATATTTGTTTACAGCCAGCAAAATGTGTGTTTTCAACTATTTTAATCAACTTTTGATAACTAACTCAAAGCCGTGCTCGATGGTCTGCTTAACTTAAGGCAAACAAGTTCTTTAATCACAAAAATCAGCGCAAACGAATCGAAATAATATGTTTTGATGATGATGACAATGTTCTTCAAAATGATCGGGTTGAAATAGCAATCCTTCGTTTGACAGATGCCATGCTGAAGCGTGTAGCTTCCTAATCTTGCTCTGCTGAGCACGGTCACGGTTTTGTTAAAGGGCAGCTGCATTGTATACAGGCTCTACAACATTAAAGAGTAATTTTTACTAATCGAATTTGCTCTCTCGGTTTTTTTTTGTTTTGGGGGGGGGTCAAAGTTTTTGACTTGAATAGTTGAACTTTTAGCGATTACATGACAGTCTTAGTCACGTGTATTGCTACTTTCTCCCTGCCACTCTTGGTGTTTCCAATGGACCTGTGGAAGAGGGCAGGCTTTGTCTTATCTCTCAGTACCCACTACAATGCTTGGTCAATTTACGAATAGATAGTGTTCATTGATAGAAGGCACTTTGAGATCTTTTTTCTACCCTAACTTCTGTGCTGAGCGTACAGACGACCGATTAGTGCGATTCTCAACGTCGAATTTTTCGTTGTGTCAGTCATTTGAAGCCTTTCCACGTGGCTAAAAAGCTCGTTCTCCGAAACCTAAAGACGCACAGTAGGAGTTAAATGGGTTTCTTGGTTACTCTACCATCTCTGTCCTTACTGATGAAATTACGGATCTCAGTTTTTTCTCAGTTTTTTCCCAGTTTTATTTATGGAAATCAGCACGGTCCCCAGACTCCCCATATGGCCTGTAAAAATTATCTTCACCACAAAAATCGTAGTTCAGTAAAAAAAAATTGAAAAAAAAATCCAACCATAAAGAAGGAAGGAAGGTCGTTAGAGATTTAGGAGATTGCTATTGATTGGAACTTGAATAGTTCTGGCTTAATTAGGCCTATAAAACGTTGCTGGGAAAAAAAGAATTTCACAAGATACATAAACCATAGACTTTATGTTGTACTAAGAATTACTGCGTTTGATCAGTTCCTCCTCAATGGGGTTTGAATGTTCGCTCTTAGGCATCGTTCTGTGCACACACCTTCATCTTTGTCATTAACCATTGACCTGACGTGCACGTTTTGTTTTGAACAGATTCTGTTGGTAACAAGCAACAAGTATCCAGATAAGTGGATAGTGCCAGCGGGAGGAGTGGAAGCTGGAGAAAGATTCCAAGATGCAGCTGTTCGAGAGGTTTTTGAGGAAGTGAGTCGATTGTGTTAATGGTCCACTATTAACCGATCCAGGAATTTTTTTGCTGCTGTGCGCACTTATTGATATTTGCAAGGATAAAAAACTGAAATTTATCGATTGTTTATTCATGATCTTACTGACGTCCAAACAGCCTGTGGTGGAAATTGGCCTTCTACATTGCAGAAGTCTTGCTTTGGCTATCTAGTATTGCGTGCGGTTTTGTATCTTAAACGTTCGCCTCGCGTTTGGTTCGAAGAGACCTTCTCCATAGGGATCAGATAAATTATCATTTATTATTACGTGTAGCATAAATAGTACTCTTTCTTTATTCCCTAAACGGGCAGTGTAACTTACTTTTAATTTCAGGCTGGAGTGCGTGGAAATATTATGCATTGTCTTGGAGTGTTTCAGGTATTTGAACTTCTGTAGACTCTTTACAGGTTATATTCTCTTTAAGTTAGTTTCCGTGATACCCTCTTTCCAAATTTGGTTAGAAAAGAAAAGTGGCACTTAGTATGTCACTCTTGTTTTTTGAAATCTGTCACTAAACTGTGCAAAGGTTAAATGGCTGTTCTTTGCTGCAAAAGGTAACGAGACAAAACTTTGCCAGATGTCATTCTGACATGATAGAATCAAGCATGACGTGCTAATTCCCTCAATCATCCGATGGGATGCGCACGTTTTCACTTCGTCACGGAAATGGGAAATCAGATTTTGTCACGAAAACATACCACTTTTAAGCATTGCTATTTTGTGCTCATTGTCCACCAAAAATTGTTGTTCTAAACTGTCTGATTTACTGCAAATTTCTATATCCTGACACTAGAATGAAACAAGCAAGACAAGAACAAAGATGTATGTTCTGCATGTAACAGAAGAGTGTGATTACTGGGATGACGCCGCAAAAGGTATCTCTTGTTACGTTCTGACGTGGATCTGCTGGAAACGTGCCGTATAGGAAAACTATGGGGAAGAGCCATTTACCAATGACACATCACGAAACCTCAAATGCCCAAAAAAATTTGAGATCTTTCTGAGAAGAATATCTTATCTAGTTTGATTTTCAATCTGGTACCGTTTCTTCTTAATCAGAATGAAAAGTACTTGTCAATAAGTGAGTTACGTCGAGGCATTAAAAAGCAACCTATATCAGAAAATAGGTTTTGGTTAGTCATCGTGGTAGATAACCCTTTCAAAAGAGAAATGTAATCGATTGTCTCACGATGTGAGATGCTTTGGATGTGGACGCGACGTTTCGACTGCATACTGTTAGTACGCGTCACCTATATGCTGTAGTGCTTAGCTGTATTGTTCAACCTGTTGTCTGAAATTAATTATGCTTTGTTTTTCGCGTATTTCAGGGCGAAGGAGAGGTTGGTTCTCAATACGCAAGGCATGGGAACTACTCTCTCACAGACCTTGTCAACAGTTGTACCTGCGTGATGTTATGAACATCGATGAACAAAATCAGTGGCTCTATGACTCACCGATCCGGTTCTCTACGCCACTCGTCATTAACGAATCACGAAACAACCAATCAAACGCTGAAGTTTCGCCGTAGCATGTAAAGTAAAACCTTTAAAAATACTCTTTTGGTAATGATCATCACTGTCTTAGGCGTGAAAAGAGTTATTTGGAATCAATCACTGGACTGGATGTAATTTAGTCGCGAACGGTTGCGAAAGAATTGTGAATACTTTCATCATTTAGTGAGGATCGCTGGGAGGTCTTACACTAATTTGGGTGTGATTTTACTCCCAAGTGGTCGAGAAATTATTGTATATAGTTTGTTTCATCAATACTCTGAACAGATCCTAAATTACTCTGAATCAATCATAAATTATTGTCGGGTATAACGATTGAAGGCAAAGGCGGAAGAATTTTGTGCATAAGCCGTTACATTCCTTAATAAACTTTAGGAATCTTCACTTTGTTTCCTTGTTATTCACTCGTTTTAAAAATAAGAGGTTCCTTCCGAAAACATCCGAATAATCCAAGATCACTAGTGTTTTCTTCAAAGATGGAAATATTAAACATACTTCAGATTTAGGAACTAATTTAGCAACGTACATGCGCACTGAATCGATTAATTTTAGGCGCTAAGTCAAGCAGATATCCTTTTCAAACTCCGTTGGATACGAATTGTGGGGATAACTAAATGACAAACAATTGATCACCTTCAGGGAGGAAGAAGCAGATTTAGGCTGCAAATGACAACTAGTGGTAGAGAATAGTCGAGTTCCGAGGCTCATAAGCTTGGTCGCGCAAACGCATCAAACATACTGGATACAGGGAAGCTGAAAACGGCATTTCTTCAGAAACTCAAAGGTGTATTTTGGTTGTGCATGCAGTTTCCTCTATCAACTTTTTTTTTTGTTGTAACTAGACTTCTCGCGGCCTATAGCCGGTACTGATGAGTAGGATCTGGGGGAAGAAAATGCGTTCGATGTTATTCTGAAGCAGATCGACTGATCCCCCTCCCCCATTTTTCCAGTTTTGAAATTTTTATTTCTATTCTTATAAATATAGTCCAAATAGCGCGACAGAATTGTGTTGTATAAACTGGTATCGAAGAAGTCGTTAATCACTGCTAACTGTAGAAGTATTCCAGGGTGGTGTTCAATTGCACAGCATAACGTATGATTTAGAATGGCCAACTTGACTAAGCTTGGCTTTTGCTCAGGGCGAGGAAAGTTCGTGATATGTCGGAGTCGCTTTAGTCCGTTTTTCTCACAGAGCAATCCACAGCGACGGTGGAAAGTGAGAATAAACTTCTGGGAAAGAGTGTACTGTAAAAGTTACTGTGTAGAAACCTACTGTGGTCTGTCATTTCAAGCTCGGAAATGTAATAGGTGAGATCTATCCTAAGTAACCTTTACTTTTCCGTTACTTTTAACCTGTTTAGGTTAATTTACAATCTTCATAGCTTTCCCGTAATAATTTAAGTTAATTTACAATCTTTTTTCTCTTATGCCGCATTTCCTCCGATAGTTAAATACTAAAAAGGTAACTTAACTGACTTTTCAAAATTTAATTGTTATTTATAAAAAAACGAAATTTTCCGGCTCATACGTGGTTGCTTAGATGTACCTAAATGTCTTTATCAGATTTGTTAACTGTATCTTTCAACATATCCTCGATCCACTTGCGAAACACGCTGACCCGAGTGAACACCGTGTAATGGTTACTCGATGAACAATCCGGGTCACCCCAGCTTACAATACCCTGCACTACCCACTGGCCAGCGGTATTCTTGCATTGAAATGGCCCACCGCTGTCCCCAAAGCAGCCGCTTGTCTTAGTGTGCCCTGCATCTCCTGCGCAGATCATTTTGCTTGTCACTATCCAGGTTCGGTTATCAGTATGAAGCCCACCATTCGGTGAGGTATCCAGTTTTGCTGCACATGCTCCGTTAGAGACAACAGGCATTCGCGCCTGTTGTAGGATCGTAGCTGAATCGCCTTTACCAAACATCTGTCCCCAACCTACAGACATAACAGCTCAAGCGTTTAACTAATTAGACAAGATAAGAGCCACAATATAATTAATCCTCCAGCAGAGTCCATGAGAGAAAGCAATCGAACAACTTTCGAAAGTTTGGAAATTGGAATAGGACCTCATTCCTTCAAGCTGATAACATTAGTGAACTTATTTCAAATGTAATTTTGGTTTTATTAACTGAGTTGATAATGCAAATTGGCCACCGTGAAGAGTTTCAAAGCTAAGCTTTGAAACTCTTCACGGTGGCTAATTCACATTATCAACTCAGATGTTGATACCAAAATCATCTTGCTACACTTCCCCACCGACGCAGCACCACAGTTTCTTCAGAAACTTTTCCCCCCTAATTTCAAATGTGCCGGCGAGAAGGAAGCTTCTCCTTGTTATAATTTTTCGAACACGGAAAAAGGTTTGAATATATATTATTGCTTTGTTGAGACGAAGATTAAACCTGTGTTAGAAAATCAAAGGTAACTATTAGATTATACCTGTTATGTAACATTCCTTCCCAAGCGGCACTTCTTCAAGAAATTCTGGTAAACAAGCTGTATTCACTAAGTCGCCGCGAGAAGCTTGGTGCGAAAGCTGAAAGAGGGCGATATCGTTCTCGTATGGAACTGGGTGTGAGAATAGACGATGTTTGATGATACGTTTCACCTCAAATTCTTGTTCTGAGCCTTCATTCTTCTTACGATCGATATCCCCAAGGATCACCTTAAACTTGCTGGGATCATCATTAAGTACGCAATGAGCAGCGGTCATAACCCACTCTGCCATAATCAGTGACCCTCCACATATATGGTGATGGTTGAATTCCAAGCGGGCCTGCCATGGCCATTCTCCAAGAGTAGCGTCATCGCCATTGATGACTCGTGAAGAAGAACCTGAATTGCGGCCACAACTGTCACGACCTACGTGTGAATAACAACGATGGAAGGTTTGTACTTAGGAATAATCAAGTACATCATGATATTTTACGAGGAAGTTTTTTTTTTGTCCAATGTAAAAAATGTCTAATTTTTGATGGTATTTTGAAATAAAACTTATATTTCAGAAAAGTACGAAATAAATGAAGAGGTTAGTCAAGGATTAAGGTAAAACACACTTGAAAAAAATCATGCTTCATACAGAAGGCACGACGTAGTCGTTTTAAGACATAACAATTTATATTGTACTGAAAGGACATTCGTTTTAGGGTAAGAAGTTATTCATCCCAAAACTTCCTTCGGATTCGAGTCGTTACTTATGCACAGTTTGAGAGAACATAGCGTGACGTTTCACCTTCGTCGAAGTATGGTGCGTGTGGATTGATTTCTCGGATAGGACCATGAGGAGGTGGCATCTTAAAGGTCTTTTGTTCTCCACTGTCTCCTCGTTTTTGCTCTGTAAGAAAGAAATACATCTGCCCAGGTTATTTTTTCAGAGTTGTGTTGAGCAATAGAGAGGCCGGTTTACAAACAAAGATTCTCTATGCTAATCAGCCACCTTGTGATGCCTATGATGTCAACTTATAATGTAAGAACGTAGAGACGAAGAGGCGATTCTTTCTTTGATTGAATGGAATTACTTACTTAAAGGCCGGGAACGTTTCGGTGTAGAACTAGGTGAAACTCGTGGCGAGAAGTCGTTGAAAATGCTAAGTTTCGATTCTAACCCTTTGACCAATAAGGTTGTCTAACATCTTATTTTCCCCTACAATATCACTCTTGAATCACACAGTAAAGTCACGAGAAAGGAAGAAATGATCACCGACTGAAGAAGCTATTGATTGTTAAACAAATTCTCCTTGTCAGCCCCTTATGAAATATATAGAGAACAGCATAGAGAATAAGCATGCTGATGTTAGGGTAAAGAGGGTTAATCCAATTTTTCTGGAGCATTTAGTTTGCCTTTTCCAATTGTTACAAGGACAAAGGGAGAGCTCAAACCCGATTTACTAATTTCAACGTTAATAACTGGAAGGTATGCATGACCGTCGGTTTCCATTCACCTTGCTTAAGGTGAAGGTCCCTGATAGGACCAACAGGAGGTGGCATCTTATGACTATTTGTTCCTCCCTTGACTCTACGTTGTTGCTCTGAAAGAGAGAGTAAATAAATTAATGAAAGAGCCGATGTGAGCTTTTGACCTCGCAATACCTTTGCGCTTGTCTACTGAACGGAATAAAGTCAGTGATAGGTTTCATGCAGGGCTTGATGGCTCCTTCGTGTTAAGTTTCAATAACATACGAACGTTTTCCCAAATCCATGTTCTTTCTACTGCGCAAATGTATCATGTTTGAACATACACATGATTGACGTTAGCGCGCTACGACAATGTTTGTGGAGAGTGGAAGTTCGCCTTCATGACTCCGGCTAAGGTGTCATTAAAAGTTTCTAAGAAACTGTGGTGCTGCGTCGGTGGGAGAGTATAACAAAGAAATACGGTATTATCACATGAGTTGATAACGTAAAGTGGCCACCGTTAAGAGTGAATCAAAGGTGTAAGGTGTCATTAGCTCTGTGTTGCCTCATGGGTCAGTTGGTAAACAACGCTGAGTTCTTGTTGACGCCACGGCTTCCGGGTTTGAATGTCTCGAAAAACCTTAAAAATCTCTCAGTTTAGGCTTCTACGGCTTATGCCTTGAATTAATTTAAGTTATTACGCAAAACTGGTCTTGCTCTGAGCATAGTTTTTAACGTAGTTCAATTTGTTCCCAAATAATGAGAACACGTTATCTTGGTCAATATGAGACAGTGTGGTCAGATGTTACTCTAGGGAACAGGGGTTCTATAAAAAAGCACAACATTTTCCGTACCGATTAACACTGGTATTCAGGATTTCTGGTTATTAAAATCAGTAATTAAAAATAGTCGATTTTCAATAAGCAAAGGTGAATCTTGCTGTGAGTGCATTTCATATCCATTGTAGCCATATTTAACAGATCCGACTAAATGAAAACAAAACATCCTTGGTATAAAGACGACAGAAGTAACGATCAGACACCTCGTGCACTTCTCTCCAACACGACTTACCCTGCTTCAAATCAAGTTCATCTGGTTCTATATCCGTTGTAAAGAAGGCCGGTTCCTCCAGAGGAGGCTTCAGATGTCCACGGCTAATTATGTGATGCCGACCTGGTCACAAAAACAACAAGAGGAAAAACAAAATAACGCTATATTAGCCGCTGATGAATCTTATCTCCTCTTCGCTTGATTGCAACAGTTCGCTTCCAACTCACTTAATTCACATACAATAGTAGAAACTGAAAAATCAATACAGCCCTTCACGTTTTTAAAATAAATAAAAAGCACACAAACAAGGCTTTGATCGTGATTCTCCGTTTAAGAAAGTGGTATCTGAATAAAAAGAATGACTCCCCTTCCAGATTCATACAAAATATATATATTCTTTTAGTAAAACAAAATGTGACGTCGAAGTTCACAACATTAAGCTGCACGACTACTGTTTTGATGTGATTGCTAATAGATCAGAAATTACCATTGCAGGTGATCAACAGAATCATGAAAGTCGACTTCTTTTCTCAAAACGACACGAAGTTAATAAAATGGTCTAGATATCGAAATATAGGCCTGCGGGTTATATTTCAGATGACGCATCTTCATTATAAACTTGTTATGAATGCGCGATGGTTAGAATTGGAAATAAATTACATTCATAGAGTCGAAAAAGCGAAACACTGTTTTTGTATATACAATATTTAAATATCGCGAGAAAATAATTAAAACGTGGACGAAATACAACAGATTAAAGGACAACTTTAACACTAGAGTTTCGCTTTTTTCTAAAATGGGAACGGTGGACCCAAATCATGTTTTGAGCTGCCTTCCCGAATGTGTCTCGTGAAGAACACAGACACAAGTTTAGTAAACGTCAAGTTGAGCGTGAAGTAACTCATGCACTCGCTGTTAATGATAAACAGCAGCTACCATACCTTGGTTTGAAGGCAGTAAAACCACAATAACCACAGCGATATTATAAATGTTTATCATTCTAGGTATTCTATGAAAAAACACAAGGACGAAACATAAACTCTCTTGGCTTTGATGGCTTTCGCATGAACTACTCCTGGCCCCCAGCAGAATCAAGCTTATGAATTATTGGTCAGCCAATCAATTCATTATAAGAGAGTCGCTTCTCTGCAAAAATGAAAACAGGTGGCGGAAAACTACCACTTCCTTAGGGGCTTTTTCATTTCAGTTGCGAAAACGTTGTGGCTAAATTTCAGATCACGCTTTACATTTCCATCAATAGTTAATGTGAATGATATAAAAATGGACGTAGAAAAATCGTATCGAAGTAACTGAGAAGTGAAATAACAAGGGAAAAAATTAAATCCTGTTTCAGTTTCTACGGCAGGTGTTTCACAAAAACTGCTTTAATATGCAAAATTCGTTCAATGATCAACAAATGACGGTTAAAGTGTGTTCGGGTTTCATTTTCCTAATATAGGTCTTCGCATAAAGAGAAGTTTAGCGAGCTTATATCAAATATAGAGGAAATAGTCGATATCAGACTGAAAATCTTTTAACCTAAGTGCTGCCGCATTGACGACTGACGCGGTAAACATGAAAACAGGAAAATGCAGACGACATGGTCCGTATTTGAAGATTCTCGGCAAAATACGTGCAGCGATTATATATTGAGCGGGCTTGGGATAAATAGAAAAATTAACGTGAACATCGATTGTAAGTATCGATCTTTCTAGTCAGCTAAGTCTCTTAGTGCCTTAAAAAAGGCAAACAACTGAGACTTTTTAAAACTTTAATATTACACTAAATTCAAAGAGTTAGACAAATTTGGCATGCACTATTGAGTCCTTAACTCGGAAATAAACAACAGACGCCCTTTTATCGGTTTTTACGAAATACGGAAACGCTGCGGACGTGTAAGAACCAATGAACTAAGATTAAAATTATGTAACTTAGTAAAAATAGGGAAGGATGATGTTTATGAAAGATGCCGAGTTTTTCTTCTTTTTATCTGTCAGTGGTACTTTGAATTTAAGATCTCTTCATCAGAAGTTTTGAGTTTGAAAAACAAAAGGCTCCGGATGATATTTTACGACTGTAGAGTTTATCACATCCAACTCCCCTGGTCAGTAATATGTCCTATTGATTCACAAGCTGAAGCAAACAAGCACGGGACACAAGTGAAGCCACGTCTAGCATACAGAATTTCCTTTTCTCTTGCTCTTTTCAGGTAAATTGTGCCGCAGGACATTTAATGTCACTCGGATGATTAACATGATTATATCTGGATTACTCAAAGAAATTAGTTTTTATAAAACCCCATACAATCCACCCTTATAAACTTCGGAGGGGACTTGTAAAAGATTAAACAATATAAGAAACTTACTACAAATTAGCAAGGGGAACAGGGTGGGAAACATTCCCGTTGAATATTTCCTCAAGGATTATCAACGGGTTTTGGAAGTACGAGAGTAGGGGGACGGGAATAGTGTGAAGCCAGGGCCAATTTAATTTTCTCTTATGTCTACCTGCCAAACTTGTCACAGACCACTTCAACTTAGCGAAAATCACAAATTACAGGAAGAGTTTCACCACCCAAAGTCGCCGACTTAAGGATCGAAGGAATAACATGTAGAAATTAAAAAAAAAAAGACTGTTTAATTTTTTTCTTGCAATAGTCCAAAATGCTTTTAGTTCCTCAGTAGGTATGAATCAAACCGCACTTATCAGGGAACACCGGCGGTTTGCTTCGGTGCCATGGCTCACGTATTTCGGCGGGACACAGTCGATCCAGAAAGGCCATAACGAGACCAAACGAGCCTTATGTAGCGTCTAAGCTCAAACTCTAGTTCCAGGCGACATAACTTCGGGCGTAAATATCCTCATTTTCTTAGAGAGACTGTCTTGATTTCAGCCATTTGCCAATTTGACTTTGTGTATTCTTTTGGCTTTCCTCTTCTTTTATTCAAATCCCTTGTTCCTCTCCTAATCTTCTTTTTTTTTTTCTGCATAAAGTCTTACTTGAGATGTCTGTGAGCTGATCATATTGAAATTAAAATTATAACTTAAAACAGTGATATAAAGTGACCTTTATAGGAACATTCTCTTTACTCTGAGGAGGGTTAGGAATATGGTGTTCTGAAGCAAATGTATGATTCGAAAACCCAGCTAAGAGAGACTGATTTGGCAATTCATTGTGTCCTACCAAAAACTTTTAGAAAGTCTGAAAAAAATAAAAAACAGACTTCACTCGGCTCTTTTGGAAAGAAAAGTATCACTTTTTTTCGGAATAATTTGTTTATAATTAATTCTATCCCATAAGAGTCTTTCTGCACCAAGTAAAACCCTCGTATTTGTGAGAATTTGATCCAGGAAATTATTTCCACGAGTCTGAAATTTGACGATTTTACAGGGAAATGTCGAAAAGACTGTTAAGACTGACATGGGTCTGTGGTGAGTAAATATATAACACGAGCTATCTTAAGCTCTTTGAGCACAACTCCTGAGGCTATGGATAAATTGACAATATGAGCTGAAGGATTAGAAATTATATCTATGTATTGTCTTACGACATCCATGATAAAATCGTTTAACCCAGTAGCTGTGCCTAGGCGTAGACTAGCACAGATCTTTAATTTCTTGGCGGTAAGTGGGTAAAACACTGCATTAACTGCTATTTAGACCTGATGGAATTTGGATTTTTTTCTGCTGAAGTAAGTGCAAGGCAAGGAAAAAAACCATCAAAACCATTTGTTATTTCAACAAGATCGCTAATTTCATAATTAGTAACCTTAAATGTAGAGGTAAACTATTCTATTTAAGACGTCGGTTTATTACCTCATTGAGGATTCTCCACGTGTCTGAAGCGTTAGATTTGCAAGCAGTAAGTTTATGGACGTAGTAATCACGTTTTTCTATTCTAATTAAATGATTCAGTTTGTTTCAGAATGATTTCTATTGACATTTATGAGAAGCAAAAGGTAAGGATGGGATCGTTTTTCTAACCCATTATTTATCTAAAAAGATTTTAAGAGGCCTATTTTTAACCAGGACTTCTTAAGTCTCCTCAAGACAACTTTCTTTCTTCCTGCTTTTTCAGTTTATCTGAAAAAATTGCCATAAGCTGCTGTAAACATTTACATAAACTTACCATACACTTTATCTTCAAGACGTTGCACAAGGTGAACATAATCATCCTTAAACACATTCCTTAGTTCAAGTAAAGGAATTTTTTCTGGCGCGCAGCCCGCCAATTTCGGAAAATATTAACAGCCCACTTAACTTTGTATTGTGTACTTCAAGGCTTCGAATGTTCGAACAAAGAAACATCCTCTTGGAAACTGTTTGGCGGTCGAAACTGGAAGACTTGTCCTTAGCTTCTTTCTTCATTCATCAGAATTGCAACTGTGGAGGCCAATGCAAAGTGTGATTGCCTCTAATCAAAAATACAAAGTTGTTAAAAAAACACAAAGACACCATTCATCACAATGACTAGCAAATACGTACTTGTATTGATGAAACAAAAGAAAGAAAAAAACTAAATATATGCGTGACTTTTGTTTTTGTTTTTGGGGTAAATTTTTAATAAATTAGACCCTTTTGAGAAGCTATTTCATAAAATTCGGGCTTCGTGTTTCCTCAGGGTCTCCTAACACTTAAAAACCAATCATCATCAGTTTCCTTGCGTTGAGAAACCCTGATGGAACACTTTTCCTCATTTATGATATGTTACTTCTAAATCTCTTCATATATTTATGGTGGTTTCCCCACGATAAGTGGTCCAGGAAATTATACTATCATAACTTATTTTATCAGAAAGAAAAATAGGTAGGTGATCTGACACATCCGAAATGATACCCCGCTATAACAAAAGTAGGTTTAAAATAGCTCTATAACCGTGTTTATAAGTGTAACATTCAGAAATGAAAACTATCCCCAAAATGTACATGTTTTTACATTCAGTGGATCGAGGCTTTAGGGGGCAGTGGTAGAGAATGGAAATAATGTCCTGTTTGCATGAACACGCGCGCGCTGGTATGGCGCTAATTGGCTCTTTTGTTGTAGTATATATAAGGTCTGACAGTTGTAATTTATGCATCTCAGCTCTCAAACTTTCAACTGCTCGCAAGTCCGTCCGAGTCAGTAAGTAAACCTTGCAAAAAGTTTAATAGATATCAAAGAGTAGCCAAGAGTCAGACTTTCAACTTTAAAGAGAGAAATGATGACCAAACGCAGCCATTAAGAGATTGAAGGCCTCGGCCTCATCGGTGCCAGAAATTCAAGAAAAAGGGCAACAAGAAACAGTTTGAAGTTGACACTCAAGTCCTTGACCACATTGAGACCACTTCCTCTCTACTGAAATCCACACCACCACAAGTCGAGAAAGCCCTCGAGGAGCTTATCGCTGACTCGGCAGGGAGTTGTTGGGAAGTGGTAAGAGAATACGAAAGTAAAAGTGTCGCAGATGACAACGATAAACGTTTGAGGCGGGCAGAAGTTAGAGGTTCTCCGAAACGTCGCCGCTCACAATCTCAAGAGAAGGCTTGAGGGTTTCCTTCGCAGTCGGCCGACGCCAGATCTCACCTTCTGTCCCATACTATTCATAAAGAACCAGTTTTACTGTAGCTGTTCCTTTCGCGCCCAACTGCTTGGAATCCCCAGTATCCCGACAGCTGCTCAAGAACGTATCTGAGTTCGTGGAGGATCTTTCTTCGCCTGTGGGAAGTTTGGATATTCGCGTGGTCGGTGCCCCGATGTGATTAGCCATTTTTCTGATTCATTGATTAGCCAGATTCTCCCTCGCAGTCGGCTGACGCGAGATCTCCCCTACCATGCCTTACTATTCATCAAGTGCTAGTTCTGCATGCTGCTCTTTTGGCGCCACTAACTTCGCCCCCCAAATTGTATGGAATTCCAAATGTCCCAGTAACTGGTCTCGTTCTGTTCTTGGACGATTTTGCTTCGCCTATGGGAAGGTTGGATATTTTCGGGGTCAGTGGCCCGATCTGTTTAGCCATCTTTGCACATCTTTCAGCCAGCCAGCCGAACGAGCATTTGTGATGGACAGGGAATACTCTAGATCACTCTTAAACACAGATAAGTTCACAGCAGCTCACAGTTCAAGCTGCACACCCATATTTGTCGTTTCTTAGTTGTGAATAGAAATAAGGAAATAGCTTTAAAATAGGGTAGAGAAGATAAAAATCACCATTAACATAGCATGAAATTCCATTACACTCAAAATTTCCTTAATCGTGGCTATGAGATAGGGTACATATGGGCAAAATAGTTGGCGATCTGGCTTCTGTAATATCTGAACCGAGGAGTACTACCCTTTTTGAGACTGTGCACAGGCTACTCAACATGTCAATTCTTTGATGAATAAGACTTTCTACATTATTTTGTTTCCCTGGAAACTTTTTCAGACAAATGCTCTGTTGGTTATCCGCATCCTTTACGTGATATGGCTTTCGGTTTTTAAGGAAAAATCATTTTGAACTTTAATTTTACCCTTTTGTATAAAATGAGGAAGTGAATGGGAACCATTAAGCAATCAAATATTAAGATCCTGACTCGAATTCCTGAAGCAGAAGCAGAGGAGGAGCGACTTTTCAGTATTTCCAATAACAAAAAAAAAACTTATATTTGTTTTTGTTTTAGTCATAATGGCTCTTTGCCGATCATTTTTACCCTGAAGTTGACTTATTAGGTAGCAAGGACCCCTTTGTGTAAGTTTGTCTTAGGTAACGATTTATATTGATCTTCAACGAAAGCGGCATCATATCACAGCAAGGAACACGAACAAAGCAAGGTAATATTTCAATAAACAATCGACAACCTCCCTAATGATTGAAAGTTCCTTCAATCTCGATCAGGAAAATTTGGAATCCCTCACCTTTTGTAGAAGCTCCGGTCTGTTTTTTCATTTATCAGGGGTTGGTAGGTCTGTTTTCAAGGGAACTCAAAGAAATTGTGGTAGTGTTGATCTTTAAAAAACTGGTGTTCAAAAATAACAACACCATTTTGATCCACCTGGGTCAATTAGCTTTCGCCTTGAGTTGAAAGGGTCCTTGGGACCATAGTTAGTAGAGGGGGGACTAACTATGTTGGGACGGCCAGAGCACACTAACTCAGGAGTGACCCACTTCCTTTTTGTTCTCTTCACGGTATTCCTACACTGTAGAAACTACCGGCCAACACCACAGAAGTCACCAACCATTTTCCGTAGGTGTCATTTACTTTCCTTCCAAGTTTCAGGCTTAAGCCCTATCAACTTCAATGCCGTGCCTCGAACACATCCGCCGGAAATAGGAATCAAACCGCACGCTACTAAAGTTAACGCTGACATATTATGGACTCAACTGGCGAGCAGAGACGCGTGAGCAGCTTGGAGAAAGTGAGCCGAACAAAAGCTGATCCCAACGAAACTTTTTGGAGACGTGTTCATTCGGCTATCCAAAGAGTAATAAATTCATCTACTTTGGCTGCTAGTATGCTGTCGCACTGAAACCCACACCAGATTTCGAAGTTGTGAAGCGGGCGCGCGACTCCTAAAGCCATTGGTAAGCTAAACAATTAGATATAAATATCGCTTTTCCTGCCTTCTCTGTTTATTGATTCGTTAGAGGAAGGAATCTTGCGTAGAATTGTATTTGTTATTTTGAAATTTTCAATCTTTAAACAGCATAGAAAGTTTGGTTTAAAGAGTTTGTGGTGTAAATTTGACGCTCAGCCGAGTTACTCAAAGATTATTTGATCACGTGACCATATTTGAAGGATTGATAGAACGGTGGAACAGAGGAACGGCGGAACAAAGGAACGGCGGAATGACGGAATTTCCTTAAACGTTGAATGCCGGAATATCCCCTCAGGAATAAATAAAATTATTTCAGATCTTGACTTTTTGTCAGCAAGGGGTTTCCCAAAGTTACAATATAATTCAAAGTTTCCTTGAGATGATAAAAGAGTCTAAGTGTCAGCATAAATATCTTAGTCCCTGGCTACTGCTTGAGTCACTGTTTAAATTTACCTGATATTATTTGTGGAATGCAGTCATCATGATTAACTATGGAGATGAAATTGACCCAGTTTTACCATATGATGTGAAAGAAAAATGTTTTGTTATTAGACATTAACCACATACAACTGTTACGTTCTCTAACGAGTAAGGGAGATGACACCACTCAACACAACAGAGTTTTTGATATATCTGGTGTGATCCTCCTACCGTCCGCTGCCCTTTGTAGTGGTCAGCGGCTTTGACTAGACTTCATGTTACTATAACAACTACTGACAACAATTGAAACTTCTCAATGTATATCTTATCAACAGATCAGTGATAAAGTTACATGATGTGTATATCACTGCTGTAAATTATAGGAGAAACATTCAAACAAATGCATCTAGCAATAGCATTGCAATGATTCCCCTTATAACAAAAGTGTGTTTATTTTTCAGAGAGTCACTTCTATTCTCACTTCTTCTCACTTCTCCTGACTTCAATCTAATAATGATCCTTTTTAATGCATCTGAACCACACAGTCTACTCCATATTGGCCCTTGCTTTCAATCAAATGCCTCTGAAAATCATGATAAAATGATTCCCTTTATAACAAAAATTCATTTCTTTTTCAATAACACTTTCATCCCCTGACTTCAATCAGATAATAATCCTTTTAAGTGGCAATTTGGCCCTTTTTCCCCCCAAAATCTATACAACTTATATACACCTATACCAATATTTTAAACTGTTTTGTGTTCATGTGTGCAAAGTTCATGAGACATTTGAGTTGATTAATTAACAAAGTGGTATACTGATAATGCTCTTGTTTTTTATTGTCAACTCACCAGTCAAAGAACTTCTAACCCAGGACCTACTTGTTCCCAGCGAAGCTATTGCAGAAGGAAATAACTTAGAGCAAAGATTATCAAGAATGTATTTAAACTTATTCCATAATCAACTAAACCAGGTGATGATACTTTGACAGCCGTACCAAAGTCTATAGAGATAGCCAAACACTTCACCCCCAAAGGATACCAGATCATTGGAGACAACCTGGATCTTTGTATTAATGCTAGGCATAAGTACAGTGAAGCAATGAAAAAAATCCATCCATCACGGTTTATATGATGATGTCTAATTATATATTTATAGTGATAATACACAAATAACTCTTGAGTAAAATGTATGTTGCCAGTTAAATAAATATTTGACCAAAAATTGTCAGAGTACCTGATAAGTAGTTACTTAGACTGTTTCTTTTGTCTGTTGACAATCTTTGTTTTTTGTTTAGATACCTCTTGGTTGCCTTCAAAAATATGAAAGGAGAATGTCTGCATATGGCCTGAGTTTTCTGGTGAGTGTAGTCTCAAACTTCAGCTGTGTGTGTTTCCCTTAACTAACCCCCTGAGGTGTTAAACGCAAGGGGCTAGGGGTGAGGAGAAAGTGGAAAGCTCAGTATACAGGTGCATGTTAATTTTAAATTAGTTCTCAAAATGATTGCCACAGTTAGTGTTTGCTAAACCTGTGTATGTATCCCTGTTACTTACCTGCAAAACAAGTCTACTTAGAAAGCCAAGGGAGGCTACTTGACCTGTGAGTAATACTTACCATTTTTATTACACACATTTTGCCCTGTCCCCCTTTTCCAAACAGAAATCAAACAATTAAATTGTACTTTCAGGGACTGCAGAACATATTTTACATTGGTAGGGCTATCTTGTGCTATAAGCAAGCTCAATGAGCACCCAATTTGAAATTTTGAGCTTCTGAAATCACCAGAAACATGTTTATTTCTTTCAATCCAATGAGAATTTTTTAAAAATTTGTATAAATGTGTACTTGAGACAGCTCTCTTATAGTTGGCATTATTGGGGTCATTGTTGTTGAGCAAACCAAAGGTAATTTTCTCAATGCAAAAAAAAAGGATGAAATTATTAGTGGAGCTATAACCCATCAAGCTCTATGGTCCTTGACTTTAACTGCTACAGTATAGTAAAGTTACAAGTGTATCAAGTTTGAAAATAATGATTTCAGTAGATCTTATAGGTAAGTTTAGTCAGTTATGTGATGAAGAACTGTATGACTCTTTGAGATCCGCACATCAGTCTCACCCCTAGTGTTACTATAAAAGTGGCAAAAGGCTTAATACACATTGGCATATTGATGGGAAAGTTCATGTAAACATGGAACGATTAAGTCATGTTGTTGGCCTGCAACTTACTCTATGTGGATTTCTCTAAAATGGCAGTCAATACATACAAGGGGAAAACTACACCTTTTTTCCAAATTTGGAATCACAACCAACTGATCTAAGTTCAATGTAAATGATTTTATTACAAATACCGTAGTTATATTTGTACATATAACAAATCAACCACATTTTTCTATGTTCTACACACCTATGACATCATAAAATGTTCAAGACTTAAACAGAACCATGAGCTGTCAGGCAGGTGGTTTCACTGTTAGGTGAGGGGGTGAGGGGTGAGGGTAGGAGAGCATTCTTGTAGATGTATTTTTATCAAAAGAATGTTGCTATGACTCAACTGAATCTGGGTTATATTGCAACTAAAGAGAAAATCTTCTCTATTCTTGGTTTGCACGTGACGTCACACTCATATTTGATATTTCCTTTCCGCCATCTTGGTGTACATGTGGCTCATTTGCATATGTCAAACTGCCCATGTGTGCTATGTTTTTATTCAAGTCTTGCGAATGTCTGAAGTTTTACAATTGATTCCAAAGAAAATGACAGCGACCAAAGTGAAAATATCAAAGAAGAAAGTACTAATGTGTTATCTGAGTATGTAAAGGGTCTTGAAAGTCGCGTTAAACGCCAATATTTAGGAAAAATAGCGGCAATCAGAATTGATCCAGCATTATTAGTAGTGGCAAAGTTAGATCCAGAATGTATCCCGTCGATCGAAGCAGCCGATCTTCTCTCATATTTAGTGCTGGAAACCAGCTATTACACGCTGAAACAGTTCAAAGCCCACAAGAGTTTGGAGGCTTACAACCAGATGATTTCTGGCTTTATAACAAGCATTCGAGGCAAAATAATCAGTGATAAGTTTGTTGTGGTTGGAAAAGTGCGACATTCACAGGGAATGACTGAAGCTCCATTACCTGTATGGATCATTGCCAGTAAAGAGGGAAGGATCATATCTGCTCACTGTCTAGGCTGCAAAGCCAGACTAGCAGAATCATGCTCTCATGTGGCAAGTGTTCTATTCTATGTCGAGGCATGGACAAGGATTAATGGCAAACTTGCTTGTACCCAAGTAAAGTGCATGTAGCTACTTCCTGCATACGTAAATGAGGTTCCATACTCCGAAGTTAAAGACATAAACTTTAAATCGGCAAGGAGAATAAGAAATGAATTGGATAAAGAAGTCAATGGTAAGAATTCCTGTTCTGCATCTCCAAGTAGTGAAAGTTGCAGTAACTCCAACCGCAAGAAGGTCGCGAAGGCAGAAATGCTTGGCTATCCGTCTGTTGAGGAGATGAACAGTCTTTTCTCAAAACTGAACAAAGATAAACAGAAGGCTGCTATCCTCAGTTTAATTCCTCCATATTCAAAGTCTTTCATTTGAAAAAGTCATCAGATACCTACCTTGCTAGACCTTTTTGATTCTGAGAACATCAAACTGACATGTCCAGATTTAATGAAAAGTGCTTAGAAACTGAGATATCAATTTCCAGTGAGGAGCTAAAAGCTATTGAAAAAGATACAAGGGATCAATCAAGCGGAGCTGCATTTTTCTGACATAGAGCTGGACGTATTGGAGCTTCTCAGAGCTTCTCAGTTGCTCACACAAATCCTGCCCAACCAGCACAGACCGTCATCAAGTCCATTTGTTACCCCCAGTTGTTTAACAACAGTGCAGTTAATCATGGTCATATCTACGAAGAGAAAGCAGTAGCAGCATACACCAATGTAATGTCAGAAAATCACAAAGATTTCAAGGTTACCAAATGTGGAGGTTTTATTGACCAGACACAACCATGGTTACATGCTACTCCTGACTTCCTCTGTACTTGCTCTTGTTGTGGGGATGGCTGTGGGGAAGTCAAATGCCCCTACAGTATTCAAAACTGGGACTTTGAAAGCTATCTTTTAAAGAAAAGTTCCTGCCTAGAGAAAGTTGACAGTATGTTTAAACTGAAGAGAAACCATGACTATTTCTATCAGGTGCAGCAGCAACTTTCCATTACTGGATCAAAATACTGTGATTTTGTTGTGTGTGCTTTTAACAACAACAAACCAATGTTTTTCATGGAAAGAATCCTACCTGACCCCAATCACTGGGAGACTGTTGTCCCTAAGCTGACAAAAGTATGGAGGACATGTGTGCTACCTGAGCTTTTAGTAAGGTGGTACACAAGGAAACAGCATGCTCCAAGTCTTACTCTGCAAGCACATCAAGTGGACCTTGCTATTGTAGAACCAAGACCCAAGAAAGAACCATCCACTGCTCTAATCCAGAGTGTCCTGTAAAGGAATTTCACTACTCATGTTTACAAGTGTCAGACCCTATTCCCAAGAACTGGTATTGTCCTAACTGCTGCTTGCAAAAGAAATTCCAGAAACCCAGAAGGGCATCGAAAACTCAGAATACATCACAACAGAACAGTGAAGTCATGAAATTGGACAGCATATGTGTTTGTGGTACAAAACCCTCTGTCAATGATAAGCTACTGAAATGCCATAGTTTGGATGGTCAAAATGGAAAATATCTTCATTTAAATTGTCTGGATTACAAAAGGATGCCAATTTATAGTCAAACCACATGGTTATGTAGCAGTTGTAAAGAGAAAGTTGGTTCAACTAGAGGCAAAAATGCTAAATCAATACCTCATGTATCAACAAACATAGACAGTCATTTGTTTGGATCATGTCTTGTAAATGATGCTTCAGATAGGTTTTATACTTCAAACAATCCCAATGACAATATGTCAAAAGCAGCATTAAAGAATGGAAGTGTTGCTATTAATCCTACCACTTGTTCTTCTACCACTTCTTTTTCAAACAATGTTCCTGTATTACCGTTACCTCCAGGTAACATTATCAATAACTTGACGCACCCCACTGATACAATGAAAGGCACTGATTCTAATAGGGCCAATGCAAATGCCGGTTGTTCTGTGCCACATTCACCTACAGGTAGCAATTACAATATAGGAAACTGTGCAAATGATGATGACATTGAGATAACAAAACTAGCTGAAGGGGAAACCAACAAACATGCATCCCTTGGTAATCTTTCTGATAACCATTTTGATACCATTCTTTCTCCTACTGGTTGACTGGACTGCACTATAATTCAGCAAGCTCATGCATGTTGACAGAAAGTTAACCCATTCATTGAAGGCTTCCAAAGACCAACTCTTGGCCCTGTTTGAAATTTTGATTTCATGACTGGAGAATTTGTACAGATATTACACACCGGACATTCTCACTGGGTATGTATCAGTTCAGTTGGATGTCAACCTAATGTGGTTAATCTCTTTGATAGTCTTTCCCATGATATCATAGAAAGAGAGGTCAAAGAACAGGTTGAAAGTTTGATGGCAGACAGCAATGTTGAAATCACTATTATGCCCGTACAACAGTAGCAAAATGGCAGTGACTGTGGGATTTTTGCAATTGCTTTTTCAACATGCATTGTTGATAGTTTGGACCCCAGAGACATGACATTTGACATCCCTAGGATGCGTCCTCACTTATCTTAGTGTTTGAAAGATGGCATAACTACCCCTTTTCCTACATGTTAAGTCAACTGAAAACAAAGTTTTGCTGTGAACTTTATAAAAAAATATGAACACCACCTGTTGTTTAATTTAAATAAATCTAATGATTACATTAATTTGTAAATTTCAAACAGCAAAGTTAAAATGTTTATTTATTAATAGCTTGTAATTATGATCAATAGATAGTTATGTTTATTCTAACCACTTTCAACTTCAATAATGTAGCTGAATTACAGGTCAGTTGCAGGAATGATGAAAGTTCCAGAGTCTTTTTGGGAATTAGAATAGGTTGTTTTGCATCAAAAGATGCTTGTAAATACATGGTTAAGATAACTTTTCTGATGGTCCTTTTCATGAAATAGCATAACATAAAATCAATGAACTATATTCAAACATCAACGTGTGGAACCAAAAAAAAAACTTAATTACTAAACTTGAGGCCAATCATAACAAATTCTACATTTCTCAAAGTTATTGAACTATAATCTTTAGCAATTAACAATTTATCTTTATCTCTTCAGATATCATGATGTTCTGATATCATGCTCAAGTAACTTCAAGTGTATCTGTCACACAAACGACTATTTACAAGTATTTTCCGGGAAATGAAAATGTAAGAATTACAAGAAGAATACCCTGAGAATATGGTCAATCACTGGTGTGGGACTAGTAGGGTTATTCATCAAGAATTCTGTATAAAGTGTTCCTTGTAAAATTGTGTATTTCCTTTGTAAGAGACCAATAACCCTTTCAACATGGATTCTTACATTAGCAATACCTCTGGTCTTCTCTACATCTAGGGGATCAAGTTGTTTTTTTCCTTTGGTAAAAGCAGGAATCACCAGCTCTGGTCTTTTGAAGGCCACACTCTCATGAATTGCAAATCCTCTGTCTGCCATGACTATGTCACCAGGTACCAGCTTGTCCAGGATACCACAATTTTCAGTAAGAAACTTGTCAGATGTTCTACCACCCCAAGCATGGGACACAAAGGAGATGGTGCCTTGAGGGGTGATACCAATGAGGACTTTAATGGTGTTATGGTGCTTGTAAGATGAAAAGGTTTGTGCTTGAGCCAACAGATTAGAAGGTTTTTCAATGAAAATCTCAAAACAGTCAATTATGACTGTAATTCTCTTCCCAAAGGAGTACTGAAAACACTCTGGCATGGTACTCCAGAGTTCTGCACATTCAGGCCAGTGAATCAGTGGAGATAGTCTAGTGTCCATTTCACTGATACATGATGAAAATATTCTGGAGATCCTTGCTGCTGATATTCTGAATCAGTATGCCAGGTCTTGAAAAGGCACATCAAGCCTTAACTTTAACAAAACTATCATAAGAATTTGAAATTTCGTGAGGGTGAGTGACTTTCTGGTTATATAAATGCACATGTGTTCATAATATAGGCAATTGAGAACATGAAATGTAGGCAGGCCGGTATAAATATGTACTTTGTCATCATCCTGCATGTCTTCAAGGTCGAAAGTAGCTTTTTTAACATTCTCAAACATATAATCATATTCCTCAGTCTGGGTTGTCGAGTTTTTAGTCTCGCTCTCTGTCTGTGAGGTTGCATCTTTTAATGTCAGTTTATTGAACTGTGATGAAACTTCATCCAAATCCCCAAAATCAACGTCTTGTTTGTTACCAACACTTGTCTCATTACGAATATCTGATGAAGAATTGTCAAAAATGAGTTCCTTTACCATCTTACCATCAACATCAAGTAGCTGTACTTTGGCAGCTGTCTCAGTCAAAGCCTGTTCATGTCTTCGCTTTCTTCGCGTCTTCACTCGATCAGACCGAGCAGCCTGCAGTTCAAGATCCATTTTTCCTTTCTTATCGTGTCCTAGGTGTAGAGAAGGGACCCAGTGGACATTATACTTGTCCCAATTGGCTGCTGGACATCCAGAGACAAAATGACAGCTACAAACTCTGTCGTTCTTAAGAATATCTTCCGTCAATCCTACTCTGCTAATGGCGGAAAGCCACTTCATACGGCGCTCGATCAAGAGTTCTTTGACTTCTTCCCCTTGGTTTTTTATCACAGATGGCATACCATAGAAAGATATTTCCTTATGTCGACCACTCCTTGTATGGCAGCCCACAATTAGACAGAGAACCGTGCTAAAGCATTCCAAATAAGCGACCAAAACAGCTTTTCAGTGGTGAAACACTAACAGTCAATGCGGGACACTGTCCACCAATATGGCGGATAGCAACCGTCGTCAAGGTCTGGGTCACGTGGGTACAAACCAAGAATAATACTTATAATAATATCTGGTAAATATCAAAAGAGCAGGCTCTTTGACAACTGTGATGCTCTTGCGAAGGTCTTCTTGTACTGGCCCTATATATTTTGGCATCAGCAGCATCCCTAATGCCCTGTGCTTTATGAGGTGAAGGAATGTTATAAAACTCTGTATTCTGGCCTCACTGGTAAAGCAACAATTCATAACCTGCTGCTAGTAGTTTCAGTGAACTGAAAATGATCTCCTTATTGGATTCCAATAAGTAATATTACAGTCCTCTCTCTGATGCTGGTGGGTGGTTAATTTGCCTTTGGCCCACCTAGCACAGGATCCTGTTCCATAGATTCTATTTTGGGAGCAAACAACTTTCAATGTTTTTTGGGAGACAAAGCAAGGTGTTTGCTGCTGAGGCAGAATAAACAGACACCCACTGGCATTTCTTGACCAAACTGGCTCCTGAATGGTACTGGTCCTACTGTTACATTCAGAGAGGAACCAGAAGAGCTCGTGCATGAGTGGGATCCTGGCACAGAATCCAATCAACCAGTGTGAATTGGAAACTGCAGCAAAGTGATACTAAGTTCATAAATTGAATGGTAGTTGAAAGTCCATATCGTATTAGTATTTTCCTCACACAAAAATATGATGCATCAAGAAACTGTGTAGTCTTTAAATAATCACCATTGTTTTAGAGATTGAGTCTTGGTGAAGCCAAACCAGAATTGGTTCAGTTGGCAAATTCAAAATACAGCAATCACCTACAGCTAAATGATTTGTGATGGAGACTGTTGATCTACTGCATGTCTGTTTGGGGCTTTTTTTTTAGAGTGTACTGCACCGTGCTAGCTGTGTGTGAGGTGCAAGTAAGAGGCTAGCACCATCAGGGAGGTTAGAGAAACACATACACACCTGTAAATTCACATGGATTTTTTAGTGTGTAATTTGTGCTTGCTGTTTACATGTAGCACTGTATACTCAAATGAACGTCAATGATTGAAAACACTTTTTTGTGAAGTAGTTAGGGTGGGAAACATTGTATGATGGTTAAATTGTAACTAACATCCAGTTAAAACCAAACTCCTAAAAAGGAGCTCAAAAATCTTGATCAAGCGCAAACATTTGTGGTCATGGTCAGTTTTGCATTGAACTTTTAATACTTGAAACCTGAAAAACATAGCAACTCTAATTCAACATCATACATAATAATAGGAGTGTATCAAAAGGTTCAATGTTGAGTGCAAAAGTTGAATTTTAATTGTGAAAGTTGGATGTGGAGTGCAGAGTTTGATTTTGAGTGAATAGTTGATTTTAACCTGGAATGGAACACCATACTCTCCAGGGATAACAAATGATCTGTATCAACACCATTGAATTCACTGGCATTAAAGAAAGTGCCACAGACAAAATTTTGCATTTTATAAGTTTCAGTCCTTTGTCTTGGTTACAGGTATCCATCATTTCTATGGTGGATATGCGTTGATAAAAATAGGTTGCTCCAATGGGTTGAATTTGGTAAGTAGTTGTTGATTTTTGATGTTATCAGTGGTTGAGTGGTTAACAATCCAAACAACAAATCTTACCACCAAAAGCATTGTTTTACCATTTCAGAAGTTGTTACAATGTAATTAAGAATTATTTCCTTCTGATATCATTTACTTAGTGGTGAGCTGCAAACCAGTTCATGCAAATGCTTGTACAGTGTTATATGCCAAATAACCAAAACTATTCATTTTACTAAAAAATATATAAAGAATTAATGTTGGTTAAAAATAGAACAATTCAAATACATAATACAATCCTATACTTGGTATAGGATTAGGACAAATTGTACATTAATTTAGAAAGGTAATAAACTAGGTAACTGATAAAAGCCCTTGCTATATTCTGATGCTTCATGGTTGAGAGCCTTGAAGACCAGAAGTAACAGTTTAAACTGGATTTGATAAATTACAGGTGACCAGTGTAGATGGTACAAGGTATAAGAGATATGATCACATTTGGTAGCCCAAAAATGAACTTAGCAGCAGCATTAAGTACTTTTTTAAGATTATCTAAATGGTACTTGGGATGCCATCAAGAAGAGGATTGCAGTAGGCCAAGTGAGAAGTCACAGATGCATGGAAAAGAGTCATGGTGGTCTCAGGGTGGAGGAATTTCTTTATTTGCTGAATTTTATGTAGCCCATGGAACACTTTTCTGCAGATCTTGCCAATATGGACAGACACAGACATCTTGGCATCAAACCAGGAGCCCAGATTCTGGACACTACCTACAGGTTGGGTAGTGGAGTCACCAACAGTAATGGATTCAATTGAGAGTTTTTGTAATTGATGGTGGGAACCGACAATCAATAACTCATTTTTTGTATCACTGACTAACAAACTGTTTGGAATCAACCAAGCACGTAGATCAGAAACACAGGCTTCCAGATAAGAACATAGACAAGAAGCAAACAATTCATGGGCAGAGCCAATGATTCCAAAGTTATTTCCATGGACACCATGTGCTTGATGGTATCAAGAGCCACACTCTTTTCTAAGCAGCTCTACTGTTATGATTGCTCAGAAATGGTAGTTTACCAAGAGTATACATGCTAGATGTATTTCTTACAGAAAAAGGTTTGCTTGTCCTAGAGGGAGAGTAATTTGGAGACTGGGCAGTCTAATGTCCTATTTACACCTTGTCAGGAGCCTGCTTTCCCTAGAATTCCACCCTTTGATAGGGTTCCGAACCTGGGATTGTACCCTGCTATAAGGGTTCAACCCTGGAATACCATTTAGAGGCCCTGAACTCTGTACTTGAAATCTTAAGCCACCGGTGAAATTTGACTGAATGATTCTATTGAATCCCTGAGCATTAATTATTGACGTAAATTTTCTCAGTTAGGTTGATAATACTTCATTGTTAAAAATATTTGTCCAGGCATGTTACTACTTAGTGATTTTTTTAGAATCAACCAAGGGTTAGCTTTGTTCCAGAAATCTTAAATATTTCCAGTGAGCATGTATGGGCCTATTGGCCTTGGTTCAAGTACCTTTTTTTACAAAATAATGACAGTTTACAGCTTTGGTTCAAGCTTGTAAAATTTAGGCTACTTGTTGAGATTACTTGAATCAAAGAAACAAACCAAGCAGCAACTTTATCTGTAATTGCAGAATTTTGTCTAGATAATAGATACCTTGCTTGTCACTGTGCTTGTGTTGCATGACAAAATTGATGGTCTGATTATTTAAACAAAGTTTAACCATTGTACTCCAAAATATTTCTCAATTTAGCTCAATCTTTTATTTGAACATTTCATTTTGTGAACAGTGTTAAGAGGGCCAAAAGATAACAGTGGATGGACATTTATTTAAATTAATCCTCTTATAGAGAAGGCCAGAGGCCTACTGATTGTGTAGAACCATGGTCTAGGTTAGACTTTGTGTAAATTACTGGCCCAATGTATTTAGAACTAGAACACAATGTTTCTATATTTTAATTTAGTTACCTGCCACATAAACATTTTGAATACTAACAACATTGTCTGGAAAGCACTTGAAGGCTCAAATCTACTTTGTTTGCATGAAGACAAGTGAAGACTGCTACTGTTGTTAGAGCTTCTCTCACTAATGTCACTCAACCTTCCATGTCAACCTTCTGAAAAGGTCTTCAGGAACGTTATGGCTGGGTTGTCCAAAGGTAGGGGTTAAGATAATATAGGGTTTGTAAAAAATTTCATTTCAGATCTGAAAGTTTTAAAAGAAAAATCAGTATAATTCATTTTGTCTACAATTTGAGGAAGATAAAGAAAATTGTCTAAAAAAGGCTTTTGAACAAAGGATTAAAGAAACCAGTCTTAGAATTAAACCATGGGTTATCACTTATCTGTTTATTTTTGTTATGGGCACTGGAAGACCCATAAATGAGTTCCAGCAAATTGTCGGAGAGCCTATCAAAATGTTGGGGGGTAACCTTGCAATGGACTTGTATTCCTTCCAAGGAAGAGTTTTAATACCCCTAGTCACTTCATGCTACATGGGTGAACCAAAAGGCTTGAGTACAGACTTCACCTTTACTGGAACCAATATGGTATACTACAGTATCAAGGTCATAAAAATTACCTTTAATGTATAGTTCTCAAAAATTTCAATGCTCCTTTCACAAGTAATGATTTGAATATTGGGAGGAGTTGGTTTCTTGAAAACAATAACCAAAGGAAAGTAGGAACCTTAATCAAGATTTCCTGAAGTTCCAGTGAGGGCAGCATTGATACATTCAGGAACCACACAGAAATATTTTATGATAGTTTAAGATCCCTTGCATTATGGATGCCAATAGTGGCAATACTAACTCCTGTGGAAGGCCTTTCTTTCTTTTCTCAGAGAATCAACAACAAATTTTCAAACAGACATCTGCACTTTATGTGTTTGCTTACAAAATTGAAGAAGGAATCTAAGGGAAAGGAAGTTATTGAATCAGCCTCAGCAGCCTTCATTTGATTAGCTCTTGAGTACTGCATGGCTACAGTCAAGCAATTGGTAGATGCTGTACAGTGGATCTGGCTCAAGAGGAGTGGTACAAACTCTTGCCTGCAAAGGAAAGGTAAGGTATGTTAACTTTATGGATGTAAGATTGGGACTAAACCAATTAAAAAATCAAATTGAACTAGCTTGAACAATTTTAGATAAGGAACACATTAATGCAGTTACTTTTATATTAAAAAAAATGCTCTTAAATGTACTGGAATTTTTTTTTTGTTATGAATTTAATAACTTTACTCCTGCTTTATGTCAGGATCTTTATGGTGCCTCTTAAAATCTCAA